CAGTCGAAGACCTACATTAGCAGCGAATTTGAGGTTACAGAAAGAATGTATATACACATGAATCTACATGAAGTTCTGTTCTTATCCCTCTGCCTGCAATCGATTCATTTCTTTGCTGAGCGTACAAATCCACAACGTGATGTAGACCCACTCGTATAGAAACACCTACCCCAAACCATCACCATCACTCAAGCTTCTCTCATCGAGTTACCGTCGGAAATCCTTCCCGGAGCAGGGCGGAGTGACGAATGGAAGTGAATTGACGGAGAGTGAGGTCATATCTCCTGTCAAAAGACTCCTCATGCGTCTTGGTTGGATCAAAGCTCTCTATCAAGACCTAGAGCTCAGGCATCGAGGGAGAGAGTGACTGAGTGAGAGAGCTCTATCGGATCTACCTGGATCGAGAGGTATGTTGAGAGGGTCCATATCGACCGGACGTGACTGTCAGTTCTGTACTTTCCAATACCTAGGATGCAGAAAGATCGATATTTCTTTGAAACAAGGCGAGTCCAACGACGTGAGAGCGCAAAGATGTTTCTGGAAGGTTGAGAGGAATGTTGTTGTAACAAAGACATTACTGTAGCGTTGGGATGTGATTGAATCAAACATAACTTCATTGAGCAAGGTTACAACAATCAACTTCTGTCTCCCTTATCTTTGCTTGGATGTCATGAGCATCCTCGATAAACTCTTCCGAGCACTAGAGCGCATTAGCTTCGTGAAAAACAAATCTTCCTCCTCCCCTTCTCCCTCCTTCTCCTTCTCCTTCTCCTTCTCCTTCTCCTTCTCCTTCTCCTTCTCCTTCTCCTTCTCCTCCTTCTCCTTCTGCTTCTCCTTCTCCTTCTCGCTTGCCCCCTCCTTCCCCTCTGCAAACAGAGCTCGAGACACTCTGTGCCTTCCCTTCTTCTCTTCCTCGTACCGATCGTGCGACTTGGCAGGCGACGAAGACTTCTCACGGACGAGCAAGAGCACGTCAGTCAGCCGCTTGCTCAGGGTCTTGGCCGCGTCCTCGTAGCGTCGCTGCGTCTTCTCCAGCTCCTGCCAGTCCCCAGGCTCCAGCGACATGTCCAGGAGGATGCGATCAGGCGACGTTGCGCTCTCTCCCCATGAGCCAGGAGACGCGAGGACAGGAGTCATGCTGCAGGCGCTCACGCTGGAGGGGGCAGGGCTGATGTGGAACCTGCGCGCCTTGCCCGGCGTCGACTTGGAGGGCGTTGCAGCCGGTGTTGTGGCAGGAACCGTCGAGGACATGCTGAGGTCTGCGTCCGAGGGCGAGGGCGAGGGCGCAGGGAGAAAGAGCGAGAGAAGCTCTTGCATGCTGCGCTCTAGTCCCGCAGTCCGATCCTCTTCGGGGAAGGAGGAGGAGGAGGAGGAGGAGGAGGAGAGCAATGCTCGGCTCTCCCTCACCACTTTCGTCCACAGGGAGCTGTACGTCGCCTCGGCTGGCTTGAAGCTTCTCCCCCCGCACACAGCCCTCATCGTGCTCAGCGTCTGTTCCACAGCCTCCAGCTGGCTGAGGAGGGAGGCAAACATCCCCTCCTCCTCCTCCCAGCCCTCCATCAGCTCCCGCAACTGCTCCTTCCACTCCTGCCGCAACCTGTTCGCCATGCTCTCTCCCTTCTGCTCGACGGCACAGCCCTTGGCGCTCTTCTGCTCGCACGACTTGGCAAAGTTCCGTATCCTCGCCTTGGTACAGATCCTCCTGAGCTCGTCGGAGAACCTTTCGCGCATCAGCGACTTCATCCTCTCCACGTCTGCCTTGCACTCCTCCTTGAGCGCGTTCACCTCCCTCGACAACTCCAGCTCACCCCGCAGGACCTGCTCCTGCTGCTCCCTCTCCTCCTCGACCCTCTGCTCCTGCACCAGCGCGTCGATCCTCTCGCGCTTCGAGGTCAGGAACACGTCGTGCATCCTGCTGCTCTCCCGCTTCAGCTCCTCCTCGCACTCTCTCTCCACCTCCCGCAGCACTTGCTCCCTCCTCTCCAGCAGCTCCTTCTGCACCCGAGCGATCGCCGTATGTGCCTCCTCCTTCAGCTCCTCGTGCTTCTTTCTCGTGCTCGCCTCCAGCTCCCCCCTCAGCTTCTCCTCCAGCTCCTTCAGGGTCGCACGTTGCTCCTCCTCCTTCGTTGCCTGCAGCTCCTGCAGCAGCTCCTGCGTCCCGTTCTCGATCTCTCGCATCCTCCTCGACAGCAGCGAGTTCTTCTCCTCCTCCACCTCCCTGCTGACCTTGCGCATCGCCTCGCGCCTCTCCCCTGCGTACTCCTCCTCCATCTCCTGCTTCAGCCTCATCAGCCTCTGCTCTGCCCTCCTCCTCATGGAGCCCAGCTCTCGCTCCCGCTCCTTCATTAGCTCCTCCTCCAGAGCCCGCAGCTCCTGCTCCAGTTTTGCCTCCTCCTTCCTCCTGTGCTCCTTCACGCTCTCCTCCAGCTCCTCCTCCGCACGCAGCTCCAGCTCCCATATCTTCTTGTCGTACAGATCGTCACATTCCACCTGAGTCGACTTCTTCCTCCTCTCCGTCTCCTGCTCCAGCTGCGACCTGAGCTTGTCTGTCTCCTCCTTGGCCTTTCTCCTCGACTCCTCCTCCTCCTCCTCCAGCTTCCTCGCTCGCTCCTCCTCCAGCCGCCTCTTCACCTCCGCCATCCTCTCCTCATGAGCTCCGCGCAGCTCCCGCACCCTCCTGGTCAGTGCCTCCTGCAGGCTCCTCTCAAACTCTGCTTCCATCTCCCCCAGCCGCTCCTTCAGCTCCTCCTCGTGCCTCCCGCGCATGCTCTGAAGCTCCTTCTCTGCCCTCTCCTCCTCCTCCTGCACGAGCTCCCTCCTCCTCCGCTCCTGCGCCTCCTCAATCTCCGCCCTTACATCCTTCATTGCCCTGGCCATCCTCTCTTGGTGCGTCTTCTCCTCGTCCTCCATCGCCTTCCTCCTTTCTTCCTCCAGCTGCCGGCCGAGCCGCAAACTCTCCTCCTCCTCCCACCTGCACAAGCTCTCCAGCAAGGCACTCACAACAGCCTCGTTCTCCTGCGACAGCTGCGTCCTCAGCGCCCCCAGCTCTTCCACCTCCTCCTCCGTGTTCTTGCGGAACAACTCGTCCAGCACCTGCGACGTCTGCCTCCTCGTCTCCTCCTTCCACTCCTGCAGCTGCTGCCTTACGAGCAGCAGGGATTCTTCCTCTAGCTGTACCCCGTCCAGCACGCAGCTCTCCTTAACCCTCCTCCTCACCGTCTCCATCAGCTCCTCCTTCACCTCCTCCAGTTCCCGGATCGTCTCCTCCACATCAACATGGTGCCTCCTCCTTGCCCGCTCCCGCTCCTCCTCGAAGCGCATCTGCAGCTTCTCCTCCTCCTCCTCAGCTTCCTTCCTCAGCCGGTCTATGAGCTCCTTCACCCGCTGCTCCACCCTCCTCCTCTCCTCTTCCTGCCTCCTCTCACTCGTCGCCTTCACATCCTCGATCCTCTTCTGCATGACCTCTTCCAGCTCCTCCTCCATCCTCTGCACTTCGACCTCATGAGCATGAACGATCTCCCTCATCCTCTCCTTCTTCATCCTCTCGTGCTCCCTCCTCGCCTCCTCAACCTCCTCCTCCATCTCTGCCGCATGCTCCTCCTCCATCTCCGCAAGCACCTTCCTCCTTTGGCACGCGTGCAGGATGCGGGCTGACTTGATCTCCTTGCCGAACTCTTCCTCCAAGATCCTCACAGTCTGTTCTCGGATCTTCTTGCTCGCTTCCACTGCCTCCTCGATGATCTGCTTCGATGCTGTCCTCCTCTCCTCCACCAGCTTCTCCCTCACCCTCCTCAGCTTTTCCTCCTCCTCGGCCCGCAGAGCCTTGGCTCTCTGCGCCCTCTCCCCCTCCAACCTCTCCTCCAACCTTCTCTCCTCATCCTCCATCGCATGCTTCATCGTCATCTCCTGCCTGCTCTGCTCATACGCCACCTTCTGCTCCATGGACCTTCTCATCCTCTCAGTCTCCTCCTCCAGACTCTGCTCCAGCGATGCCTGCGTCTCCGTCAAAATTCTCAGCTCTCTCGCACCTCCCCCCCCGTCCCCCCCCCTCCCCCCCCCCTCCACCCCTCCTCTTCCTCCTCCTCACCCGCAGGCGTTCCATGTACTCATCTCGATTGTTGGCGATGAACAGGTCGACTTCGATCGAGCACTGCACATCAGCGTCCTCCATTCTCTTGACCTCCTCCTCCTCCTCCTCCTCCGTCTGACATGCTGCGCTGGTACACGAAATTTCATTGACCTGCTCTTCTTCTGTTTGGCAAGTTTGATCCATTAGCTGCACTTCCTTCTCAGCAGAGGTTTCCTCCTCCCTCGCACTTGCCTCCTCCTGCTCCTTCTCTCCCCTCGTCTCAGCTCTCACTTGCTCCAGCCGTGTCTGCATCTCCGCAGCCATCCTTCCTCTCAGCTCGTCGATCGCCCGCCGCGTCTCCTCCTCCATCTCCTCCCTCAGCCTCTCCATCTCCTCCATCCTCCTGATCATCGCCATCCTCCTCACGGCATCCTTGTCCGACTCAAGTTCCCTCCTCCTCGCTTCCTCCTCCCCGCGTGTTGCGTCCTTCAGCCCCTCCTGCTCCTCTGCGGTTTCATGCTGGCAGTTAACATCCATGGACGTCCTGGTCTTCCTCGTCTCTCCCATCTCCTCTGCCTCCCTCGCTCCTCCTTCTTTCCTCTCTCCCAGCCGAAGTGATGGATCACACGACTTAGAGGAGGAGGAAGAGGAGGAAGAGGAGGAAGAGGAGGAAGAGGAGGAAGAGTAGGAAGAGGAGGAGGAGATCCTTTCAATCCTCTTCAGGTGCCTTGTTTGGATGCCAATCTTGAGGCTGCTGATGTCAGCAGCCAGCTGCTCCTCGAGCTCGTGGATCACTTCCTCCGCCTCCTTCTCCTCGGGTGAAGCAGCTGGCAGGAAGGAGAGAATCGCCAGCACGCTCCCTTCCTTCACCTCCTCCACCCTCACGCGCGACTCGCGGATCCCAACGGCCCATGCCACGTCCTTCTGTAGCTCTCGAGAGAAGAGAGGAAGATCGCCGATGCTTGCCCAATCCAAGTCCAACACCATCTTGACTCTCTCCTTGACCTCCTCTGCCTGCTCCTTCACCTCCTTCGCCTCCTTCACCTCCTTCACCTCCTTAACCTCCTTCACCTCCTTCACCTCCTTCACCTCCTCTTCCCTTCTCTCCACTTCTCCCTCCCTTGGCGCCTTCTCGCACGCCTGGCCCCCACCTGGCCCCACTCCCTGTCCCTCCTCCTTCATTTCAAGTCTCTTCATCGGAGGCAGCGACGTCTCCGCGAATGTCTGCGACGACCGATGGACTTGCTCGGGGCAGGACTGCGTCGTCTGGTCCAGCTTCTGCCCCCTCGTCCTCCTCAACTCCTCCTTGTGCTCTCTCGTGCAGCGCTCCTCCGTTGCTCGTACGGACTCCTGCGTGTGCTTGTTCCATGCTGTCCGGAGCCTCTTGATTTCGTCCTCCTTGTCAGCCTTCAGCCTGGTCTCCTGCTCCTTCAGCGCCACCGCAATCTTCCTCCTCACCTCTTCCTCCCCTTCCTCCCTCTCCTTCTCCAGCCTCTTCGCCTGCTGGGGCTGCTCTTCACCAGCCAAGTCCGCCTTTCCTTTGCTCTTCTCTCTCTCTCTCCTGCTTTGCTCTAGCAGCTTCTTGTTTGCGCTCATCAGCTCCTTGTTCGCAGACACCAGCTCGACGTTCAACTTCTCCAGCTTCTTCAGCTCCTCCCCCACCTCTTTCATCCATGACTTCCCATCCCTTCTGCTTCCTTCTTCCTTGTCTGCTCTCTCCCTGCTCTCTTCCTCCACTTCCCCGCTCTTCTTCATCTTCGACTCATGTCTCAACTGCTGAACCTCACACTCCAGCGCACGAACTTGCGCAATGAGTGAAGTCTTGACCCCAACATCCTCCTCCTCCTCCTCCTCCTCCTCCTCCTCCTTGCCATCCTGACCATCCACCTTCTTCAAGATGCCGGCATCCTCATCTTCGACTTGACAAGCCGCATCTCTCATCGCCCTTGTCAAACCTGTCAGGTGCATCTCCTGTGTAGTCTGCTCGTCGATGATGTTTCTCAGCTCCCTCGCCTGCTTCTTCCACTCCTCCATCTGCGATCGGGTGTGCTCCATCTCCTCCTTGTACGCGCTCAGGTGGTGCTCGTACATGTCCCCCGACATCACCGCGTCCCCTGTCTGCAAACTTCGGATCCGGGCATGAAGCTCGTCTATCGTCTTGTCGGACTTGTCGAGCTCCGTCTGCAAGCTCCCACACTGTTCTCTCAACCGCTCCACTGTCACATTCGTGTGCTCTAGCCTCTCCTCCAGCCTCCTCCTCTCCTGCATCTGATGATCGTACGACGACTTCAGCTCGAGCAAACTTTGCTCTCGCTCGCCGATGGCCGCTCTGCAGACTGCTAGTTCATCCTCCAGACTCCTGATCATGTCTGACTGTTTGTTCAGCTCTCTGTCCTTCGCTCTCAAGAGTGCTCTTGTTGTGTCCAGTTGCTCAGCGAGAGACGGCGGCGCTACCATCAACGGCTCCCCCCTGCTCTGCTCCCCGTGCATTCTTGTCCACTCGTATCGACACCCGGGATGCATACCGCTGATAGCGATGCCACTGCCATGCGAGGCAGAGGAGGAAGGAAGATCCAGACGATCTCTCTGTGGGTAAAAGTTCTGCTCCTCGCTGTTGTGAGTGGACAGGTAGGAGGAGTCAAACTCGTCTGGGGGCGGCAGCTCGTCCAAGAGATCTTGGATTTCTCCATTCGCTGCTTTCTCAAACAGACTTGCAGACTTCCTCTGCCATGAGTTGTCCTCAAACAACCCATCATCATGATGCCCTTCCTCCATGCCTTGTCTCGGCAAGCTTCTGAAGAACTCCTCATCTCTGCTGTTATGGTGCGAGTTCAAGATGCTGCTGCCTATGTTTGTAGAGTCAAAGAACCGACTTTCCTGCTGAGTCTCGTTCTCTCTGAAAGGATCTTCCATGAAAACTATCTCATCGTCACTGCTGTGTCCTGAGTCCTCCATGTGATGATGGAACATGTTTGCCCTTCCACGTGGGCTAGTCTTGTGCAGCGTATCCCTCGTTACAGCGTCACAGAAGAGAGAAAGTCTTGATTGCCTCGACCTGTCCTTCTAGAACACGATCAGAGTGACCTGTCCGTCTCTTCTCTCAACCTTCCTCTCTCCTCTCATCGCGCTCCTCTTCCCCTCCCCTCTTGCCGCTCACCATTGCTCCTCTGCATCGCCCGTTACTTTCCTTTTTCGGCAAGTCATGCTCGATATGGTAGGTGGGGTAGGTGTAAAGTAACTAAACTTTAGTACCTAAAAATAGTTAAACTAAAATAAAATAATTCATCTCAAGGCGTGAGATGGCAACATTTAGCGTAATCGAGTGGGTAGGGTGGGTGGCTGGTAGGATCAATTAGTCAACTCAAGAAAGAAAGTGAACAGCAGATGATTTTGATGGGGAGAAACAATCAAACGAGGAGGAGGAGGAGGAGGAGGAGGAGGAGGAGGAGGAGGAGGAGGAGGAACGAGGAGCGAGGAGTGACTGTAGGATGGGAGACGAGCAATCCATAAAAGGTGGAGAATTTTCGAGAGTCAGAAGCGAAGGCGGAAGAGGTAACAGATACTAGGCTGGAAAATGGCGATTTTTCATTGACAATGGGCAACAAAGAGAAGCATGGGGAGAGAGTGGAAAAGAAAGTAAGCAAGGAAGGTGAGGTGTTGATTAAGCTGGAAAGTTTCAAGGTAAGCAAGACGACGACAAGAGGCGACAGGTAGAGATGATAGAGGTGCGAGCCATGTGCGAGATAGAGAAGAAGCAATGCATACGAGGGCTTCCAAGAGGAAGGGCACAGGAAGAGCTGGTAGATCAGGCAGGCATCATGTCAATCGATATGTTCAGACCTAAGCCTGTCTCGTTGATATCAACTGCCCACGTGAATCAATTCTGTCCCCTGTGATAAAATCATTCAAGATACAACAAGCAAGTCCGATGGGAAATTGTGATCGATGTAGTGGACATACTGCAATATCGTCGAGAATCGAGTATTTCAGTTTTTTGTTTAGCTAGTACATTGAAAATGCTTCGTCTGCCGCAACAATTCATCAGCACACAACACCTTCTGTCTCTGAGACCTCTCCCATCCGAGATGGGCAGAGGCAGAGATTGGAATTCATCGCCATTCGCAACATCCTCCCTCTTTTCATGACGTCATCTATCCCCAGCAGCTTCAGGAACCTCGGGGATAGCTAGAGCTCAGCTGAAACTCAGCAGGTTGGAGGGTTCCAACAAGGCGTACGAGACAATTTGACACGTTTATAACTAGCGAAGCAGAACGTTACATCACCTTACAAGGTAGTCACACCTCAATTGGTAGACCTCTCCCTGAGCGCCTCCGAGGCAGATGAAAGGAGGAGAGACGTCGATGGCCACGATGTTCGACGAAGCCTTGAAGCACGCCCTGCATCGCCCGGCCTCCGCGTCCAACATGTCATATACATACATCACATTCGATCTACAAGTTATTATCTTGGACGTCGATGTCACCGTCTTCACAACCTGAACGATCGAGCCTCTGAGCAGGCAGTTCACCAGTTCCCCTGTCTTACAACTCCATCGCAAGATGGCATGGTCTCGGCTGCTTGCCACGATCGTCTCCCCATCCAGTGCGAACTGTACGTCATTGATGAACGCCTTGTGCCCTTCCAGCGGCTTCCCCACCGCCTCCATCGTGCTCGTGTTCCACAGCCTTATCGTCCTGTCTGCACTAGAACTGGCTGCTATGTTCGGGTCTGTCGGGCTGAAGACGATGCTGATGACTCGATCTTTGTGTCCCTCAAGCTTCCCTACCTCCTTGCGATCCGCTACATTCCACACCCTCAACGCCTTGTCTGATCCTCCGCTCACAAGGGTCGCAGCATCACTGGGGCGGAAGGCAAGCGCAAGCACCCAGCCCTCATGCCCCTCCATGGCTTCCCCGACCTGCGAGGCAGAGGCGATGTCCCACAGGCGGAGGGTCTTGTCCACACTGGAGCTCGCGAGGATGTTCTCGTCGAGGGGGTTGAAGGCGACGGAGGTGACGGCCATGCGGTGGCCCTTCAGGTTCGCCTTCACTTCTCCTTCCACCGTCCAGATCTTGATGTCGTTGTTGTCGGAGCCGGACGCCAGCAGTGAGGCTGTAGGCGACCACACGAGCGACCCGGGCCACCCTGACTGACCCCGGAGAGGTTCCCCCTTCTTCTTTCCCGTCGCCGCGTCCCAAAGCTGGATTGTCCTGTCGTAGCTCGAGGTGGCGACCACGTGGGGGCTCCCGGAGTTGAACCTTACGCTGTTGATGCCCTGCTTGTGGCCCTGCATCTGAGCATCCGACATCATCTGCATTGACCAGACTTTGATTGATTTGTCTCGGCTCCCGCTCACCAGCCGCTCCCCCTTGGGCGTCCAGAAGATGCTGTTGACCCAGCTGACATGCGCCTGGAGGGGAGGAAACAGAAGAGTCCTCTTCTCGAGGCTCCAAAACTTGATCGTTTTGTCGTTGCTGCACGACGCAAGCATGTCAGGCACCTTTGGGCTGAAGGCCAGTCCAGAGATCTTCCCATCGTGAGCAGCGAGAGGTTCTCCGATCAGGAAGCTATCCCGCGTATCCCAGAACCTGATCGTGCCGTCGGCGCAGCCAGACGCCAGCACGTGGTAATGCGAAGGGTGGAAGGCGACAGAGGTCACCTCCTCCTCGTGCCCAGTCAGCGGCTCTCCCATCAAGAGCCCAGTGTCTGCGCTCCACAAGCAGATGCTTGAGTCGTCGGATCCCGTGGCCACAACCTTCCCGTCCACGCTGAAGGTCACGCTGTTCACCTTGCGCGTGTGCCTGTTGCGCAGGTTCCCCAGGCAGCAGGCCCGGCTGATGTCCCAGATGCGGACAGACATGTCCTTTCCGCAGCTGACAAGCACGTTGGAGTCTTTAGGGTTGAACGCCACACTCCACACCTCCCCGTAGTGACCGCTCAGCACCGACCCCACCTGAAACCCGCCGTTGGCATCCCAGAGGCGGATAGTCCCATCCCGCGAAGCTGCCACGATCACCAGGCCATCTGGAGACCAGGCCAAGCTCGTGATCTCGCCCTGGTGCTCCATGGATCGGAACGAGACTTCGCCAGTGTGCAGCGAAGAGACGGTGAAGAACTTTTCCCTGGCTGCGGAGGCGATGAACCTTCCACATGGCGAGACGACCACAGTGCTGACGGGAGAGGTATGATGGCTGAACACAGCGAGAGGTCCTTCTGCTTGCACCTTGTTTAGCCAGTGACAGATGTTGAGCTGCTTGTTGACATTGAAGAACTCCTGGAAGGTTCGAAAGACCTCGGAAGAGTCCGGCTCCTGGGACATCACTTGGAAGGGGATGACGGAGCACATAGGCTGAGCGAAATGCTCCTTGTTCACTTGCACAAGGCTCTTGAACGACAGCAGCTTCTCTGCAGAGGCAGGGAACGTTGAGATGGCCAGGTTCATCTCATTCAGAAGTTCCTGACCAGCATTCAGATGGAACTTTGCTGCGATGTATTCAACTGAGAAAATCTCCTTGAGGGTCCGCGATTCATCCGCCGACCAGATCAGCAGCGGGACCAACATCTGCAACTTGCGATGGTTGAGGACCAACGGCTGCCCGCTGACGTCCGTGACGCTGCCGTTGAAAGCCACGGGTTGGTCGAGCGTCCTCCTGTCGTTGCCATTCTCGCCTGGAGCATTGAGTCAGCAGGCAGGATCAGAGGAATAGAAAAGATTCTCACCTGGGAAGATGTCTTGGAGGACCCTTTGCAGATTATTCTCGTAGGGTTTGACTTGGAACGCGTGAGTGCCATGGAAATGGTCAGCCAGATCCTTGAGAAGAAGTTTCCTCATGTTCTGCCTCTCCTCAGTCGCGGTCAACCAACTTTCCACAGCCTGACCGTAGAACCTGTTCATCCACAAGTAGGGCGAAGAGCTCTGTCTGGAGTCCTTCACTTGGTAGAGGAGAGGCTCCAACTCATACAAGATCTGCTTCAGGTACAGGTGAGGGGATGAGTTGATCACACGGAACGATCCGATCTCTGACATCACGTCGTCGTTGCATGACAACACCTGCCGGAGCTCGTTTTCTGATATCCCATAGTGCCTGGTGAGGCTGATGTAGGAGAGAGCAGATTTCGTGAGGTAGGTACCGTGCCTGTCTTGCAACAGCGAGAAGTAAGAGTTGCTCAGTTCCATCATGGAGGAATCAATCTTCTGCACCACTCCATCATACGAGTGCCACTTCCGCACAATCTGGAACACAAGGGCAATCCAGATGGGGGTGGACGACCTCTCTGCAGAGTCCTTCTCGCGAAACGAGCTCTTCACCGCTTCCAGCTGTTCAGCTGTGAGAGTTCGACCGGCAGCCTTCAGCTTGCCCTCCAGCACAGTCTGCACATCCTCCTCAGTGTAGACTGGGACTTCAGCGATGGTGTGACAAACAGACCCGCCCCAGATCTTGAGCTTTCGCTTGATGGTCGTCAGGCAGTTGATCCCGGGGGAGTCCGGGGCCGTTGTCACGATGATCCTCAGGCCGACCTTGAGTCCACTCAGCGACAGCCAGTCGAGCTGTCTGGCGGCATCGTTGTCCTCCAATTGATCCAAACCGTCGATGACTAACAGCAGCGGCTTCTCCGGGGACGGCCAGGAAGCAAGGGCGCGGTGGAAGTACTCTACAACTTGCAGGTGGTTTGCTGGCACTGGCTCGTCCTCTTTGCCATAGATGACAGCAATCTGACGGCAAATACCAGCAAGAAGCGGTGCGACTGAGGAAGAAGCCGGTGTAAGTCCTACAAAGCGACAAACTACTGCGGGCTTCTTGTCAAAAGACTCAGTCATGATCTGCTGCACATAGCGAGACAACAACCAAGTTTTCCCGCAACCCCCTGAGCCAAAGGCTACAAATGCTTTGTCACACCCGGGAATTGGGTCCTTCAAATACTTGTGAAGTATGGCCAATAATTGTCCTTGAGACTTGTTGTCAACGTACTTTTCGGAAACGAAGTGTGAATATTGCAAGTGTTGCTTCACTTCAGCAAAGAGCGAGTTGATTCCCAGCGATGGAAGCTTAGCCACTGAATCAATACTGGTCATCAATGCTGTACAAATTTCGTCTGACACCTTTTTCAGGTAATCAGCCTGAGCTTTCGATTTCTCCGGGTTCATGCCTTCCTTGTTGTCCCACGGTATATCATTGTATGCAACATTCTGTACGTTGCCTGGCACCATCTCAATCATTTCTTTCAACATTTTGCTTGCCTCCTGGTCTTGACCTTTTGCTCCCATATCTAAATACTGCGCACTTTCCTTGGAATTACTTGGGATTGACTTGAACGATCTGCGATAGACGATCCCTTTGTTCTTCTGCTCACCGGCATCGATCCATGCCAACCCATGGTAAATCGATTCTTCAAAGAAACTGATATAAAATCGCTTGATCCAGTGGCGGCTTTTAGCGTCTCGTAGATTTGATGTCTGATTTTTCCACAGCTTCGACGCAGCAGTTCGAAGGATCGCAGAGATTTCACCGATGTCGCCGATTGAGTTCTGTGTCGGCCGAAGCTTCAGAACGTAATGAGGTTGAACTTCATCTTGTTTGGGCTCGAACTCCTTCTCAGCCCGCACATCGTTAGTGTCCAACAGAAATGATTCAGTGACCAGCTTCGTCGAGGCTGGGTCCACGTGCTTCAGCAGATCTTCGAAGATCGCTTTGGGGATCCTTTGCGGACAAAGTCGATGGCCATATTTCTGCCCGATGAGCAAGACATATGCCAGGCCCTTGCTTTGGGCGACAGACTGGTCTACACTCGCTCGCACGACTTCTCGCACGCCTTCACTAAACAGTAAGTCTTCAGGTACTCCCAGAGTAAGGTCATCAACAAGGACTTCGACTCCAGCTCGTCGAGCATATTCGATAATGAAGGGCAGGACGTCGTCGACAATGATCGCACGCTCCCATTCTGTGTCTGAACCAGCTGATGATATGGCTACCTTCAAGAGCTTGCGCTCATCCTGCAGAACATGCTGCACGGCTTTGCCATCGCAGAGATTCCCCTTCAACACGCTGACATCAATCTCCTGGGGCTCTGAGGGGATGGAGGGGACATCCAGGGTCTTTGAAAGATCTTCTTTCCAGGGAGTTCGACTTCTTCGAGGGGCAATCAAACCTGTCTTGTCAAATAACCTGTTGGAGCCAACCACCTGGGAGGGCCTCTTTGCCGTCGCATTGTTGCCACCCTTGACAGCGGGCGTGCCGTTGCCGTTGCTTGATGTCGTACCGTTGCCATGGTTCGGTGTGACTGCATTGTCTGCGCCTGCTTTCACAGCATTACCAGGACTTGTCCCATTGACATGCTTCTTAGGGGACGGCGCCTGAGTGTCCTTTGGGGTACTCGCGCCACATCCTCCTCCTAACAGTTTGACTCTTGAGTTCAGAGTGACACCAGATGTTATCCCGTAGCTGAGCAAGGTTGCTCTGCCTGATAGATTTTTTCCATACCATGTTAAGGTCAGCTCATCGCATCGTAGAGCAACTTTGTTGAAGAAAGAGCTTCGAACTTCATTGATGGTGTCCGTTGAACAAACCTGTACAGGAATGGTTCCGAGATAACTCCGAATGAAAATCTGCATTCTTAATCGCCAAGTTCAAACGATCAAAGATATCTTCGTGTGAATCTGCTGCCGAATTGCTTATGGTGTCTGGGTACAACCGTACGGCGACGGTCAACCTTCGAATGAGCCTAAGCAGTGACAAGCTCTTCACTTACGAATGCTCTCTACAATCGTATCCTCTTTTGCCTTTCTTCTCTCCTCTCCTCTCTCTTCCTTTCCTCTCGTCACAACCCTCGGTCATATCGCGTTGGACTGCCCATGAAAAGTGACCAACTGATCTTCGTCAAGCCACCTACGACCCACCGTATGATTGACCACCCCTTCGGTAACGCCTGAGCAAAGGTATACCCCTGTTTTCATATTATATCACCCCCCGTTTTTTCACCAGACCCCTCCTGTAATCATTACCCCTACCTCGATATCCAAATCAACTTACCACCCCTACCCCCATTTCATAGACGGCTCGAACTGACCACCCCCGTATCGATATGGTAGTACCCCTCCTTGTACCCTCTACGAGAGATATGAATCACCAGATCCAACAAATATCTGATTTACAGTTAAAAGTAGTTTACTACTCCTATCAGTACACATCAATCAAATTTAAGATAAGCAAGTTGACATCACCCCCACCACCTTAAATTCTCACTTTACAGATACATGTCAGGGGTCATCTACAAATACTATTTACAATCTACGTATCCTAGTACCAATCAGTCAGCAGTATGACTTTTAATATTTTAAACTATATATACATATAAAAGTTCGCGAACTCCGATGATAGCGGGGATGAGGGCAGTCATTGCGTATGAGGGTGATGAGAATGCATTCGGTATGAGGACAAGGAGGCGGGCTTGCGGAGGAGGAAACTTGGAGATGGCGGAGGAGCTGATGGAACTTCTGCTCGACATCATGGCGGGGGGCGAGAAGGGAGAGGCGGGAGGAGAGGACGAGGAGGGGGACGTGAGTGATACTGCGAACATGGCTGATAGATCTGCGGGAGGCGATGAGATATCATGCCATGCTCAGGGAGATAGACACGTCGAACAACAGGATCGGGCGAGAGCAAAGGGCTCGGGGGATCATAATCGTCGTGGGGACGAGCCCCGGCTGGCCGAGATATCTGCTTGGCTACGAGCACATCCTCATGTCGGCGTGAATGGGAGGGAGAGATCGTCCGGGATAACGGCACTGTGCATGGCTGCAGCAAACGGACGGATGGACGTAACTAGCCTGCTCCTTGAGGAGAAGGCAGATGTGAACTTGGAGTGAGTCAAGAAGTTCTCACCTCTTCGATCCCTGACCAGATAAGTTTGTAGAAGCACAGACACCGGCAACATGCCCATTCACTTCGCGTGCATGCGGGGGAGTCTCCACATCGTCAAGACTCTTGTGGAGCATCGGGCCGATGTCAACGCGCGGAACTCAAATGGAGACTCTCTGTTCCTGCAGGCATCCTTCCTCTTCCCTTCCCTCACATCGATTGCTCTCCTTTTTCTTGCTTTCCATCTAGCGTGCTCCTCTTCCTCTTCCTCTTCCTCTACCTCTTCCTCTTCCTCTCCTCTTCCTCTTCCTCTTCCTCTTCCTCTTCGTTCACTCACAGCGATTGCTCCTGGCAGGCAACGGCCTCCAGTCAATCGCACGTGGTTGACTGGCTGCTGACTCCCGAGTCAAAGTACGTCCTGTGCCCCGACAGGAAGAAGGTGGACGTGAACAAGTAGATGCAATCCTTGCGCTGAATTGTTGTTGATCGCTGACAAAAGTTCTGTGGACTTTCAGGCAGGGGACAACGCCCCTGATTGCTGCATCGGGGCAGAGCAACATCAAGCTCCTTCAGACGATCCTCGATCAAGGCTCATGCCGAGGCACGATATCGCACGCAAACAACAATGGGAACACAGCGCTGCACGTCGCAGCTTTGCAAAGGAATGGCAGGGGATGTGAGGTACTCTTGGAGGGAGGGGATGGATGGCTCGAACATGATGTTCAACTGGGAGCAGCTGTTGATAGAAGCGAGAGCGAGTCTGATAGCGTTGAACAAGCGGGGTCAGAGCCCGATGGACATCGCAAGAGCTTCTAATGATGAAGGTGATGACCATCGCCAGAAGTGTTGCAGGGAAGGAGATGAAGTGATTTCCAGCTCTCATCCAACTTTTCGAGCATCATCTCCGAGTTTTGAATGATGAAGCTGTGAGGATCGCAAACGCGCTCCTGGAAGATGAGGAGCAGAAAGCGAGTGAGGGTAAGACGAAGAAGAAGAAGAAGAGGGCAAAGAACACGTGCAAGAAGAACACCGGTATGCTCCCTGTGCTGCTGGGGGTTTGTGATCGAATGTCTGATAGGGACTGGTGACGAGCCAAGTGATAAAGTCAAGGAAGTGACTGGAGATGATACCATTCCAAGGTCGAGCCATGCCGTTGCCGAAGCCTCTGCAGATGATGATGATGACGATTGGCGGGGGAATATGGACAGTGTTTCTGAACAAGCCACTGACAACAACACGGAGATTGGGGTGGTGCGGGCGGATCCCGAGGAAAGGAGGGAGGATCACCCCGCAGAACGGGACAGTGAGAACATGCAGCAGGGTGTCCAGAGGCGAGGGAGCCAGCGCGGGAAGGAGGAGAAGGCGAAGGAGGAGCGATCGAGACAAGCAGGCAAGCAGGGGGAGAAGCGCGACGAGCGGCGGAGAAACAATCAAAGGGATGAAGGGAAACGTGAACAGCCAGGTAGGGCGAACGTGAAGCACAGAGGGGAGGACAAGGTGGGAGCCGAAAGGGGACCCGGGGCCTCGCGAAAGCCTCATCCTGCCGGCAACTCCAAGAAGGCAGCAGGACAAGAAGCGCAGGAGGCTCTTGAGCGAGCGCTGCTGTCCGTATACCCCCTCGCCAACGATCTCGCCCTCCGTCCCCATCATGGTACTCGTGCATCCTCTCGTACTTCCCATTCCTCTCCCCTCCTCCTCCTCCCCCTCCTTGCCTTCCTCCCCCTCATTTTCCGCTCCCTCTGCTGCTGAGCTCGCCCTTTGAGTCAATATCTAACCTCTTCCCTCCCGCCCTCCTCACTCACTCACTCACTCACTCACCCATCCTGTCTCCTCCCTACTTCCTTCCCCATCCCTCCTTCCTTCCTCTCCCGCGGGCATCCAGTCATCTACCTCAGAGCACCTTCTCTGCTCAGCACGCTGAAGCCCCATCCCTTGCAGTCCTCGGCATGGAGCTCTCCGAGTTGAGCGCGTCGCAGCTGGAGGCCCTGGAGGAGGTGCGTGAGGACCTACTCTCTGCCATCGTTTGTGACCACCAGCAGGTGCACAGAAACCTCATGGCAAGGATCGAGGAAGCGAGGTTGGAGCTTGTCCGCGCGCAGGAGCGGGAGCGAGTCCAGCAGGAGCTGGGAAGGAGACTATTCTTGGAGCAGCACAGCGCAGGAAAGAAGTTCTGGTTCGAGTAGAATTGAAGGAGGGCGGGGCAGGGAGAGGGGGAGGGGCAGCAGATCAAAGAAACCGCTCATGCTCAAAGCTCAAAGAGCGTGAAATGCTCATGAATTATGTGTGTTGCCTGTTCGTAGTTGACATCTTGCTTGGTTGACGTCTTGCTTGTCATCTTCCGCTGCTGCCAGACGTCTCCTCCATCGCCTTCAAACCGCCGCATGCAACCCCAGGACTCGCATCGACAGCATCACGATGAAATGTGAGGACTGCGCCGGCGGCGGCGCCATGCGATATTGAATACTCCACATCAGTCAATTCATATTCCTCCCCCTACTCCTACACGTCTATCACATCCTGCCCTGCCAGATCGCGCATGGTGGAGCGAATGCGGTCATCCTGTAGAGGATCGAGGCCGGGGGCGAGGAGCTTGGTGTAGCGATCGAAGTAGAGCGTCTGCTTGAGGAGGAGACCGAAGTCCCTGGGCAGTTTGATGCCGTACTCCTGCCCCACGGCAACGAGGTCGAGGAGGGTTCCTGTGACTTCCTCCTCCTCCGCCGCCATCACCGCCTGCACCTGGTCGCCACTGCGGGAAACCGCCACCTCCACGTCGAGCCGCTCGATCCTCTCGACTGGGAACAGAAGTGAGGAGTGGAGGAGGGAGAGCGAGGGGAGATGATGAGTGGGAGGAGGAGGAAAGCAGGCTAGCATCAGGAGGAGAAGAGTAACCGGAAGGAGCAACCGACCCCCTAGCCCGAGGAGGAGGAGGGCGAAAGGAAGGAAGAAGATAGGGAAGAAGAGAGGAGGAGGAGAGCGGGAAAGGGGGTAGGGGTAGGAGAGCCACAGGAGACTCACTGATCCGCTGGATGTCTGCAGCGAAGGCAGGGACGTTGACGTTGTCCGTGGTGGCTCCCAGCCGGACAAGAGCAGCAGCGACCAAGTTGTAGTCAGAGACTGAGAAACCTTGAGCGATCTCCTCCACTGCCTGCCATGTCCTGCATGGCAGTGAGAAGGAGCGCAGCACCAGGAGGAAGGAGACGGAAAAGTCGGGCCAAGAGCGGGAAGGACGAAGGGGACGAGGATGAGGGTTGAGACTTAGGGAAGAGGGCGAGGAGCGAATCCTCGCGCAAGGACGCACCGAGGTGAAATTTTTCCTACGATACCAAAGTCGATAAAGGCGATCCTTCCATCTCGAAGGACCTGGGAAGCGAGTGAGGAAAGCGAGGGGGTGAGACAGGAGAGCAGGGGGGGGGGGGAGGAAGGAAGGGCAGTCAGACGAGGAGACGCATTTAGAAAGGAGGAAGGAAGAGAGTGGACAGGACGTAGGAAGTGAGAGGAGAAGGAGAAGGAGAAGGAGGGAGGAGTTTGTCGGATCTTACGAGGAGGTTCCCTGCGTGTACGTCGGCATGAAAGGAGCTGCATCCTATGACACTGACAGGAAGTGTGAGCGAAGTAGAACCAGAGGGCGGCAGGAGGTAGAAACGGCCTGGCGGGTAAAAGAGCAGGAGAGGAGTAGGGGGACGGGGAGTGGGGGCGTTCGGGTTGGGGTGGGGGGGATAGGACAAGGAAGAGCGAGGAGCGAGGAGCGAGCAGGAACCTGGCCATCCAAGTGTTGAGCGCGGTGATGAGGGTGGTCTCAGGACTCTCCGTGTAAGCCCTGATGGCGTCGAGGTCGACGAGAGGGCTCCCATAGAACCTCTCCATGGTGAGGACGCGCCTACCGCTAGCCTGCAATGAAACAGTGAGCGAGGGGAAGAGGAGGATGGGGTAAGGACAGAAGAGAGGTAAGAAATGGATCAAGGAAGACTTTTAGCGGGTGCAGAACGGAAAGGAGGAAGGGAGTCGAGGAGAGTCGAGGAGAGTAGAGGAGCCAGTAGGACGAGGACGAGGACGAGGACGAGGACGAGGACGAGGACGAGGACGAGGAGTGTTACCTGATAATAGACTCTGGGGCAGGTGACCTGGGCGATCCGGTTGCTGTTGAGGAATCCCCGGAACTCTTCGATGTTCTTCGCCTCCTTCCTTGCTTCGTCAGCCGTGCGGGAGGGGAGGGGAGAGGGTTCAGAGTTGCCTTGGTGAAGTCGAGCTCTTCCAGCATGATGTTGCGGATATCTGCTGCTATGTCCGCAAGCGACAGCCTCTTGAACTCCGGGTTCAGGAACTCGAGCACCTTCCAGGATAGAATCAGCTCCTTCATCTGCTCCTGCTCCTGCTCCTGCTCCTGCTCCTGCTCCTGCTCCTGCTCCTGCTCCTGCTCCAACTCCGCTCCCTATCCTGACTCCATTGCTTATGTTCTTCGCAGTCCCTCCACTTCAAGTCGCTCGCTCCTCCTGCTCACTTTGGATGAGAACGACACGAATGCAAGATCCGCCTTGAGCAAGCTGCCGACACCTTGCAGGAGAAGTCAACGGCTTGCAAACAATGAGGAAAACTTGAGGAAGGACGGAGTGCAGGACGAGGACGAGGACGAGGACGAGGACGAGGACGAGGACGAGGACGAGGACGAGGACGAGGACGAGGACGAGGACGAGGACGAGGACGAGGACGAGGACGAGGACGAGGACGAGGACGTCAGGAGGACGAGGAGGTCGATGAGGACACGAAGGAGGAGTGACCAGGCTTCTGGACTTTGATTACGACATCTTCTCCAGTTTTCAGCTTGGCAGCGTGAACCTAAAATCATTGTCACTGCCTTTCTCTTGTCTATCCCCCGCGCTCTCATCCAAATAGTCCTGCCAGTGCCCCTTGCGACCTCTGCTGCTCCTGCTCCTGCTCCTGCTCCTGCTCCCGATCCCGCTCCCGCTCCCGCTCCTGCTCCTGCTCCTCACGTTTCTTTACCTGAGCGATGCTCGCAGACGCCAGTGGCTTTTCATCAACAAAGGAATAGAAAGTAGACAAATCGCCTTTGAGGTCATCTTCAATGATTCTCTGCCAACCAACACATTTCAGTGGCACATGCATCGTCATCATTGCTCTCGTCCTTGTCCTTGGCCTTGGCCTTGTCATCATCATCATCATCATCATCATCATCATCATCATCATCATCATCATCATCATCATCATCATCATCATCATCATCATCATCATCATCATCATCATCATCATCATCATCATCATCATCATCATCATCATCATCCATTCATCATCATCATCTGTATCATCATCATCATCATCCATTCATCATCATGATCTGCATCATCATCATCATCATCTGTATCATCATCATCCTCTATATCATCATTCTCCTAGAAAAATCATATCGAGTCACCTTGATCTGACTGAAAGGAACGGACTCGGTGCTGTCGAGGCACTTCTGGAACTCCTTGACGTACTCGGCAGGGAAGAGCGTGGGGGAGGAGGCAACGAACTGGCCCAGCTTCACGTACGTCGCTCCAAGCAGCTCGAACAGCCGTCTGATCGTGGCAGGAGCCTGAGCAATCACATCCTCTGTCGTCGGGGCCCGGCCCAGAGCCTTGTACGACCATCATCCGCCTCCCTCCCGCCCAACCTCATCTACCTGAAGGTTTTGCAGAAGCTCGCTTCCAGTCAGCAGCACTGCTCGCGCTGCCTGAACAGTCCTCCTTATCCCGACCTGCAGCTCACAAAGTAAGGAGTAGGCGGCAGGAAGGAGGATGTGGAGCCTGCGGTGGGGTCTCGGAAGCGAGCTGGAACGCCTCCTGGATCAGCTTGTTGGCCTCCCTTGAGATGTCCTCTGCTGTCCTCCCGTCGTTGAACGGCGATGCTCTACACCAAGGTGACTTGCTCTGAGGATGCTGAAAGCAGAGACGCAGAGAGAAGACAAGGGAGGAGAGAGAGCGAGCAAACCTGGAGAAATCTCCAACTTGAGACGCTGTGGAGCCAGACCTCGTGGAGTATTGCTGCCTGTCATCAGCCATGTCAGCAAGGAGGACTGGTGCTCTCAGGCTCACATTCTCAGCCATGGCAGTCTCTTGCAGCAAGAGCTTCTTCCTCCCAGCGTCCTCGCACTGTTGTGGACACCCAGCCGACCTCCAAACTGATACGCAGCAGCGCCTTGTAGCAAGAAGAGACTCTACAGGAGGAGTGCAATGCAATCAATACCAACCAAAAAACAACAGCAATCCACTACACTGCAGCCTGAACAACATAACGAAGACGTCTCTCTAAACTTTAAGAGCAGCTTCAATCTCCAAAGAGAAACGCCATCATTTTCCTCTTCGACTCTTCCGCTCACACTCAAATCAAATTGGTTTCAACCCTCTGGCCTCTGCTTTCATCTTAGTTTGCACTGCAATGTTCTCCTCTTCCTCCTCTCTCTCTCTTCTCACTCCTGTTCTCTACACGCCTCCTTCTCGCCCTCCATCGCCCTGGCTCAATCCCGCTCCCCATCCTCTTCTGCTTACCACCAGGAGCGCCCTTGCCATGCTTGCTAGTGTCTTTAGACGGGGAACATTTGACCACCGATGGTCAAATTATTGAGTGAAATGATAGCTGGTCAGCCAGATGAGCGGACTCCCTCATCCCCACACAGCCCTCGTTCTCTTTGCCAGTTCTGTTCAGCAGTAGTCTGTTCAGGTTGATGGGCGGGGAAGGGGCGCAGGAGCGAACGATGCCTCGTCCGTGATCGACTCCTTGAGCTCCCGATGACAGGAAAGAAGAAAGAAGGATGGAGACGATCCATGTCCAAGGCACAGTTCCGTGCTCTGTGCATGCTGTTCACGTGTGGTCTCGCTGCCTTCACGACGTCGAGCTTAATGACGTACTATGAAGACCAGGAGCCTGATGACTCTGAGTACAGCTCGCAGCCCATACAGAAGTCGAAGGTTTCCTCAAGAAAGGTAGTGCGCGAGTTCTGGATAGAGAAAATCATGGAGAGCCCTCGGATATTTGTCCTGCACAACTTGTTAAGTAAGGAGGAGTGTGAAAACCTCAGGGACCTTGGGATAGCGAGGGGTATGAAGAGAAATGCTCAGTCTCCTGTCCTTGGCGATGATCCTCGGAAGCACGAGGTTGCAACGCTAGACTTCAATGAGAATGATTTTGTCCGTCGCCTTGAAGACAAGCTCGCAAATCTTACCCGAACCAGCTCGTCCCACGGGGAGGCGTTCCAAATCATCCGATACGCCCAGAGCGACTTCTATCCAGGTTGTTTGCAATTGAGCGCTCGAGTATGAATGTGATTAGAATGCTCAGAGCACGTGGATTACATCGATCCGGCAAAGAGCGATTTGTTGGGGAAAGGCAAGAGCGAGTGTTGTGACTGTTGAAGTCCTCTGAACCTGTGGTTGCTTGCAGGGGGAAACAGGATAGCGACAGTGATCATCTACTTGAAGAGCGCAGACTCGGGAGGTGAAACCTTCTTCAACTCGGTGAACACCAAGATCACGGTTGCTTCCGGGGACGCCATCTTGTACACGGATAGCCCGATCTGCGTGCTGGCGACTGAACTTGCATGACAGGTTGTGGAACATCAAGAAGGACTTGACGCCGGATTCGAACTCAAAGCACTCAGGTCTGCCGCCCCTGAGCGGGGAGAAGTGGGTCGCTGTAAAGTGGATTCGAGAGCACCCCTTCCAACAGGCCGAATCGAGCGTGCAAGGTCGGCCTCGCATCATCGGAAAGAAAGTGGACTCAGCAGTAGACTGAAGGTGACGCAGCGCCAACAACCCTTACACACTCCCAGTCTTTATCAAACGCGTTTAAGACGTGCTGCTCATTAATTTAACAAACGTACTTGGGCTCGGTGGAAGCCGTGCTGGTCACGATATTCTCGAAGTAAGGCTGCCCAGCCACAAAGTTGGTGGGCAGTTCGTAACCCTGGATGTACTGAGGAGTGACAATCTGGTTGAAGACAGGATACTGAACGGTTCCAACGTTGACAGGAAACTGGAGCTGAGCAGGAACCTCCGTCGGGGCCTTCTGGATGCAGGCCTCATACTGGTCGATAACGCTGGTGTGAACCTTGTTGGCCTCTTCCAAATACTGCGCATCCCCGCGAATAGCGGCTTTGTAGCAGTTCACGATCCACTGCGCGCGCTTTCTAGCGCAGAGAGCTGCATGACTGGAAAGCATCTTCGACTGAAGGTTAGAGATCTCCTCAAGCTTGAAAGCATTCTCGGCCGAAGCACTGGCGGCACGAACTGCCTGTTCCGCTTTGGTCTTGGCATCCTTGACCTGGGTCTCGAAAGTCGCAATGCTCGCATTGTCCGGAAGGACCTTCTTGTAGAAAGCGACCTGTGACTCAAGCTGCTTCAGAGCATCTTGAGCCTCGTCAGCACTCTTTTCTGCCACAGTAGCTTCCTGGTTGGCTTTCTTGGTGTCGTCCAGAGCTTTTTGCAGGTTGTTGCGGAAGGCCGTGTACTTCTGCATCTGCTCGTCCATGTCTTTCCTTGACTCGATGACCTCCTTCTTGAGTCTGGAGTCGAGGTCGCTGGGAATGGTTTCCTGGACCCCGACGGCTGCGATCCGCTTGATGGGACTCTCGGGATCGTAGTACTTGAACTTGTTTTTGTGCTTGTCAAGCTCTCCCTCATCTGCAATGACACCAAAATGATCAGCAGACGCACAAGATATCAGACATGCACACAAGAGCTATGCTTCCTCATTCGTTACATTAAACGAGTAGTCACATGAATGAAATGTGAACATTGAACAAATCACATCAGTTTTGAGAGACCTTAGTCAACACTACAACACAGTTGAAAGTGAATAGTCAGGTTGCAAAATCAGATCTACAAGGATGTCTGATGCAATCAAATGCCATGAACAAAAATTCCTTGAGCTCCAGATCTTCTGACGGGAAATGGGAAACAGGGAACAGGTGCGTGACATAAGCATTCAGGAGACAGAGAGATCATAAAGAACAACAAATCGAGTCGAATGGCATATTTCTCGCAGATACTGCAATCATTCTTTTACTGACCGAAGAGTCCAAGCTCCATCGCCGCATTCTCGTTAATCCCCAACGCCGCCACGTCCACCATGGTTCCTCTCCTCTTTGCGTCAACCGGAAAATTGGTTATTTGACATAATTCGCTTGATAGTCGATATGTCTCATGCTTGCAGTAATGGAAATAACCAAATTTCGACTATTTCTACTAGAATAACAGATCTCCAGGCTATCTAAAGTGCCGTTACGCAGAATGACCCACCAGGCTTGACTGGAGCCGCACCAATCGCATGGTGGGGTACCACAACGGGACGGGTAGGGATGTACCTTGAGGGGATGAGGGGTAGGGTCATTCGAAATGACTTGACTAGTGTGATATAACAATGGTGGGTCCGAACGTCATTTTAGTGGGGTGGGGTGGACAGAAGCAGTACAATTCTAGTGATTCCTCATGGTAAGGTAGACTCAAGTGGGGGTCAGGGCTAAGGGGTTATGAAAACAGGGGGGTAGGGGGTGGTCCCTTCGAAATCCGTCATCTGTGGTAACCAGATCGATGGGGGTGAGGGGTGTTCAAAGTACCGGTCTCAGGTGTAAGTGCACCACAAGTTCTCAAAATTAGGGGGTGAGGTCAAAGAAAGACCTGAAATTACCCCCTATTTTCATCGAAGGAAAGGGGTGGAGGAAGAGGTAATGGGGTGTAGGAAAACTTTGGGTGTTTGGGGTGGGTGAGGGTACTCCATTGACCGGTGGTAAGGGGGCGGTCCAGCGAGGAGAATCCGCAGGCCATGTCGGCATTCTCGCAATTGGAAGCGAAGATGTCGAAGAAGGAGGAAGGAGGAGCAAGATCAGTAGGCGTGATGAGGAGGAACGAGCTTGAGGAGGGGAATGGCGAGGGCAAGGCTGAGAGAGGAATAGAATCGATTGCCTGTGAAATGGGTGCAGCCACGAAGATCGTAGGCTGGAGCCGATGCTCGACTGGGTAGACGGGAGTACAAAGAGCATCTGATGCTAGAGAAAAGATATACCAAATGAGTACACCAAACATAGAAGAACAACATTTGGCTGAGTAATGACTACTTGTCAGAATCCATTTCATAGTTAAGTGCTTTAATCATGTTCAACATGTTGAAGGGTTGATTATCATTGGACTCAATTGCTAGGGGTAAATTAAAAAGTTTCAAGTGAGACAAACACGATACTTTATCTAGTCACCGATCCCTGTCCCTTTGATCGAGATGAGTTGAGATGAGACAAACGATTCCTTAAAACACAATATCCGTGCATTTTGAAGCTGGAAGATTGATTTCCCCCGTCTGACTTTGTTGTCTTTCTAGATGACCATGAGCAGAGCAAAGTTCAAGTACTTCGACCCGGTCACTTCCGAGAACCTCAACGCCTTCTCCGGCGACTTCGGCTCGATCTACAGGGACTACTCCATCGACCCCGTGATCGAGGAGGACGTCGTGCGCGACTCTTCGAACAAGATCCTATACAAGAAGGACGAGAGCGGCAACAACCTCAAGGACGAACAGGGCAAGCCCATCCCAGAGACCTGTGACTCCCGGTTTTCACAGCTGGGGGAACCAGCGGGCAGCCTGAGGAAGGCAATGGAAGACGCGGTCGAGGCGGAGAAGAAGGCATACTTGGCTGCCGAGAACGCCCTCAACGAGGCCAAGAATCTCCAGGACGCCGCCTTGGACAGTGAGAAGAGAGCCGACAAGATGCAGGATGATTTGAAGCTCATGGAGGAGCAACTCTCTCTCAGGCAGTTGATGATGAACGCTGGTCAAACCCCCGGTGACAACTCCGCCGTCGACTTCAAGAATGCCAAGACGCAGTCCCAGCAGGCCGCCAAGGACGCTGGAGCTGCCGCCTCCAAGGCTGTTCTGGCCTTGGCCAACGCCAACAAGCTGCAATCAGCTGCCCGCAAGGCGACCATGGACAGGATAGAGAAGACCTCTGTTTTCCTCACTGCTTCCTACGACGCTGCAGTGAGCGGTGACTGCCGCTGGTACGCGAATGCCCTGCAGAAGGAGACAGAAATCATTGGCAACTTTGCTGACTCCATCCGCTACGCGCCAAGAGCTCAGGTCATCGGAAGTGAGATGGACGGGATCACAGGGAGGATCGATGGCATGGGTCTGGCAGGGATGCCCTACGGTCAGGTCCCCCTGGAAATGTACCAGCAGGGAGCAGCTTACCCCATGGGATACGTCTACGAGATGCCTCCGGGCGTTCCAGTTTGAAAATGAGAAGGAGAGGGGAGAGGGTGCGTAAGCTCCTGTGGATGGAACTGAGACGTTCTGTATTTTCAAGTAAAAGGCTTTAGGCTCTCAACTACTCCTTCACCGTCTGCTTCAGCTTGTTCAACTCGTTCCGACTTCTCTCGAGCATCTGATGCTGCTGAGGAAAGTTCGGCTGTCCTCCTTCCTTCTCCAACACTGGGCAAGGGAATAAGTCCACAGACCTTGCTATCCCTCCCTCACCGTTAAGCGCAACCACAATCAGGCTCATCGCGCGGTCTAGCACAGTCTTGGAGCAGAAGTTCCGTGCCTGGCTCATCTCTTGGATGCTGTGAAGCCATTAGCAACTAGCTCTCAGTCGCAAGAGACTCACTTCTTGGCGTTCGTGGGAGCTGGAATGGGCAAAACTTTCGCGAAATCTTCCCTACATCGGAGCATGAGAAGCGACAAGAGCACGGGCCTCTTCCTCACTTGGTCAGGAGGAAGCTCGACTCTCCGGCATCCTTAACAGCCATCACGACCTCCGAGCGAACGGCCTGTCGCTCTCTTTCAACTCACAAGCAGAGCTCACGGACCGTCACCTTCCAGTCCATGTCCACGAGCTCCACGCACTTCTGCAGGGACCCTCCGACCGCCTGTAGCCGTCAGCTTTCACCTTGCCAGGAGGAGGGCAGCACCTCCAGCGTGTCCTTGAGGAGAGTCTCTACTTTGCTCTGAAGCTTGCGCGCAAAGACCTGAGATCGTCAGTACCAGGCAGGAGGGGGAATGAAGTTTCACCTCAGCTATCTGGTTGTCCGGCTGCCACCTTCGAACCTCGTTGTAAGCAAGGTAAGTCCTTACGTACGACTCCTTGAGCTTCCCAATCGTGTCCTTGTCGTCATCGACAAGCTCCTCTGGTCGACTGCCCAGGGTTTCTTCCCCTGCTGACTCGTCAAGAGAGTGCAAAGGGACACATACACCCACTGACCTTCTCCTCCTTGAGGATGATGCGACGGTTCCAATCCAGCAACGCTCAAACCCTCCTTCTCATCCTCCTCCTCCTCCTGCTGAGCCTCAGCTGATATTACCGACGGATCGGGCTGTAGCTGCACGCAATCGTCCTTGACAAGCTCCTTCTCTACCGTCTGGATGACATTGTCGTGGAGGAGCAGGTTTGACATCTGCCGCAGGTCCTCCTCCTCATCCACCAGCGTCGATACCTTGGGCAAGGAGATCTCCTTCTTCGCATCCCCTGCGATGCCCCAGGAGTTCTCCTGCGAGCTTGTAGTGGCAACGTCGAGTGAGAGGAACTTGACGGAGATGCGAATCTGCGCCTTCTCGCTGTGGTCGTTGCACCAAGCGGGAGGGGTGAGGAAGACCCATCCTTTGATGCTTCCTCCCATCTCGTGAACGATCTCCTGGATGCCATACGCCCACTTCCCAAGGTCATGCGAGCCACTGATGATCTCGATCTCAAGGATGTCTTGCTCGACCGACGCGATGGGAAACGAGAACGTCTCGTTCCAGCAAGGGCTTGCTGTCCGCTTCTGCTTGCTTGACATCTTCAACCGGCCCGAGCATCGCAAAACAGCGACAGAGCTCAGCTTCTTGACGGAGATGCCGAGGGTGTCAAGGTGAGATGCCTGGAGGACCTGGACGAGGATGTGGCCTTCGATCTTGCCGCTGATCTCGCTCCCTTCCGCAAAGACCCAGTCGTTGGACTGCCTGATTTGACCCTGATGCACAATGCGTCCATCCTCGCAGCGAGTCAACTTGGGGATGTTGGAGGCGAGGAGGAATGCGGTCTCTGCCCTCTGCACCAGGGAGTGAAAGGAGCCATGCTTGTAGTTGCTCCAGAAGCTGGTGAACTGCTGCTTGAGATTCCGGAACACCTTCAACTGCTCCTCTATATTCCCCGCCGCTTCTCCTTCATAGAGAATCTCGCCAGGTCTCACCTTATCATGCTGCAAGTCACTCCTGATGATGCACTGGCCGTCTTCCTTGCTCTCATATGACAAGATCCTGCCTTGCCACGCGAACAAGCCTGTCGGTTGCCCAGCACTGTTCACGACAGGAGAGGATTCACCAAGGAGCTGACAGTACTTCCATCCCTCCCACACCAGAATCCTGTTCTTGAACCTGTCCTCGTACTTCTTAAAGAGGACGACCAGCTCGGCTCTGAGCTCCAGGATATCAGCAGTGGCGAGGTGAATGGGGTCCTCTTCTTCAGCCCCGGTGAAGGAATCTGAAGAAAGCAAAGACACAGCCGTCAGACGAGCAGGCAACGAGCAAGAGGTACAGGCTACCATGCAGAGCACACATGCGCTCGATGTATTCCACAGAGCGGCGGAGCTTGACCATGGCCTCCTTGATTGCCGCGACGTACCCGGAGATGGGTTGATAGAGGTTGCTCAGCACGTGAGAGCCGGACGCAGAGATCGAAGCACGGAACTGAAGGAAGACTCTATGGGATTCAAGGTCCTTGTAGCAAACATGGCAGACCCGCTCCAAACGGGAGTTCTTCTCGTCTTCCTTCTCCTCTACCAAGTGCGCCTCTCCCCTGTCATCGTCGGAGTATCGCCAGGGATCAAGTCTCTTCGGAGAGCACGCGTCACAGAACACACGCCCGCACACCCGGCAGTGATGCTTTCTCTCATTCATGGTGAATGGAGTGCGGCACTCGTTGTTTCCACAGACCTGCACGTTGCGCTCGTTCACCCAGTGCTGACGGCTCTTGGGGGTGACGTTCCTGCGTTTCGGATCGCTCTCGAGGCTCTCTGCGACCAGCAGATGTATGACTTCCTTCTTCCATGCCAACGAGAAAGGAATCTCCTTGGCGAGCCTCTCCCTGTAGAGTTTCTCTCCGGCGCATTCCTCCCGGTCAGCCAAGAACTGCTGCGTCCTATCCTTCACGAACCCCTCTGACGCTTTCTTCCATTCATCGCTGCCGACGGGAGAGAACCATCCGTTCTTCTCGACGAAGCATTCGAAGCAAACGGAGCAGAACACTCCTCGAGGCGAGTAGTCCGCGTTCACATCTAATCGTCGTATCAAACCGCCCCCGACACACTTGGCACAGAACAACTTCCCGCATCTTCTACAATGATGTCTGCGAAACATCTGAAGTGTCTCTTCGCACTCAGCTGCAGCGCATGTCGTTCGTGCATAGTCTGGCTCCCAATGTGTTCTTTTCGGCTCGGCATATCTCGAGCTCATGATTCGGTTTCTAGTATCGGTCAATGTTGGAGCAATCGGGCTTCATCCAATTGTTGAGCAGAAGTTCTTACACTTCACTTCAGATTTTGCACATCCTATCATCGACATCATGCTGTATGCTCGTCTACACCATGTCGATTGCACCAGCACCATGATGCCATTCGCCATGAAACGTAGTGTTGTTGACAGCCACCTGACATCTCTGACTCACTCTCTGCATCGTGTTCCCGGACTCTCTTCTCGTCTGTCTCGTCTGATCTCGTATCACATCCTTGACTGCTTCATCTCGCCTTCTTCTCTTCTCCCCCCCTCCCACTGCTACCTCCGCTCGGTTCGCTTCCCCATGGCAACCGTTACTCATTTCTGGCAGTTACAAAAATAACCATTTTGGAACGGATGAAACGGTCCGATCTGCTAGCTGATGTAGTCACGGTGCTGCCTTGCTAGTTTCCGGGTCTCTCAGTCACTGGTTGCTAGTAGTCCGGGTACCCGCCCGTACCGTAGCGACGGAGAGGCGAATGCGGCAGACAGACGTCAGTGGAATGGAGACTCTCCAAGCAGGGAGAGGCAGAGGATAGAAGGGGGAAAGAGGTTGAGAGAACTTGAAGGGACTCACTGTCAGAACAGCACTCTGACCGTACGGTCAGATCCATCCGATGATCAGTTTTGAGTCCATTGGAGAGATGGTCTTACCGTGACAGTGGGTGCGGCGAGCATAGATGAATCTACTTTGTCAGTGCTGAACTGAGGGTGAGCTGCTGACTGATAATCGTGCGGCAGCTCAGATGTACGCATCGAGGCAGGACGGCGGCGGCTCTCAGTACGGGCCTGGTTACAGCACGAGCCCTCGAGCTCAGTACCTGCAGGTCTGCAAGTTTGAGAGATCGGATGCTTCGCAGCTGGGGCTGACAAAGACGTGACAGGGATATGTGCCGTCTCCTCGCACAGTAGCTGTCGTGACTACAAGCGATCCCTCGCAGTTCTCTCCTCTACTCGTCCCTGTCAGTGTGCTGCCGACCGCATCCCTGCAGAACTACAGCTCTCCTCACCTGCAAACTTCTCCGAGGAAGTACATGAGCGAGGATCGCCTCTACGTCACTGGGAGTGCGAGCATGTGCTGTGCTTCTGCGAGATCTGACGGGAGTTGCTGGCCAGCAAGCAACTACAACAGTCAGAGCATGAACGTCATGAGCTCCTCGCAACAACCTTCACACGTGACATTTCTCGCTCCTTCTTCACGGCATAACCTCCGCATCCCTGCAGTATGCCAGCTATCTCCCGAGAGACCATGAAAGCCATCGGCAGCCTCTCTACCCAGGTCACCTCCTCTCGCCCTTGCTGCCTTGGCTCATGACGTGTAGGCCCCAGCCCGAGCAACGGGAACCCCTACGAGTCGGAGCACTACGACACGCACACGAGCTACCTCAACAAGTGGTAACGGGAAGAGGGGAGGAGGGCAAGGCCTTGACTGGCTGTCAGGGGGATGCGAAATCTGTCTCCTCGATCATCAAGGAGCTCCTTGGTAGAGACTTGTTGCCTCGTGACAGGCTGACTTGATGTGCAGACAAGAGCCGGGGATGCTGCGAGCGAAAAGTATGTGGAAGTTCCCGTGGAGAAGGTGACACGGCAAGACATTAAGTGCGCGGTCAACTGATCGAGGGGAAAGATCGTGCTGCAAGACAGGGAGGTGCCGGTGGATAGGATAGTACAGAAAGAGGTGACAGCAAGTCGCATGCTGCAGTGCTGAAACACTGCATCAGGTGATCAAGGAGATCCCTGTAGACCGCCCTATAGACAGGTTCAAGACCATCACCGTCGAGAAGGTCAGAGACAAGTTGTGGTTTGAGCTTGTGCTAACCTCTTCTCAAGGTTGTTCGGAATGAAGTCCCAGTGTTTGTCGACAAGATTGTCAAGGAGGAAGTTCAAGTCCCCGTTGAGAAGGTAGTGGCCGGGGCCAGCGAGAACGGATTCTTCCGAGAGGTCCAGACGCTTCCGCTGGGAGGGCTTGCTAGGAGGTGAAGCAATGCGTGCAGGTCGAGAAGGTTCGAATCCAAGAAAAGTTCATTGAAATTCCAGTAGAGAAACTTGTAGAGAAGGAGATAGCGGTGAGCTGCAAGGGACGACGTGTCGATTGCCGGGCCTGACGTACTTGCAGGTTCCTGTGGACAAGATCGTCGAGAAAGTCGTCGAGATCCCAGTAAGTGTGAGACTCCTCGCGAAGTTCTTCTGCTGAGACTGTTTGCAGGTAGAGCGTGTGGTCGTCAAGGAGGTGCCAGTGGAGGTCACACGCGAGAGCTGCCACGTCGAAGAGCTCACGCCCTGTAGGTTGAAAAAGTTGTCATCAAGGAAGTTCCGATTCCGATGGAAATTTTGGAGGAGGACGAGGTGACTGGCAACCTCTTGCTGAACCCTGCTGCCCGTTGTGAGATTACCTCCTCAGGACGGGCTCAGCTTGCGCACCTCCAACGTACCAGTTGACTGCCGGCTGCTCTCGATGTGACGCGTGCTGGCTCTAGGGCTACCATCCTTCCAAAGCGTCGACAGAGAGTGAGGAGGCCAACCAGCCTCCGAAGGCTGACCAGCATGTCGTGAGCCTGCTCCCCAAGGAGAGATGTGCTGACAGCTGTTTGATGGTTGGCAATGGAGACGCTCGCAATCCTCAACATGTGTACACTGAGAACTGCGTGCTGAAGACACAAATAGCAAGGTACATCTCATCGATTAGCAAACTTCCTGTGGTTGTGACATCAGAGCCGCAGACTTGAAAGTCAGCTTTCAAGATTTCAGTTGGCAACTTCGATACCTCTCTTGTATTGCGATGTTGTAGACAACGACGTCGCGCTTCTGACCTGGAACGCGATCGCGACTGCGACGACCTACGTAAAGCCATAGGAGGCGATTGTGTCGACCCACTGACGAGTGTTTGAACCACCAGAGGTTGCAGATGCTGCCCCTCCTCGATGTCAACCCCTTGAGGGACGAAGACTTCCATACCCTCTACGTCGGCCCCCACTGCGCGTTCCGCTTCCCGGACCTCCAGGGAGGGTTTCGGTACTACTTCAGGGTGAGAGCCGAGAACGAGTGCGTCCACACGGCCTGGAGCCTCATGTGCAACAAGCTGCTTCCTCGAGATCCAAAGAACATATCGCAGGGATCATGCTGAAGGCTTCCATGGGTGGATTACTGTATATAGCTAACGATGATGGTTCAGAGAGGTAGGGGTGTCGCGCAGTGACACAGAAGATTTGGAAGAAGCGGGGGGAGGGTCAAGGAACTGAACATACTTTTATCATGGCTGGAACTTGCTGCTGCCTTACTCCCTCGAAGTCTCGGTCGAAGGACGAACGAGGACGACTACATCCTCTTGGCCGGACTGCCGTTGGACCCTGACGTTGACACTCGATCCCGGTCGGCCCTGTGACAGAATGATCAGAGCCTACGGTCAGCAGATGAGGACAGACGTGGGTCAAGCGAGCAAGATCCTTGGGCTTCCTGATGTCCACGAGCACCGTGTTGTCTATCGTTATCACGCGATCGCCGACCTAACAGTCGAACTGTCAAGATTCTTCTCAGTGACTTTGGGAGTTTACAGCAATGTCACTCTTTGATGCTGCACTGTCCGGTTTGATCCTCTTGATCACAAGCCCAGGGGAGCCATCCCACTTGTTGAAGATCAGCCCAAGGCCGACGGGTGTATAGTTGTCTTCAACCATCCCTTCTGCAGGCCCGTTCTTCTCTTCCACAGAATCAGCTTCGTCGGTGTTCGAGATGTTGAAATGATCCTGCCGATGATTCGTTACTTGCAAGCAACACCAACCAGGTTTACCATCTTGTCAGTCAAATCTGATTCATCCATGTCATGATTTTCGGCGGTTTGCTCGGATTCGATAGGAGAGGAAGCAATGTTATCTCGACATTCCTTGTCCTGATCTTGAAAATTGACCATCGTGCTTCGCTCTTCGCTTTCATCTTCAACACGAGAAACCGATTTCGATGGCAAGACTTGACCTTGTGGAGAAGATGATGGGCCAAACCCCCACCTAGCGACATTATCACCTGTAATGATTAAACAATGATGAAGTGTACCTTGCGTTCGCTTCTGCAATACGTTTCTCTTTCAGCCGTTTCTTCTCCGACCTCCTCCATTCATCAGGGTCAAAGTCATCGTCTTTCTTGACTTCATCGTCGCCTGAGTCTGGCTGGATCTGATTGGTTGCACATCAGAACATGTTTCTGTGTTTGAAGAAAGATCATGGAGAACCTCATCTGTTGGCGAACCCCTGCGAGCAGCAGGAGGAGGGTTGATTTGAAAAGTAAGTGAAGGAGAGGACGCCCCCTGACCCTGCTCCAATCCAAGGCCGTCATGATCCTCATTTTCACTTGTATGAACTTCATTGTTGACGCTTCTTCTCAACTCTGCCTCCTTCTCTATCATGATCTGGAACACAATCATCCTCCTCAACATCCTCACCCTCCTTACATGAGCTGGAGGAAACAATCTTGGAAACTCGTTCAAAAGCTCCTCATACGATTCATATACTGCGCGCGTTTCCCTGATGGACAGCCTGCCGTTTTGATCTACTATGAAGATACGGTTTCTTGGTATCCCTGCCGCCGCATATGCCTGAGCATCTGCCGGCCTGCATCCGATCAGATGGGGATGAGCCACGGGAGACTCACTTGCTGCAGAAGCCAGCAGAAAAGATCATAAAGTCTGGCGAACTTGAACATTGCGGGTTGAAAACCTGTGGAAGGAATCACTCGAGAGCTACAGGGTTGCGTTTGAAGTAGGGTCGAACCTGTACGATGTCTTGCAAGACATGCGTCTTGAAGTTGCTCAATTCGTTCTCTGATCGCAAGCTCTTCACCAGAGCTTGCAAAGTTCTGTCGGTAGCAGTGATGAGAGGTCCAGTGGGCAAGTGGTGTTGACCATCCGGAGTTGTGAATCTTTTCAAGAAATCTCTCATTCTCGAAGCCTTGGAAATGGGTTTCGCACTAAGCTGTTGGAAAAGATTAACAACGAGGAGATGCGTGAATGCAGATTACATAAACAACTTGATAGCCTGCTGCATCAAGAGCCGACAGCGCTTCACAAGCACCATTGTGAACCGAATCAAAGCCCAATTTGCTTGCGCTGAAACTGAGAAGATCTGACCGCAAGAGGGTACCATCAATGTCACAGATCACGATGGCTTTGTTGGCATCCCATAAAAAAACCTCTGCCACAAATCTTGTGTTCGGAGCAGATGAAACTGAAAAAGAGATTTCGTTGATCCCCACATGCAGCTTCAACTTTGCAATTTGTTCCGAAGTGAGCTTCAAGCTTCCATCGAAGAACGCGCAATTGTGATCCTCCTTCACGGACATCTTGAAATCCGTTGGTTTGCCATTGACGAAGATATCAACAGATTCGTCGCTGAGGAAGCTCTTGGTGTCACGAGCCGCATGCACATGAAAATCTGTGCAACTGTACATGTACGCCCCATTGTCACCCTGAGCTGCGAGTGAGCGAACTCATGAACTCAAAGAAACAAGGTTGCCTGATGACGAACACAGATCACGTCAGTAGCTCCACTATGAAAATCCCAGAGACGGACAGTCTTGGCAGACATCGCATCAGCTGCATTCGATATCTTCGAGGCAGCTCTGCTCCACCACCAAGAATTCTCTGAATGCTCAATAAGGGGAACAGGACAAAGAAATAGAATCACAAGTCTGAACCTGTTGGTGACTCCATCGCTCCTGTGGCTCACAAGATGGGAACAAACAGACTATCAAATACAAAATGTCAATCATTGGTGAAGACGCCCGAAACACCGCTGTGTTCTTTGATTTGGTTTCTATCGCACATAGATGTCTGCTACACCCGACCACCCCGTCCTCATTCTTGTATGTGTCGGTTAGAGTAGCGTTAGCATGACATAGAGCTAGCACAATTCATTAAGATTGAAAAATGGATGAAATGTTTTGTGGAAGTTGGTGGTGAATGTGAGGTTGGGAGTTCATGGCTGAGGAGCGAGGAGGAGCGAGGAGGAGCGAGGAGCATACAGTAGGAGCGGGATCAGGATGAGACGGCGGGAGAGGGCATCGCATCGTCTCATCGCACAAGGTGTATGGAGGAGGCAAGTATTACAGGGAGGGGTCAAAAACCCTACGTCAGGGGGTCATGAGGGGTGGTAAGGTAGGGTATATAAACCATACATAGACCTACCTTTATAAGGCGCAAGGGTTTGTGGCGCAGTTGGGAGCGCGTTAGACTGAAGATCTAAAGGTCCTGTGTTCGATCCACGGCGAGCCCAGAAGCTGAATATGGCTTCTGCAACCAAAGTGTGCGCCTTCTTTTTGCCTCCCCCCACTCCTCCCTCCCAGTTCTTTTACATCCACTCCCGGTCCCGGTCTACATCCAAGTCACTGACGGTCAGCCCTCTTGCGCCGGGCTGTTTCCTTTCCCGGTGACCGGATGTTCAAGTTCACTAGTGAGCAACTTGGGTTCAATGGTTGGTTCTCACTGTATGCGCCCGCCGGTGCGATCGGACAGTCTCCGTTGTCAGGGTCAACTTTCAGTAGCGGCTACATTCCCCAGCCTGGGCCAGTGGTTCAGCCCCCGGAAACCGTGAACTGAGTCCTCGGCGTACCGCCGGTGTTACTGATTGTAAACTATGACGGTAAAAAGGAGGGATTTATTACCGGGTACCAGTACCGTACCATACTGTTGGCTTCACTTTGAGTAAAGGATGTTGGCCCTGAGATTGAAAACTTGTTCAACGGCAGGCAAGAAACTTATCCGAGTAAGCCCTCATCAACATCAAAGTTACACCTACTATCAGTCTCTTGTGATGGTCGGGGACCTTTGACTGTCTCGCAGCCTCCATTGTAGTTGCGACCCACAAACCGATGATGACAGCCGATCTGAATCAGAATCAGCGGTTCAAACCATTTTAAACCAAGGAAATCCAAACTTTCTGGTACACCGCCCACGATTTAAACCAGTTCGATGCATTGCCGTACACCGGTAGTACATTTTCTCCTGCTATGAGATCCGACTGCCTAGCGGTGCAGATGAAGGTGGGGGGTGGTAGGATAGAACCTGAGGGGTAGGGGTGGGACCAGGTTATTGTTTTATCGATTTACTTGGAGGAGGGCCAGTCACGGAATCATGGAGGCCCATGCAAGTTCAAGCCGGTCGGCCATGCAGGTGAACTTCGGAATGACTCTAGGGAAGTTAGCAGGACAAGAACTGGGCCTAGGATGGATGTGATATGATGCTGATGCTGATGCAGCGATGCTGATGCTGACTGATGAACTGCTCGCTGGTGGTGGTGGTGGTGATGATGATGATGAGGAGGAGGAGGATGAGAATGATGACTCGAGACTGGGAGCCTTGAGCATGGTAAGAATATCTAGGACAAATAGATGTAGGAAGAGCATTGAAGAGCATGGAAGAGTATCTAAGACAGAGGACGATGATGATGAGGAAGACAAAAAAGGACGTGACAACTAACGAGGAGCAAAGAGAGATAAAAAGATGAGAAATGCTGGGGAAAAATTGAAAGAGGTGAAAAAGACAGTAAGAACGTCAGTAGATTAAAAATGTCAATCATGAAGGGCCAGTTGTAGGTTCGATCCAAATGAAAAATGCTGATTTCAGTTGCAAAAGGCAGGACATTACAGCACAATATTGTTAACCGGGTTGATAGGCTTTGCCATTGAAAATCGTGATCAGTCATGCTTTACTTGACAAGAACATTCTAAGTGAATAGCGTGATCAGTTGTTGTCCCAACATCAAACCCCTTATCAAGACAGATGTCGCTGAAGTTCTCTACAAGTGAAAGGAGGAGGTCCAGGTCGAGTTTTCATGGTGTCAACCTGGACGCATGGTTCCACTCTGCGATGCATCAGCTCGATGACGAGCAGGTCGATCATGATCGCTTGTCACTTCTCGGAAAGGCTCAGAACCGCAGAAGCTGGAGGCCTCTCCTCGCACTTGCCTTGCTCTTGGTCGTCATGCTTGTTGCCTTTGTGCTCTGCACCTGGCCTTGTCCGCCTCAACCTCAGGCCAGGGCTACCAAAATAGAAATCTTCTTTCCCCAGCACAGCATGGTATCGTTCAACGTGACCACCTTTGCTCCTCCAGCAGCTTCATGGATTCATCAGATCGACCTCTTGTCCGCAGAATGCACCATCTCGGTCATTGAGAACCTTCAAGTGTCAGTGGAGGATTTCGCCAAACTATCTATTCAAGGACCCATCCGGCTACTGGAGACACGACCTGAGCAGGATACCGCTGTTCAGGCACTCCATGGCTCAGTTCACTCCATTGACATTGAAGCCTTGAAGATTCTAGTAGGCCAAGGAAACGATTTCAGCTTCGGTATCACGTGCAAAACTGTCACAGGTATGAAGCTATATTGGTCGCTTCTGAAATTCCAGCATTATGACGAAATCTCAGACACTCTTTTTCATAGTTTTGCAGAGTCAATCAACAGTACTTTGCAAAATTTCACTGTCCAGGATGGGATAGACTTGCAAGATGGAATATCTTTGGAGCAGGAAAGCCAAACGCTCTTCCTCCGGTTGGAGCTCCCAGTGTTGCAGGATACGACGGGTGCCATCGCAAGTTTGCTGGTCCATCTGCCTGAGGTTGCGTTCGACGTTTCTATGAGAGTAATGGGCGACCTATCCATGCTCAACCGGAGCACAGCCATGGCTTCCTCGCGCGCCATCTTCACGGTTGGCTCCTCATATGGAAGCTGGCTGGCTGCAACCAGCCTCAACGTCTCTGCCTCTGAGCTCGGAGACACAAGGCACACAGAGACCGGGCTCTTTATCACTTGTGCTCAAGACGCCTGCACAAAAAGCATACTCCCGGTGGTGGAACTAGCCATGGAGGCATTGACAGCACATCCAGTGCGAGGTGTGGTAGTCTCAGCTACAGCCTCATCTCCGTCTTCTCGCTTCTTCACAGATGTGCTGGGCAACGAGCACACTTTCATCTTCACCCAAGAGTCGCACAGTGTGCCCCGTTGGGATCGAAGGAGTCGCAGGCAGTCGGCAAGTGTGAGTCAGAACGCTTCCAGCTGCATGATATCAGACATCTTCGCCAACTGGCAACTTCGAATCTGTGCTGGAGGTGACCTGAGCTCCTCAAACCCCAGAGGAAGTCCAAATCTGCTCCCATCAGTCTCACTTGCTCTGGCTGAGAAAAGCTACTTTGTGTCTGGCCAAGGAACCCCTCTCTTGTCCATCTTAGTCAACGTCACCACGTTCCGTAAACTCACCGTGCAAGATGCTCGGAATCTTCTTGGCTTCGATCCAGATCATGATCAACCCGATGGGCTGGTAGAGGAGAGCACCCGCATGGTTGTTCTTCTCATTCAAATCAACGCCAGCGGCAGCGAGCTGATGCAAGACTTGTTCGAGCTGGACTATGGAACCCTTCAAGATTCAGGCTTTGACAAGCTGAGTCCAGTCAACACGTCCTTCGCTGCGCTAAGGGTCATGGACACCAATAGAACAGTCTTGTGGGAGCTGATTGGCTCAGTCAGTAGCCGAATCCAGCAGAACCCCAGCATCATCATGCTGGGAGGTAGATTTCAAAATCGATTAGGCGACGTGAATGTCTTTGACTGGAGCAGCATGATCAAAGGAGAGGTCACTTCATCTCAACGATCCATCAACTACTACGTGAATGGTCATGACATCTCGGTCTCGTCGCAGCTCGACCTAATTTCTGTGAATTGTTCAACACGGCTTCAGCTGGGGTCAGGCGGCAGCAGCAAGGAGCTTGAGCTCGGGGGATACGTGTTGTGGAGGTCGAACAGTTCGGACTTGCACGACTGCTCCTTCCAGACTTGTACCTACACCGGCCTCACCGAGTTCTGTAACGACCCGATCCACACGTCCAGCGTGAATCTCAGCCTGTCGTTGGACGGCCAGTGGGACCGTTCGGGTTTCCAGGTGGACAGCAACGTGTCATGGAACGCTCGCAATGAGCAGTGGAACGGATCGAGTCTGTTGAGAGTGAGAGCAAATCAGAAACAAGTTCTCGATCTCGATGGAGCTCTTCGTTATCGTTGTGCCTCTCTCATCACTCCTGATGCTACTTCGTCTGCCGACCCTTTCCCGTACACCCAGCGAGTCTTGTGCGCATTGACAGGTGACTATGTGACGAACCTCCGGCTAGGCACGGACGATGGGGAGAAGGGTCTTGGAGCTGGTTGGCAGCTGGACGTAAATACAACCGCGGTCAACGCTGGTCAATGCTGGTCCCCTTGTCTAGGCGAACTGGTTACTCGCAGTCAAGTCTTGAACCGCTCGGGAGTTCACTGCTACGATGATTCACCCAATAGCTCTGATGTCAGCATGCACATGTCAATCAACGGCTGGTCCAACCAAGACAACGTGACGATGGACATGATGGTGGCAGGGGGGCTGAATGAGCGCCATCTGCTGAACTGGTCAAGCACTGTGTTGTTGAATCACAACGGCGATGGCTTGCTTGAGTGGGATAACTTCATGACAGGAATCTACATTGACAGCTCCAACAATGAGCCTGCCATGCTGCAGCAAGCCGCGGGAAGCTTTGTGACGACAGACTTGAGCAACATGTCACTGATGGGTGACTTGGTTTCCATCCTCGTTGTGGGCAAGGCGAGAAACAAGTTTAGAGGGGACGGGAGGCTCCGATTAACCTCATTCAAGGACGAGGTTCTGAACTGCTCTTGGCACAACGTGTCTTCCCCAGCCACTTGCCACTCAGTTTCCTACAAGTCCGGCATGGATTCTGAGTCATCGGTTGACCTCCAGTGGAACGACGAGAACATCCTTGTCGAGGCGGCGCTGACAACCAGCGCCCTCGACAAGCTTCGGAATGGATCGAGCTTGATGACGGTGACGAGGAACAAAGAGCGTCTGCTGAACTGGAGCTCGACACTGCAGGGAACTCACGTGACGAAACAAGACTTGTCCAACCGGAATCAGGCTGGCGTCACTAGCATAACGTCTGACCTTTTGGCAAGCAAATACAGCATGACACTCGAGCTTGCAAGGGCTGATCAGTTGACGAGCCTTGACGCTTCGGGAGAGTTCGATGTGACAATCCTGTCTTACTGGTACAACTACAGACAACAGTCCTTCAGTTCTCTCGTGAACCTGTCCATGGACGGTCTGTCAAACCACCGAGACAAAATCAGGATGAACATGATGGTCATGGGATGGGCGAACAACAACCTTCTCAACGGCTCTAGCGCAATCACAGCAAGCAGCAATGGGGATGCTGTGCTTGACTGGACCTCGTCTCTAGTTGGAGGATACGAGTCAGCACTCGAGACGCTCATAGCCAAGACAGCCAACTCAATGGTGGTGAACGGGCAGATGTGGAGTGACTTGATGCTGGAAGGAAGCGTCGGGTTACAAGCAGACCCTCACGCCTCCCTCAGCATCTCAAGGGATGGTAACCTCGTCTTCTTTGTCAATGAGGTCCTCCAACTCCAGCTGATCGCCTCCACCTCCCAGCTCGTCTTCACCGCACTGACCACCCTGCGCATCCCTGGCGCCGACGTCGACCACAGCTGGTCGTTCATCTTCCAGGTCACGAGCTCTCAGAGTGGAGTTTACGGGGCCTCGATGAAGGTCGTTGAGGATGCTCCTCCCCTCGCTTCCCTGGCACGTCGGTCAGCATCCTCGAGCATCATCTTCGAGGTTCAAAGTTCGGTATTGGTGCATGGCCCGACAGCCAACACCGTGCAAGACTTCCTCGCTCACTTCGCTCTTGCCGCCACCAGCCTTGAGGTAGCTCTCAGCGTCATGACGCATGACCGGAACCGCCTGACCTTCAACTCCACCTTGGGGTCCACCGGTGACATGCGAGGAGGCGCAAACAAGACATCCTGTGTCGAGCTGGACTTCAGCTTCATGGGCCCAGCCACGCTTCTCGCGCATGGCGACATGAGGATGAACAGCTTGAGGCTCCCGTGGGAGCACCAGAACTCAAGCTCAAGTGGGGGCATCGCGACTCTAGAGCACGTCACGATGAGCTGGCGAGAGAACGACGCCACAAACAGCATCGCCAAGACGAATGACGTTCTGCTGGGGCAGATCCCTTCGTGCCTCGTTTCCTCGACCTTGAGTGTATGGATGTCGGTGGATGCTCATTGTATGTCAGGGTTGTGCAAGGACCAGAGAGGCTTCTGCACTGCCTGCAGGCTTCAAACCACCACCGTTGTCCTCCCTGCCATCCTTACCACCCCTCCTCTCTCTCTGCCTCCACCACCTCCACCCCCGCCCCCGGTCAAGATCAACAGAACTCTAACTAGAGAAGCTATCACCTCAGTCTCGACTATCATCGCCACCTCCACCGCCATCTCTGCATCTTCGGTGGCCGTAGGGGCCGTGGCAAGTTCCGTCCTGCCTTCCCTCTCGTCGACAGGAGCCTCAGGAGCGACAGGCAGGAGCAGCTCGTTCGCGACCTCCCTGATCCTGCAGACTCAGTTCATCGCCATCACAGGGCAGCTCGGAGGAAACAGCAGCACCGAGGCCGTGTCAGACCTTTCCTCGCAGCTGGGATGGTCCAACTACAAGTTCTTCTCCATCTTTCATGTGTCATCGAACTCCACCTGCGATCGGGCCAAGCAATCCAAGAACGAGCTTTTGTCCACCTTGGTGGCTTGTGCCGCTGCCTTGTCCGCCGCCTCGCTCCTCCGTCTCGTCTCGAATCAGATCGCGCGATGTCGCAAAGGAGAGGCCTCGCCTGATCACCGCAGGATTCTTTTTCCCAAGTGGGAGTTAGCTGTATCCATCACTCAAGTCCAGGGACTTTCGCTCGCGACGGCTGCCGCCATGTCGAGTGGATGTCTGCCTTACATCATCTTCGGGGCGCTGGTGTTTGCATGTCTTGTCGTTGAGGTCTTGACCATGTTGCGGTTGGTTTGGCTGGCGAAGCGAGGAAGTATCGTGTGGGAGCAGCGGCGGGTTCAAGACACGTGGGTAGAGCTCAAGCAACAACTCTCTGAGTTGGTGAAAGAGAAGAAAATCTCGTCGGGGATTGCCGTCACCGGGACACTGGCCTCCTCCTTGGTCCGGGGCAACTGGAGTGTTGACTCGACCCTGGAGGGGCAGGACAAGTCTTGGCGGTTCATGACTCGCTTCGGCATGTTGGTTGGCGAGGTCTGCCGGCACGCATGGTGGTATGGCGTCTACTCCATCGGTGTGAAGCCTGTGCATGCGTTGATGGTCTACATGCTGCCAGACGGCAAGGCAAGGAGCTCCGGCATGACCGCCATGCTCCTCCTCGACCTGGTCCTGAACATCATCTTCACCCCTCAGCTTGATTGGCGGGCATGGGGGACACAGCTTCTTGCTGCTCTCGGCAACGTGGGCATCTGCTTGACTTTCTTGCTGAGAGCGATGGGGTTGATTAGCTCCGCTGACGTCACCAGCATGTACTTCGCCTTCGTCGTCGTCTCCATCATGCCGATGATTCTTGCAAGCCTTGCGAAGGATGGGTACAAGGCAGCCACGACAGCGTATCAGTTCTTTCAAACGTTGCAGAGCTCGAAGACCAACGACTCGTCACCAGACGAAGGCAAACCGCAGAAAGACGGCAGCAAGGAGAAGGTCAAGGGAGAGACGATTGAAACAGCAACACAAGATGTGGAGATAGGAAAGGAAAGGAAATACTCCGTGGAACATGGCATTGAAGACGGCGTTGTATACGCGCAAGATATGGTGAGGCGGTTCAGCGAAGAGGATGGTACAATGGAAGGAGACTCTGGTGATCAGGGACAGGTAGCGAAAAACTTTAACTGCATTAAGAACTGATGTTGAATGAAAACATTGAACTGATTCGGTTTGAGATCACTCTATTCTTTACACTTCCTGATTGTCTCTTCTCTCCATCTGTCAAGTATCCCATTACTTGTACATCTTCCTCGATGTTGCCCTCCACCTTCCTATCCTTCTGCGCCCTAGTTTTCCTCTCAGTGACCTGCTCTCAACCTCTCAGTGGCTAGGATCTGCCTGCCTGCCTGCCTGCCTGCCTGCCTGCCTGCCTGCCTGCTTTTGCTCTGGTTTGCGCCCATGGGAATCTGTTTGAAACTTCTTTTTCATCTCTGCCTCTCCTCTATCTTTTCTCACTCCATCCCCTTATCTTTCCCTTATCTCTCCCTGTTTCTTCCAGTCTCCTTCCTCTCCTCCCACAGGCTGCAGACCTTCATTTCATATCTTCTCCTTTCTCTCCCCACCGTGCTCTCGTTCCGACGTTCCCTCACCTTGCTTCGCCTTCTCTTCCTCTTGCTGTAGCTATCCTTGCGCAGCTCTTCATCTCTCACTCTCTCAGTGCTCCCTACGATCTTCTCCTGTCTACTCCCTTCCTCTCTCCATCCATCCCTCCCTCCCCGCCCCCAACATCTCCTTGGTTGCCTCCTGCGTCTCCGTCAAGTCACGTACAGGCAGAGGAAGGAAACCGAGAGTGTTCGATTTCGCTAAGAGGGTGGGGGTGATTCATTGGGAATGAGAAGGTGGGGGTGGTGGAGTTAGCAGGTTAGAACCATGGAAGGATGGACTGAGCGCGTTGGAGCTGCGATGGTGAGGATGAGCGAAGAGAAGTGGAGCAAGCTCATGCTTTCCATCGTCATCGACATCATCGGAATCCTCTCCTACCTCATCCCTGTGGTGAGTGCTGGTCGGGCTTGATTGTCCTCGCAGCTGTCGTCAGTTCCTCTCTCTTCCTGGTTCCTTGCTGCATGACGACGAGCATCGTCGTCCTTCTTTGAGCTGTATTGGAGTTGTTCCATGCTGAAGATGTTATCTCCATGTTTCATCTCGACTAACTTTGCCTTGATCTCTGTTCACACGGTCTGCAAGAAAGTTGCTGACATCATTTCCTGACAGATCGCTGAGTTCTTTGACGTGTTCTGGGCGCCGCTCTCGAGTCTTCTGGTCTTCCAGATGTATGCCAGCTCGCATCCAGCCGTCATGTCCTGATGACAGACGGCAGGTACGGCAACCGGATGCTGAGTGGGATAGCCTTCATCGAGGAAGTCAGTTCCTCCTTGTGCCTGCGGCCCTCTGACTTGACACTCCCTTGAAGATCCTCCCCTTCACCGACATCTTCCCTACCGCGACTTTCGGCTGGCTCTGCCAGTTCACGGTGAACCTTCGCCCATCATCGCAGGTCACTTCAACCTCTGACGTCCGCACGTGCAGGCCCTCGGCAAGTGGCTCGGGATCCAGCTGGAGCAGCCGGTCCGTCCGAACCCACGATTCAGGAGGATGGACTAGAGGCGGTCGGACAAGGAGCAAGGTGTGGCTGCTTGCCGAGTTACATGTTGGAGCAGCTAACAGGCATGGGAGAGTATCGCACGGGCTGTATTGCAAAGGATGTAACAAGTTTAACAATGAAGTTGTCAACTCAGTGTGAGATAACGTCCGATCTGTGTTCCCAAGGTCTTGCACAGGAGGAAATTACCGCAGATTTGAGAGACGTCAAAGGAGCTAAGAGGGAGGAGAAGTATACACATATCTAGTACTATGAAAGTCGGAAGCGAAACTCCCTCAGCAGGAGCTCAGCAAAGGCGACTCGGTCAGACTTAACAAGGCGCGAACTGCTCCAAACATGTCATCGTCATGGTCTTTGCCGAGAAACAGGGTGCTTTCTTTGTGATCCGGGCTCCCATCCAGGCTCGAGCTGCTGCAATCCACTGAAGCATCTCTCATGGCTGGGAGCTTTGCGTTGACATCGACATATGGCTTTCCTGCGAAGTTCTTCTTCTCTTTGTAAGGCCACTTCTTGATGCCCAGCTTCCGACAGACTTTCTTGATTGCAGTCTGGCAGATTCCCTTTCAAAGAAACAACATGTCATTGCGCAAACTTCTACAATCTCAACGACAAGTTTACCAATCTCTTCGCTGCAAGATGAAGCGGCATATTGTAGAACTGCTCAAGAAGCTCGAGCGAAAGTATGACTGGCCCATGACCTCCTCCTGATCTGGCCTGCCCAGCCTTCCGTCGGGGGAATAAGGTGATCTTGTCATCATCGACAGTTCCATCCGAGGTAACTGTGACCTCTACGCTGCGGTCACAAGCACCCTCCACGTCGTGCTCGCCCCTTGCGCGCTCGCTCCCAGACTGCAGCTTTGGACGACTCAAAGCTTCGGCTTCATCCTCTGCACTCTTGATCTTTGTCATTGAGCAAGCTACCTCAGCTAGCAGCAACGTGATTTGACCGCGTTCCATGATCCTGCAAGGACAATTAATTGAAGTCTTGGTCAGTAAGTGTAACAATTGTCACCTGGACTGTCCAATATTTGAGATTCTAGTTCCCTTTCTGTTGAAGACAATGAAATGTCAATATCACCATCAATCTAGAGTTTTCTTAACAAAAAAAGAAGATCAGCTTGAAGGCAAGAGAACAAGCCCCAAAAAGTAGATATGCATCTTAATACAGGTGCTTTGGAAATGCAGGAAAGGGACTCAATCCCGATGATAGTTGAACAGCTTCAGTGTTCCTCAATGTCGTCAAAGAAAAAGCTAACGACGCAACTATGCTATGACTAAGCATGTGCAAACCACAGAAGGAATAGGATGGCGATGATCGAATTCAAGAGCATAAAATCTGAAGCGACAATTACCCTATTAGTTCTGAATGACAGTCTCGAATAATGCTATAAAAGAACAGGTCGCTTGCAAGTATACCTCGAGAAATCGAAAATTATTTGACTGAAATTGAAACAATGACATATTCTCGTTTGTTTCTCCTATTGTAAACCTTCATAGATCAGTATGAACACTAAAATGGATCCCTTGTATTCAAAGTTTCAGGCGTTCCCTCCCGCCAATACCCTTCTAGCAATATTATGAAACTCGACTAAATTCTCTCTATGTCTTCATGACAAATCAAATTCTTCAATTCGATCACATATGAGAGCATTCCTCAGCTTTTCCCTTCCATGCTTTCATTAGCACCTCTTCCAGCTCGAAAAGTTTTCGATACCTCTCAACTCAGCAACACCAAGAAAAAAGCATGCCAGGGAGGGAGACTTCTACAGCAAACACAAGATCTCTGTCTTGGAGGACGATGCCAAGGATAGAGTTAACGCGAAACAGCGCCGCCTCCCGCCCAAACCAATCAACCGACTGCCATTGTGGGGGCCTCAAGTCATGTATAAAAAAAATGGAATAGAGTCCAGTATGTCTTCTAATTGTTGTTTGTCTTGTTTCTATCCATTGAAATTATGGCAATTTCGAGCGAAGAAAGAAAAAGACAAAACGGGGGCGATGACCACCCCTACCCCCCTTGTAAGTAACTTTCTTGTAAGTAAAAAACTATTTTAACTTCATCATCACCCTCATTTCCCATTCTAAGAGAGGGAGACCAGGCATGATGGGTGAACAGAGGCGAAGGGGCACGATCAGGGGCACGATGGTGAAGAGGGAGTCGGTTCCGATGGTGATGGCGGGCTTAGCGGCGGCTATGTTGTTCATGTTGGTTGTCCTGAGCGCGAACATGCGGGTCAAGAGAACGTCGCTGGCTATGAAGATGATTCCATACAGGGGACAGCAGCTCTTCTCGATTGAAGGTGATGACACTGAACACTCTGATCGCCATCTGTGTTCACATCGGGGCTTCTGGTTGTTGAGCTGGAGATTGAATTGCTTCCTCCCGATCTCCTCCTTCTCCCGATGCTCTTCATTCCTCTCCTTCTGCTATTTCTATCCTCGAAGAGTCTCTTCGTTGAACTGAGTGCCATTTTCAGACTTTGACAGCGGGAGGGTAAGTTTCCCCGAGCAGGGCCGTCGAGGAGTAAATCAGGTGAAGCTACTCTTGCTCCCATTCCCGCCTTCCTCATGTTGGTGTCAAGGTGATCAAATCGTTGGACACGAACTTGAACGCTCCCAAGGACCACAAGTGGGAGCATCAGGTCCACATCAACTCGGTTCCGATGCAAGAGTGGCCGTTGACAACCGCCGGCATGAAGTCAAAGACTAGGGTCTTGTCGCACCGACCGGCCAGAGGGTTTCACAAGAGGTGAGGATTTTGTCTTTGAAGCCTCCCGAGCACCTCACTCGCCTGTGATCCTTGCACGGGGATCGCGGGTTCACTCTGTGACGATGCTGCTTTTCCTAGGATGGTGGCATAGAGCCCTCGGATGTGCGTGGATGACTGTCTCTTCCCTAGCAGCTACTGTTGCTTCCTCGTGACTCTCTCGATCGGGCTGTAGATTTTTCTGTGGGTCGACTATCTTTTCGCCCATCTCGCCTGCTGAGTTTGTGCCGGCAACGGACAATCTCTTTGGGTTCGCATCCGAGGTTTGCTAGCAGCACTCCTCATGCTCGCAAGAAATGAAGACAACAAGACTAAAACCTCCTCCACCATCCCTTTCTCTCCTCGCTCATCATATTGTGGCCTGTTCTTGCTTGTCTCCTCTGTGTGGTCCCATCGGCACCCTCTGCACCTCACATGGATTCTTTGACCAAACCTCCTTACCATCCCTCCCTTCTCCTTTCCCTGCCCCCTGCCTCCCCCCTGCCTCGTCCTCCTATACCATCGAAATCCAATCAGCTCATAGCCCAAACTATCGATCGCTCTCCCTCCCTCCCCCCCTCCCTCCATCCCTCTCCACCCCGACCCTCCTCCCCTCCTCCCCATCCTTTTTGAAAAACCCCCACCTCTCTGCCCACCTCTGCCCGCACCTCCTCTTGAGCACTCCCCCCTCCCGCCCCCCCCGCCCCCCCGCCCCATCCTCTCTCCCTCTCCCTTCCCTTCCTCTCAATCATACCTCTCCTCCTCTGAATCTCTTCGAATCATCTCCGTCTGCACCTGGCTCAACCTCATTGCAACTCAAGTTCCCTCTGACCTCTGTCCTTGCGCCCCTGTCTTCTCTGCCCTCGTCGACGTCTATGCATGTCCTCCCAGCAGCTCACAGTGCTGATGGTGACCCCATCCTCCATCTGTATCCCTGTTCCTGCCTGCTCGAGCGAGAAGGTGGAATCTTTCAGGAGGCGTGTCGGGCGGATGGATTTCTGCAAAGAGATGTCGGGAGCATGGCATATCAATGGATGGGACGCGCCTAAGATCATGAAGGGCCGCAGGATGCTTGTCGATGGTAGAACTCTGCAGGAAGAGGGGTAAGGACAGAGCCGGTTGTGACGACAGGGACTGATGCTTCCCTTGGCAGGATCTGTGACCGATGCATCCTCTCCCCTGTGTATGATTCGCACATGTACAGCGTGCCAGTGCTTGACCCTGACTTCTATGGTGACATGTTCATGATGCAAGACGAAAGTTGCAAGCCGCCATGTGAAACTATTGATTCCGGCCTGCAGCACCTGCAGCAGGGGCTGAGCAGGTAGAGACTCTATTGAATGTGCTCTGCTGAGAGATGGTGCAAGCTTCTGGACGGCCGCGTGCGACCTGGCGCAGCAAGCTCGTGTTGGCATCTCAGTGAGACAGGAGGAGGACTTGAGCTTCGTGGTCGATGGGATCGCTCCGGGAAGCAACGCAGACACGTCCAGCCTGCTTCAGCTGGGCGATCGCATCGAGCAAGTCGAAGACACCCCGTGTATCCAGACAGATGGGCTGACGGAGGACGATCTGAAGAGGTTGAGGGAGCATGTGAAGAATGCCAATGAAGCGAATCTAGACGACCATGATGAAGAATGCATCAGAACTGCAGGCGGTGCTGCTTCTCTGTGTCCTGCAACTTTTGTCGTCCTCACCTGTGACCCTCAGATCTGAAACGAGCATGTAGCGGTCTTCCCGGAACGAGCGTTAACATCCAGGTCCGGCGAGCAGGTCAAGTAATTCACGTCAAGATATGGAGAAGTATCCTCGCAAGCTCTCTCGCAGGCACTTACATCTGAACTTCCTCCAACTGGCCCAATGCTCCTACTTCCACTGCTCCTGCTCCTACTGCTCCTGCAGTTTCATCAAGCGCTGTAAATTAGGTAGAATCTTCAAAATACGCACACCACTGGTACACGGTATTTAATTTCACCAACGAGGATTATCTACACGTCATAATAATGACTGTCGTCTTCATCAGAATCCTCCTGCAAATCAGCATCAGGCTATCAGTGATTTTGTCAAACCCTCTCTTGTCATACTTTTTCCTTCGATTCCTTCTTTGTCGACTTGTTGGCACGTCGGTCATCCTCCTCCTTCATAAGTGTCAAGTTGTGAAGGGAAACACAAATCGAACCATTTCTTCCTCTTCAGTCCTTTCATGCAGTTCGCGTGGAGTGTTCTGCCGCAGGGTAAGAACGGTCTAATAAGGAGATCAGAAAACCACCTCTTCGCTGTGAGCTTGTGCTTGGCGAGTCTGAAGAGATACGTAAGCTTCCAGCCTGCTCTGACAGTACGACTTACCGCTGGTGGCTGCGAGCTTGCAGGCGCCCGCCCTCGTCCTGATTCGTCTCGTCCTGATTCTTCTCGCTCCTGTTCAAATCCACATGAGTCCTGTACGAGTGTGCGAGAGTTCATGCGTACCACGTCGCTTCCTCCACTTGACATCTTCTGATACTGCGTGAAATACCAAAAGCCACCCACCAGGACACCAAAACCGACGATCGATCCGATCACAGCTCCCGCAATGCAACCATCTCCGCATTTCTTGCTGTTGCGAATCAAATGTGAATTTCCTTCTCCTTGACAAATAGCTCGATACCTAGATTTCTGTTTCGGAACCACCAATGCCTGGATCCACAGAATAAGTGATGGGATCTTGACAAACGAATTATCCTACCGCATACATAGAGAAGCTCATCGTTTCTCCGTACACCTGCAAGTTTGGGATGTGATGAGCGAGTATAAACGAGTTTGCAACAACACTCACAATTCCTTCGGGAGGGGTCGGAACATCCTTTGAGGTGACTGGTCGCCTATTATCACAGAAATGATTGAAGAAGCATCACTTGTTTAAGTCTTGTAACCTTTCCCACATCCTAGAGCTTTGATTGTATACGTGAACCACTAACTCCTCGCTCTTTCCCAATACAGTCGTGCTGGATATTGGCAGGGCAAGACGGACGGGAAGCAGAAACTTGATCCTGCGAATCGAGTTTTCGATCAAACATCGTCTTATCAACCCCCAAAGAATACCCGCTTGGTCCATACTCGATCACTGGACCACCGACCTATCGAGCACAAAAGGTCAAACACGTCTGCAGAGTAAACTGGAACAACCCTGGATGCAGCTGGAAGCGTGATGTTGGCTGCGGTCAGATTCAAGGAGACAACAGTAAGCGTGGGCACTCTTCGATCGTCCTTGGGCCATGCTCCCGCTGGAATATTTGCACCAACATTCACGTATGAGGCAGCTTTGAATTGCATGACAAAGCCCTGGCTCTGTAGCACGGTATCCGAAGGTAGAGTCAAAGTTTCACTTGCGATAACCGAAGCACCGATTGGCAGTTGAGGTATGACAGGAGATGGAGTTGAAGTCGCAGGTGTTGTTGGTGCGGCGGTTGTTTGGGGCGAGAAACTTGCACTTGTGTCGATGAATACCGAAGTATTCATGATACTTGTGTTGTTCAAATTACTCTTGACAGAGGTATCATTGTTTGTGGAGTTGCTGGTGGTACCTAGAGAGTTGCTGGAGCTGGATGTTGCATTAGTAGTTGACAGTTCGCTTGTACTATTAGTTTGGTCGGTGGTGTTTGCCTCCAGCAGTTTTCGCATAATTTGCACGTATTTATCCGGGTCATCGAATTTCCCGAGGGGGGAGGCCATGCTGGGAGAGAGGATAGCATGGCAAAGCAACAGAGAGAGGAAGACAAGGGACAGACTTTTGCGCTCCGATCCCAAGGCTAGGAGAGAGCAGGAGTAGACTCGGCCCAGGCGTCGAGCTGCTACCTCGCCGCCTTGTCGCATCTGCATACTAGATCCTCTGCGCCCAATATACGACGACCACCCCTCCCATTCTTCTACCACCACCCGTTATTTTCCTATGCTTGAAATGGATTTTGGTAGGTGGGGTGGAATAGCTACTTCCCTACCCTACCAAGTTATAAGATTCCATGATTCGAGAGGTAGGGTGGTTAGAATGTACCCCACCATCTATGATCCCAGTTGATATGCGCTCTAGTTGACTCCTCCCCACGCTCTCTCATCACCCCCTACTACTAGGCTACGTACCACCCACCCTCACCATGGACCCCCTTCGAGTCATCTCATGATGCCCGTCTACACCTTCAAGTTGTCAAATTTGGGACCCACCCTTTTGTATCCACGGTATCGCCGTGCTTCTTGAGGACTATCACTACCCGTCCCCTCCCCCTCAAAGTACCCCCTTTTCTCCAACATGATTAATCTTATCCACCCTCAAAAGTTATTAGTCACAAGTCACCCGGCTGAGCGGGGGGCCCGGCGGCGGGCCGGCTCCCGGGCCGCGCCGCGGCCCGGGTTTTATTTCTTTACTCAAAGTTATTATTTCAGTAGTGACAGTCACGTGAATGATTCCCCTTTACTCAACCCGACTGACCGTACTACTAGTACCGTGTAATACCCGGGCGCGGCCCGGCCCGGCTCGGCCGGGCCGGCGGCCAGGCTCCGAGCCGAGCCTCAGCCAGGCAGAGTCATCGGATAAGTGACTCGGGCGCCGGGCGGCGGCGGCCCGGCGCCCGGGCCGCGCCCGGTATTTCAGTAGTGACAGTCTGACGGAATACAAGTTTGTTAGACTTGTACTAGTCCAAAGCCTCACGCAGATATCACATCGACCTTAGTTGTAACAAGACAGTTTTTGCTCAAGACCGAGTTTAATGCACACAAAAACAGAATTGAGGAGCACATGAGAGATAGACTGTATGCTAGGATGTGAAACCCAAGCATCCAGACGCATCCAGACATGCCATGAGAGGACCTTAACAAGACGGCTAGGAAAGTCCCCTCTTCATCCCATGTACTACATGCCGCCTCGCCCGGCCACGTAAGTCGTCTTGGTTTACAGGAGAGTTTTTGTTAACTCGGCGCTATCTGACTGGCACGGCTGGCATACGTTTCATCCTCCCCCCGAGTTTCTGAAATAGTACGTTACATCGGACGTCAGAAAGTCACACAAACAAGAATGTCAGCAGATCCAAGTCAAGATACGATGATACAACGTCAAGTTCACAGTCATGCTGAGTGGGCAATAACCATTCAAGGATTGTCCATTCTGAAGAAGATTTTCATGCAGGGCTATTAGATGTGCAGTGCAGAGATAAGGGAGATGGCTGGCGAGCGGATGCAATGAAGAGAGATAGAGTAAAGATAAGAGTGTCTGAGAAGAGAGAAAATAAAAGAGAAGACGAGAGAAGTTTGCTCGCCAGCATTTGAAGACCAAAAGATAAATTTTTGAACCGTAAAGAACTTGTGACCAGAGATTGCTGCCGCGAGATTGGAACATCCGTTTCAAGGCATCTGAAGATAATTTGCAGTTGTACCTTGTTCGCCGATCCAGAAGTAGCTCCAGTTATGCATGCCACAGCCTAGCTCCATGACATGAAACTTCCGCCAGATCTCCTGGGAGTTCCATTTGATCCTACTCAAAGATCAAGAAAATAAGAATCGAATCAGCTTCAAGTGCGTTTCCACACGGTTAAGCAGATATTCGACCGACCAATCTGGCTGGGGAAAGGCTTGTTTTTCCTATTCGAAGATCAATCAAACAAATTGAGGCTGGGATGAGAGGCCTAAGCAACTTGCGGCTAGAGAGACCGAATGTGTAAGGCTTGATAGAAAGTTGCATGAATTTTCAACAGTAACGGAAAACAATACCAAGAAAGAAAAAACTCCAGTAAACAATTCAACTAACCAAATATAAGATCAACATGATTGAGCATGTAATCGAGGCTCATAACCGACGGAATACAAGTTTGTTAGACTTGTACTAGTCCAAAGCCTCACGCAGATATCACATCGACCTTAGTTGTAACAAGACAGTTTTTGCTCAAGACCGAGTTTAATGCACACAAAAACAGAATTGAGGAGCACATGAGAGATAGACTGTATGCTAGGATGTGAAACCCAAGCATCCAGACATGAGAGGACCTTAACAAGACGGCTAGGAAAGTCCCCTCTTCATCCCATGTACTACATGCCGCCTCGCCACGTAAGTCGTCTTGGTTTACAGGAGAGTTTTTGTTAACTCGGCGCTATCTGACTGGCACGGCTGGCATACGTTTCATCCTCCCCCCGAGTTTCTGAAATAGTACGTTACATCGGACGTCAGAAAGTCACTCAAACAAGAGAATGTCAGCAGATCCAAGTCAAGATACGATGATACAACGTCAAGTTCACAGTCATGCTGAGTGGGCAATAACCATTCAAGGATTGTCCATTCTGAAGAAGATTTTCATGCAGGGCTATTAGATGTGCAGTGCAGAGATAAGGGAGATGGCTGGCGAGCTGATGCAATGACGAGAGAAGGAGGATAAGATAAGAGAGTCTGAGGAGAGAACTTCAGATAACAGAGAGAGAGAGAGAGAGAGAGAGAGCGTGCCCGCCGGCATTTGAAACGTGAATGATTCCCCTTTACTCAACCCGACTGACCGTACTACCGTGTAATACCCGGGCGCGGCCCGGCCAGGCTCGGCCCGGCCAGGCTCCGAGCCGAGCCTCAGGCAGATCATCGGATAAGTGACTCGGGCGCCGGGCCGGGCGGCGGCCCCCGCGGCGCCCGGGCCGCGCCGCGCCGCGGCGGCCCGCCGGTCCGACTGCCGCGGCCCGCCCGGGCCCGGGTCAGGGTGACGGCAGGCCCTGAGGGCTGACCGTACTGACTCAGTGACCGCCGTCAGTGAGCCTCAGAGTCGGAGTCCGGGGGGCTTCAGTCAGAAGTTCGGCGGCTGATTTTTAATTTAATCTTTTGAGTAAAGACGGTCCGACACCTTCAAGCGGCCGGGCAGAGAACGTGCCGGGAGCGAGCCGGCTTCAAGAGTCAACGGTCCTACCGTAGTACCGTACGGTATTATTACGTAGCCCAATAGTGATTTTTAACTTAACTATGATTTGCCAAGTTGAGTAAAAGAGCGAGCGTTCATGCGGCAGTGTGGGACCATGCGGCGGCGCCCAGTAAAACGTAAACTCGCCCCGGGCGGCTTGTTTGACTCCGGGCCGCCCCCCGGCCTGCCACGGCGACTGGGATAGCGCTTGAAGAATCCGACGGCCGGGGCAGGAGTTGTCTGGCAGTGCCGCTCAAGGAATTCGATTAGACTTACCTGAGGCGGATGTGTTTTTGTACGCCTTTGAGTAAAGATTTGCGATATTCCTCCACTCGAATGGTGCGGACTGAGGAATGTGTCCGGCCGTGCCCCCGCGGCACTGCGTCGTGAGGGGATGAGAGATGAGATAAGGATGATGGGAGTGAGCAAGCTCCTCCCTCATGCACTCTGCCTGCCGTGTGCGGAGGGAGCCAGCATCCATAACTTGAGCAGATAGCAACTTAAGGGTCAGGACATTCACCAGTCACCGATCCGAAAGTCGTCCGCGAGGGAGATTGAGAGACGAAATGCTGGACTGGCTGAAGCAAAGAATCATATCATGGCTGCTCTCCAAGTATGTTGGACGGTAAGCAAGATGACCATGTTTCAACTTGTAAACTTCTTTCACAGTTGGCTGGTCATCGACAAAAAGAATTTGCAGGCAAAGACACAGGGGAAAGTATGGACCATCTCCGCGGAGAACATCCAAGTCAAGACATCCTGTCTGGATGGAATGGCAGTTCCTGTTCAAGTGGTTTCAGGTTCTCTCAAAAAGCTCGAAGTTGTTTGGCAAGAGAAACATTCGATCCAGGTTCGCATAGACTCTTTTCATATTCTTGTTCAAAGCAAGAAGGACAGCAAACTGAGTCCACAGCAAGTCAAAGATATCGAGCAACAGGCTAAGCGAGCTCTACTTGAGCAATGGGAATTGCAGCTGGAAGAAAGCATACCGGTATCGGAGGCTAATGATGACCCGGAAGCGACCAAAGTTGGCAAGGGAATCCCATTCCGAGCGTTCGTGAGGAAGCTTGAGGTGCATGTGTCCACCTTTGAGCTGAGGCTCTATGATCATGAGACGCAAACGAGCCTAGGCTTGATGTTTGACAGCTTGTCTTTGACAAATGCCGAGGTGGAGGGTTCCAAAGAGTTCAATGTGTCCAAGAGTGTACTGCTTGAAGGGTTATGCGTAGACTGTGAGAAAGTTTCAAACATTGAAGACATACGCATGCATGGCGGCAGCAAGTACATTTTGAGCCCAACGTCTGTTCAGCTGGATTTGTTCCATCAAAGGACAGGCAAACGGAACCCTGACCTACCGAACTCAGAGGTTTCCATACAATTAGATTCGGTCGACTTTAAGCTTTTCAGAGATCAGTACAGATCTTCTCTCCAAATATTGAATTTCTTCATACATTGGAGGGACGATTCCCTGTGCAGAAGTGGCAGGCCTAGCAAATCTCCAGCGCAAGATCCTCGAGGCTGGTGGCTTTACATCCAAAACGTTCTGATCCAAGACATTCGCGAGAGGAGGAGGAAGCGAAGTGTAGGCTACTTGTTGGAGCGTCGCAAGCATCGTCTGAAGTACATTCAAATATACACAAAACAGCGGGGAGAAGATCTGAATGTGAAAGAGCAGAAAGAGATCGAAGAGCTCGAAGACCAGTACGCCTTTCATGACGTAGTCTACTTCAGGTGTACTGCCTTGAAGGCGATGAAATCAAAGCAAGCGAATGTTTCCAAGAGGAAATCGAATGCTTCATGGTGGAGTCGCATGACAGCTCCCAAGTCGCAAGCGGCACCCGAGGGAGCAGTTGAAGATGCCATCGCCTCTCCACTCCAAGGGCTGTCTGCCGAAGAGAAGAAATCCTTGCTGGCTGCCTTGGATGTGCATACACTTGAAATAGGCGAGACTTACTCAAGCTCGAGCATCAGTCAGAACATGGAAAGCAGGAGATTTCATGTCGCTTTACGATTGCAGCGGTGCGAGCTTCGTCTGATAGATCAAGCTTCTCACTTTGACATCTCGTATGAAATGACTCTATCCTCCTTCGACATCATGAAGAATTCCAAAGAGACAGCCTTAGGATCAAAGATTTCTTCTTTTCAAGTCAGGGATGTACTCACTGGCCACTTGTTGTGCAGGCGAATCGAAGGAGGCGAGATAGAGTCCGAGGATCGTTCATCCAATCTGGTGGACATGGCTTACAGCAAGAAGATCTCGACGCAAAGGAATGACACGAGTGTTGAACTGCACATCACTAAGCTGGAGCTGGTCTTCAGTCCTCACATCATGCATAATCTCGTCTGCTTCTGGGAAGTTTCAGATGCCTCCTTGGACATTGAAAGAGCAGCTCGGTTCGCAAAGGACGCATATTCAGGTCTCAAGAGGTATCGGCAACCTGGTAGTGAAGGAGGGAGCAGCTTGCGCGGAAAAGTAAGGGCTCACTATGCTATCGACGTTCACGTTGCCGCGCCAAACATGTTGATCTACGAGAATGTACATCAAGACAAACTAGCTTCATGCTTGTTGCTCAAGTTGGGGGATGTGTCGGTGAAGAATGGGTCATTGAGTGACGAGGAGAAAGCGAATCTGGCAAGCCAAGAAGGGCGCTTGGAGAGTCACTTTGCAACTTTCCTGTTTCGAGTAGAGAAGATCGGAATAGATCTGTTGAGGGGAATCAACTTGAAGTCTCAGGAGACCGAGCACGTGACACCTGACTGCATCATGGACGACACGCACCTTGCAGTGACCAGTCACTTGATCACGAACGAAGTCAACTCAAACCAGGAGGTCGTAGTCGAAGCTCTGGTCTCTTCCATGGAGTTCACGGCGTCCAAGGAGTGCTTGCAAGACATCTTCCGCATCATCTCCTCGTGGACTTACACGACGGTATACGGCAGGAAGGCGAGGTCGCCGGCCGTCCTCTTGGCCGGCTGGCTCCTTATCAACGGGATCAAGTCAAGGGACGGATGGTGCTGGAGGTGGGTAAGGTTGCACAGGACGGGGCTGCACCTGTGCAGGTCAGACGGGGAGGAGGTCGCCCCGGATGAGATCGTCGAGATCGACTCGAGCTACTTCCAGACTGCGAGTGTGGAGGGGCTCAAGGTCATCGAGATCCAACCAGAGGCTGCTGGGCGTCAGGCCCTGCAGATCTTCGCGGCTCACCATCACAACCTCTGGCTCAGCTCTATACGCATGGCGCAGAAGGCCATCAACCCGCTGGTCAGCTGGGACATCCCGAAGGAGGCGCAACTCGACAACGTCATCGTCGAGCTCCAAGGAAATGACCGCCCGGTGCTGCAGGAGGTGGCCAAGGGGGAGGAAGGAGGCGCAACTCGACAACGTCATCGTCGAGCTCCAAGGAAATGACCGCCCGGTGCTGCAGGAGCAGAGCGACGTTCTTGTCCTCAACCTCTGCGGCATCAACAGCTGGATCAAGCAGGAGAAGATCGTGTCCTCGCAGACCAGGAGCAGAGCGACGTTCTTGTCCTCAACCTCTGCGGCATCAACAGCTGGATCAAGCAGGAGAAGATCGTGTCGTGGAGTGTCACGATGACCGACTTCAACGTGGAGAGCAGCCTCGTCCGCACGCAGGAGGAGGAGAGGAAGGTTGTGATGTCAAGGCTGCCGGTGAAGAGTCAGATGAAGCTGTTCAGGGCCTCTCACAAGGTAGATTCGGCGGACAAGGAGGAGCTCGAGATCAAGATGATGGCGCTGGATGTCTGTCTCAACCAGGAGGTGATGAGACTCATCTCCACCACCATCTCCTTGTGTTCCAAATCCTGGGACATCGGCAAGCTGAACTTGTACAAGATTGCAGTCAGGGAGGACGGCGGGTTTGCTCGGGCCATCTCGTCGCTGGAGCAGAGGGTCTCCCCGAGAGAAAAGGATGCGTTCTCTCCTAGAGAGGAGGAGCTGTGGAGGGCTGGGCTGTGTGGCTCGCTGTTGCCGAAGCACGCTCCTCTAGAGTTTTTCACCTCCAACAACAGCGTCAAGAAGACAAAGAATTCAATCTCTTTCTCGAGCTACGGCATCTCCATCGACTTCCTCGACGTCATGCAGGAGAGCCTGTACAGGATCGAGCTCGACGACGTGAAGGTAGATGCCACGTTCTTCACTGACGGCACCTCGTTGCTGAGGGGAGACCTCGATGGCATCCACATCTTGGAGAGCGTCAAGAACAACTCCATGTACAAGTACATCCTCACTACGTCGCAGTCTGCAGATCATCTCATCCACCTCGAGCTCGGATCGTACGATGTCTGCTCCCTTACCTTCCCCGGCTACTGCAAGGACATCAAGATCCAGATCAACCAGCCGAGGATCGTGTTTCTCCGCCGGGTCTGGACTTCTTTCCTCGGGTACTTCTTCCAGACGTTCTCGCGGGGTACTAGGGAGAGAGCTCTGCAGGAGAGGAGGGAGGAGTCGGAGGACAGAAGGGACTCGTCATGGCAGAACTTCCGCCGCAACACGACTCGATACCTCATCGACCTGCAGCACCCCATCGTGATCATCCCGCGGAACTCGTGCTCGCACCAGACCTTCATTGCAGACCTTGGGGGGATCTCAGTCATGAACGAGACATCCCTCACGATGGTGTCCGAATGGTCTGTCACCCTCCAGCACCTACGCATCGACTCGACGGAGAGCGAGAATTGCATCACAGAGATCATCCGCAACGCCAATGGAAGCGCCAAGATCCGTCCGATCACTGTCGATGATGGGAGGGGCAAGCTCGACATCGAGATCAGCTTTGAGGACGTCAGTGGAGAGTTCTCTGACGTGCAGTACGGCATCCTGTCGGCCATCCTGGGAGAGAACCTGACGGAGAAATGCGTCGTAGAGGGGGAGGGCGGCGGTGTCAATGAGCTGGGTGAGGTGTTGCTGACTATCGACAAGCTGAACATGAAAACCATCGACCATGTTCTTCAGAAGGCAGTCGACAACTCCCTTGGGAAGCTCGTCAACACGGAATGCACCATCAAGATTGCGAGCGCTGACGTCTCCTTCTACTCTGCGCTGGGGGGTCAAGACAGCTCGGGCGAGAAGGATCCTATCTTCCGCGTGTCCGGGAAAGACCTCAAGATCCTCCTCAAGCTCTTTGACCTGGCGACGGTCCCTGAGAGCGAGGATGACGAAAGTCTGCGGTGGTCGCTGGACGTCTCGTTCTCGTTCGCCAAGGTGGACAGGATCCTCTCTGTCCTTCAATAAGATCTGACGAAATCTCAGGTGCTCGACAGTCGGCCGATGAACGCCGTGCGAGTCTTGCCGTTCTTGACTTGCCAATCGTCTCATCCTCTCTCCCCTTGCGTCGAGTTGCACTTTGCCAGCACCTCGTCGTTCCACATGAGGATCGATCTCATCTTCCGTGAGGCCGAAGCGATCGCTGACGCGGGTCTCATCCTCCGCTTTCTTACCTGGCTCGGTGAGTTGCTTGAAGCTTGTCTGAAACTTCCACCAATTGCTTCTTATCCCCTTCCTCCTCCACTCCCTTTATCTTCTTCCTCCTCCTCTCCTCCTCCCCTTCCTTCTCTGCTCCTCTTCCTCCTCATCACCTACCCTCTACCTCCTCTGAATCCTCATTCTCCCCCCCCCCCCCCCCCTCCCTGTTTGTCTCATGGATCCCCCTGCTGCAGGAAAGGGAGGGCAAGTTGCTTCACGCAAGGACGAGGAAGAGAAGGGTTTCAGCTTCGCCAAGGCTCGAGCAGGAGCTCTGCTGACCAAGACCCAGCTGCAGGATGCCAGGATCCACCTCGTCACTGACTTTGCCGTTGCTGAGTCTGACGCCTTCCTGTTCGAGGGCTCTCTGACCGTCTCGTTCGTTCAGGTGGTTGACTCCTCCTCCTTCGCTCCTCCTCTTCCTCCTCCTCCTCCTCTCCGTTCCCTCCTCCTCTTGTTGACCGCCTTGTCCTCATCTTTGTCGCAGAAATTCCGCGAGTTCATGCTCAGCTGGCTCCTTGAGCAGTTCACCATCGTCTGCCACAGAGCTGCAGAAGGTCATATGCTTCTCCTCCTCCCTGCCCCCCCTTGCCCCCTTTCCCTTCTTGCTCTTCCTCGTGTCCTCCTCCACTTGTCATCCTCTGCGCTGCCGATGACTCGTGCCGGCAGACCATCAGATGAGCTACACGAGCTACGATGACGAGGTCTTCGCCGATCCCATCTGGTCGGACTCCAACATCCTCCGTCCAGCATCGTTGCAGTTCTCCAATTTCTGGTCCAGGGATCTCGTCGGCTGCATACCAGCGAGTGTGGAGCTGAGCGCGAGCCCCTTGGAGGTCCATCTCACCATCATCGACATGCTCATCATGAAGAGAATCCTCATCAACCTGCTCGGCTCCTTGTCGCAGGGGGACGGAGCCAGCGGGGGAGAGCAGCAGGAGAGGCCAAGGGATCAGGTGGAGATGTCCGTGAGGCTGCCCAGCATCTCCATGTGCTTCGGCAACCTGCTGGACGAGAATTTCTGCGCAAAGATCCTGATGGAGGGAGTGGACGGGAAGGTGACGAGGTTCGTGGACGGATGCTTCAGGATCACAGGAGACCTCCTCTCGCTGCAGGTCGTCGACATGTGCGTAGCTGGCACTATGAACAAGGACATCTTGGCTAGGAGCGAAGTCTACGATGGCGGTGCCTCCTGCCTCTCCTTCGACATTGCCACCTACGATTCTCGCTCGAGCCTCTATCCTGGGTTCGATCGCACGGTGAAGATGGTGATCAGGCATGCACAGATCACCATCCTATCGCGATTCCTCGCTGACTTCAACCACTACCTCTCCAAACTCCGCGCACTCGACGAGGCCAGCAGCATGCTAGAGCCAGGGAGCTCGACGGGGGAGGAAACGGGAGCAGCACAGAAGAGGGACATAAGCACGACGAAGGTAAAGGTGGAGTTTGAGCTTGAGCACCCAGTGCTCCTCCTCCCTCGGAACTCCATGTCAAACGACAGCTTGTCTGCAGACCTCGGAAGCATCAAGGTGGTGAACCTCTTTGTAAAGAGCGAGGAGCTGGCGCAGGACCGGATGTGGTCGGTGGAGCTGCAGGACATGAAGATGGAGTCGATCATCGAAGGCGTCAGGAAGACGATCTTCAGCAAGATAGACGGGGTTGCGCATCTCGGGACGGTGAAGGGAGGCAGGCAGGAGGAGGAGGGCGATGGAGGCTTGTCGATGCTCATTGACCTCAAGGAAGCGAAGGGGGCGATTAATGATTGTCAGTATGCGCTGCTGTTGGCAATCTTCGGGGAGAACATGACGGAGAGAAGTGAGTTGTCGGAAGATGATTTCTTTCATGAGGCAAAGTACCTGCGAGCCGAGCACAAGGCGAGAAATATTTGCGACATGCTGATGCAGGTGCGCGAGGAGAGGAGGTGAAGAGAGGGGAGAGGGGAGCCCTGGTATGGTTCAGTGGTGAGGGGAGTGTGGAGTTGGCGTAACATGTAACAAGATGAGACACCCTCTCACGATACAAGTTGTAAACGTGCAGCTGTAATGTTGATCTCTGGCTTTTAGGACATTGCGCACGCGAAGCTTGGGTCCAAGAAGCAACACATCCGCTCGCAGTACAACGTGAAGGTGAGGAGGAGGCGAAGGCGAATGCGGGCGAGTGAGTCGTCCTCAGATCGGGCTTGTCGAGCTAGACGTCCGCGTATCCCGTAAGGAGAACGAGATCGAGATGGTCCGAGCAGTGGGCCGTAGCCTGCACGTGCAGTTCGACAGGCTTGTGCTCGACCGTGATGTCACCAAGGTGGAAGTTATCGACGAGGACGACAAGCTGGAGTGGAGATGTCGAACAACCTTTGACAAGTTCGAGGTGATCGCATGCGAGGCTGGGCGGCCTGTGATGGAGGTTTTGCAGATATGGGACAGTGGAGAGGCCTTGAGGAAGAGGAGTAGCCCTGTTATTTCTTGTGCTGCGGAGGAGCAGGAGGAGGAGGCAAGCTCGAGATCATCGTCCGAAATGCACTTTGGCAGTTCGTTGAAGTTTCTCTCGTTCCCTCCTGATATCAAGTCGGATCGCGGAGTCTTCATCTTGCACTTCTTCAAGTCCTCATCCATGCACACGTCGATAGATCTCCTGTTCCGCAAGGTCTGCATCATGTCTATGTGAAATTGAGGAGGAAGTTTGGTCTGTCTGCCTCCTTATGGAGCTGAACGTCATCGGGGGAGGAGGGCTCAAAGGACAACTGACTGTCATGATCGTTGCAGGTCTGTGGTGTTGCTGACACTGGCTTGCTGTTCGGCATCTTGGGTTGGTTAGGTCGGTTGCGACAAATGCGGTATTTACTCGAAGCTGACAAGAGGAGCAGGTAGCGGCAGGTCGATTGCTCTCCAAGACTTCCAAGAGAAGGTGAGGATCAAAATCACTCCTCCGCTGAACTCGGTTTCCGTTTTTTTCGCCGAATCTCCTTCCCCTTCTCTCTCCTCTCTCCTCATACCCCTCTGCCTCTGCCTCTGTCTCGTCTCCTCCCCTCTTTTCTCTGTACACCTGCTCACAAGTTCTCTCTGTTTGCCGCCTGACTTGTTTCACGACAGATCGGAGCTTTCCGTTACAGCCTTGTACATCCCGGGGGGCTGATCGTGCAGACCATGTTGCCGGATGCGACCATCGACCTTGTCAACGACTTGTACAGAGACGACGCTGATCACTTCAGGCTCAACGGCAACGTGGATGTGTTATATGCTGCCTTCGAGGCAGAGAGCACCGTCAGGGTTGACATCGCCGAGTTTTCCCTCGTCTCTTGCTCGAATCACCGTCAAGCTTCCAACGCCAGGATGCAGATTGTTCGGCCTTGTTTGCTCGCCTTCTCCCAACAGTGGTACCAGGGAGATGGGCATAGGAATGTCGAGGGCCAGGTGAGACAATTCAAGACAATTCTAGCTTTTTTCCCTTTTAGTGTCTGTTATGTCATTCAACATCAACGCCATCTCTCAGCGATACTTTGGTTTCATGTCGTTTTGCTTTGCTTTGTGTATCATGGTCGTTGCGACCTTGATGTTGTCGTGCTCCTGCTGAATTTTCACATCTTTCCTTTCAGGCCCCTCAGCTCTTCTTCTCAGCTTCTGACTTCTGTGCCATGATCACGTACGAAGACATCATCCTTGCCCGAGGCATCTGGTCCAACCAGCTCTTGAGCTTGCGGTCTCGGGTTTTCTTCTCTTCCCCGGACCCGACCAAGGGCCACGGGGCCATACAGAGGAGCAGCTCGTCAAGAGCTCATCCTCCCGGCAAGCAGTTGGAGCAGGCAGCAGACAACCCTCTCCGTCTCCGCCTCTTCGGCCTCAACATGCGCATCACCCTCGTCGATGACTTCGTCGGCCGCTGGGTCCCGCTCCTCCGCATCGGCATCCCCAACATCCTCATCTCAGGCGTGCAGGAGCAGGTCACGTCCAAACTGCGGCTCGGGGTCGAGTACTTCTACCGGCCGACCTCCAGCTGGAGGCCCGCTGTCGAGCCCTGGGATGTCGAGCTGAAGTTCAGCTCGGGCCCGAAGAGCACCCAGCTCCTGCTGGAAGCTGCCGACGAGATGTGCATCATGCACATCTCCACTGCCTTCATCGAGTCTCTCCAGCTCACCATCAAGTCCTGGACGCACGACAGAAGGCTGTTCGCCATCCTGCGCAACGAGGATCTTGGAGACTCGCTGTCCAGCCCAGCTGTGACCCAGCAGCAGCTGCATGCTGAGAAGTTCGTGCCCTACTCGATCCACAACCTGCTGGCAGAGCCGCTGGTCTGCATCCTTGAGGACGGATCGGAGCACACCGTCCGCAGCCTGGAGCGGATGGAATTCACGTACGAGCAGGTCTGGAGGAGGAGGAGCGGACAGCAGTTGACCGTCCGCTACTCGGACGACAGCGCGCTGGACAACCATGTCTGCCTGCAGCTTGCAGATGCGCACAACGTGTTCTGCAGGGTGTCCATGGAGGTGGAGAAGACAACTTCGTACATCATCGAGCGGGACGCGGGCAAGAGGAGCAACACCTGCCCCCTCCACATCGTCTGCGACCTCTGCAGCGTCGACGGGCAGAAGGTCCTTGTGGTCTCTTCCATGCTCAGCGTCAGGAATGGCTCGAAGATCCCCGTCATGAGCGCCATCTCCCTCCCTGACCACGAGATGCTCCAGCTCGGTGTCATCCACCCTGACTGCTCCATCTCCGTCCCCCTACAGCATGCCCGAGACGGCTCCCTCCTCTTCCGCCCCGTGGTCGACGGGCTCGACTACAGCTGGTGCAACCTGCAGGGGGAGGCAATCAAGATCAGGAGCGTGCATGACGGCTCCGTCCGCTCCTCTCAGTGTGTGGACATCAAGTTCCAACGCATCTTCGGCAAGATGCTACCGCTCGACACGACGCTCGTCGCCTGGTTCACCTGTGCCTACGATCAGGACGGCGTGTTCCGACAGGGTGTGCTGTACGTCACGGACTTTGCGCTCTGCCACTACTCGAACCTGATAGGAGGGGAGCACAAGTTCATCATCCCCGTGGAGGAGATCGTCTCCCTGCAGAAGTCCAGCACGGCCTACGTCTTCCCCAACGCTCTGGAGGTCAGGACGAGCAAGAGGACGCACATCTTCCGCACGCTGCTGAACAGAGCGGAGACGTACAAGACCATCCTAGGGGTGATGCCGGAGAACAGGGTCACTCAGGTGGAGGAGGACGTGGACGATGTGGCTCGAGGCGCGTTCAATCTCTCGTCCGACGACGCCATCGTCGCCATCTACGCGGGATCCTGGTACCGAGACGTGCACAAGCATGATGGCTACATCGTCTTCTCTACCCGTCACCTCCTCTTCATGACGATGGAGCACATGCCGATGATCCAAGTGGAGTGGAAGGACGTAGCGACGGCTGAGCCCAAGAAGTCGATGCTGGTGAAGAACAACGCGATCCTGGTGACCTCCAACTGCGGCAGAACCTACTTCCTCAGCAGCAGCAAGTGGAACAGAGACAAGGTGCTGCAGGAGGACATCCAGCCGATCCTCAAGGGGAACTCCTCGAGCGATCTAGAGATGACGGCGATGAGGAGAGGGAGCGAGATCTCCGCATCGGGCGACGCCGGCATCCGCACGAGGACGATGACGTGTAAGATCATTGACCCGCAGGCGACCAAGATAGCCAACGACCCGTCGGATCAGAATGCCGTGTACGAGCGGCAGAAGCTCCGAGCAAGGGACTCGATCTCGTGGACGGTCAAGTTCGTGGACGCCGTCACGAAGGCTGCGGGAGCTGAGAGGACCCCTGGGAACCCCTGCATTGTCGAGCTTCACCCCCCGTGGGTGGTTGACAACCTATCCTGCCACCACCTGGAAGTCCAGCTGATCGACCAGACCAAGAGCGTCATCGCAGACAGCCTAGTAGCGCGGGGGGGGTCTGAGCAGATCTTCGGGGTCGACCTGCGTCGGGAGCTTCACTTGCGTCTTCGGATCGTGACGAGTGAGGGGAAGAAGCTTCCTTGGTCAGCAGGCATCCTCGTGCATGGCGACTCAGCTGCCTCCGAGCTGGAGGAGGTCGTGGACATCTCCGACCCCTCAGCCAAGGCCCAGCAGCTCGTAGTCGAAGTCAGCGCGGACAAGTCGACGGGGGGGTTCAGGATCAGTCTCTACCACCGGTACTGGCTCCTCAACCTGACGGGAGAGCCGCTCTTTGTGCGCCAGACCTCGCACGCCATGTCCGAGAAGCTCAGCACCAAGTGCCTGACGGTCGGAAGCCCCGTCGGCTTCGACTTTGCGTCTGGTGGGAACGAGCTGGAGATGATGATGGAGGGCTTCAGCTGGACTCAGGGTTTCTCGATCGACAAGCAGACGGCTGATGGGCTGCAGCTGAAGCTGACCCCCGACTCGAAGGGGAAGGAGCGGACTCAGCAGGACACCCCGCTGAGAGAGCTGTACCTCAACGTGTCGACCAGTACAGCCTCGGGTAAGTTTGACAGGACCATCGTCATCTCCTTCGAGCCCGAGATCGTGTTTCGCAACCACCTCGCCGATCCTCTCGTAGTCTGGCAACGAGCCTCTCCCTCCGTCAGGTTCGTCAACGATGCTCGTCGTCCGACTCTCTGGCTGGAGCCTGGTCAGTCTGCGCCCTTCTACCCCGAAGGAGGACGAGCCAAGTGCAGGCTCAGTGTCAACTTGGCAGCCGAAGACCTCTCCAGCAACTGCGCCATCTTCGCTCCTGTCCGCAACAGCCTAGGCCCCATCCTCCTTCGCTGCTCCGATGGCAGGGTGATCGCCGTGGAGGTCAGCTCGAGCTCGAGCTCGGGACCAGTGTACATACACATCACAGAGCCCAGCGAGCGAGCTCCGCACAGGATCACCAACCACAGCTCTTTCGACCTGGCGTTCCAGCAGGTGGATGCTAGCAGGAAGCTCGTGCTGCGCGTGAAGCCCTTCGAGACGGTCGACATGATCTGGCCCGAGCCGATGCTCGCTAAGGTGGTCGTGCTCACCGAGATCGACGGCTGTCAAGTCCCCTCCTCCTCAGCCATCGACCTCGACAACCTCGAGAGCATCGGGATCCCCATCTTCCAGTCCTCGCAGGGGCTCCTGGTCAGGACGCTGCTGGAGAAGAAGCAGCTGAGCGCGGCGGAGGGTGGAGGCTCTTTCGTGTCCGGCAGCCACATCCTCAAGCTGAAGGAGCCCTTCAGCCATCGGTTCACCAAGATGGACGTGCTGGGGCTGATGACGATCGAGCTCCTGGTAGGGAGGAAGATGATCATCGGAAGGAACCCACTCCCTCAGGAGGGCGAGATGGGCTTCACTATCGCTTGCTCAGACTCAGTCACCTCCTCCCTGGTGAGCAGAAGACACCTCATGCTGCAGCAGGACCTCGACGGGAACTGGATCCTCTTCGACCTCAACTCGACCAACGGGGTCATGGTCAACGGCAAGCCTGTGGTCGAGCACCGGCTGAAGCATGGTGACGTTATCACCATCGGCGCGAAGTTGTCAAGCAGCGGGCAGCTGCCCATCACTGTCTCCCCCTTCGTCTACGTCTACGAGAGTCCCCAGCAAATGACCAGGAGACACGCTATGGAGGCCTGCCAGCTGACCGGGACCGTTTGCCTGGACGGAGGGACCAAGAGGCTGCACATTGCGGTGGGAGACCTGGAGGGAGGGGACCGGCAGCAGGGCGAGGAGCAGAAGAAGAACTACCTGCACCTGCACAGCGTCGGCCTCCGGTTCGTCCTCGAGGATTACAACCTGAGGTCCCACACGGAGGAGATTTTGCATCTACAGCTGGAGGACGTGAACGTGTCCGTCGAGCAGGACTCGAGCTCGCGCAAGGTCTCCTTCTCCATCATGAATTTCCAGCTGGACAACCAGTTCGACCCTTCCACTCCGTTCCCCGTGGTTGTCTTCCTCGACTCCAACGATCACGTCGCGTGCAAGATCGCAGTGATGGAGAAGCTGAACCAACCGGGAGTGCGCAAGTACTTCAACCACGTGCTCATCGAGAACGGGGACCCCTACGTCTTCCTCGAGGACCGTCTCGTTGCCAAGCTCGTCAGGTTCGGCGGGAAGATCCTCAAGGAGAGGGCGGACAAGAGCAGCAACGCCAAGAGGACGGCGCTCTCGGCCAAGTTCACTTCCTCCTCCTACGCCAACATGTTTCTGCAAGAGGCGCTGCGCGAAGACATTCGCATCCTGTCAGACTTGGTGTTGAACCAAAGAGGAAGCGAGGAAGGGGCGGAGGTGACCGACCTGCATGATCTTGGGGCATACATCTACATCGACGAGCTTCGATGGAAACAGTGGACGTTGCATCTTAGCGTCATGTCCACAGGCGACGAGAGTCACATCATTCGACGTCAGTTCGGGAGGATCGTCGAGGTACTTCTCTTGCCCTCGTCTCCTGCTCCCCTTTCGCTTCCTCCTCTGCTTGCTTCCCCTCTTGCTTCTCCTGCTCTCCTACCTCCCCTCCCCAACCCCCCTCCCTCACCCTTCCTGCAGAGGCTGCTCAGGAAGAAGCGGGTTGACGACATCATCGTCTCAATCCCTCCCCTCGACAAGATCCGCCAGCTGCGCACGCAGACTGGACTCCTCAAGTACCTTCAACAGCGGCTGCTCCTCAGCCTCCGCAAGAGTTTTTTCAGCAGCAAGTTCCTGCTCAAGGGCCTCGATGCCTTCCTGGGCAGCCACTCTCACGCACAGAAGGCTGGCAACAAACCCCTGACTCGCAAGCGCGCTCTTGTACGCCTCCTCCCCTGCTGCTTCTCCTCCCCACGTGTTGTCCACTCCTCACATTGACGCAGGGGAAGGCGGCGCAGCATCACGAGCATGTGAGCTCGCGCTTCGTTGCCGTCAGAGCTCTGGACAAGTTCGGGTCCGTTGCAGGATCTGCAGCGAGTGCAGCGCAGGTGAGAAGAAGGGGAAGGAAAGGATGGTGATGAGAGGCTGACGAGGGTCGCAGAACATGGCCAGGCATCCTCTCAACGGGATCAAGAGCGGGATGAAGAAGATCGGGCAGAGCATGGGGATGAACTGATCGCTCTGTTCGCATTCTATCTCTACACATTGTATCTCAAGAACCTTTTGATGAAGAGGTCGAGCTGTTGAGGCAGTCCGTCTTCGTTCACCTGTTCATATTGTAATGTAAATGTTGGGCGATTGAAGTTGTAGATATTGAACTTGTAAAAGATACCTTGCTCTTGTGCAGCACAGAGCGTACTATAATCTCTTCGAACTCGCACAGCGCTATCTCCATCTTCTTGTCGTCCTGTAGTCCCAATCGCGCACCAACGCAGAATCAGGAAATGGGAGAGGTGATGGCTCGAGAAGGAGGTAGGAGGTTAGAGGAAGGAGGAGGAGGAGGAGGAGGAGGAGGAGGAGGAGGAGAAGGAGGAGGGGAAGGAAAGGAAAAGTACAGGGTTCCTCTAATTGCTGAACATTTCACCTCTGAGATCAAGTCGGGAGGGACTTCATAGGAGATTGTAGCCAACCAGATCTCCTTCACGGACTGAGAGGGATGAAAATCAGTCAGTTATCCTCGTCATCCAGCTCCTGCTCCTCGTCCTGCTCCTGCCTACCTGCGGTGTGAGCTCCTCATCCAGCTGGTCAGCCGCTCGGAGGGCTGCGATGTAAGCATACAAGGTCATCGACCGGGCGTTTGTGCTCACGTCGTTCTCGAGGTTCAGCCTGCAATCATCATCACCATTGGTCAGCAGCGGCGGCTCACAACCGCTTGTGGTAGAATTTTCTGATCCCGCTTCTCTGGTTGAACAGGATGTTCTTCACGCTCGGTCGCTGCAATAGCTCTCTCGTGGAGTCCACGTCATCACCAGTGGCGTACGGAAGGATCTGTGTGTGAAGCAGCTTGTTCAACTGCCCCTGACAGTCAGCCTGGATGACCCCCAGTTTCATTGCACCTGATCGCAAATGGCAAACATTCCAAACTTCTTCAGGTGTGCAATGCCTGCATGTAGACTCAAAGGCAGTCGAAGGGAGCACAGCCTCCTCTCACGAGCAAGAGCCTCCATAAACCCAGGAAAATTGTACCGAGCGTCGAAAATCCCGAGGTTCCACTCTTCCTCCACCGGGTAGATGAGGTCAGGCTGCACACTGGACAACTGGATCTGAAGGAAGCTACAAGAGTCTGAAGTGAGGTGGCACGTGCGAGCAAACAGTGCCATTGAGCTCATGGTAATCACTAGCTCGACCTCCTCCTCCTCCTCAGTGGGCTGCGTCGGGGTGGCATAATGCAGGAAGATGTCGAGGATGGTGTTGAAATTGTTGCTCAGCACATGTTTCATTGCTGTTAAAATCTTGTTGTCGGAATCACCTTTGATGTCTGAAATGTTGATCTTTTCATAGCACTCCATGAAATCGTACCCCTGCCTGGGCCCGGGAAGCGGAGCCGGCATCATAGTAACGACCCGCCCTCGCTCATCAAACTCCATCTTGTAGTTGAGAGCCGACTTGCTGCTCTTCGGCGGGACCACGTTGTCCTCGCTGCCATGCGCAGCAAGGGAGGGGAGGCCAGGGGCAGGCTTGCTTCTGAGCTCGACAAGCACTGAGATCACTACCTCCTCTGACTCTGGTTCCCCCTCCACGAGGGAGAGGATAGTAGCCTCTGGGTCGAGCTCCTGCTCGGAGGGATACAAAAACACGCGCCCTGGGATAAACTCCTTCGGCCTCTGGACTTCCTTGCCAGGAGAACACCAGATCCCCGCAGCCCCGAACCTTTGAGCCGCTACCCTTGCTATCCATGCTACTCTTTGCATGCCCGTCCCACACTGCAGGTTGTAGCTTTCCCCATCGTACCAGACCTGAGCGATGCGTCACTGATATCTAAGTTGCTGCCTGCTGCAGCAAACGCACCACCCCACAATCATATCTGCTCTCGTTGTTCTATGAACACGATTTTTTTTCATACACAACACCCCTGTCCTTGCCCTCCCCCTTCTGATTCTCATCCAGATATGCTGCTATCTACCAAGTTATATTCTCTACGCAAAATCTTCCATTATTTACCTCATCTCCGCTTTTCATTCATTCCTCATCCTGATTGAATTCATCGTCCATCTATCGTCTTTTCCAATGCCCTTTCCCATGTGTTGAAACTCCGCGTGTCACCTACTCTCACCCACATTCATCCCGTATCCATCTTTCCTGGCACCATCTTTCCTGGCACCATCCATGTTTCCTCCCTTTCCTCCTCGTACGCCGCCGCCTCCGCCTCCTCCTCCTCCTGACCTGGAGCAGCATGGCCAACGGCAGGGCATCAATTCTCAGGGTAGGGGTACCTACCCCTAAATTATGGGGTACTTGAGAGCTAATTCATAGAAACTAAGGGGTGGGGTAACCAAGGTGACTGAGGGTAAGGTGGAGTACGAGTCAAGGGACTTTACGGGATACTGGGGGGTATAAGTGAATGGAATTCCCACGTACCGGGTCTTTCATATAATCTTTTTGGTCAGCAATGTGGGTAGGGGTAATCACAAGGACCCCCTTGTAGGGTAGGGGGTGCGGAGGGTTCACGCGGCATGGCGGGAAGAGAAGAGGGACCAGGGGAGGGGGTGGGGAGGAAGCGACTCTATGTCGAACTGGAGCCTCTTTCCAAGCCCGAAGTAGACTTGGTTCAGCCAGATGGATCGGTCACCCTCCTCCCGCCCGAGAATCCCGAGGAAGTGTTCGCAAAGAAGGTTGCCTTCATGAGGTTCAGGGAGGAGGAGCAGAAGAAGAAGTCGGAGGAGTCAGCGGAATCAGACAAGAAGCCTGAACAGGTGACATTTTGTTCTTCTATACAGAGATTCTTGTTGGGTAGTCGACGACATGTTCACCGTGACTCTTCGTGCCCAGGGAACTTTCCTCTGGAAGGAAGCGGTGGACGGGATCCGAGCGTCGGCCCATCATACATTACAGCTGTCTGCCTTTCTTGACCTGCTATCGAAGAAGTATTTACTCACAGTCAAAATTTCTCAGTTGTTCCTCACATGCCTCATTCAGAATCTTGACTTTAGCGTCGAGCGGACAACCACACTTCTTCAACCCCATTGCAACCACTGAAGCAAAACTTGCAAAGTTCGAGCGAGCGCATACTTACTTGTCGACAACGATGTCCCGATTGCAGGAAGAATTGAAGGTTGGTTGGTGGATTACTGGAAATAGGCCGTGGATTGATAAATCCGTGCCTTGGCAGATCGACTCGAAGTTTGTAACTAGTTTGGGTCACATCAGCGAAAAGTGGAATGTTAAGCCTCTCGGACGAAGTTCGAGTGTCTCTCGTTTGCCGGTAAGTTGCTGCATGACTGAAAGGACGGATGGCATGGGTTATGGTTCTTAGGGGCCTATCGGAGCTCTTGGTATCTCGTTGAGCCTCGCTTCCTCGGGATCAAACTTCAACGAAGAGTTTGAATGCGTGATTCTACGATCCTCACAAGGACTGATCAAGGTCATTCTGTTCTAGTCTTGACAACGGCAAAACTCTTACTTTGTTCTAGGCAAGCATGAATGAGCAGTTCCAGTGTAGCAGAATCTTCTTCGTGTGAGTCTTGATATTCTACTCTGTCGCATTCAGTAATTTTGGTTGCCTATGCAGAATGGATCCCAGCTACATCCCTGGAAACGACACACGCAAATTCAAAGTCGTAGTCAGCAGCGGGTTTCCATCTGTGAGCTAATTTTTTTTTGCAGCCCCCCGAGGGATATCTCCCTGTACCCAACAAGTCGACAAACCTGGATCAATATTTGTAAGCCAAACTGCACAGAAGTTTTGTGTTTCTTTTTGATCCTTATTCGCATAGATTCATGGCGCTATCTTCGATAGTTGCAAAAGAATTGTTTCGTGCGCTCTCGATAGAGGCGCTGGGTCAACTTCCCAACAGTGCAGCTGTAAATGTGAACGGGTAAGTCCTTTTTACGGCATTGTTAAGCATGCATTTATGCATTTGGCAGAGATTGTGTGGCATGCGGGCCTATATTAGCTTTGCTACAGTCTGCACCGATAAATGCAGAGCAAGAGCGGAAGGACAAAGATGGACAGGTGATTCTATCCATGTAAGTGTACAGCTTTAACATTCCTGCGTGTCATTAGAAGGATACCAAGCAGGATGTCGAGGTTGTTGAGGTCAATGGGCATCTTGATCAAAATGTGTGTAGCCGCATTTGTTTTGTCGAATATCATGTGGATCTTACATATCTGTTTTCGTTGCTCACAGACCGAAGAGCCTGCCAGCGAACCACCTGAAAGTGTAGATAAAGAAGTGAACGGTGAGATAACCACCGAGAAGGTCGAATCCAGCGAGATGGAGACAGATCTAGTCGATATAACGGAAGAATCGTCTACACCTCAAGAATTCGCCGGTGCTGGAAGTACTCTTCTTGAAATAGTAGCTAGACAATTCTTGAGGTCAGAGTCGAAAACGGGATACACTCCTCTGACCTTTTCCCAGGCATTCTCATAAACAAAGACTAAAGCCGAAACCGAGCCAAGGTATTTCATGAAAAGTCATATTTTCGAGCAACAAGTTTTACTCGATGTCAAGGAGGACATGTACCTCGCAAGCCTCAGGTTCCACCTCAGGTTGAGATTTGTTTGTTGGTTTCCGTACTTGCCGTTTATTAGTGGTTCAGCTACCTTCCCTTGGAATCCTGCCAGCTTTAGACGTCATCGCGAGACACCATCGGTAGATTACTTCCTCAATCTAAATCATTGCACGTTTAATGGCCTTCTGTCCAGTTTCCGAAGCTCTCTTTTGGAAGCAATCGACACTTGTGCGAATCTTCCGATCCTAGGAAAGATTCTGCTTGCTAAGTTGCATTGTCATCGATCAGAGAGAGTATGTCATGCTTTTCATCGCTACAATGTTGACTTGTTCTGCAGGCAAATGTCTCGCGTATGTGTCTTGAACTCTTCAACCCTCTACTATCTCCCCCCGATAATGGTATCCATCAAGGTTTCTACTCATTTGTTAATTGACGATCATCAACAGAAAATACGATTGCTGTAACTGCCAAACCAAACAATGTTCAAATTGATGTTATTCTGCGAAATTCTGAAGCATCGGTCAGTTTGGCCCTCTTCTCCAAGCAAACTGATCTTCTATCCTACAGGTATCTGTTTCACCAGCCATTGTGGCTCCTGGCAGACTGGTGGAAAGGTATTTCCAGGATGTAGAGTAGCGCGTTTGATGACGCGCATTGCAGGAATATGTTTACTTCGACGGCTCCTTTGAAATACTTCATCGAGAACAATATGGCGATTCTATTTTTCCAGGTTCTGCAGTCTTTCAGAGCACACTACGTTGCTCACCCATTCTGCAAGATTTTGCAAAAAGAGGCTGAAGCTTGGAGTTGTGCTACAGTGTTTCCTCCAATCATTTTGGAAGAAGTGAGTTTTCGAACTGAGTGTCTGGGATCATTGATCCAGCACATACAGGAAAGCACTGCAGATTTGATGTTTCGTCTGATTGTTTGGCCGCCGGCTGCTGAACGTGGCGACGAGGACGAGCGATATAAGGTTGATGAAACTTATATTTGCGAGATTACTAATTTTGTTCAAGATGATCGAGTACAGCATTCAACGCGACGTGGAACGGCTAACAGTGTCAAGGTCGAGCAATTGATATCATTGCTCCTCTTTGACGCTTATGAGCAGTTTTGCTGATGAAGCCTCTCCTGCGCAGTGGGTCATGGGATGGCATGAGGTCTGATCCTTGGAGGGCTTGAGAACGTTCCGCAGCTGACATGCGGTTCTGCTGCAGTTCAAAGGGAGAGATTGGCGGGACAAGTTTCGGAGGTGATGAACCCTCTGATTACAGACATGTTCTTACGTGGTGTGCAGGATCGCACTGTTGTGGTGAGAAGCCAAGCGAACAAGCAACGACGTCCCTCTTTAATATTTTTGAGCCGATTAAAATGAACATACCCGTGCAAAGTCAGATGCAAGGTTCAATGCTGACCAGAACTGTCAGCGGATTCTCGGATTTGATAGCTCTAATATCCCGCCACTCATCTCACTTTCATTTTTGTTCATCGTATCAATGCTTGCCTCTTCCTCCTCCCCTCGTTCCCTACCTCTTCCTCCTCCCCTCGTTCCCTACCTCTTCCTCCTCAGCATCGTGTTTCATCCCGCCACCCAGTCACATTTCCATTCGTCCAGACACAAATGGCACTACCCCACCCCTATGGCTCCCTCTGATTTCACCAACATTCATGGGTGTCCCTCCTCCACTTCAACCACCTGTGCAGCTTGTTCTCCGTCAGACCTCCTTCTCCTCCTGTCATGGGACAGGTCAGAGCTGACCTTCTTTCGCTCTCCATCCTCTTCGCCGCATGTCTTGCAAGATCAGAGAGCCACTTTGAGGTGCTAACGCCGTACGAGGGAGAAATCTTCGACCATGCTGATGCCTACTTTGAGTACAATCTACATGGTCACTTCGCAGGGTATCAGGTCTTGATTGCCATCAACGGAAACGAAATCATGCGCACACGGGAAGTTCACGTCAGAGTTGGCGTGCCAGGGCTGCCAGCAGGGCTTCATCATCTTCTTTTGCAAGTGTTGGATGACACAGGCAAGCCGGGGTTGCTTGATCACTACACCGCCTTCGAGATCACGAGGCTGCAAGCTCCTGAGAGCATCATCCCCATCCCTGAAGGAGCGGTTGGGATTCGCAGCGAAGAGCTCCCCATCGATCCCTCCATGGACTTCGCACGATATTCTCCCAAGGTGCAAGAAATGCTCTACAACCATCAGCATCCACCCCAAACTTCATGTCGTTCGATGCCCTTCTTGATATGGGAGCCCTGGGGTATCGTTGGTTTCGGTGCACAGCTGCTTGGGTTGCGCGTAGCGATGTCTCTCGGTCTACAAACACAGCGTGTCGTTGTAGGGAATCCTGACTGGGAGAACAACCTGGTCAACTCTGAGTTGAAGTGGCGCTTCAACCTGACAGAGAGCAATCAAGGTTCTCCATGGGGTGAGCTTGGCTCCCTCCAAGAGCTATCCTGGTGTGCATCCTCCTCCAATGTCCTCGAAAGCGTGCGGGCCCTGCCTGGAGTGGATATGAATGACATCTCCATATCCAACGTGCGGGTCTCCGGGGATCTCTGGGGAGTTGAGAATCGAGAGCGCATCTTCGAGATGCCTGAAGTCGCCATGAAGCTCCTCCCTGAACCTCCCAATCTGTTCTGGTGGTGGACTGAGACGACGCATTACCTCCATCGGCCAAAACCAAAGTTGGGGAGCTTCATCGAAGCTCAAAAGAAGCTCATGGGATGGGAGCATCCTATCATCGGCATCCACATGAGGCTCGGGGTGGATAAGAACCGAGAAGCACAGCGCTTCCCGACCAAGTACTACATTCACGAGGCTAGGCGCATCCGCAAGCTCTTTGGGGGTGTTGGGACAATCTTCGTATGTTCTGATCGGAAGAGTGCCGTGACAAAGATGATCTCAGAGTACGGAAAGGAGTTTCGGATCATCACTCAGCCCAAGGTGGAAGGTGCTCTACCCATGGAGTATGTGCATACTGATCTCGCGCTGCTCGGAGAGTGTGACTACCTGATCTTCACCTTCAGCTCCAACTTCGGGATGGCAGCCTTCTACCTTAATTCCTTCCTTCATGGACACAGGCCGACGTACGTCTCCATGGACGATCTGTTCGAGGGGTTCCGCTACTATGGGCATCAGATGACACTAACGTTCAACCATCAGAATGGCGTGAGCGAGCTCGGCGTTAGGGTCTGCGCATCGCAGTTGACAGCGGGCAATCAAACATTGTTGTTGATCGATGATAAGAGAGACTCGGCTGTCGAGATTTGTGCCAATTTGTTGGGGGAGGAATACTGCAAATCCCCGAGGACGCTGAAAGATCAGGAGACAGGGACTATTCTTTGGGATTCCGACAGTTGCACCGTCGCAGAAGACTGGGATGCTTGCACAGAGAGACTGCACGATACTTATCGAAGTATAGTTGCTCAAGCGGACAAAGTGCGCGAGAAGGGAGATTGCGAAGAGGAATGCGACGACAAGAGTTGTTCATCACTATCTGAAGGCAATCGCAGAGTGTTGGGATTTGGCTTCAGAATACCCAATGATGAATTGTGATTTACATGGAATCTTTCTCTCTCGAAACTTAGAAACACTACTCGGCATCTAAAGTATCCGCGTTTTCCTTGATGTACTCTAACAAGAAGGAGAGCCCCTCCGACTGAAGATGGTATATTCACTATCATGAAAAGGCAGCAAGAAAAGAGCACTTTTACCTGTTCTCCGAATTCCTTGATGGAAATGGATGAAGCGCTGCAGCTCTTCTTGGGATCACCGGCTGCGTCGAGCCGCACCTGCCCTGCCCACTTTCCTAGGTCGGCCTTGGAGGGTACTTTTATCAAGTAGACGCCCTTCTCTTTGCACAGAGCTTTCACAAGTTTGACGTAGGTATCTAAGAACGAAAATAGTCAGCTGCAAATCGGAAAACCTCCCTGCATGAACCGTTGTCGCAATCTTCAGCAAGAATCACCAACTGAGCGTCCCCTCGCTCTAGAGACTGAAACAAGCAACGTGAGGTTGCATCAACCCACGAAACAAAAATATTCTTCTCCTAGCCACAATCACAATCAATTTACCTGGCATACTTCCTTCAAGCCACGTGCCAATCCAGAGTGAATGTCAGCGTAATGCAAAACCTGAAAGGGAGAATTGAGTATACTTCCGTTGCCACATTTCAATCATACCTCCTTGATTGCCTTCTCTAGAGTCATGATACCATCACTCACATCCTCGCCCTCGCCCTCGCCCTCGCCCTCGCCCTCGCCCTCTCCCATCTCCTCTCCCTCTTCCGCCTCCTCATCTTCCCCACCACCCCGGAGTATCAATCGTCCTCCTGCCGACGAAGGCAAGAAAACACCTGCAGTTCTCAGCAGTGGGTGCTTCAGAGGGATACAAGCTCCTGTTCTTCCCTCAGCCCCTCCTTGTGTCATCACCAGAAACGCCACCATTAACATCAGCCTCATCGTCCCCACTGCCATGGCCGCGCCGCTCTCAACTCGATGTTCCACATCCCCTCATAGCCCACCCCGCTAGCACCAGTGTGCTGCGGTTCTGAGTGCTACCGGACTGCAGGGCCCCGGGCCCGGCCATGGCATTCACTACGGCAGTACCGTACTGCTGCCCTGCCATCACTACAAGACAAGTACTGTTGCCTTGTATACTGCTGATCAGTACATAGTACTGTAAATAAAAACAAATCAGTACTGACTTCCTAGCAGCTCAGTAAAATTTCTAAAATATTTTAGTTACAACAATATTTTTTTAGATAGAGAATACTGTTCATGGTTGACATGCTATCATTTGGTAGCAAATGTGAAAGAACTCAAAGACCCAGGTATGTAAGAAGTGTACCAGCATTTCGATGCGGTATTACGGTAGTACCTGATGGAACCGTACTGCGACAAAGCTTGCGTGATACGAAAAGTGCTAATGACCTCATGATAAGTAAACAATTCTAGTAAAGAGTCCAAGGGATGAGCTATAAAAGAATGTATAAATATACGTTTACAAAAGTTTTAGATTCGTACCATGTTAGAGTACTATAGCTTTGATACTATAGCATTCTGATCTTGGTACAAATAGAACAGACAGACCACCAACCCCTGCAGAAAGCTCGTACCCCGTCCTTCTCCTACAATACTGTACCATTGGTACAGTTTGGAGGGGTGGGGGTGATTTTAAATAAATATGTTCTTCAAAATGGCACTAAGAGTGGGGTAGGGTACCCCAACCCTCATGATTTTTCCTGTCGCCCCTCAGACAATCTGGGGGTAATGGGTAGTGGAGATCATCCATGAGAGGGTGGGTTCCACTAATACTAGACTATAAAAAGATCTTGGGGTTGAGAAAAAGTAGAACTGGTGGGTGGGGGTGGGCTATGACCCCACATGGCAGAGCTAGGAAGGGGTGAGGTTAATGCAAGAAGCTTGGAATAAGGTAGGGTATTCCCATGGATATGGTAGGGGTACAACTTTGTTGGCAATGTACCCCAGGTTGGACTATCAACCTAACCGGTGACTCACAGAAGGCTGTGAGAAACAGAAAGGGTACAGGCTAGGAAGGGGGGTGATGGTAGCAGGGGTGGTGGTAGCACCGGGTTGCCGCGCTTGAGCTTCGGTCATGGTTTGTGGCAGTGGCGGGAAGTCTGGGGAGATATGCTGCAATCAGGAGGTGCAGGGGGCTTGATGCTGAGTGATTGCGGCGTGCTCGTGTGATTTAAGGGAAGTTTCAGTCACCTGCAGGCAAAGAGGGTTGGTTCAGGTCATCTCACAATCGAAGGTTTTGTTTGCAGTTCCGTGTGTTGAAAAGAATTTCGGGAAATTCTACGTTTGAGGGTTGATTGCACTGAACGGAGCTATCTGCAAGCAATTTGACGTCTGTATTAGCCAAGCCTGTCAGGAATCACATGGAGATGCTTTTTTGCTGTGTTCAATTCAAGAGAATAGAAGATTAGAGCGCGAATTATCGAAAGAAGGAGAGAGTGTGTGAAAATCCAGGAAGTATCCACAGATATTGTAAACCTTGAAGCAAAATGTCTATTTTGTCTTTGGCAGACTTACAGGCGGTCGAAAGTGCTATTCGTTCAGGTTGGTTTCTTGCATTCCACACCGATTTGTAAGGATTCTGATTCCACTTTGATAGCAGACGACCCCAGCAATGCGTTAGCAGCCGTGGAAGATTACATGGAATTTTTGAATCCTGAAGACTTGGTATCCGATAATGTTGTGGGCATGCAGTTTGCTTCTTCGACACTTCCGAAGATTGTTATGTGCATCCTCAAGCGAGGGTGAGATGTCCCTGTAAAACTGGGGGTATTGCTGAAATTTTCTGTCCGAATCAGGGATTTGGATGAAGAAATGGAAGATAGAGCATTTAGATTTCTCAGACACACATTAATATTTATAGCGAGAACGCTGACATGTGGAATTGAACCGCTCCATATCATCTTGGATGAAATTTTTATGGAGAGAAATCAACCATTTTATGTGAATAGGTATGGTCTTGAAGTGCAACTACGCTTTATTAATCGATCTACAGTTCCGGAGATGTACATGAAGAAATATCTGGCTATGGTGCTCCAACTGGGGTAGAAGCTTTTGAGGATGAAGCCAAAATGCGGGAAGCAATATACGCCGAAATAGGTAAGAATTCTTTGTTCATCTTTTGTCATATTTTGTGCTGTATTTCTGTGTTCTGATGGCTTCTCCTGAAGGTCAAACAAGGAATAGGCGAGGGCGAGCACACAATGTAGAAGGCCGTTTCATACACAACATCAATGCCTTTGGTCGGAACGGGGGGTTTCGGAAACTGAAGCAGGCACTGTTGCAGCATGATGTATGTACAAGAATCGGTAGAATAAGGACTTTGCTGTCTCCGCTGTTCAGCATTAAGGAATTCTTGACAAAGGACTTCTTGGATTGGTTCATGAAGATATTTTCAAAATTGAAGGAAATTATTTTGAATTTTCCAGATGAAGACGTCAAAGCAGAGACACAGTTTTTGAATGACATTGTGTTAATCCTGTGTACTTTATACAAGATCACATCGAATGGAGATTCATCGGAGGTTGTTGATAGATTTCGATTGGATCTTGCACTTAAAGGCTTAAAATCTCCTTATCTGGAAAGGAGGCTGGTTGGGCTGGGTGAGATCAACGAATTCGTGGAATATTTAAGTGCTAGATCTTGCAGTCGCCCAGATGACATGTCAGTTGATGACTTGCCGTCTGTTTGGATAACGGCTGACTTCATGTGTGATTGGCTAACATCAAATCGCATTCTGGAAGAAATTTTCATAAGGAATGTCCACACTGAAATTCTGAAAAGATGCAGTAAGATCTTGCTATTCCTAGCTCAGTGTAATCGGATAGGAAAGCAAGAGGTGCAGTTGATGTGGGATGCTTCCGTTGGACAGCACGAATCCATTTCCAAAATGATCCATGAACTTCTTGGCAAAGTCATTCGTTTACTACATACTCCTGATGCTCTTCAAAAATTGCTACATTTGATTGGTCAACAACCAGTTTCGAGTTTCACAATTCATCACGTTCAGCTCATCAACAGCTTGGCCCAGTGCTTCTTAATGCTTAGTAATCGAGGTGAAATAGATGACTCTATCAAATTTGCTGGAATCAATGTTATGTGGGAAGTGTTGCAAGACGAATTCCGCCTATCCCAGCTTGAAATACAAAATCTTTGTCTACAATGCTTTGCAAAATTGCTTGATCAACATGAATGCAGGTCAATACGATCAGAATATTTTAAACGGTGTATTATCAACTTGAAAGAACACAAATCTGTCGCACAGAGCCTTGTTGTGATGAATAACTTGTTTCAAAGTTTAGCAAGTAAGAGGAAAAAACCAGACGTAGACTGGTCGACCTTTGGATGCGTGAAAGATGAGAAAGAGATCCTTGATCTGGTTCTTGATGACCTTCAATATTTTCGAAATAATGTCTTGCAATTCGATGAAGGGTTACCTAGTACCCCAAGAACACCTAGGGGAAATGGCTTTAACAGGAGTTGCGATTCTCAATCCAGCACCCCACGAATAAATCAGATCTTACATCGTCAGGAACAACTCCAAAGAAGATTGAATTTCATATCAACTGTGCTCGAGATGCAGGGATCGTTGCTGACAACAGATCATTTGAACAAACTTTGGGAATCACTTCTGAGAGTAGGAATTGATGAGAGACAGAGGGAGATTTCTTTTGGATGGTTTGAAAGATTGTTGACCAGTCAATGGACTGCCAAAGCAATATTACCTAATCTGCACTTCTTGTTCCAATTGATTTGTACTATGGATCCGGCAGATATGACAGAAGTATCTTTCAGCCTTTTTCGTCAAGCCATGACACTTCTCAACAGAAGTGAGGGTATTCTGGAAGGTGAATTTGGACGTGAACCAAAATTGGTGGTATCGAGCGATTCTATTATGGGGATTTCCAATTTGTGGGATGTAGCAATTGGTGTGGCAGATGAGTCTGTGGCATTGAGAGCCATATCATTTCTCAATGGTCTGTATCAGCATGTGTCGCCCCAGATAGATAATTTCGAGAAGATAGTATTGGCAAAAAGGCAAGAACACATTTCGACATGTATGAAACACATGCGCGGTGCAGCAAAAAAGTGTGAGAAGCGAGCTATTGACAAAAATCAAATATATTTCAAGAGGATCAGTCGATGCCTTTTGATTTTGAAGCACTATCTGAAGAGCTTTGAATTGACAACAGGTGCATTGCACCCAGACCTTTTCCTGCGAAAGCATGGTAGGACAATTCGAAGCGAGTGGGTCAATCTCAGAATTCGACCTTTGGCACAGGCGACAGATGAATGTCTGTGCCTGCAGTTCGACCGTAACCTCACGATTGCCATTCTCCGAGAAATGGTTGCGAAGCAAGTTGGGGAAGACAGCCGCACTCTTCGCTTGTTTGCACATGGTAAGGAATTAAAGGAAGATGGCAGATCAATTTCTGATGTAAGGATTGGTGATGGTGACACAGTACACTGGGTAAAAAGGGCTGACTGCAGGGATCCCAAGATGGACGCTTCACTCCCTTCAATGATTGAATTCTACGACATGATGAATGATATAAGGACTCCGCATGATATTTTGGCACAAGATTTTTTCGATGAACTTTTTGAATTTTTGAAATTGCCAGAAGTAATTGCAGGACAAGTATGGGAATTGTTAATGTTGCTTCCAACTAACGAAAACTTTTTACTGAGTATAAGGGACCTTGGTCCCTGCTTGAAAAAACTATTATCACCAGATGGATTGTACAGCCAACTCTATGCATTACAAATTGTTGAAATACTGTTAGATGACGATGAATGTGGAAGCAAGCAAGGCTGGAGAACAAAGTTCTTGAGCGCGGGGGGGTTGAAAGAATTGCTGGAAATGCTGCTCTCACAGAAATTGTGTACCATAAACTCAAGTCAAAGTCACGCTTGTCTGGCCAAGCTTCTGAAGGTTTTACACATGATTATGATCGAAAGTGAGGAAACAATGACAGCTTCGAATGTTCAGGAGCATTTGAAAGACGAGACAAAATTGGAAAAATTTATTCATGAGCTCTTAAACCTTGTACCTTCATCTACAGTCAGTCCAGACACCCAGTCATCCTGCAAAAGTGTTTGTGTTGTAAAGGGATTAGAAACTGTTGCTATCATTGCTATGAAGTTGCTCGTATCAATTTTTATTCGAATACCGCTTTGCGTACGCTATTTGTATACATATAAGAATTTCGGAGTATGGATGAAAGATACTCTGCTTGCGACCTCATGTGACAACGTCCGACAATCAATTGTTGCGGAAATTATGCGAGGTTGCTCAATTAATTCTGAAGCTTGGAGTAAGGATCCTATGAATCTGGAAGAGCCTTCGGATAATCAATCTTGTATCCATCCGCACTTTTTCTTCATGAAAAATTTGCTCGAAATTATTCATACTGTAAAGGAATATCCAACAACGTGCAGCGACTATTTTGAGCTCTTGAATGGACTTCTCCCTCGCAGTGAAGACTGGGTTACTGCACTCAATCCTTTTTTTGACATTGCTGTAAAGGAGATTGTAAACTGCATCAGGACCAGCGAGATCAAAGAAACAAGATATTCAAAGGAAGAGGATATTGTGTTGCAGGGATACATGATAACCTTGAAATCAATTATCAAGCTTACTCCTCACTTGAAGAATACTGTATTCAAATCTCCCGCCTCGAATGATTTTATCAAGTATCTCATATTCGATTGCTTGTTTGATTTGCCTGCAGTGGAAGATAGGAAGCTTGTTAGCCCACCCAAGTGCAAGACTCCAAGAACCCGTGAAACAGCATTTGACCTGCTCAGTGCAATGGTTGAAGATTGTCAAAATAATCAAAACGATGTGCTCAATTGCTTGCTGAAGCTGCATGACAGGCGAGAGTTCCGTTCTTTGTACTTATATCGCCCTTGGCAACTTGACAAAGCTCCATGTGGATATGTTGGGCTCAGGAACCTTGGTGCAACCTGTTATATGAATTCGTTGATTCAACAGCTCTTTTATGTCCCAGAGTTTCGACGAAATTTGTTGCAAGTTGATACGAATACAGGGCAGTTCAATGGTCTGATGTATCAGCTGCAATGTCTTTTCAGCTTTTTGCAAGAAAGTGATAAGCAGTTTTATGATACTTGGGAATTTTGTCAGGTTTTTACAGATTATGATGGTCAACCTTTGAATATCACCCAACAAATGGATGTAGATGAGTATCTAAATATGTTATTCGAAAAAATGGAGGAATCTTTGAAGAAAACTCCTCAGAAGAACTTGCTTCGAGATTGCTTCGGCGGCAAAATTGTGCATCAAATCATCTGCAAAGAAAATGTGAAAGTTGGAGATATTGAGTATGGCGGGGACAATCCCTACAAATCAGAGAGGGAAGAAAGTTTCTATACTTTACAATTGGAGGTAAAGCATAAAAGGAGTATTCTCGAATCTTTGAATTTGTATGTGGAAGGCGAAGCTCTGGAAGGCGATAACAAGTACTTGTGCGAAGCCGCAAATCGAAAAGTAGACGCTGTGAAGCGAATTTGTATCAAGGAGCTTCCCAATACCCTGATATTGCATTTGAAACGTTTTGAGTTTGATCTTGACTTTATGAAAAAAGTCAAGGTGAACGACTGTTGTGAATTCCCTCTTACTCTAGAGATGGATCCATATACCATACAGGGGATTGAAAGGCGGGAAAAGGTTGCTGCTGATGCTCTAAAGAATGGGAATGATCCAATTAAAGCAATTGAAGAGATGGAAGGGGATGATGAATCGCTTTATGACTTGGTAGGAGTTTTGGTACACACTGGTACAGCTGACTCGGGACATTACTACAGCTACATCAAGGAAAGAAAACCAGTTTCCCTCGACGGAGACAATGATTCCGCAAAGTGGTATTTGTTCAATGATACTAATGTCGAGTTGTTTGATGAAAAGGACATCGGTCCTGCATGCTATGGTGGTAGTGAATGCATACAGCAACTTGATCCGATGGACTCTTCGCGGTCACATACTAAGCTGGTCTCACGTACGTACAGCGCATACATGCTTTTTTACGAGAAAAGGTCTATGACAACGGATGATCAACGAAAAAAGTGTATGACGAAGCATGGTGTATCTGTACCCATTCCGCTTGAAATTCTTCAAAATGTGTGGGAAGAGAACATCAGATTTTACAGAGACAAACAAATATTCGACATTGATTACCTCAGCTTTGCGAAGAAATTGTGCAGATTTGCAAACAAAGGAGAGGCGGACAGAAGCTCCGTTAGCCTTGCATTGCGAATTCTTCTTGATTGCGTCATTCATTGTTGGGACTTATCGCAAATCGATGATTGGGTATCCTTGATCAAACAGAAATTGAGTTTTTCAGAAGAAGGGTGGCGACGGGGGAAGAAAATGCTGCTTTCATTTGTTGAGAATGTGGAATTGAATGGCCAAGTTTTTTTCCAACATTGGTTTATGAAGTCGATCTTGAATCACAGGTCTCAAGAAAGTCGACAATGCATCGTGTCTTTGTTGCTGCATGGTCTAAAGGTTCTCGCTAAATTCGAAAAACAGCAGAGAAGGAGCGCTATTCCTTACTGTGAGTCCTCTGATAGTGACAGTTCAGACTGCGAGATCTGCGAGGATTCTTCGTTTCCACCGCTCTTCACCGACAAACCATACGTCAGAAAATATCGAGGGAAGAATATTTCAGGTACACGAGCCCCTTTTCCGCGTCCCTCCAGCACCCTTGGGCAATTCATTGACAAGGTTTTGGACCTCTTGCCAGAGATTCCATACTACTGGCGAAATATTTCGGAATATTTTATGTTGTTGGCTGAGTTCTCAAAGATCGGTAAGGAGGAAAAGACCTTCCTATTATCAAGACGAGTGGTGTCGCGTTGTATCGATGTTTTCTTGCATGAAGATTCTCCATTTGCACATGCTCACAAAAACAGAAATGCCATTGGAGATCAATTTTCAATGCCAGATTACTCGTACATGATGGAGCTTGTATGTCATTTAGTTCAGAGCGTGGAAATTGAAAGAGAGCATACAGATGAAACCAAGTCTCCTATTCCTCCGACACAACTTCCTGTTTGTGGTGAATTGGATCCTGCTTGTTTGGCGCTGGTAAAGCACAAAAGCTTTCTTCTTAAGGTCCTCACGGAAGGTGTAAATCCTCGACGTAGCATTCAACTCTTTGAGCATCTTTCCTGGAATCATCCAGAAATGAGCATAATGATTCTACAATGCCTTTGTGACGTTATCGAAGATGCTCATGAAGATGACTACGATTCATTCTTTAATATGTTGAACAGGGTACTTCATTTGGACGATACTCTGGAAGGATTGCGAGCAGAAAGATTTGGACCTATGTTTGTTCGAACAATCATCAACAATTTTCAGTATCCCGAGGCCTGTGCAAGATGTCTTAATTTTGTTCAAGATCAAATCTGCAAGAGTCAGCCAATCCGATTTTCGGTACTGAGGACCATCTTGCCCAAAAAGCAACAAACGAATCGCTGGTTTGAACTTTGCCTTTTTAGATGTGAATTTGAAGTCGTCAAGAATGCAATTGAGAGCATGGCCAAAGCTTTGTTATTTCCTGACGCAAAATCAGGCTGTGATGAAAACAGTAACAAGAAATTCGTGAACGAGGATGAAATATCCAAGTATTTCTTCGAATTCTTGATAGGCATTGAGGGAGGAGTCTTTGATACCGCACTGGAAGACATTAAGAACATGGGAACTGCTAATCTGACTGCCTTCTTTAGAATTCTTACGTTTGCAGTCAGATATTTGAAATCACCATGGTATCAAACCAAATTTGCAGAGAGAATGCTGAAGTTTCAACGTTGGTTCGAATTTCTCAATGACTTGGAGTTAGAAAATGATGTCAACAGAGGGGAATTGATCCGTCTTTTGTATGCTTATGCAGAAGAATACCCAGAAGCTATTGAACACTTTGCGGATGAATCGGCAAGAGTTCGTGATGTACTCATGAACAATTTCATTGTTATCAAGACACAAAAACAACATATATCATACAATCGAATTTTTCTCCCAAATTTTTACTCGTTGATTCTCTTGTGCTGTATGAATAGTGATAGCTACACCTTATTCATGATTGAGCACAGAAATTTCATGTGGGCCATTGAAAATTTTATTTGCAATTCGAATCGCTATCCTGAGGTGACAGCAATTTTATGGCAGCTTGTTAAAACAGCACTCGAGTGTAAGATTGGTACAGACATTGTGCAAGCTTTCCGAAACCAAATGATAGATGTTTTGCTTAGCTCTAAGCAAATATCTTCGTACCCAGATAACGCTCTTGTCTTGACCAAGTTAGTGATTGATGATATTCTGGAAGGACAGTCTGGATTGCAGCGGATCCTGGATTCGCACTTGCTAGAGACGATCTTCATGGCTTTTGCAAATTCGTGTAGTACTGTTTTTAACCCACATCCTGTATCTCCGAATTCTGCCGCCAAGAAACATCAAGGTTTGGAGATAAAAACTGCCGAAGAAAATGCATTTGCTGCGATGCAGATACTACGAAGAATTTTTTCAGCAATTTCGTGTAGGGGGGTGACAGAACAAGTCATCCAGGGAACATTTAATCGATGCAAGACACGTGTTTCAGTGGTGCAAGCCCTTTGTAGATTTTTGCAATCTCCACATCTTATGAAAGATGAAAGGTTGATGTGTCTAGCCGTTTTGAAGTATATGGCAACCTATGACGTTTTGTGCGGAAAAACCTGTCTCACAGAACTTCTAAAGAGCTACGAGGAAACTAGGATGCTCACACTGGATGAATGTAAGTCGCAATGTGCAGGACAAGTCGGCAATGCATCTTCTGGCAGTGTATCAACTGAGACAGCGCCTGGAATCGAAAACGATGCAAAAAAGAATTGTGATCATTGGCCGTCTTGTCGGGGATCCTTCGAGCACAGAGACGATGAGGTTGAGACGGAATATTGGAGCCTTTGTCAGTTGCTGTGCAACAATGACCTGCAACTTGCGGATGCTTACAATGATCAACGCTTCATGGTACACACTTTACGATTTTTGCTCTTTGCCTGTCTAGATGCGTTGATAAATCCGAAGACAGCTAGCCAGAGGAATTTTGTCGAATCGACTTTTGATTTGTTTATCAAAGTTAAGGGTGTGGAATTGCCTCAAAACGGCAAAACATCAAGAAAAGCAACAACTGAATCGACTGAAAGAGCTGTCAACTTCTTTACAAATTTGGGAAATGGTGATTTATTTCTAGATTCATTGAGAGGGAATATGTTAGTTGTAGTATTGATCATGAGAATTCTTGTATGCCACAAAGAATGGCTAGAAGATTTAAAAGCAATGGAGGCAATTCGAATGTTATTGATGGAATACTCACTTGATATCAAAGATGAAGATGTTACAGTCATTTTGCATGAAACTTTGCTTGATGTGAGGAGGGTCATGAACATGGGTACAAGGCGCCCTGGACTGCGAAGTGAATCTGAATCTATCGTCCTGGACCAAGATTCTAAGGTAAAGGCAATTTTGCAGGAAGTCCGACCTCTCATCATCATTGGAGACGTGCCTTGCTTCAAAGCAAAGCTACTTGAAGAGATGTCAGAGGATTACGTGCAGCCTTTGCAACAAGCCCTGGAGAGAATCAGACTGAGGGGGTTCTTGGCAAGAGAATACTGTGCGCGCATGGACGACATTCTGCAGCGAATCGTTCAAGCTCGGCGAATGGAGCTCAACGGACAGACGGGAAATTCAAAGGCTGTGGATATTTCATGATGTAAAAAGTGATGCTTCTTGTTGTCTCTTGCTTCTGTGGTGAATTGGATTTAAGAAGATTTCGTTTTCCCTCTTCACTGATTGACCCTGCTTTTTAAGAAGCCCATGATGTAGGCTGATCTGTTGTTGACGCCTGTAAGGTCCAGACTTGCCATCTCGCTGACAGCCTATCATGACAACTTCAGAAGCGCGACCATAACTTCTGATACTGACCGAATTCACCATGTTGATTGACAAAGAGATAAGGAAGTTTCTAACCCCCTCATCAATGTCATGATTACTAACGCTACCTTTCCCCTGAAACAGCAGTCAAATTTGCAGACTACCAAATTCGATTCACCTTGTTCTGGTTAAGATTTGAACTCAAGATCTTTTCCACGGCCTTTCTATGTTCCTTCTCCGTGTTAAGGAACTCAAGCGTAGGGAGAGTTCAAGTTGATACCAAATCTTGTTCTTGCTTCAAATCCGAAATGACCTGCAGGCATCCAGCACTTGTAACAATGTGCGACGAACGGCGTCAACGAAGGAATACTCACGCTCTTCCTCTTGGGGTCCTTGCTGGACCCTTTTGCGGTTCTTTCCACTCGGATGCGCCTGTGCAATGCTCAGCGACGCTCACTCTCATCTCGCAACTTCTTCACCTTCCGCGCATGATGGAGTGATCAAGCGACAACGCTGCTTCTGCTGCTGTTGAGTCCTTGAATTCAAGGAACGCAATGCCTCGAGGCTTTCCCGTGACCCTGAGGAGAATGTGAAATTTTATTGTAGAAAATTGCCGAGACAAACCTGTCTGTTAGGACTCTGATGCTCATCTGGAAACCATTAAATGCTTTCACTTGCAGAAGAGAAGTTTAGACCTGATCATGTGGCGCGCAACTTGCGAAGTGCTGCTTGATGTCATCAGCAGTGACATCGAAGGGGAGCTGTACAGGACCAATCAGCGTCTTCACTGAACCAGAAGAAGTGCAGAACGGACCTGACCGAGAAAGAGAATGTGCTTAACAAACCCTTCCTTCTCTTTAGCTGGTAGATCTCTGCTGGGTTCAGAAGCTTCTTTCTTGTCCTGTGACTTTGGGTGAGGTAGTATGAGATTTGAAATGCACTCGCTATCACCTTACACACCTCGCTCTGTGCATCATCCTTCCCATTCAATCGTTGCTTCTTTGACGACCCGTCTTTCCCCTTGGCCGCGACTTCTTCAGCTACGACGATCCGCTTCTTCGCGAAAGGGTCGTAGAAAGACTTCGGCTTGCTGATAGCCTGTGCGACAGGCTTCGCGCTCCCCTCGTCATCGCCCTCGCCCTCGTCAGACGACGACGAGGAGGAGGAAGCGTCGCTCGCTTGCTGCTTGCGCTTCTTCGACTGCTTGACTGACTGCTTGGCCGAGCCCTCGCTCGCGGGCTTCGCTGGTGTGTCGTCGCTGACTGCTTTCGGCGCTTCCTTGTCTTCTACGACGATCCGCTTCTTCGCGAAAGGGTCGTAGAAAGACTTCGGCTTGCTGATAGCCTGTGTGACAGGCTTCGCGCTCCCCTCGTCATCTCCCTCGCCCTCGTCAGACGACGAGGAGGAGGAGGAAGCGTCGCTCGCTTGCTGCTTGCGCTTCTTCGATGACCCGTTTTCCCCCTTCATCGAGCCCTCGCTCGCTGGCTTCGGCGGCTTGCTGCTGCTTCCGGCCCCGTTCGTTTCCTTGTCTTCTACGACGATCCGCTTCTTCGCGAAAGGGTCGTAGAAAGACTTCGGCTTGCTGATGGCCTGTGCGACAGGCTTCGCGCTCCCCTCGTCATCGCCCTCGCCCTCGTCAGACGACGACGAGGAGGAGGAAGCGTCGCTCGCTTGCTGCTTGCGCTTCTTCGATGACCCGTTTTCCCCCTTCATCGAGCCCTCGCTCGCTGGCTTCGTCGACTTGACTTCGTCCGTTCTACTATCATCCTCTTTACTTTCATTTTCTTGTATGGCTTAGTGTCAAGGATCATTGTCAGCGAATCTGTGGAAACGTGAAGAAAGTCCCTTACCCTGTAGCTTCAGCTCTCGTTTCCGCTGCAGCTTCTTGGCGTTGGCCTTACGTTTCTTGGCCCGTCGCTTGAGTCTCTTGGCGTCCACCTCCTCGTCTGTCTTGAGCTCCGCTGGCTTCCGGCTGGCTTCCAGCTCGTCCAAGTCGGGGGCACCGGGAAACAGCCGCATGGCACATGCGCTCCCACGGATACTCACGGATACTCACGGATACTCACGGATACTCCCGGATTCTCACGGATCTTTTACTGTGGGGCGGGCCCGTTCAAGAATGTTGAAGAGGCATGGCGCTTCGGCTGCAATGACTGACGAGTAGCAGATGCAGGGCAGGATAGGAGCGAGTATCATGCTTTGCTGGCAGCGAATATGGCTTTGCTGTCAGCACATTTTCTGAGTGTTGGGATGATCCAGAAGGAATGTTGAGAGCTTCCAAGTCGCCGTGGCCTCATTGTGTAGCAGTCAAGTATGGTAGATAGATCTCTAGTCTCAAGGATGCGTCCTGTGAGTTTGCAGCAGTGCCCTTCGTTGTTGTCTCTGTGCCATTCTTCTTCTCTGCATGGTGTATGAATTTTCTTCAACTGTGCGCAATCCTGCATTTGTGCGAAGATAGGAGTTAGTCGGAAGCTGAAGCAAAGAAGAAAGGGCGGGACTGGAAGCATCCAGCTGACATGTTGTTTTAAGATGCGCCCTTCATACTTTATCACCCAGAAGCTCGTTGGTATGTGGGATTCCCCCAACTGGAACCAGGATGGCACCTGGGATGGCCAAGGCTCTGGCCATGATTACTGGGGAACAGTAATTTCTCATAATTGTGTGTTTTGAACTTGTGACGTTTGCTGTACTTGTCAGGAGTGGCATCCTTCCCATGGATTCATCGGCAATGCTGATGGTGGCCGCACCCGCAATGGAGATGATTATCGCCAGACCTAATCTGACAACATCCGAACACGGAAGACTGTAAAATGTTGGGCCAAGTTTGATGTTGATTGAAAGTGCTTCCTTCGATGCTTTATTGCCCTGATGAGGTAGAAATGTTCTGGTAACAAGTCATGAGAGACAAGATTTTGCTGCACAAGGTTTACGCATGCTTGAAGACTGCTTGTTACAAGGTTCCTGATCTCACCGAAACATTTCAATGTGACTTTTACGTTGAAATCTATCGTTCGTGGTCATTCTATTTCGCTCTTTATCTTTAACTTTGCTCCAAATTCACATCTTGCTGAGCGTCAGCATGAGAACACATGGGCAGGCAGGCAGAGTTTTGAGAGGTAGTGCAAGCTTGAAAACTAGCCAGTGCAACTGCTTGTCCAACATCTCGAGAGAAGTGAGTTCGATTCAATGATTTCACGGCGGGAGTTATGAGTCAGGCTCCTCTTCTGATTCGAGCTGTCACCTCTCACCTCACTGAGTCAGCCGATTCTCTCACCCGACAAGTTCTCCTCCACCCCTCCCTCCTGACGACGCCACAAGTTCGCTGCAGCCCCGCCTCAGAGCCTAGTGGTGGAAGACAGCAAAACCAGTACTAGTAGCTCCTCTTCCCACCTTTCAGTGTCTTGTTTGAGTTAGATGCTGCCGGGGTAGGCCCTTGAAAAGTTTGAGTAAACGAAAAGTTGGGCAGTTGACGCCGCTGTCATGGTGAGATGGCAGGGAGAGGAGGATGGGATGGAAGGAGTATCACTGACATGTTGTCGGTTGCAGTCCAATATCATCAAGGGAGAGAACAAGGTCACCATACAAGATGCGCAGGGAAACACCATCTACCCGTGTGGTTACGTGGGGGGTGCTAAGGTCAGAGTGTCGGCAGAGCCGTCGTTCGAGCCATCGCAAGTCTCACTATCGAGCTCGGAGGGGATAACACAGATCGAGAAGGACCGAGAAGCTCAGGTGTTGTTCAACCTATGAGTCCCTTACGCACGGGTGACCCGACACCTCCAGTTGAAAGACGCGAACAACTGTATCGCTTTGAACACAATCTTATCAGAAGAAGCGCTTGACCACGTCAAGAAGATGTGTGGTGAGGGATTTTGAGCATGCCCAGGGTTAGCTAAGGGTCGTTGATCCCTCCTGCAGGCCCTGGATACGAGCTGGATGAGAAGGGAATACCTCAGCCGATCGAGCCTGAGGCGGAGGGATCATCCAACGCCAAGGGGCCAGGATACTTCATCCAACCACACACGTTGCCTGCTGGGACTGGGGTATGACGAACGCGATCGCCTTGTTGTTTGTTAGCACATCTGGATCTTTATCTATGATTCTTTGATCTTCTGTCTCACTACCGACTCGGGCGTACATGTCATGTGCAATTCAGTCTCACCATAGTCCGTTTTTCTCTCATTCTTGCTTTCATTGTCATCCTGACTCGAGCAACACTAGTCATGAGCACGAATGATTTCGTTTAACAGATTGAAGGATTCTTTGGAGGAGACGACTCGAAGCTCACGGAGGACGACGTGGCATATATTTGTAAGGTGACACGACTATCTAAGCTTTCTTGCACAATAAGATCCTAATGCTGCCTGAAGAACATCGAAGATGAACAGGCTGAGGTAAAGAAAGCCTGCATCAGTTACTTCGTACAATACTTTCGTGCCATGGACGAAGAAGGTTCTTGTGGAACTCGTTGCCAAACTTCTTTTTGAACCACATCATCAGGTACAGGAGTTCTCGTCGGTGATGCATTCAAGACCGTGATAGGAAGGCTGGAGGAGGAGATGCCGATGGAGCCGAAAGAATCCCCATGGATGACACCACGAGCAGCAAAGTTAATCGAAGAGGCTGGAACAGAAGGGAAGATAGATTACGTCAAGTTCGTGACAGAGGAATTGGAAAGCCCCAGGGACGATGCATTGTAGCATCAGCTCTCAAGAAAAGCATCGACATTGCCGGGAATGCTGTGCTCTACGAGGAGACGAATTTTCGCCCTCTCCATCTCCAGCGATTCCTTCGTCGCGTTGACTAAATTCATCCTCTTCCTTTTAGCCACGATCTCTGCATCCAGATCTTTCTCTTTCTCTTTCTGCTGTTGTAGCTGTGATTCAATGAAGTCGATTTCCTCCTGCAGTTTCTGCATCCGTTTGAAAGCGTCTTCCAGCTCACCGTGCAGATGCTTCCTCACTATTCTTGTCGCTTGCAGCTTTGACTCCATGTCCTTGATTTCTGAATCGCAATCGTTCGCTTCATTCGCGTATATGCGGAAACGCATGGATACAGTCCGCCATTCTCGCCTGTAGTCTTCCAGTTGCTCCCTGTCCGATGAGGATACGTTTCTTAACGAAAAGGAGTTCCTGGATTCCGCAGCATCCGCAGCATCTCGGGTTACTTTCTCCACCTTCTTGATGATTTCATCTTTCCTTCCAGCAAAACCGTCGATGAGCTGTTGTAGCTGAAGGTTTGGAGCCTGGTTCTGAATCTTCACGCGACAATATGGACAAGTTCCTCTGCTGTTGAGCTTGATGTGAGAATTTAAGCACTGAATGCAAAAAGTATGTCCACAAGGAAACAGAAGGGTTGGAGTGTTCTTTGGGGCCTTCATAAGCTCATAGCAGATGGGGCATGTTGCTTGCTCCAGTTCGCCGGCCAAGAAACATTCCATCTCACCCTGCTGCCGATCTTTCTGTTGGCTTATCTCCTTCTCCTCCTTGGCAAGCTGCAAGTGAAGAGTCATGATATGTTTCACAGGAACGCGAGATCAATCACTTCTTTCTTCAGCTCATCCTTGAGCTTGCTGGTTATCCTTGCAGTGATTTGCTCCAATACGTTCTCATCTGAGACAGAAGAGGCTACATGCAGTGATCAGTTGAGCTGAGATGAAGAATATGGGGATGGAGGGTATGGGATCAGGAAGAAGCGAATAAGAGCGAACCTGCGCCGGCCTCCCCCGTTGACGATGTGACATCATCATTGCGAGCAAGCTGCCGTTGCTGTTCTACTAGGCGCTGGGAGAAGTATGCTTCCTTCTTCCTCCGAAGAATCTCTGCTGGTGTCAAGTCTTGGTCCATCGCAGAGTGGAGGAAAGACTTCGGTGGGAGGGGGAGAGGATGAAGTAGTGAGGCGCAGGGCGAGAAGGAATAGGAGGAGGGTGACCGGAAGGAGGGCGAGGAGTAAGGAACGAAGAAGTCAAGAGGAGGAGGAGGAGGGAAAGCGCGACAGTCAGACTCGCTCAGCAACCCGCGTCTTCTTGACTGCCACGGGTGACCAAGACCATTGAGTTGGGGAAGGCGAAATCTCAAGGGCAGTGAAATAATTATAGGGTCTTTTGCTATCCCCACTCCAATCTTTGGGGCAGTAGATACTAGCAGAGGCGGGCCCAGTGAAGGACGCCGCTTCCCTGGCTTTCCCTGTCTAACAAGCTAGAGGCTCGTTGCCATGCCCTCTGCAGATGCTCTAGTCGCCCTTGCCGACATGGTGCTCGCAGGTCAGACAGCTGCTCCCGCCCCACCCCCACATCTCTCCCTCCTCTTCCTCCCCACTCTTCTTGAGCCGCATGACATGATGTGCGTTTGCCAGCGATGTGCAGGGGCAAGGCAAGATCGGTCAACATCGATGTCACACGGGGAGGAGAGGGAAGCGTCGAGGGACTGATCGTGAGAGGGGAATGCGAGGACTTCCAGTGGACAGACTGGGAAGAGATTCAGCGAGTTCGACGAGTCTCGATCCCAGCAAGAGGAGGAGACACGAGCGTGGAAACATCGAACCTCCTAGGAGCCATAAAGAGCCTGTCTCCGAATTGCTCTGTTGGCGTGAGGGTGCAAGGGAAAGTTCGATTTCAACAGATCACCGGGGGGGTGACTGGGTGGAATCTCGCAGAGGTGGAGGGGAGTGCAGGTCTACAAGATCGCTGTCAGAGTGAGCTCAGACGATGTTGGGAGTGTTGACTGAGGGTTGCTCACAGACCCGGAGTTGGTGAAAGCATGTTTGGACCTGCTGACCTACGATGGAGTTGTCTTCTATTTGCACCGATCGCAGGAGATGTCAGAGGAGCAATCGGAGGATTTCTTGAAGTGTTTGCAAGTAGAAACGAGTCAAAGTGACTTGTCATATACAAAACCTTGGAATCTGCAACAAGTACGCATGCTGTTTGTACTTTTTTGAGTTTGATTGTGCGAACAGGGGCAGATTCTTCTACAGAAAGGTGAAGATCATTCAGACAAATCCCTCCAAGACATGTGCTTGCTTCTGGGGTGCGGGGCGTCCAACGACGTTAGATCGTATTCTGAGTTGTCTTTTCTTCTTTCAGGCGCAATGGGGTTGTTACAGGGAAGATTATGAAGGAGGCTGGGGGCAACCCTATCAAAGATCCATCAACTGGTTCATCATGCTTCTCAAGAAGATACCTTCACTTCCGTGACATCACATCGCAGATCTGATCGGCGAATGGAAAACTGATGGGCACTTGCATTTTGACGTGCTGGGAGAGGTAAATACCCAATGTTATAACTTCCTGCGTCTGATGACAATGGAAAGGATGAGGGGAAAATTCATTATTCAGGCAATGTCGAGAACCAGGTAAGGCTCTTGCGTTGGATGGAATCTTTCCATGTCTTGACAACTTGTCCAACTCACTCGATTCATCCAGAGATTCCTCGGCTCCTGTAGGAAGCCAGATGGACAAGAGGAAGGCGCTTGCTTTCAAGTGCAGTCTGAGGCTTCGCCCAAGTGCATTCCGTGGAAGTCAGCGTCAAGAGGGCTGTCCGTCAAGACATTCCTTGAGCTCCAATTCAAGACGAGGACGTGCGAACTGAAATTGATGTCAAGCAGGATCAGGAGGTTGTTTCTTTGATTTCTCTCTGAATCTCATCGATCATCCCTGCAGAAGAAGTCTGCTGCCCTTTATGAAGCAACCGCACACCTTCGAAATCCATCAAGCGCCAATAGCGAAGCAAGCAGTTCGCTCTAGTGCGGGAAGCTCTAACAAGCTTGCGACCCTCACCATTGGTCTACAGCTTCGCCTTGGTATATCGTTATTCTCACTCGGTGCAGGTGTTGCTGGACCTCAAGAGGAGATGAGCGAATTCTCCGGATTCTTCATCTATCATCGGTGCATGATGCAACATCTTATGTTGGTCGTCTTGACAGTGCTCGTCAGCGGGCTGTTGTCTATGGCTGGTTTGCACTTCAGCAGCCAAACTCCAGAGAAGAGATTTGTTTCAGTTGTTGAGATTAGCAGAGAAGATGATTCGTATGATTCTGAAATCATTTGGATGCTAAATTGCGGCCATTGGATGATGGTATACAGTTCTGTTGGCACTCTTTGATCTCGCAATTGACTGAGCGGTGATTGTTCAGGTTTCTCGCCAAATCCAAGAAATTTTCGCTGTCTATGCCAAAGAGATAGAGAAATGTGGAGGGTCAGAGAAGATCGATTCACAAAGTCAAAGCAAATTAGCCGAGCACAAAGCGATAATCTATGCTGACGTCATCGTGCCCGTCAACCAACATCAGGTAGTTTGTCATGCTGTCATAGATAGTGATTGCTGAATGTGAAATTCTACTCTTGATCATGAAAAGAATTCTGGAGGAAAGCACACGGCAGCTTCCAGAGGTGAAGAAAATCCTGTGGAGGATGAGCAGAACAACGATATCAGGAAGAAACTTAGAACGAGGAAGGCTCGATCTGAGACGCCAAGTGACAGTTCGAGAATAAGGTTGAAAACTCTTTGATCATCGTTCTCAGCCATGAAAGACGCTAGCAGTCAAGGCGTCAAGAAGCAAATCGAAGAAAGCAAAGAGAACAAGGTTTGGAATATACATAGTCCGCAATGTGCTTAGTGATCTCATACCTCAGGTTGATAATCGCGACAGAGTCTCGAATTCAGCAGACAAAGGTTTTCACATTTTGCTATGATGATTGAGAAAGTAATCTTGCGCACAGTCAAACCCGTGGCACATGCAGGCACTTGGGCTTACCTTGAAAATGAACATTCTTGACTGTTTTCTAATCAGATCCGTCTACTGCAACCCGCGCTGAAGAAGAACCTCCACCTGCAAGCCAACCGAGAGTGACAGTCAGGGAGCAGATGTCTCAGAGCTTGAAAGAGCAGATGCGGAACACCGTCTCTAAGACGTTGAGCTGCGAAGCAGCAAATTCTTTCAAACAGCATCTTGAGAACCCACAGATCGAACCTGCACTTCGATCGCAAGTCGTCGACCTGTTGGCCTCAGTGCCGGGCATACCCGACAGGCTTTCCTTTACATCTTCTGAAATCGACACGATCCTTGAGTTTCGAGATCGAGTGCTCCAGAAGTGGCGGGCAATACGTGACCTGTCAGGCGACGAAGGACCGATCTTTGATGTAAGTGGAGAATTCACTCAGCCTTGCTTCTCCTCCCTTCACCTTTCGTGACCCGGACCTGCTGCTGAGCTCGTTCTCAGGCTCTGTGTATCCTTGCTCGGAGCTTTGACGACGTGTTCCAAGAAAGCTTCAGTTTGCACCTACAGAGGTGAAGAGAGAGGGAAAGAGGTGGAGACTTGATCTTGATCGGACGACCTTGCAGGCATTCTTCTGGAATGAGCATCGACGTGGACCCGATTGAACTCTGTGGGATGCGCGTGTGTTTTTACAGGTTTGCGGATTGTTGTGCTCACATGCAAATGACTTGAATCCGACAGGTTCGAGACTTTCAGCCTGCTGTATGGGATGGTTGACGACACCGAAGACGATCAGCTGCATGTGCTCCTAGACAACGAGGAGGAGGTCGAGGACCCCAACATGGATCAGCCCATGTTGACTTGATTTGACAGTTGTGGGTGTCGACAACAGACAAGAATCTTCTTGTGATGAGGTCAACGGTCCAGGAGCATGACGATGATGGTATTTCTCGATTCTCCCTCCCCCTTCCCCTTCCCTTCCCACCTTCCCTTCCCCTTCCCTCCATGATCGCCTTTGACAGTCGAGGATTCGGGTGAGAACGTCATGATTGAAGCCGAAGAGCCGGAGGCACAGGTGCTTACACTCGTTCCGGCGGATTTTCTTGTTCGGTCACATCCTTCTTTTTGTAGGGCAAACATGACATGGAGGAGGAGGAGAACCTCAACGAGGATAAGGAGGAGGTAGACGAGAACTTGAACGAGAAGAAAGAGACGCAAGAGGTTTGATTGCCCGACACCTTGGAGCAAGGCTAAAAACTTTCTTCGTCAGTACTATGCAAACATCCCGGCCGTTTTCTTCAGGCTGGGGTTGAAGGTCCCCTTGGCTTCTTCTCTCCAGCATCTTGGTTGGTCACACGCTTGAGAGCAGGTGGAGGTTTTGTTCGACGATGGGGTCTGGTATCTGGGGAAGCTGTCACAATTCTTCGAGAAGAGCGGAAATCATAGGTCGATGGCTGTTCACAGGAGGGTTGGGGAGGGGGGAGGGGAAGATGGAGGGAGGGGGGAAGGGAGGTAGGGAGGTGAGGATAGCGTGAGGGAGGGAGAGCGGGAGATGTTTTCCTGAGACCTGGTCATCTCTTGCAGGATTATCTTTGACGATGGAGATCAGCAAGACATCTTGCTTCCGGATCCTGATGTCAGGATCGCTGAGATGTACTACAAGGGTAACTACTCGCTTGCCAACGAGGAGGACAGGGAAGTCAGTGAGAGCTACAACTTTGCCCTCGGAGACATCGTGTGGTGGCAATTCGTCAAGGTCTGACATGGGCCATGGACCTGTCAGTCGAGCTCATCTCTCCCCTCAGGGCGAATGGTGGCCAGCGAAAGTTTCTTGTCTCGACCATGTTCGCTCCAAAGATCTCAAGACGGTGAGGAAGCGAAGTTGTGGCACGCTGCTGGTTGCTGGAGGGCAGCAGAGGTGACGCATCGACAGACGCTCGAGGAAGAAGGGCAGCCCGACGAAGACAGCGTGCTGGTGAAAGAAACTTCCTTCTCGCTTCCCCTCACCCCGATCTGCCAGGTCTTCACGTTCGGCGATCACACGTTTGCCTGGGTTGACCTCCCAGCGGAGGCATACATGACTTCTCTGTGTGAGGAAGGAGGGAGGCTAACGGCAGGGCTCAGGACCTGCTGGGTTTCGGACTGCACGCAGAATTCATGAATCAGATGGTGAAGGAAGTCAGCCCTCCTGTGGAATTTGACGCCAATCCTCGTGCCGTCATAGGTGAGCGATATGGAGAGGTTTGAGATCAGCGTCAAGGAGGCCTTGTTTGCCTGGCAGAAGTTCCCCCCCGGCGTTCGGCATGAGCAGGTCAGGTGGTGCAGAGGTGGTTTGCTGGCCTCATGCTAGAACAGAACTCGCGATATCTGCCGCTTTCAGCTCAGTTCATCTCCATGAACGAGAGGTCGGAGGCATCTGCTGAGACCAACAAGCGGGTGTGTAGATGTTTTGATGCTCCATTGGCTCCTCCTCATGTGTTGTTGGCAATCAAGCTCAAGAAGCGAAAGAGAACCAACGGGTCGAGGAGCGGGGAGGCGGAGCAGCACAAGGAGAAGAAGGAGAAAGAGGGCGCAAGGCTGGTTGAGTACGATTACGACCAAGTGGACATGGATATGATGGGGGGCTGGAGAATACAAAAAGCTGCGGAGGAAGAGAATAGAAAGAAGGTGAGGTCTCAATGCGATGGCCAGACTCTATATCATCCCTCAGCACTCCAAGGTCTGCGGGAGCTGACGGGTTGTGCTTCGCAGGAACTGCAGGAGAAAGAGAACCGCCTGGTCAAGATGCTTTCCTTGTAAGCTGTTGAAGTTTCCAGGATGTCGCAGGCTGTGAGTTCCTCTTGTCGCAGGTTCCCCATCGATTACCTGCACACGAAGCTCAAGAGGCTGGGCGTGGGGCTGACGGCAAATCAGGTCCATCCAGCTCCTTGCACGGTTGCGAGCTGATGTTGAGAGATCTGCAGATCGATTATGTTCTCAAGACGCTACAAGGTCCACCGCAAGAACTTCCATGACAGCAGCAGACTGACTTGTTGCGCCCAGATAAGATAGGAATGGTTCAAGGGCACGTGAAGAAGGGCGTCAAGAAGGAGAACGAGGGCACACCGGATATCCAAGGGAGCTCGCAGGACGGCACTGTCGGTCATGACGCCGACAGCCTCCAACAAGCTCAGGACGCTCAGAATCGCTCGGCGGTCTACCTGGAAGACATCCGGATAGCACGTGATATGGCCGAGAATCACCATCGCCTCACGACAGCTCGATGCAAGTGAGTGATCGTCGCTCATTTGAAGTCTCCCGTTCCTCTCCTGTTCGCCCCTCTCCTGTCCTCCTCAACTTCCACTGCTTCATTCTCCCCCCTCTCTCGTCCTCCCTCCTGGTCTTCCCGCTCAGTCACAGCTCGTCGACAGGGCACTGGCCAAGGAGCTCAAGAGAAGGGAAGACTCGTGAGTTGCGATGCTGAGTGACATGACTAAAATGACAAGTTGTGCAGGTACAAGGAGACGCTCAGAAGATGGAAGATTGATCAACTCGTCCTGTGGGACAGCCAGGTAATGCTCTCGCTCTCACCCCCGTCTCTAACTTTCGTCCTCCACAGTCCAAGTTAGAAATCCTGCATGATAGGATAGAAAACTTGCGGAAAGAGAGTAAACCCTAACCTAACAACCTCTTCGCCTGCCCGGCTGTCACTGTCTACTACAGCCGAACCCCGACAAACTATGAACGACTCCGAGTGACAGCAGTGACCGTACTACGGCCGCCGCCCGGAGTCACCGACCCCGGTCGGCCGGGCGGGCCCCGGCCGGGCGGCTCCGACTCAGGCCGAGTGAAGGTCTAGCTTTTAAAACAAACTTTTATGACCGAAACTCGAGTCTGTCTGGAGGTCAAAGGAAGCCTGTAGAGCCCGCCAAGAGGAGGAAGCGAGAGAGACTGACAACTCTCAGCTTGTTGAAGATGGAAGCTTCAAAGATTGACATCATGTTCGGGCTTGTACCATTTGATGTGCAGTCCTGCCTCAAAGAAAACTTGATCAGCTCAATATCAAGCAGCTCGAGTGTGAGCATCTTTTCGCAGACAATAGGATCCTCCGAAGGCGAGTACATCAAGGAAAACCTCAATGACTTTGCCTCTTGCCAAGTAGATACGCCTGATGCAGTCTCTCCTTGCCATGACCTTACCAGTGATATGTGGACTTGTCAAGAGACTGTTGAAAAGCTTTACGAACAAATACACCCACCACTAAGACACAAGAATTGGTTGTCAGAGTCCATCTTCGATCAGGTACTTTCGTCATCATGCATGCAAAATTTACCTTCCTCCAACATTTTCTTTAAGGACAATTGGCTCAATACATCGCTGTTTTCGACGTGTCTCGAAGACTCTTACAAGTGAAGCTCACTTTGAGCAAAATAGTCTCTGATCCATCTCCTCATATGCAGACTCGCTTCTGAGCCATCCAAGCTTTCAAGGGGGGAACGAACTCTTCATGTGGCAGAAAACTTCGGGATCATCTTCGAGCAACAGAACAGCTCCAGCGGCATGAAAATGTTTCCCCACCACATCGATCGATCGCATTTGACATGACGGTGTCAGATTGAAGGTGGCTGCGCTGAGGTACAGAGAGCCCGCCTACCTGACGGGAGAGATCAACATCGGCGACGAGCTTGTGCGAATCAACTCCCAAGAGTTCCCTAGGGAGACTGATTGTACGCCAGTGCCGCGCTTGCGGTTCTTTTACACTTTTGGGCAAAGACTGACATGTCGTGTCCATCAGCTGACATCAAGAGCTCGATCAACGCACTGAACGAGTCTGAGGAGACGGAGCTCGGTGAGCTCTCGAAGACGGAGATCTCACTGACCCGACGCAGGTTTCATCCGAAGGTTCCGCGCCGGAGTGCGCTATGTCTCCCTGGAGGCGAGCAAGCATGCCAGGTCCAGCTCCTCTTGCAGCTGCTCCTCTTCGATCAACGATCGGCACGGAGATGGATCAGTGATGGCGTCACTGTCATGTAGCGACATGGAGGAGAAGGAATCCGACATGAGCGTGACGCAAGAGGGGCACGAGGACTCGGAGCTCTCCGTAGCTCCGAGTGTGCTCGCCTCGAGCTGTGAAGATGACGCTCTCCACCTCGATGAGCTCACGGGGAGCCCCAGCCCCCCCATGAGGCCTGAGGTGGAGGAGAGCGAAGCTCTCGCCGTGCAACGGCAGGTAAGAGAGTGCCTCGTGTCGCTCGCGTTCGCGTTCAAGTGCGGTCAATGCTCAGCTGGGCCTTGGGGTAAAGGGCAGGTTGTCTTGCTCTACTTCTCTCAGCTTATGCTGACTGCTACTGCAAGCTATTCGCAGTGCACTTGAAAGTTTGCTCCAAGTGCAGGAACTTGATCTGTCCGGGATGTTTTGCATCGAACCCTTGCTGTGCTGGTTGTGTCAGCCAAGAGGTCCCTGCGATCTCAGCCACCACCAAGGCCATGATAGCCGTGCGAAGCGGCTGAGGAGTCTACACGCAAGGAAGCGAAACTAGCGAAACTCAGGTCAAGACTGTCTGATGCCTGAACACTAACACTCAATGTTTCCAAAATATGTAACAATACAAGAACAAAATCAGCTGATGCGATTCCCTTCCATCAGACATTTGTGCACCACGTCCAACAAACTCTTGTTCTCCTGAGCTTCACATCACAAACAAGGATTAGACAGATCAGTGCAAGCTCACCAGAGCAGCTGCAACTCGCTCTTTGTCCGCAAGCTGCTTATTAACTTGTTGCTCTTGCAAATGAGTTCCAGGCGTGATCTTCACGTCAATCTTGTATCGGGGCGGCAGGCTTTGCATCAGCTTCAATCTAGCAGAAGTAAGACAAAATATCAGCCAATAATGAAGTTTATCGGCATATAGCATAATAAACAAAGTTCAGAAGAATTTTTCAGCATGGCTGTCATTTGCTTTAACATGAATGCATTGTTTGCGCATCGGTAGCGGGGTGTAGGAAGCATGCACGCATGACTCACCTAATGCATAGTCCAATCAGCGTAGATGCAGAGCAGTGGGGAACTGTGGGTGTGAAGTAGACGTGTACGTATCCCTTCTCCTCATCCATCGTCACGTTCCCCTCCTGCAGCACATTGAGCTGCTCCAGTGTTAGGTCTTCATGCTCAGGGTCCTTGATGTCTCTGATCAGATCAAAGATCTCTGCTGCGTCCTGGGCGTCTATGACATCCTCTTCCTCCTCCTCGAGCGACTTCTTCTGTCTTCCCTCCTCCTCCCTCCTCTCGAAGACCACTGGGTTCGCGTTCATGCCTCGAAAGTCCATTGCTCTCTCCGCCGCCTCCCCCTAACAAGCAGCAGGTCCTAACTACCACTAAATTGTTACTTCACTAGTGAATTTGATTACCACCTACCCCTTGATCACAGTTTAAAGTACCGGTACTGGGTAAAGATTTCTCCTACCACCCCTCCGAGATTACTATGTTCAAGTTTACTCAACATAGTGTGCGAAAGATGGCACTACCCCCACCCTTCGTATCTTTGGCTCGATTTGTTCCCAGGGGTATTTTAATACCCTACCCTCCAAAATCATACTCCAAATTGTGGTAATATCATGGGTACTTTGATAACCCCCACCCCCGGGTAAGATCTGCCCTGTGCACTCGCCCTGCATGCTCCATGTCATCGCATGAGACTGGAAGACGGGGGGGAGAGAGAGGGGGGAAGGGGAGGGGGGGAAGGAGGAGGAGGAGGAGGATAGTTGAAGAAACACAAGTGGGAAGGGGCTCCAAAGAGATGAGGGAGGACGGAGGAGGGGGTTGGGGATGATCGGGAGGGAGTCGTACGACGTACATGTGACGATGCTGGCTAGCAAGGTGGAAAGAGAATGCGAGGCGATAGAAAGGAGGGAAAGGAAAACTGAATGAAGAGAGGAGAAACGATTGAGTGAATGGGTGAGGAAGGCGGATACGGTAAAAGTCAGGCTAATGGAATGTACATGGACGATAGCGGCAAGAATTGTTCTTGATGCAGGATTGAAGAGCCGCAATTACTAATCCCATTCATCTGTGATAGTTTCTGTTTGCTGGCTGCAGTAGCGTTGATAATTATCTAAGATAGTCTTGCCTTGCAGAACCTTGTTTGGAACCTGAGCCATGCCATCGGACGCCAAAGCGAAACGAGCGGCGAAGAGAGCCGAGAAGTGAGAGAATGCAACTCTTGTTGCAAGCGCAAGAGAGTTGATCTGAATTGCTATCAGGGGGAAGCTGAAGCCCGGAAAGGTTGATGATGCAGCATCTGTCGCTTCTACAGAGACTGTAATGTCCCAATGTCTGTCCCCTCGACCTGTTGATCCACATGCAGGCTGCTTCCGGCGCTGGCGTGGATGCCACAAGCAAGCCTTCCTTCTTTGAGAGGACAGGAAAGAATGCAGCGCAGCGCTCAAGCATGCAGATGGATATCTGTGTGCAGAACATCACGCTCTATGCGGGACAGGTTGAGAGCTCGGAAACCGATCTGCCATTCCTAATCGTGTTGTGTAGGTCGGCGGACCAGGAGGAGGACCCGAGCTCATTGACCGAGGAACCTTGTCCTTGACGTATGCAACTCAAGGTCTTCTTCTCTTCTTTGACTGATGTCCGGATGCAGGTATGGCACGAAGTACGGCATGGTTGGAAGAAATGGTGTAGGCAAGAGTACGCTGCTGCGGGCCATCGCGTATGAAACATCTGCCACGTGTAGCAGCATCCTGAAACAATTTTATAGGTGTCGCTTCATAGAAATTCCGTCCTTCTTCCACGTGATGGCCTCTGCCTCATCGGGTGTCGTTCTGATAATGTCGATACAGGTTGTCCACGTAGAGCAGGAGTGCAGTGGGGATGATAGGACAGCACTGCAAACTGTGCTGGAAGTGAGTTGAAGCACCTTGTGTCTCTTAGATGCTCAAGCTTCGGTCAACAGGCAGATCAAGAACGCGAGTGGTTGTTGAAGATGGAAAACCTGCTAGTCAACGACGAGATTGAAGAGGAGCAGGCAGGAATTTCGCTGAATGATGTAAGTGATTTCCGAAAATTCTGCATTGCCTTCCAGGCTGATCTTCTGCTTAGGTGTATGAACGGTTGGAAGAGCTTGATAGTGATGCAGCCGAGAGCAATGCAGCCACGATCTTATCTGGTGTCATGTCATGGAGGCAAGGTGGACAGAAACGCTCACCTGTTACTGCCAGGTCTGGGATTCGATAAGGAGATGATGACTAGGCCAACCAAGGAATTTAGCGGAGGATGGAGGTAGAGGCTCGTCTACAGTGTGAGGGGGGCGGGTACGTTGTGATGTTCCTTTGCTGTCCCAGGATGAGAATCTCGTTGGGACAAGCTCTTTTTGTTCGTCCTGACCTCCTCCTCCTCGATGAGCCAACAAATCACCTCGACGTGGGCCCTGACCCTCTTCCAATGCTTCTTCTGACCTGCTGGTCCGACAGGTCTTTGCATGCACTTGGCTGGAGCAATTCCTCGTGCAGTGGGATAAGACGGTACTCTCCTCTGCTTCCCTTCCCCTCCGTATCCCTCGTTGTGCAACGGCGTCAGACGAGATCGAAGGGAAAGTCTGACACCGTCTTTCTTCAGGTTGTGATCGTTTCACATGACCGCGGATTTCTCAATCGAGTCACTACCAACACAATTTTCCTCCACAGGAAGCGCTTATGGTGACCTTTTTGCGTGAGTCTCGTTCCATCCCCTCAACCTTGCTGCAGGTATTACGGAGGATCATACGATACTTTCTTGAAGGTTGGCCGGACTTGGCTGTCTCCTGGATGCTTTTGAATCCGTCTGACTCCTCGTCTCAGGTCCGAGCAGAAAGACGAGCTCATTCCGAGTCCATCGTGAAGTCGCAGGTCCGGGCAGGAGGCAGCGAGGCCTGTCTGAAGATGCGTGCAGGCACGACGAACGGCCGACTTGAAGAACTTCATCGCAAGATTCGGACACGGTCACAAGAAGATGGCGAGACAGGCGCAGAGCAGGATGAAGCTGCTCGAGAGGATCCAGGGGGAGAACGTGGAGCTTGATTACGACGACCCTTACCTCCGGTGACTCGCCGTGCCCCTGAACTTCCTTCTCCCATGATCGCCAGCAACAGCTGGACTCCTCCTCCTATTCTTCTCCTTCCCTCCTACACTTTTGACTACCACCTTTATCTCCCTGTCTCCTCGGTGACGCTGACTCATACATCCGATCACATCAGTTTGGAATTTCCCGCAGCTCAGACTTTGCCGCCACCATGCATCTCAGTTATGAACGTGAGCTTCGGCTACGAAGAGGGCAAGCTGCTCTATGAGGTAGGGCGAGAGGGAGAGGACGGGGAGAAGAAGAGGGGAGGGAAGCGAAATACAGTAGGCGGGTGAGGAGGTGACATGCTTTTCGTCCTGCAGAACCTAAACTTTGGAATCGACTGTGACTCGCGAGTCGCCATTGTTGGACCCAACGGAGCTGGCAAGAGTACGATGTTGAAGCTGCTGGAGGCGGAGGTCTCCTCTCCCCGCTCATGGAAGCGATGCTGAAGTGACGGTGCAGGTCATCCCGGTCACAGGAGGCATCAGCAGACACCCGAAGCTGAGGATCGCCAAGTTCACTCAGCACCATCTTGAGATGTTCGACATGGAGAACGATGCTGTCGCCCACATGAGAAACTTGCAGGTGAGAGACGGAGAGGGAGACAGAGGTGTGAGAGGAAAAGACGAGCAGAGATTGAATGTGAAATGGGCAGCAGCAGCGGGGGAGCGAGGAGGAGTGATTTGGTGCTCATGTGTGGTGGGCTGGCAGGCTGCGGTGGGAGAGCCGGACAGTGTGGAGGAGGCGAGGAAATACCTCGGAAGGTTCGGACTGAGCGGTGACCTCGCTACACGACCAATCAAGACCCTCAGTGGAGGTGAGGAGGAAGAGGAAGAGCAGGAAAGGGGAGTGGAGCGGGGAAAGTGGATGGACATGCGTCTGGATCGGAGGGTGTTGAGGTGTTAAGGAAGGGTGGGTGGTCGCTCGCTCTCCTGAGCTCTAGCTGCAGGGCAAAAGTCTCGCCTGGCGTTCGCTGAATTAGCTTGGAGACAACCACACATCCTCCTCCTCGACGAGCCGACGAACCATCTTGACATCGAAACCATCGAAGCCCTGGTGACTTCACCTTCTGTTTCCACACACTGCTGTGTTCCTCTCCTTCCTTTCTCTCCATCCTCCCTTCATCTCGCCCTCATCTTTCTCCTCCTCCTTTTCCCCTCCACCGCTCCTTGTGTCTCTCTCCTCCTGTGATCCTTTCCCTGCGGCGCGAGCTCTGCTGACCTCTCTGACTCTCACTGCAGGCCATGGCTGTCAACAAGTTCGAAGGAGGCGTCGTGCTGGTTTGGCACAGCCTCTCCTTCCTCTCTCCTAACTCACTTCACAGGTGAGTCATGACGAGCGCCTGATTCAGCTGGTGGCGGACGAGCTGTGGCACGTGGAGAGGCGAGAGGTGAGGAGAGGCGAGAGGTGAGGAGGAGAGGCTGAAGGGGGAGCAGGGAGACAAGCCGGGCAGCGTCACGATCTTCGAGGGAAGCTTCGAAGAGTACCGCGACATGCTGCAGGAGCGCTTCCAGTCGCAGAACCTTCTCCACGTCTCCATGGCAAGGAAGTTGTAAAGAGAGGAAGAGGAGGAGGAGGAGGAGGGAGGAGAAGGAGATGGGTGCAACTCAGGTGGGTGAGGTTAGTTTATTCTCGCTTATCAGACGTTAGTGAAAGGGAGGGAGGGACTTCGCTGCCCTGCTTCTCATCAGTTCAGCTCCTTCAATGACGTGCGAGCACGCAGCATCTGCGAGCTCTTGGTCGGCGTCTCTTGGCTGCTCCTCGTCCTCTCCGGCATCACCTTCTTGGGCGTCGCCAGCCTCATGGACTTCTGCATGGAGGAGGCGCCACTCGAGCTCGCTGCCTTGTCAGCAGGAGGAGGTACCTTGTTGTCTCCATCCTCCTCCGATGCCTCTGCAGCTACCGGGGCATCTGCCGCCTCCTCCTCCTCCTGTTCCTGCACTGGGGCCTCAGGAGCTCCCATGGCCAGCTGGTCGCAGATCTGGAGGAAGCGAGCATCTTGCTCCTGCTGCTGCTCGGGCTGCAGTCCAGCAACGATCTCCTCGTGTGGCGGCGTCGCCGTGAACTTCTCCTGGAAGACGAACTCCTTGTTGGGAGGAGGACGCGGCACCTGCTCCTCCATCTTGGCGATCTTCGTGCAGTACTCCGTCACGCTGCCGCTCAGCCCGTTCATCCCCTCCTGCTGTCCCTCCTCCTGCGCCTTGAGCTCGCGCTCCCCGCACTCGAGGAACGCCTGCTCCCCCGCCCGCGCCTCCTCCAGCAGCTTCTTGCTCCCTGCCGTGAACGACCCGACGCGGGCACTTGTCTGCTTCAGCGCCTCCGCCATGCCCTTCATGTCCTTGGATTGCGCCTGCATCTTCGAGGTCCAGGCGTCTTTCTCTTCCTGCAGAGAGGCCTTGAGGGCCTGCTCCTCCTCCTCCAGCACTGCAAGCAGCTCCTTCACAGCGCCAGCCTCTACCTCCTCCACCTTGGCAGTCCTCCCCGCCACTCCCTCCGACACCTCCGGTCGAGTCGCCATCATCGCAAGCACGTTCTTCTTCTCCTCCTCGAGCCCGCTGCGCGCTACCTCCTCCATCCTCTTCACTTCCTCCTGCACAAACTCTGCCATGGTCGCTGCTCCCTCCTCTGCCTTCTGTGCCTGTCCAAGCACTGATGCCTTTAGCTCCAGCAGGGGGCTCACGTCCAGCTGGAACTGAGCAGTCTCGCCCATGAGGGCCTCCGACCGAGCGAAGACGGGGACAAGCAGCTGGGCAACAGCTGACCCGTCCTCGCCCACCTTGCTCGAGAGCTTCTCCTCCTCTGACATGGCCTTCTCGACGGCCTCCTGGCACTTGACGTCGCTCTGGGCCCACTGCTTCACCTCCGCCTCGAGCTTCTCCTGCAGCCCCTGCAGCTCCTTGAAGGCTCCGTCGCTCGCAGAGGAGGCGGCAGCTCCTTCCTCCACCGCCTGCTCCAGCTGAGCGTCCACCTTGGCGTTGCTCTCCTTCCAGCTGACCGTCTCCTCCCGCAGGCTCCTGATCCTCTCCTGCTGCGTCGAGTTGCGACCAGCCATGGACTCCCGCAGCTCCTGGCCCTCCTCCTTCGCGCTCACCAGCATTTCTCCGACAAGCTTGTTTGCCTCGCTCCACCTCTGCGCCTCCTCCTTGAGCTTGGTTGCCCCGGCCTTCACCATCTCCTCTCCCTTCCCAACGCCCTCTTGTACCTCCGAGTTCTTGGCTGCATGCTCCTTCACCGTCGCCTCCACTTCCCGGGCTGCCTGTCCCCAGCTCGCCACCTGCTCACGAGCCTCCTCTGCAATCTTCTGCGCCTCCTGAGACAGCTTCTCCATGCGCTCCTTCATCTCCTCCCGTTCTCCTCGCAACGTGTCGTTGCTGCCGACCAGCACCGCGTGGTCTCTTCCTCCTGCCTCTGAAAGCTCCTTGACCTTCAACACAGTCAGTCCCTCCTCTCTTTCCAACCCCTTCCATCCCTTCCATCCTGCTCTCCTCCCCGTCTCCTCTCCTTTCCCCTCCCACCAGCTTGCTTGTCCCTCTCCTCCACCTCACCTGCAGGTGCAGCACTTGCTGCAAACTTGCCATAACGGTGGCGACCAGCTGCTGCTGGCCAGCTCGCTGGGCCTCCAGACCCTCGTCGAGCTTCTTCCTCTGCTCCGTTAGCTGCTCCTGCTGCTCCTCGAGCAGGCTGTTCTGCTGCTGGATAATCTGCTGGAGCCTCTCATGCCCCTCTTGCAAGTGGAGAAGGAGACTCTTCTCCCTGGCCTCCTGCTCCCGCAAACTTGCCGCCGTGCCCAGCAGGCCCTCGTGCTGCCCCTTCAGCTGGCCGCGCAGGGCTCCGGCGTGCAGCATCAGGTCTTGCTCCCAGGAGGAGATGGAGGAGGCGTGAAGCTCGAAGATGTTCCCCTCCTCTTGCTTCACCAACGTGTCCTCCAGGTGGGACTTGATCCTCTCGAACGCCTCCTCCTGCTCCTCCAGGCAGCGGCTCAGGAGCTCAGTGGTCCCGTCGATAGCAGCAAGGTGCCCCTCCTCCGGCGATCCCTGCCTCAGCTGCTCCAGCGCGGACCTGATCGTCTCCTGCTGCTGCTGGAGCATGCCTGCAATCTTCTTCATCTCCTCCTCTGCTCTCGTCCTCGTCTGCTCGACAAGCTCGCCTGCCTGCTCGTCCCTCTGACCCTCCCGCTGTGCCTTGAGGAGGGAGGCGAGCGAAGCTCGCTGGGCCCCAAGGAGCTGGACGTGGCTCTCTGTGCAGTTTCTCAGCTTCTCCGCCAGAGCTTCCAGCTGGGCGTGCAGGGTCTTCTCCGACTCTGCGTGCGAGCCGAGGTCCTCCTGCAGCTTCAGCAGGGACGCCTCCTGCTTCTCCAGCAGAGCCTTGGCCTCCTCGAGCACCAAGCGGGTGCTGGTCGCCCTCTCCTCCATCCCTCTCTTAGTCTCGCCGCATCCTGCCAGGAACTTTTCGTTCGCCTCCTCCATGGCCTTCAAAGTAGACTCGCCCCACCCTCGCAGAGCCTCCTCCGCTGCTTCCACGTGCGCTCGGAGCTGGGCTGCCTCCTCTTCGATGGAGTTCTGGCAGGAGAGGAGAGATGTCCTGAGGGAGTTGCTTTTCAGCTTGAACGTCTCCTCCACCTCCTTCATCCTCTTGCCCGTCTCCTCTACCGCCGCCTGCATCCTTCCCTCCACCTCCCCGCTGCTCCCCTTCATCTTCTCCTCGAAGGCCGAGAACGAGCTCAGCAGACCCTCCAGCTCCTTCAGCTGGGCCTCACGCGCTGCTTCGCTCTCCTTCAGGAAGTTCGAGCTGCTGGACCGGCTGGTCGCGCAGAAGTCGAGGAGGAGGCCACGGAGACTATTCATCCTCACCTCCGCGTTCTTGCTGAACTCCACAGAGGCCAGTCGACGTTTCTCCTCCTCCATCGTCTGCTCCATCAGCTTCTCGTGCAGCATCGACCCGTTTGCGATGCTCTCCTTCAGCGTCGTGAGCAGGGCGCCTGCCTCCTCCCTCAGCTTCTCCTCCGTGGCCTTGCGGGCCTCCACAATCTCCGAGGTCTTGGCGAGCTCGAACTTGGTCTCCAGGAGCTCCTCTGTTGTCTTGCGATTGCGGGCGAGGAGGAAGAGCATCTCCTCCTTCTGCTTCTCCACCCTGGCCAGCAGCTCGTCCCGCTCTCTCTCCGCGTTCTCAGCTCGGTCGATGATGATCTGCTGCTGCTGATGCTTCCGGCTCAGTGCCGCCTGGGCCTCCTCGAGCTCAGCCTGCATGTACTGCAGCCTGCACTCCATCTGGTTCCAGTCCTGCACTGATGTTCCCGTGCTGTGGGCGTTGCTGGCGCTCTCGGGCCTCTTCCTCTCCGCGTCTCCGATTTTGAGGTAGCTCGTTGCCACGGGCTTGTTCTGGATGCCGTGCGCTGCCTGCGCGTAGTTGAGCGTCGACAGCGTCTCATCCACTGCTAGCACGGAGGGGGAGATGGTGGCAATGATCACGGTCTTGCACTTGCCCCCTAGAGACTCTTGCAGCAGGCGGGTCAGCTTGCTGTCCCTGTAGGGGATCCTCTGAACGTGCCCCTCCCTCAGGGCGCTGATGACGCGGCCAAGGGTGAGGAGGGACTGGTTGATGTTCTTTCGCTCTCGCTCCTTCTGCGCGTTCTCCGATCCTGCCGTCTTTGCGCACTCACTCCCGGCAAGGTCGACCAGGTGAAGCTTCCCAGTACACTCCATGATGGAGCCAGAGTCGTCAACCTTCTTCCTGGAATGCACCTTGAGGGTAAAGAGGCAGTGGCTGCGGGAAGACTGCTTGTTCATCTTCGTCTCACCCACCCTCCTCCTCTCCTGAGCCTTCTGCATCAGCCTGAGAACATCCTCAGCCGACGTGACGATCGTCTCAGACAGGTTGTGCACGAAGATCCCCTTCCCTCGCGGCCTCGTGTCCTCGCAGATCTGCAGCTTCACATCCTTCCCGTCATCGACCAGAAGGTCTGCCAGCTCCTCGTTGTAGATCTCCAGGTATGAGGCGGAGACAGACGACTCCACATACTGCTCTGTCTTGAGCCTCTCGAAGATCGCATGCGCGGCTCGGGGGATCACACCACGGTTGTTCTCACTCGACAGGTCTCCTTCCATCGTGTGGGTCTTGCCTGTGCCGGTTTGACCGTAAGCGAACATGGTACATTCGAAGCCTTCGAGGACATCGAGAATGTTGGGCGCAATGGTGGTATCGAAGACCTCCTGCTGCGTGGAGAAGGAGGTCAGGACGTCGTCGAAGTTGTAAGTCGTGCGCTGCTGGCGGTTTCCAGCCCCACGAATCACCGTGACCTCCTTCTTCTCTGTGCTTGCTGTGACGACAGGAAGGGTGTTTCCCTTCTGCTCTTTGTCATTCATGGGGCGTACGCGCACGACGACCTGGACGCAGCTCGTCGCTTCCGTTGGCTCGAACGCAGACATCCTGGACTAACTACTCGCTGAATGTACGAACCTGAGGAGAGAGAAAGAATCAGAGATGTTGGGAGAGCAGCAGAGGTGCAGATCAGTCTCTTTACCTGCTTCTTGTCTACTTGTCTGCTTCCTCTCGCTCGCTCTCGCTCTCGCTCTCGGTGCTCCCTTCTTCTACCGTCAGGTTTCTCGCCTTTTTGTTGGGCAAGAACCGAAAATGCCGTTTCTACACGCTAATTCAAATTTACTAATTTTTATACGGTCTGGGTCCGAGTCACCAGTGAACGGGCCAGGCTGGCAATGGCGTCACCGTGACGGTGCCGCGCCGCCGCGTGCCGGGCCCGGCCGCCCCGCGACTCGGGCCCGGAGTCCGCCGGGGGCCGCCGCACCAGCCTGCCTTTACTCAAAGTTAGTCAAAAATCAGCCGGGCATAACACGGCGGGCCGCCCCGGGCCCCTGCCGGGCCCCGCGTGATACACTGGTACACTTGGGTCGAGACTGGTGGCAGCCGGCCCGGCCGCCGGGCCGGCCCGAGGCTGGCCGCGCTGACTCAGTGAATTTCGGAAATCTTTACAAGATGGGTCTCCGACTCGTCACCGTTTTCAACGGTTCAACAAGTTCGGGGTCCGGCACTCTCATGACGGCGGGCGGCCGGCAGCCTGCCATTTTGCCTAAGTGCTGTCAGCCAGTGTGCCGAATAAATGTTACTAGGCTAAAGGATCATACCGTTGAGTGCCGCAGTGCAGCCTGAATACTACCAGTACCGCCGCCGCATGATCCGGTGACGCCGGACCGTGATCGGACGGGCCATCAGTGCGGTCCGGCACACGGTGGCACCGCGGCCGCCACCCGCCGGGCGGGCCCGGCCCGGCGTCCCGGCCCGGGGCCCGGGGTAGTAGTCCGATCCGCAGTGACCGTCAGCTGAAACTGTAGACCTTGCTGCCGACGGTTAGGCCCCTGGACACCATGCGGCAGAAGAACGGCGAAGCGAAGCTGCGATGGGAGCAGATGCGTATGATGGAGGATTTAGCCTTGACCAATGAGGTCCTGAGGAAGGAGATCTTTGAAAAGAAAAAGATTACAGGTTTGTTATCTCCGCTGTGTTTTGTTGATGAGAGAAATCAGTTTTCAGTAGAGTTACAACATTGCAACAGGCCTCCCTCTACCTTTCTTTGACCAACAGCCTCTGAGTGAGGACGAGCACTTGAATGCAATTCCTGAAGATGACGATTCTGATGTACTTCTTGCTGTCAATATGCAAACATCCAAACATCCAATGTTCGATGGCAGAGCAAGAATTACGGTATAGAAGCCATTGCACTGCGTTTCAGCATAGGAGCGCCGAGTTGGCGAAATTGCAGTATTGCGTCAAGAAAGGTCAAGAGTGCACCCATGCATCAAAGTCTGATTATATTTCCACCAGGCTCGTACCATCAGCGTCAAATGGGACGAAGACCAAGTGAAGGAATATGTTGACAGGTCAATTAAGTGTGAATCGAATCTCTTCATCACAATGAAGAAATCAGGATATTTGTCTTCTTTCTCAATGAAGACGTACACTGCTTTCTAAATAGGATGATTGTCTGCATCCAAGAAAAAAGAATGGCAGAATCATATCTTGTAAGATACTGCTAGATGTAAATTTTAGAAGTGACTTCTTCTTGGAAGAGGTATAACATATTTATTGACAACATGCCTATCGATGGCAATGCCAATCTTGGAGATGAGAGCTTGAAGCGTATTAATGTATGTTTCTTCTCAAGGTTTCCTCCTATTCAAATCATACTTTGCAGGTCTCAGTGCTAAGCTCAAACAAGTTGCTCTCATTGAAAGGCACTAATAAGGTACACAAAATATTGTGCTTTTGACGCAGGCTAATGGTTGACTTAACAGTTTGAAAACTTGACTGAAGAGATCATGCTGGATTACAACCGGTGTCTAAACAAGATTGTGTTTGATTTTGCATTGTCAGATCCTTCGATATCAGAAGAGTAAGTAAGCATCTCTCGTGCAACCAAATTCACCGAAGGTCATCGTAGGTTTAAAAGCTTAAAGCTTCCAAAACGACATGCTAAACCTACTGCCCCATATCTAGCAACGGTCCACGTTCCAAGTTATAACTATTCAGCCACAGTATCCACGTTCAAACAGAAGGTTCCTTTTTGGTCCAACACAGCTCTGTTGAACCCTAATGCCTTTTGTAGACCTTTCTTGGTCAACCGCAAGCAGTTCTTGCTTTGCAGTCTGTCCAAAAGGAAAGCTACAAGATTATGGGAACCAAACTCTTTCAAGTGGACCTCTTATCCACAACAGATGCTGAGCACTTCAGACAACTTCAAGCTGACCAGTAAGAGCTCTGAATATCAACATTTATCTTTCAAGTCTTACTTACTTTTCAAGGTTGAAGGGTTCAATTCATATCCTAAAAAGGTCTTGGATTGATGCCATCCGCAACGGAGTGAAAGACAATTTGGATTCACTGGCTACTGACAACGAATTGTCCCTTGAGATCAATGATAAAGTGTCGTATGAGAAGTCGAAGTTGAAATCGTTCGTCACTACGATCAAATATGTACATCATTGGTCATCACAACAGAGAAGAACACACTGACCAAGTTTGTTTGCAGATGATGGAAGACTTTTCATGTCAACTTATTGAAGAATCTTGCAAAGAATATTCTCGCTTCCTCAAGATAGCCGCTTCATATGATGTTGAGATTCACGGTACCAAGGACGTCAGGTCAACCTATGTCCATCCATTCAACTCAGCTATCAAGGAAAGAATTCCTTTGTTCTCACTTGAACTCTGTCCCCAAGATGGAGCATTTGACTTCTCGGTGCCAATCGACACATTCATTAATGATCCTGTCAAAATTTTTGATGATGCAATCGAGACGCTTCAAGATATACCTCTGATAGAAACAGGAATTCTGAAAAAAATGTTTATGGGTAAGCCAAAATTTTTGAAAGTTGTTACTCCAGACTCTGATTTCGCCAAATCTGTGAGTCCGATAGAGAAATCACCGATTCTTTACTTACTCTGATGGTTTTCAGATCCGAAAAGACATTCTTGAAGACATGAAGAAAGCATGCAATCATCTAAAAGATTACATTCGTCAATATGATGATTTTTTGGAGTTCATGAACATGGATTTAACCGAATATGTAAGATCATACGAGGAAAAGGAGACCTCGCTCATTGAAGATGAGAAAGAGATTGAGGAGAGATTACGAGAAAAACAGAGAATTGTTGATGAAATCCCAACATTCATCACGGCAGGAATGTTTCATATCAAGCTAGAGTCCGTGAACAAATTTTTGTCTCAAAAATGTGACACTTTGATCCGAATGATCATGTCTCTCAGTGCAGAGAAGGCAGCATCAAAAAGCAAGATTGTCAATGAAAAATATTCCGAGGTCTACCAAAGGCTCCAAATCCCCTATAAGACGATCGAAGACATTGTCGACTTGGAAGAGTATATCAAAGAAATACCTAAGGAAACGAACCAAGCCCATGAAGTTCTCGAAGAAATGCTTTCGCAATTCGAATTTTTAGACCGATTCAATTTCCAGCTTACTGATGAGCAATTTTCAGACAAATGGAATGCTTATGGGTGAGTTGATTTCATGCACTTGTGGTTTGGCCTTATAACATCTTTTTATTAGATGTCCCAAACGGATCGATGAAAGAGTGAACGAGTTGACACTTCAAATCCAAAAAGATCGTGCTGCTCTAGCCAATGAAATGAAGACTGAGCAAGATGCTTTCGAAAAGGAACTGGATGAAATTGACAAAGCTGTCGATGAATTCCATCAATATAGTAACTTGGATGAAATTGAAGTCATTGGACAAGAAATCAGAGAAAAGTCGGCTTTGTTGAAGTCGTTTTCCGAAAGGGTTAAGTTGTACCAATCCAGAGAAAATCTGTTTGGAGTCAACCAAACAAATTATGATCGTTTATCAAGGATTTCAAAATCCTTTGAGCCTTACGCCCAGTTGTGGATTTCTGGTGACGATTGGAGAAAATGGCAGCAGGCTTGGATGTCAGATTCCTTCACAAATCTCGATCCAGAAGGCATGGAAAAAGATATCACTGAAGCCTCTCGGAACCTTTACAAAGCTATCAAGTCATTCGAAGAAGTTCCACCTTGCCAGCAAGCAGCGCAAAAATTATGGAAAGAAATCGAAGAATTCAAGCCATTGATGCCTACCATTACTGCTCTGAGAAACCCTGGTTTGCGGGATCGTCACTGGGACCTGATGTCTTCTGAGCTTGGATATGAGATTCATACAGACAAAAACCTTAAGTCGCTTAAGGACCTGGTCGAAATGAAGCTCTTTGAACATGAAGAAAGCCTTGTGAAAGTCTCTGATTCTGCATCCAAGGAATTTGCAATCGAATCTGCTTTGGAGAAGATGATGAACGAGTGGAGCACAATGGAGTTTGAAATTGTGTCATATCGCGAGACTGGAACCTACGTTCTGAAAGGGGCCGATGATATCCAGCAAGTGTTGGATGATCACATAGTCATGACTCAAGCTATGAGTTTTTCTCCTTTCAACAAGCCACATGCAGAGAAGCTCGAGTCATGGGCTAAGAGATTGAACAATATTTCTGAAATCATTGAGCAATGGTTGAATTGCCAGAGAAACTGGATGTATTTAGAACCAATCTTCAGTTCTGACGACATCATGAAACAGCTGCCAACTGAAGGGCAAAAATTTCGGACATGTGATCGACTTTGGCGCAAGTATTTAGGTATGGCTCACGAGTCGCCGAATTGTCTTCAGTTTTCCGATACGGAAGATCTTCTTTCCATTTTCAGTCAAGCGTATAGCACTTTGGAACAAGTACAGAAAGGGTTGAGCGACTATCTCGAATCAAAGCGACAATCGTTCGCTAGATTTTATTTCCTCTCAAACGAAGAACTTCTCGAAATTTTGTCCCAAACAAAAGACCCCAAGGCAGTTCAACCTCATCTTCGGAAATGTTTTGAAGCTATCCACAGAGTTGAGTTCGAAGACGATCTTGCAATGTCATGTATGTTCTCAGGCGAAGGTGAAAAAGTTGTATGGGACTCGACTGTTTATCCAGAGGGCAATGTGGAGTTCTGGTTGACCGATGTAGAAAGAATGATGAGAATGTCTGTCAACACTCATATGGCTAAATCTATGAAAAGTTATTTGGAGACAGATCGCAAGCAATGGGTGCTTGAATGGCCAGGTCAAGTGATTCTTGGAGTAGACCAGGCGTACTGGAGCAAAGAGACAGGTGAAGCAATCGAGAACGATGACCTGAAAGGATACCACAAGAAATGCCATGAACAACTGCTTGACATCACAACGCTTGTCAGATTGCCTTTGACCAGCTTGCAACGAGTATCTTTGGGAGCTCTTGTCACATTGGACGTTCACGGGCGTGATGTTGTGGAAAAATTGAGCTTGGCAGGTGTGAAACAAGCATCTGATTTTGAATGGGTGGCGCAGCTGCGATATTACTGGAAAACAAGTGACCAAGCATTCTCTGGGAGTGAATGCTTGTTCCTCATGCAAGTTGAAAACTCATTTCGGTATGGATGCGAATACCTGGGCAATTCAATGAGATTGGTCGTGACTCCTCTGACGGATCGAATATATTTGACTCTGACCGGCGCGTTGGGTATGGCGCTTGGAGGAGCTCCGGCAGGCCCAGCAGGTACAGGGAAAACAGAAACGACGAAAGATCTTGCAAAAGCCATGGCAAAACAGTGCATTGTCTTCAACTGCCAAGAAGGCATGGACTACATTATGGTGGGAAAGTTCTTCAAAGGGCTAGCGATGAGCGGAGCGTGGGCATGTTTTGACGAATTCAACAGGATCAATATTGAAGTCTTGTCCGTGATTGCTCAACAGCTTCTGACGATAAATCAAGCCATCGTGAACAAATTGGAGAGATTCGTGTTTGAAGGAGTGGAAATATCGCTAAACCCAGAAAATGCTTCTTTCATTACGATGAATCCTGGGTACGCTGGCAGGACTGAATTACCAGATAATTTGAAAATTCTATTTCGGCCCGTTGCTTGCATGGTTCCCAACTATGCACTGATAGGAGAAATAAGGCTTTTTTCCTTCGGTTTTGAAAATCCGAGAGAGCTGGCAGAAAAAATGGTGAACTGTTTCAAACTTTCTTCCGAGCAGTTGTCATCTCAAGATCATTATGACTTCGGTATGCGAGCGGTGAATACTGTGATATCTGCAGCAGGAAACAACAAGCGAATGAATCCAGATTTTGATGAGGCGATCTTGATGCTTCGTGCACTTAAGGACTCTAATCTTCCCAAGTTCTTATCAGACGATATCGTTCTATTCAGCGGTATCATTTCAGATCTCTTTCCTGGGGTAAAACTTCCTGATCCTGACTACGGAAGCCTCATGAAGAAGATGAAAGAAATCACCGCAAGTCTCGGATTGCAGTGTGTTGACATGTTTCTGGAGAAAGCGATTCAGATATATGATGTTACCGTGCTTAGACATGGACTCATGACGGTGGGTCCAGCTGGGGGTGGAAAAACCTGTTGTAAAAATATGCTTGCAAAAACTCTCACAACCTTGAAGAAGGAAAGCGATGAATATTATGAAGTTCGGCAACTTGTCATGAATCCAAAATCGATAACGATGGGACAGCTGTACGGCAGCTTTGATGAAGCCACCCATGAATGGGAGGATGGTGTCCTTTGCAAGTTATTTCGTGACGCAGTGTATGACGTAAGTGAACGACAAAAGTGGGTCATCTTTGATGGTCCAGTAGACGCGCTCTGGATAGAAAGCATGAACACTGTATTGGACGAGAACAAGAAGTTGTGTCTTGTCAGCGGGGAAATCATCACAATGACAAACTGGATGAGGATGATCTTTGAGGTGGAGGACCTGGCGGTTGCGTCTCCAGCAACTGTCAGCAGGGTGGGAATCATTTACTTGGACCCGAGTGCTACCGTCGGTACGCAAGCGATGGTAGCCTCTTGGCTGCAGACGTTGCCGCACGACCTGAGTCGCTATGGGAAGGACTTCAAGAAACTGTTCGATCAGTTGCTTGACGACGCGTTGGACTTTCACTACCGTGAGTTGAGTGAATATGTCAGAACCGTTGAGCCGAATCGTTGGAGAAGTGTGTTGAACATTATCGACGGGTTTCTGAAAGACTACAGAGTACGGGAAGGAGAGACAGTAGAAAAAGAGAAGGTGGAAAATTTCAAAAACAACATTGAACCGATCTTTCTTTTCTCTTTGACGTGGGGGATCGCAGGATCATGTGATGATAAAAGCAGGAACAAGTTCAATGATTGGATCCGAATGAAGAAAACTTTGCCACAGAAAGGTTCTGTGTTCGATTACATTTTTAATGTTGAAGAGGGAAAGTGGCAGGGCTGGATGGAAACTGTTCCTCCAGTCAAGATTGATCCTCGCAAGCCTTTTTCAGATCTGCTGGTTCCTACCAAAGAATCAATAAGCTCTTCTTTTATGATAGACCACATTTGCACTCAGCTCAAGCACGTCTTGTGTGTGGGTCCCACAGGAACAGGAAAGACAGTGACCATCAAGCAAAAGCTTATGAACGATATGGATTCTTCGGTGTACAATCCGGTCTTCCTGATGTTCTCAGCCCAGACCAGCGCGAATCAAACACAAGACATTATAGACTCAAAAATGGACAAGAGAAGAAAAGGAGTTTACGGGCCCCCGGCTGGCAAGAAATACATCATCTTCGTTGACGATCTCAACATGCCTCAAAGAGAAGTGTACTTTGCTCAGCCTCCAATCGAAATTCTCAGACAATGGATGGACCATGGCGGCTGGTATGACAGGAAGACACATCAATTCAACTCCATCATAGATGTCATGTTTGTTGGCGCTATGGGACCCCCAGGAGGTGGACGTCAACCAGTCACCAATCGTTTCCTACGGCACTTCACCCATCTGGCCTTCCCGGAATTCAGTGACAAAAGTATGAAGATCATCTTCGGAAAAATTTTGAGCACCCATCTCGAAAACTTCTTTCCTGCCTCAATGCTGTCGTTAGTGGATCCAATTTGTGATGCATCGTTAGAATTGTACCACAAAGCCTTGGCAGAGCTCTTGCCAACGCCCTCAAAATCACATTACACCTTCAACTTGCGTGATTTTGCAAGAATTTTTCAAGGGATCATGATGGCGGACTCCAAGAAGTTGGCAGAAGACTCTGATGTTTTCATTCGATTGTGGGCCCACGAGTGTACCAGGATCTTCAGGGACAGACTTACGGATCAACAGGATCGAGAGTGGTTTGACAGGGCCTTAATCTCCTTGACTTCTGCACATTTCCAAAAGCCATGGGGTGATCTTGTGAAGACTGACAGAATCTTCTTCAACGACTTCATGAGCTCTCAAGCCAACTCATATGCAGAAGTCGAAGACCAGGTGAAGCTCAGAAAGACAATTGAAAGCTTCCTGGAAGATTACAATGCTCAGACGAACAAGCCGATGAACCTGGTCATGTTCCTTGACGCGATAGACCATGTCTGTCGAATCAGTCGAATCTTGAGACAACCCAAAGGGAATGCTCTTCTTCTTGGAGTTGGTGGTAGTGGACGCCAGAGCCTTACGAGGGTAGCAGCATTCATCGCGCAGATGAGCTGTATGCAGATAGAAATCTCAAAGGGTTATGGCAGGAATGAGTGGAAGGATGATATCAAGAAGGTGCTCTTACAGGCGGGAAAAGATGGCAAGCCAACCGTGTTTCTCTTCACGGACTCTCAGATTGCTATGGAATCATTTCTCGAAGACATTAACGGAATCTTGAATTCTGGTGAGGTCCCGAATATCTGGGATTTATCAGACACGGATATGATATCCCAAGCTATTCGTCCAATCTGTCAAGCAGAAGGAATCCCACTCACAAACAAATATTCATGAACGATTTCTTGCTCGGGTGCAGTCTTTTTTGCATGTTGTTCTTGCATTTTCTCCAGTCGGGAATGCATTTCGTACTCGACTTCGAAATTTCCCGAGTTTAGTGACATGTTGTACCATCGACTGGTTCATGGAATGGCCTGCAGAGGCCTTACGTGGTGTGGCTGAAGAAGCCTTCGCAGGCATCAACTTCTCAGAGGATAAAACCAAGAATGGTATCGTATCGCTCTGCCGCGACATCCACCAGGGCGTTGAACATACATCGATCCGCTACGCGTTAGAGATGCGAAGGCACAACTATGTGACCCCGACCAGCTACCTGGAACTTCTAAATATCTTCAAGCATGTGCTATCTGAGAAGAGGAATGAACTCTCGGTCTCCAAGAAGAGGCTGTCTGTGGGATTGGACAAACTGGACTCGACGGAGAAGGATGTAGCAGTCATGAAGATTGAGTTGATTGACTTGCAGCCGGTCCTGGAGAAGACAGCCATAGAAGTGGAAGAATTGATGAAGAAGATTGAAGCCGACAAGCAGATGGCCAGTGAGAAGAAGGCAGTGGTTGAAGTGGAAGAGGAGGCCGCGTCGAAGAAAGCAACAGAGTGCAAGGAGATCAAGGACTCAGCTGAAGCTGGACTCGCTGAAGCCTTGCCTGCCTTAGATGAGGCAGTGGCATGCCTGAAAAATCTCAAAATGTCGGACATTGGAGAAGTGGCGAAATACAGTCACCCTCCCGCTCTTGTCAAACTTGTCATTGAAAGTTTGTGCATCATGTTTCAGATTGCTCCGACGAAAGTTGGTGAAGCCGGAAAGAAAGTGGATGATTTCTGGATTCCTGGGAAGAAACTCTTAGGAGATGCAAAGGGTCTTCTAGACAGGATGTTCGATTATGACAAGGATCACATTCCTGACAAAGTGATCAAGAGCATCCAAAAGTATATCGACAACCCAGACTTCCTGCCCGCCAAGATTGAGTCCGTCTCAAAAGCATGTACAGCCATGTGCCAGTGGACGCGTGCCATGCATACGTATCACTACGTGGCCCTGGATGTAGAGCCGAAGAGAATCGCACTGGCCAAAGCTGAGAAGGAGTTGCAAGAGGTTGAATCGAACCTGGCTGTCCTGCAAAGTCAGCTGAAGGAGATCACGGACGGTCTACAACGCCTGGAAGCAGACTTCGAGGCTGCGGTCGCAAAGAAGAGCGAGTTAGCCGCCAAGGCGGAGGATTGCAAGGTCAAGCTTGACCGCGCAGATCGCCTTCTCGGAGGCCTTGGAGGGGAGAAGGTACGATGGCAGGAGACTGTGAAGCAGATAGAAGGTTCTCTGATCAATGTGATCGGCGATTGCATCGTTGCCTCAGGAGGGATCGCTTATCTCGGAGCATTCACCGCGTCGTACCGTGAGGATCAGGAGTCGGACTGGAGGAACAAGCTGAAGGATTATGACATTCCCTTCACTGAAGGAGCGGGAGTGATGAAGACCTTGTCAAACCCTGTGCAGATCCGGTCATGGACGATCTCTGGGCTGCCCACGGACTCGCTGTCTATTGAGAATGCCATCATATTGAGCAAGTCGATGAGGTGGTGCCTGATGATCGATCCGCAGGGGCAGGCGAACAAGTGGATCAAGAACATGCAGAAGGAGAACGGACTCGAAGTCATCAAACTGTCGGATAAAGAGTACTTGCGTTCGCTTGTGAACGCTGTGAGGTTCGGAAAACCTGTTCTGCTGGAGAATGTCGGGGAGGAGCTCGATCCAGCTCTAGAGCCTGTGTTGTTGAAGCAGATCTTCAAGCAGGGTGGTACAGAAATGATCAAGATCGGCGATGAGACCATTGCATATCATCCAGACTTCAACTTCTTCATCACAAGCAAACTTCCTAACCCTCATTACAACCCAGAGACTTGCGTGAAGATCACACTCTTGAACTTTACAGTGAATCAGAATGGATTGGAAGACCAGATTCTAGGGATAGTCGTCGGGAAAGAGAGGCCTGACTTGCAAGAACAGAAGAACCAGCTCGTGGTATCTATGGCGAACATGAGGAAGACTCAGAAAGAGCTCGAGGACAAGATCTTGAAACTGCTCGCAGACTCCGATGGAGACATTCTCGCAGACGAGAGCCTGATAACGGTGCTCTCAGAGGCCAAGATAACCTCCGATGAGATCAAGATCAAAGTGTCCGAGGCAGAGAAGACCGAGAAGGAGATCGACGAGACGCGCGAGACCTACAGACCGATCGCCTTCAAGAGCTCACTGATGTTCTTCTGCGTGTCAGACCTGGCGCTGGTGGACACTATGTACCAGTACTCTCTGCAGTGGTTCCTCGGGTTGTTCGAGATGGGCCTTGAAAACTCTGGGGCGTCCGACGACGTGGAGCAAAGGTCGTCCAACATCAACGAGTACTTCACCTACTCCCTGTACGTCAACATCTGCCGGGGGCTCTTTGAAAGGAGCAAGCTCCTGTTTTCCTTCACGCTATGCATCAAACTGATGATGGGAGAGAACAAGATCGACCCGGCGGAGTGGAGATTTCTCCTGGCTGGCGCAACCAACAACGAGACCCACTTGCCTAACCCAGCCAAGGAGTGGCTGGTCGAAAGCAGCTGGTTGGACATATCAGACTTGTCAAAGCTAGAGACCTTTCAGGGTCTAGATCAAGATATCACGGACAACATTGAAGACTGGAGGCGATACTTCGACAGCAACACCTGTTACAAAGACCAGCTGCCTGGCAAGTGGAACGACCTCTTGTTTCCGTTCCAGAAGCTGCTGGTCCTTCGTTCCCTCAGACAGGACAAGGTCCAGGAGGGGATCATGACATTCGTAGCCAACGAGATGGAGCCCAAGTACATCGAGCCGCCCTCGTTCAACCTCCCCCTTGCCTTCGAGGACTCTTCCCCTACTTGCCCCTTGATCTTCATCCTGTCCTCCGGGGCTGACCCGACCATGTCGTGGATCTCGTTTGCGGAAGAGAGGGGTATGTCAGAGAGGCTAGACTCCATCTCTCTGGGACAGGGACAGGGCCCCATCGCTGAGAGGAAACTCTCCCAGTGCGGGAAGCTCGGATCCTGGCTGCTCCTGCAGAACTGCCACCTGGCAGTGAGCTGGATGCCAAGGATGGAGGCCATCATAGACGCCTTCGACGGCTCCGAGCTTCACCCCGACTTCCGCCTGTGGTTGACTGCCATGCCCAGCCCTCACTTCCCTGTCGCTGTGCTGCAGAACGCGGTCAAGATGACTCTAGAGCCTCCGAAGGGACTCAAGGCCAATGTGATCGGGTCGTTCAAGGACTTCAGCGACGAGTACTTCCAAGAGTGCAAGCAGGTTGACGCTTTCAAGAAGATGATCTTTTCGCTCTGCTGGTTCCATGCTATCATGCAAGAGAGGCGAAAGTTCGGGCCGTTGGGGTGGAACATCTCCTACGACTTCAGCAACAGCGACAGAGATTGTTGCATCACTCAGCTGCGGACGTTCCTCGACAAGTACGACTTTGTCCCCTTCAAAGTCATCCGGGAGCTCTCGGGCGACGTCAACTACGGCGGGAGGATCACCGATGACTGGGATCGGAGGTGTATGAACACTCTCCTCGTAGAGTACGTCTGCCCTGAAGCCATGGAGGAGGGGTACAAGTACTCATCCGACATCAACTACATCCAGCCGCATGCTACTACCCACGAGGAATACATGGAGTTCTTGCGCTCCTGGCCTCTGCAAGCCAACCCTGAGGCCTTTGGGCTGCATGAGAACGCAGACATCACTTGCGCTCAGAACGAAGTGAAGGAGCTCTTCGAGACCATCCTTTCTCTCCAGCCCAGAGTATCAGGAGGAGGAGGGATGAACCGCGAGGAGGTGATCGACCACACGGCTGAGAGCATCCTGAAGCGGCTGCCGGAGCCCTGGCTGCTCATCGACATCCAGAAGAAGTACCCGGTGAAGTACGAGCAGTCGCTCAACACCGTCATCCAGCAGGAGTGCATCCGATACAACAAGCTCCTCGTGGTGATGAAGCAAACCCTCAAGGACGTGCGAGCTGCGTTGAAGGGCATGGTGGTCATGTCGGCCGAGCTCGACTCATTGGCGAACAGCCTCTTCAACAATCAGGTGCCGGCCATGTGGGAGAGCAAGGCGTACCCGAGCTTGAAGCCTCTGGTGCTGTGGGTAGACGACCTTCTTCGTCGCACTGAGTTCATCCAGCACTGGATCGATCATGGCTTGCCTGTCACCTTCTGGATTTCTGGTTTCTTCTTCCCCCAGGCGTTCCTGACGGGAGTCCAGCAGAACTTCGCGAGGAAGAAGCAGATCGGCATCGACACCATCAGCTTCGAGTTCCGCAACCAGGACGTGGACCATACGGAGATCAAGGAGCCGATCGAGGATGGCGCCATCGTGTGGGGGCTGTTCCTGGAAGGAGCCAGGTGGAGCGTGGAGGAGCACTCGCTCATCGAGTCTCGACCCAAGGAGCTCTTCACTCCCTACGTGCCTGTGTGGTTGGCTCCCGTGCAGAACAGACCCCCCAAAGACCCTGCCACGACCCTCATGTGCCCCTGCTACAAGATCTTGACGAGGAAAGGCGTGCTGTCAACGACGGGACATTCCACCAACTTCGTGGTCACCTTCGAGGTGCCTACCAAGCTGAAGCCTCAGCACTGGATCAAGCGAGGAGTCGCCTTGTTCTTGGCCCTTGCCTATTGATGTGATGCAGATGTGATGTAGTAAAGTATTGGTCGACTAGATGCATGCTCCTGGTCAGAGACGAGACCTGCGTTGAGAGGGAAAGGAAGATATTAAGTACATCTCCTCCCTCGCATTGAGTACATCTCCTCCCTCGCATCGCCTCTTTATGCTCTTTTCACTTCTCTTTACTCATACACTTCCAACGCCGTTCATCCTCCAATTCCCTCTCGTTGTCCCTACCTCGATCAATCTTTGACTTGCTTCACGAATGATGTAGAGACGAGCGACTAGGGGAGGAGCGAGGCGCAGTGAGGAGGGAGGAGGGGAGCAGGCAGGAGGAGGAAGGAAGGAGGAGGGAGGAGAGACGGGAGGATTAGGGAGGAGTAGTGATGAGGGAGGAGGGAGGAGGGAGTGACGAGCGGGTCTAGCAAGAAATTGCGACAGGTCAGTCCCCCAACTACCCACCCTACCTATGATTAGGGTTGAAAGCACCCCACCTACAGCATAATTCAGCATGGCGGACCTGGTGAGATGTGAAACAGCGAGAGGGGAGGCAAGGGGAAAAGACGGGGGAGCTGAGATGGAAGGGGGGGAAGGTGGCGTTGGGGAAGGGGAGAAGGTGATGGAGCAGGAGGAGCAGGAGGAGCAGGAGCAGGAGCAGGAGCAGGAGCAGCAGGAGCAGGAGCAGGAGCAGGAGGAATGGTATGAGAGGAGGATCGTGAGGTTTGGGAAGGAGCATCTGTGGGGTTTGAGATTACGAGGGATCCACAGGATGCAGTGTGATGAAGACATGAGGAAGAAGTGCTGATGACGCTGAGAGATCAGGGTAGTGGTATAGAAGGATCAGGAGAATGAGCAAGAAGACGAGGAGAAAAGATTCAGGACACGTAGAAAGAGGAGGAGGCAAGCAGGAGGAAGAGGCAAGGAGGAGGAGGAAGAAGAGGAGGAGGAAGAGGAGGCAGAGGAGGAGGAGGAGGAGGAGGAGGAGGAGGAGGAGGAGGAGGGTGGGGGGGGGGGATCAACGTCGACATTGCTTATGCTACTCCGTGCAGGTTGAGAAGGTGAAACTGAATCGAATCGGCTCCTCTCACGTCACTCCCTCTCTGGTCAATTCTGCCTTGTCTATACATGGGACGGTAGAGCGACACCAAGTCGACTGCACGTGCTGATGACGCTGGCAGATTGCTGCCTTCCCGCACCTGAACGACGTCATAACTGTCGACATGTCAAACCACAAGGTTGAATCCTTGGAATGCAGGTATGCGATGCTGCTTCTCGTCCTTGCTCTGACACTTTCCCGTCGTTCTTCCAAGGCACTGCGATGGCGAATCGACGATAATGCAAGTGAAGGTCCTTGCCGCCGGGGACCTCACCATTGTGATCCTTCACTCCCTGGACGATTGTCGTTGACGTCCGTTCAGATAGTAGCGGGCACCATCGGCGGGGTGGTGAAGATTTGGGATGCAGAGACCTTAAGGCTGATAACGACGTACACGGTTGTTGTTGATTGGTGGCGATGGTGGAAGAGTAATGATCCCCGCAGCTGCCCATGAGGCAAGAAATGCAGGTCGACAGACAAAACTATGCTAAGGGGATTGAGATCGGTGTGCTGTGATGTGCGAGTTTCTTGCAGCACCTGACTCCTGGTCAAGTGAAAACGAGCCAAGGCTACTCCCTCATAGTTGGGACAAACTTTGGAAATTTGCACGTAAGATTGTTTCACATCACCATCTAGTCTGCGTCTTTGATTTCGCTTTCTTGTCTAGGTCTTTGTGAAAGAAGGGGTTTCATTTCTTCACGAGAATGTAAAGGATTGTGTGACGACACGCAGCGAGTGTGACAAGGTTGCTGGAAGGTGCAAGAGGAAGTCCACAAGGATCCAATAGCTGGTGAGTCTCCAGTCAAACAAGCACATCTCGTTGATCTCGCCTCTTGAAGACATCGCAACCAATGGCAAGGAGGGAGACTTGACGGTGGAGGGGTGCAGATTCGCGGTATGAACTCGGTGAGAGGAAGCCGGGCAGGTGACTGTGTCGCCACAGGTGGCTGATGAAGCTGGGAACATATCCGTATGGAGCGTTGCTCCTCTGATTCCGATTCTTTCGGTTTGTTGGAAGAAGCACCTTGCTATGATTTCTGACGGATACTTCCGCCAGTTCAAGGCCGTTGGGGAGAGCTTGACAGCTGTATGCATGCGGAACGACCTTGTGATATCCTCACCCTCTCCTGCTCCTCTCTAAGAAACTGCTGACTGCTGCTGCTGCAAGGTCATCGCGTCAACGATGTTGGGGAAAATTTTGATCTTCAGCCAAACGTGATTCTTGATTGATCCCCCCCGCTTCCTCTTACCAGTGTTGGTAAGGTCCGAGGCCCTTACGTGCGAAATCTCCGCTCACACCAGGAGCATCACGGCGATCTGCATGTGCCGCTGCACTGCATGGTCGGGCCTGCTGGGGTCTGAAGTTTGACAGGCACCCGACGAGAGACTTGGTGGCCTCTGTCTCGGAGGATACCTACATCAACATCTGGTGCGTCCTCGAGGCAGTCGGTGAGGGAACAGGCTGAAGAGTGATGACAGGAACTTGGAGGGTCTGGACTCGAAGGAGATCGAGGCGATCAAATCGATCTCTGTCAAGGACTTGATGATGTGACTGCCCGCTCCTCCTGCTCCTCCCTTCTGTGCCCCCCTGCTCTGATTCCTCCTCCCCCTGCTCCTGCTCCCGCTCCTCCCGCTCCCGCTCCCCCTCCCGCTCCTTGAGCTTTGGCAACACGACAACACCTTGTTATCTTACTCGTCCTCACTTCTCTCGCAGTTGTGGAGTTCAGTTCTTCGGCGATGAACCTTCGAATGTGGCAGCCCTCGGATACGATGTCGAGGCCATCCACGTGATCTCAGGTTAATATCCCTGGCAAGAGCACGACATGTGACGTTGCCCAACGTGACAGGCAGCTCCATTGCTGCTTAGAGCGAATGCTTCACTTCATCAGTCCTCGTCGTATCTTTGCATTTCTACCTTTCCTCTCCATCTTGTAAAACCATCCAGAAACCATTAAATGAGAGCATCAGAAGACTGACTCGGAACAGCAGCACGGCAAAGAATCACAGAGCATGCAATGACAAGCAAGAATGAATTACTTCAGCATTAGACCCTCAGTCAATTCCCTTCTTCAAGTACAGCCTGAGTGCACACAAGATCGGAAATGACGAGCAGGAGCAGGAGCAGGAGCAGGAGCAGGAGCAGGAGCAGGAGCAGGAGCAGGAGCAGGAGTAGGAGCAGGAGCAGGCTCTACGGACGGGTGTAAGCGCCTTGTAAAAGATATATATGTATATAATCTTATACAAAAGAAGTAATTAGCAGAGAGGAATTCAACTACATAATGTATTTATCTTGGTACAAATGAAGAGTCAAAGTAGTGAATCCACTTGTAAAATATGTCCGGCAAACGGTACAATTTCATTTTTTACAATATTTTTGTTACTTTTTAAAAAATTACATATTTTTAAAAGGCGCCCCTTCACGCAAAGCTCCTCTCAAGATCCACTATGCTCGCTCAGGTACAGCGGCCGCTGCGTCAGCTCCCTCACCGGCTCCTCCTCCTGACCCCATTCCTCTCCGTTCCTCCTCCTCTCCCTCTCCTGCTCCCTGTTCATCCCCTGCTCCCTGTTCATCCCCTGTTCTCTCATCCTGGTCCTCCCGTCTTGTGCCTGTTGCTTCACCTGAAACTTTCCGCCTTCGTGGTTCGATGTGTTTACCTCTTCTTCAAACTGACTTGATGGAGTATCTTCTCGCCCCGTATGATCCTAACCTCACAACCATCTCTTCCTTTATCATTCCTGCACTGCCTCTATTGTTCTTCTCGACCGATTGATAATCTTCTATGTTGCACTCAACCCTCCGCACTAGTCGTTGTTCGTATGCTTTGCTTTCTTCTGTTGGCCTCTCCTTGGATGTTCCTCTACGATGGTCTCAATATCTGCCCTTCATGTTTACATCATTTCATGTATCCCTTCGTCACCCTTTACGAACGTCAACCTGCCAGAGCTTGCTGGTTTAAAACTTGTTCATGCGATAGATTAGTGGTGCAGATCTTTTATTTGTATCATTGTGGTTCTGTTCCCTCCTATCACCTGTGCTTTCCTCGTAATCCCTCATATGTTCTCTTTGCTCGATCTCACTGGAAACCAAGTCTCTGATTTCTGGATTGTTTGTGTGGTCTCGGTTTGGTTGCTGTACTGCCATGCTTCATCATCGAAATCTCTCACTCTTCTCTCAAAATACCATGATGATGCTCCTCATTGCACGAAGATCTTGTTTTTCCCTTGTCTCCCCCCCATGTTTTCAACTGACGCTCAGTTCTCTAGCTCTGGAACGCTGCTGAAAACGACACCATCAAGGGTCCTTCTGCTTCCAAGAAGCCCATCCTCGGCCTCCACAACTCCGGATGGCTCTGGTCCCAGGGAGATCATGTGATCAACCCTGCTGTCCACAACATCACCGGCCAGGACACCCACATCCCCTTCCATTAAACCCGCAGATAGGCGTAGAGATCAACTAGCGGCTCCAAACGTGTTGTAATACAATCTGTTCGATGATGTGATGTTGTGTGTTTGAGACCCGATATCTTCTGAGTAGCCTCAAGAAAGCTCGGGGACGAGGGGAGGAGAGAAGGGGGGACATGTAGTCAAGGGATGTTTCTGATGACAAGTAAGGGATTTCGTAAGAGGAAAGAAACTCTCAGACTGTCTCGAGTTCCTTGAGCATCTCGGCGCATCGCTCCTTGAGCCCTGGGCTGTACGAGGCGGACGAACTTGACCTGCCCTGGTCGCCCGCCTGAGCGATACGGGAGAGGAAAACCTGTCACCTAGTCATCGTCCCAGACTCTCCGAGCCAACATCTCACCTTCATGACCATGAGGGCCGTTGAGTCAGAGTGGAAGACTCTGTGTGTCCTGGTGTACCGGCAGACGAGCTTGGCTGCTGCGACAACTTCTCCTGCTTGCCAGAGGTCCAACACTGCCAAGACGAGGATCTCCTGCCTCCGGGGGACGACGGCTTGCAAGAGCCCAGAGGCAGCATCCATGACCAAGTAAGGGCTGCGAGCTGATACCTCTGCTTCCTCCTCTTCACGTGTAGGAACCGGGAACACTCGAAACATGTGCTGGGACATGTGAGACCGGAACAAGTGGGAGGCTTCGATCTGTGCGAAGCTGCCGCATCTCATGCAGCTCTCCAGCAGCCACTCGAGGTCGGCATTCTCCCCGTCCACACCTCCCTCCTCCTGCAAGGACGTCAGACAAGGGATGGGATCGCTCGAGCTCTCCACCTGCGCCATCTGACTGAGGCCGAGTGACCGCATCGATCCTCTCGGGGAGAGGACGGCGAAGTGAAACCCGAGCACCCGAGACCTGCTCCTCGCCAACGCCTGGAGCTCCGACTCCTCCTCCTTCGACAGGCCGTACCGAGCTGGGCCACACCGCAAACTCAAACAGCAGTTGGGCAGGCCGAGCTCGATCGATCTTCTCACCTGCAACGGCAAGTCACGAGCTCGTTCTCACCTCTGCTTCACTCACAAGCAGCGCCCAGCTCTTGGAAAGGTTCGGCCCGCATGCCGGCAAATCCCCCAGCTCGGCCCCAACTAGCGAGCCAGCTCGTGAAGCCGCAAGGTCACCACCTGCGGGGGCCCTCCCGATCTTCCCTGTGCTCAAGGCGAAGAGACAGAGGGAGAGGCTGGAGTCCCGAAGACAAAGAAGCTGAGAGGAGCAAGATAAGGTGTCAGATAAGAAGAAGTGAAGGGACGAGTAGAAGACCTGAGCAACGAGGTAAAGCTGCTCCTCCTCCTTGACTTGCTGAATCACGTCACAAACCCCCCGACAAAATCCTTCTTCTTCCGCAGCCATCGGGGGAAGGTTTGTGGTTGCGACCCCAGACTCGGCAAGAGCGAACACTATTTTGTTGTAATGTTCCATCAAGCTGCTGGTCGCTTGTTCATCGATATCGAGCCTCAACTTGTGCAGCTCCGACCTCACCCAGTCTCGCTCATGGGCGTCCGAGCATGGGTCAGGATGCACAGCGTCGAGAACCTTGACGAGCAGGTCGTGCGGCTGATCTTCTCGCGGGCAGCTCGCAAGGATTTCCTTGACGAGCTTGCAGAGTTGGAAGGGAGACCTGCTGCCGAGGAAGATGCTTAGGTTGTCCGAGTTGAGACCGTGCGAGGTGAACGAGTGCATCGCTTCTCGAGCGTCGAGGATGGCGTCAAAGTCGGCAGGGCCCAGGGGAGGAAGAGGAGGAGACGAAGACGACGGGGGTTGCCAAGTTGGCTGGATCGCCTGCAAGCACTTCACGTGCCTGCTCAGGTTGTCCTGGGTGATCTCTTTCCTCACCAGTGGCAGGGGCTCGAGGGAAGGGTTACAGATGAGAAGCGTCAGCCACAAGACTTGCGGGTCTCCGAACTTGACAAGAACCTTGCTGAGGGTGCTGTACCAGGATGACAAGACAGCCCATGATTTCGCCTCTCCATCCCCCCCATCACGCAGAGACTCGATCGTTTCCCTCCCTTGCGTTAACGACATCCCCTCGAATCCGTTGGCGGGCCCGCCCTCATCGTGGGGAGGAGGAGGAGCGAGGGGGTCGAGAAGCGAGGGGACCGGGTGCTTCGCATCACAGAGCTTGCTCGACCTGTCTGAGATCTTGCGAGCAATGTGGCACAGGACGATGGCCGTATCGAGTAACTTCCTCCCATCCTTCCCCTGGGCGACCTGAGACTTGTACTGCAGGTGCAGGTGCTGGTCGAAGCAGCGCACAAGGCGACGAGGGGAGAGGGAGAGCAGGGCCCCCTCAAAGAGCTGTAGATCCGAGTGAGATGTGGCCAAGGCCAAGAGCTGAAAGAAGACGTCCGCCCCCTCCTCCTGCTGTGCTCCTCCTCCCTTGGTCCGCAACTTGATGAGGACCCGGGCCGCTTCGTTGAGGCTCTCCTCGACTGCTCTGGAGAAGATATCGTCTTCGTCATGGTAGGAGAAGGAGTATCGGTCGATCTTGCTGCTGGTCGGGGCTCCTGGAAGCAACGAGAAATAGAAGGGGTGTTTCATCACAGGGGAGGGGGGGACTCTCGCTAGGATCCCTTCCTCCAGCGACTCCTTGCTGGTCCATCGTGCCATGAGCTTCTCATCCATCTCCGCCTGCACCTCCGCCTTGCTCGCTCTCCACTTCTCCATGATCCCAGCGAAGCTCTCCGCCTTGCAGTGAGCCATCGCAAACGCCAGCAGCTTCGACTTGACCTCACCGTCCATGACCGTGTCCTCCGTCTCCACCAGACTCACGCAGAGGTCCCAGGCAGAAGCTTTCCCAGCCTCGACAAGCAGGTGGATGTACCGGACTGCGTTCTCGAGGAAGGAGCTCTTTTCCACCTTGCTCAGGCTCGTGTTCTGCTTCACTTGATCCACGCTCGCTCGGCTGATCATCTCCATGATTTCCAGCTGAGCTTCCTTGGAACTGAGGCCCAGCAGCACCCCGAATCGCAGAATCTCCTCCCCGTTCACGAGGACCCCCGGAGCCTCCGTGATGAGGCGGCGGACGATGGCGACCGGGTCCTTGTGCTTGCGGATCTGAACAGGAAGAGGCTCAAGCTTGAGCTCGTCGAGGATCTCGACGGCCTCGATCAGCTCCAGCTCCTTCTTCACCTCTTGGAAGGGATCATTGCTCTCCCCTCCTGCTCCCTCCTCCTGCTCCTCCTCGTCACCGCGGGCAGACTTCACGCCCTCCCTCAGCACGGAGATGAGATCCAGACAAGTCTTGGCGTTCTGCCAGGCCGCGTCTCGACAGCAGGAGGCAGAGTCGAAGTTCTCGCGGGAGACCTTGAGGATCAAGGAGACGTAGCCCGACACCAGCTGGTCGCTGCCCTGCGACGAGATGGAGCTGATGGAGCCCTGCATGACCTCGTAGGCCAAGGAGAACATGTTGGCGTCGAGAAGTGCCTCCATGAAGATCAGGCGGCAGCGCTCCACGTCCAGGAAGTCGAAAACCAGCGAGACGAGACCCTGGAATTCATCTCCCGCATCCCGACTGCCGAAGAGATCCTTCTGCAGGTGGCGGAAGGCCGACTGGTTCCTTGCTTCCTGCCTCACCTGGTAGCGGCACATGGATCGGATGGTGCCGTAGCAGACCTCTGCGTCTCTCCTGCAGTCTTGGAAGAAGGCGATCGGCTTGCTGATCCCGTAGCTTTGCAAGACTTCCATGGCTGTGATGTGACGATCGAGCTCGTCTGCCTTGTCCTGCAGCTCCAGGTATCGCGCCTGGTGCTTCACGCCGCTCAGAGCCGCAGCGTCTCTCTTGGGCAGGGAGCAGTAGATGTCACTCGCAGCTTGGAGGAAGTCCTCGTTCTCGCTGCTGGACGCGTACACGCAGCGGAGGGCCACGTCGATCATCGCCATGGGGTCATGCAGGATGCGGTTCTTGGTGATCCGCCCCCACGTGCTCATGCTATGCTGACCGGAGAGGACGGCGAAGACGGAAATGCTTGGGAGAGGACCGAGAGGAAGCTCCTTCTTGTCCCCGGCATCCCCCAGACCTGCTGCCTCCTGCTTGTCTCCCCCGACACCCGCAGATTTTCGACCCTCCTGGGTGAGGTTGCAGACAGCATCCACCGACGAGCTGCTGCTGCAGAGGACGAGGAGCGCCTGGGACGCCTCGCCAGCTGCCATCCCAGCCCACAGGACAGCCTGTTCCCGCACAGGGATGTCCGTCTCGTACTCGGCGATCAGAATCTCCTCCTTCATTCTTCCCCTCAGCACGTCAGGAGGCTTTCTTGACCAGGAGGCAAAGGAGATTGGGCGGACGCTGCTCCAGTCTCGTCCCGTGGCCCCGCAGCTCAGCGTGTAGAGGGGCTCCTCGATGGTCGACCGCTGGAAGACTTTGGCACACCAGTCGATCCTCTCCTTCGCGAGCTCTACCAGGAAGTCGTGCAAGAGCTTCTCCCCCGCCTCCTCCCCGAGGGAGACCAGGAAGGGCCCAGCAAGGTCCCTGAGGTCTGCCACGAACGTTTCCCTGCTGCTGTTCTTGACAAACATGCGCAGCCTCCCCATGGCATCGAGCTTCTCCCACTCGCACAGCTGCACGTCGATGCCGCACTCGTACACGAGGGTGAAGAGATGATTGAACGAGCTTGAGAGCTGCTGGAGCTCAGGTAGCCTCGCCGTGCCCGGGGGGATTTTCCTTGTTACAGACTCCAACAGCTCCAGCGCCACGTCGACCAGCCCTGTCCTCTGCTCTATCTGCACGACCCTCGACTTGCACCAGTCTATCATCTCATCCACCGTCACTTGATGACGCTCCTCCTCCGCATCCTCCGCCATCGTGCGGAGGTCCGGGATCAGCTTGTCAAACTTCTTTGGCCGGCAGGTCTCGGGGAGGTAACTGAGGATGGTGAAGAGTCGAGTGTCCAGGGAAGAGCGGAACCTGTCGTAGACGACCGACAGAGCCTCGCACTCTTCGTCCATCGCCAGCAGGATGACGACGTTGCTCGGCCCTTGCTCGCTGAACCATCTCAGCCGCGTCTCGTTCAGAGAGTCTCCGGGATAGATCGACTGAAATATCTCCAGCCACACCATCCTCTGCTCGAACAGCAACTTCGACTTCTCTATCAGAGGTTTGTCCGCCGTGTCATCCATGGCGGAGAAGTCTTGGAGATACTGCAGACAGCGATCGTACCCGTACTTGGCGAGGACTTTCGCTTCACCGCAGGTCTGGCAGTGTCGTTTGAAGCATTGATCCAGCACCCACTGCAGATCTGAGACATTGCGCAGATACCTGTCGACCGACTCTTCGGAGACCTTGGCATGCAGCCACTGGCTCTTGTAGATCGGATCCCCCGGAAGGTTGTACTTGTCCGCGACCTTGAGAGCCGCTTCATAGTCCTTCATGTCAATCTTCCTCTGTACAACTCGTCCTACCGTGCTCTTACATATCGAGATGAGTCGATACTTCCGCAAGAAGCGCTGATTTTCTATGACGCTTTCCTCCCCTCTCCTTGAGAACGAAGTACCCAGGAGCCTCCTGTACCAGGGAATGTTCGTCGACCCGAAGGCATCGCCAACGGTCTCACCACGGAACGAATCTTCTTCGTTGACTGTTCTGCAGCATTCGAGAACGAACAGACCTCCTTCCTTCTCTGAGATCGCACTTGTGATGCTCGGGTTGATATGGAACTCACCCAGCTCGAGATGATCTTTCGAGTGCTTGCGGATCGGGACAACCACAACTTTGCCATCTCGTCGACTGATTACCAAGGATGTCTCGTCCCACCATGAGATGTCTCCACACGCTGAGAGGAACGAGCTCTGCTTCCTCTCACCCAGCTGATCGCACAGAGGACCTGTAGAACATGCCCGTCAACCATCCTCATCGGACTAAACCTCGCCAAGAGGCCGGGCGAGCATCGAAATGAAGAGAGGAGAACTAGCGTTCGGGAGGGAGGTGAGCAACGTGAAAGCAAGGAGTCATGACAGGGCAGAGCAATCCTTCAAGACACTCCGACTACCTTCTAAGAACAGACGGCAAAAGAGAGAAACAGGATTACCAGCAGGCGAAAGCTTGTAGAGCTCGTCCTGGGTGAAGCGAACTTTGACAGCGAAGGAGACGCAGTCGATGACCGTGATGTCCCCGCAAGCTTCAAGAGCTGCCAACAGATTTCCTGACTCGGAGAAAACCATCTTCATCACCTGATTTGAAACATTCAGCTCAAACCACAGGTGGTCCCCACAGACCATCGTGTCAAGCTCCCGCCTCCCAACGTTTCTCAGCGCAGCCCTCGCCTATAGGAGACATCCTCAGCGTCCTCGGACCCCCTTGCATCAAGATCAGAATAGAATTCTCACCAGATTGACAATCCTCAACGCCTTGTTGGGCTTCTGAACAGCAGTTGAAAACAGGCACTTGAACACTGGGGGTCTGTCTTCTACCGCCCATAGCGAGATGGGAGGGCTGTTTGATGTCCCTTGCGCCTTCTCTGCGTTCCAGCCTCCGATCGCAATGATTTGACGCGCATGCCCGACCACCATACAGGAGACGTTGGTGTGCCATGGCGACAGATCGAGAGGCTCCGGCAGGTAGACCGGCGCCCCGCTCTTGGTCGCTGCGGGGTGGCAGTAGAGCATGCCGTCGTATGAGAGGGCGAGGAGGACCTTGCTAGGGCTAGAGCTGTCGCCCTCACTCAAGCAGCTACTTCGGAGGAAGGCGATGTCAACTGCTGGCGTTGGGAGCGGCAAGAGAGTCGGTATCCGAGCTACCGGCCGAAGATTCGGGACAGAAAGGATCAGTCCGCTTCCATCGACCTCAGCCACTGCAATGCAGCTGCCTTCCTGCTCCCATGCGACCCGCCGCCACTTTCCTGCAGAAAACATGGAGCCATAATCTATCGTAGAGCTCCATTCAGCTTTCGGAAGACAAAATTCATCGGAACCCGACAGCAAGGTCAGACCTATCTCGTGAATGATGATTAAAAGTTTCTTGGTTGGTGACAATTCAAGATTCCAGGCCTTGCGCGCTAGAGCATGCATACGCGCGGCTGCTTCTCCGTTCGCGTACCCCAGGCGAAGCTGTGAAGAAAACTTCCCGTCTTCGATGGTAGACAACCAATATGGGTCTGGGAGAGTTGTGGCTCTATCAGAAAGCGTGACCAAACTTCTTGCGAAGCTTTGATATCCCTGGATTTCCTTTTCATTGCAAGGTAGACCCTCTGCCTGCTGGGTTGCAACGTCATCGGGATGTGCTCGATCCTCTCCATCCATGCCCTCGTCAATGTCCGGCTTCCACACAGCATGGACGAAGAGCTCATTGAGGAAAGTCTCTGAGCCATCGTCCTGCGCCTGCACTACCATCTTCTCCGCTCCCTCCTTTGTAGTTTCCTCTGCTCCCTCCTCCTCTCCTCTCCTCTCCTCGCTCCAGCAGCTTCACTTTCACTTTCACTTCCCCACCACCCGCGTCATTCGTGCATTCCTGACCCCCCTCATCCTGCCCCTCATCCCTCCGCTGACTTCTCTGAGCAATAGAAAACGGGGAGTTTTGAAGGTTTTCAAAAAGTTGATTGGAAAGTAAAAGTGATTCCTCCAAGATTTCGTTGATTGGAAAATGATGATTGCCCTTTACTCAAAGTTCAGTAAGTTAATTCAGGGACCAGTCCTTTTTTAAAATGGGAAGAACGAAAAAGAGGGGCAATCAGCTAAAATACTCCAAGTAACTTTCAATATATCTTTAAAATATTTTCAGTCCCTGAACCTATAAATCTTATTTTGACTGAGCAACCCCTTTTGACGGGGGCCGGCAGCAGCAGATAGCACAACTCAGACCTCGACCAAGCTCTGTCATCTTATAAGTGAGCCTCTAAGTTAATAAGACCAAGGTAGATTGCTGCCAGTGCACGTAATCCTACACGAGGCAGGGGAACAAACGAACACCTGTTCTCCCGAAACAAACGCATGTCGAATATGCAGGTTATTCTCATTTCCTCGAGCTTCAAGTTGGTAGGAGAGGTCCCTGACTGACGCTTCTCGGCAGGCACCAAGCTTCGTTGTCATCCTCTTCATATGCATTGTGCATGTCAAGTCAGAGGATGGTTGTCGGCCATCCTGTCAGTCTAGCGGCACTCTTGCCGATGGCTCCAACTGCGCGGAGAAATGCTGCTGCTGTGAAAATGGCTTTGAGCCCACCATGTACAACAAGAATTGTGCGATATGTCCTGCAGGAAAGTACCTCAAGAAAGGCGCGAAACTGACTGAGGCCAGATGCACTTCGGTAAACAGTAGGGAACGATTATGTAATTCTTCGCTGAAAGCAATGTTGTTGTCAGTGTGTGGCAGGAAAATATGCTCCTGATCAAGCATCTAGCAGTTGCCTCGATGTATACCATACTTTCTATGCGCTCATAGCGGTGTGCTGATGTCCCGTGCCTCAGTGTCAGCAGGGAACCATCAGCGACTCCGGGGCAGCCACATGCACAAAGGCAAGGTTGCAACTATCGATATCTTGTGCTGACAGCTGGACCAGTGTCCAGAGGGCAAGACGACAACAGGAGACGGGAAAACTGTGTGCGAGAAGGCAAGGGGAGGTTGAGGGCTGTGGGTTCCTGATGATGAGGGTCAAGGATTTGGCAAAGTGCAACACAGATGGCGAAGTGGATGCGTTCGGATGCCTCAAGGGATGCATGTCAAAGACAGACTGCAAGGCATCAAAATCATCCACGACCACTGTGAACACGGCAGCAGAACTCAGCAATGCGAAGATGACGACATCCGGTACTTCTTGACCTTGTCTTCCCCTCCTTTGCAGTTCATCTGCACCTTCATTGCTCAGGTTATGTTGAAGCCACATGGTCCAAGGCGACCGGACAAGAAAACTCCATCTGCTGTCACATCGACAGGTACCTCATGGCCTCATTATCCACATGGCTTACCGTCTGCCTTTCAGACAGTCCCAGTGCCTTAAAGACGCCGGTTGCTCAGTCATCGTGGGCACTTCAGGAGCTCGTGAAAGCATGGCGATGGCTCAGCTCCCTCTCTTGATTTGCTCCGCTGCTCTCAGCCTGGCATACTACCATTCCAGCCTGCGTGTCGTTCACTAAATCAGCACTTTGGTGCATAAAACAGTGGAAATTAAAACAGTATCCGAAAACCATTCGATGTTTACAACCGCAAAGCTCATCTGACAATGCTTCGTAAAATGCAACTATGTCTCCCTCCCTCATAGCACCTCTAGCTAGGATCACCGTGTAAATTAGTTCTGGAAGCATGTGCTTCGCCGGTGCGTTAACGATACATACATGGAGTCAATCAGAAATTGACACAGACTTGATTCTTGACATGAATAATCTTATTATTGGTATACAGACATGACTAATTTTATTGATAGATCATCACACCCGAAGCAACGCTGACGTACTGGTTGGATTTCCTTCGTGGAAATCCCTCCGTGATTTGAATCAAAGCGGTGAGCTGTGAGCGAAGGCATTAGTTTCCAGCAGTATCATGCGACAATTATCTCACAGTCTTAATCTCCTCGATTATTGCGACCTTGCGATCTTGAACTTCGTCCAACAGATCTAAGTGCCAGGTCAAAAATAGGGTTTCGAAATGGCAGACAAGCAGCGTACGTGTGACTTCTGCTCGTGTGCTGCTTCTGAAGAAGGACATGATTCTCTTACACTTCTGGAGCTCTTGCTTCAGCTCTGACAGTCTCTTCCCCTTGTCCCCCATGGCTCGCTGCTCCGCTGTCGTCTTGACTTCCCCACCAGTGATGTCACGAATCCTGCCTTCCGATCCCGACCGTACCCACCAACCCGTTATTTGTTTATCCCACCAACTACTAGGTCCGTCTAGTACACAGCCCTTGGGGACGGACCGCTACTTCACTAACCCTACCCCCTAAGTACAGCACCTCGTCGGTAACTCCGACGTTAAGTTAAAATCAGTACGAGGACAATCCTGAGGAGATGATTACTACTACGAGAAGAGGCTTGACCCTGCCACCATACCGTCACTCGGACAGATGCTCAACTTGACCGTTCGGAACTCGGAAGCCGGGCGGCTAGTTCCATCATGCCTTTACCGGGTCCGATCATCGCCGGGCGGTGACCGCCGGGTTGAGGCCGTTCAGCCCGGCAGTGGCGCACGAGACTGACTCCCGAGTCCCGCCGCCGGGGCGGAGTCCCGTTCACCGTGTACCGTACCGTGCCGTACACGGTACGGTACGGTCAACCGTGGTTTCCAAGTTCAGTCGTGACTGGGCGACTTAAGTTAAGGCTGCCGCGGCGTGTGCGCGCACTGGGACACTGACCCGCGTGATCGGACCGTGCGGCGGCCGCCGATGGCCCGCCGCCGGTACCGTTGAGAAACTTGTGGCAGCCTGACTCTGTGAGCCTCCGAGAAAGATCCTGGACCGAATGCGTTCAGTGCAAGTAGGCGTCCTTACCGGTCGCGCCGCCCGCGACGGCGTACCGCGGCGTGCCACCCGGTGACCGGGGCCGCCCGGGCCGCCCCGCGGCCTGGCAGTGACCGTACCCGGGGCCGGCGGGCCGCCTCCGAGTCCCGGATTAATTTAACGGTTTACCGTACCGAGTAAATTTCGGGCCCGACCCGGCCGCCGGGCGCAGAAGGTAAATAAGAAGTAGACCCACTTGAGACGGGGTCTTGGTACGGTCCAAGTGAGGGGTAGTATGTACCCCTCTTCGGCCCTCCACGAAGAGTCGCCATGATGTTCTCCAAGCTGGTAGTCCATGCTCGATTCTTCTACACGACCTCACACCTGCTACCTGCTGCTCCCCTCTCCTGCATGCTTGTTGTTATACACCCTTCCTCTTCCTGTTATCACTTACCCTTCATCGCGTTATGACCTACATCGGTTTCATGAAACCCTTGCACCATGTCGTCCCCCGCGCCCTTCTCGTTGTTCTCAGAACTCCCACTCCTCCTTGCTTCCGATTGTTTTGGCTCGTCTATTCTCCTTGCTTATCCTTATCTCTGTGTCTTACTCCCACTGCACATGATTTTAATGTCTCATACTTACCTCACCTGTGCTCTCTCCTGATACAGAATTTCTCGCGTGAATCTTCAATTTGCGTTTCTCGCTGCATTGTTTTTTATATCCCTGGTTATTTCTCGATTTTCTCCCCTTGTTATGACAAGCTCAATCGTGATGTTTGCGTAGTTCTTATCCGATCATGACGAATTTCCTGCCTCAAACTTTTCAGCCTTGTTGAACTGCATCAACTCCCGTGTATGTGTTTCCCTTCCCTCCTGATTTTTGCGCAGTCATCCAACCCTTACGGTGAGGGTAAGATCCAGTCTGGCAAGTGGGTAGGCGGACTTCAGATCTGCCCTGACTTTGATGGATGCCCCATCTCATGGTGCGACGTGCTCACTTCTTTCTCAACGCTTGGCTGCATGATGGCACATGAACGGTTCTGATTTGCTGCTCTTCAGGGCTACCCAGAGGAGCGATTCCGACGGAGGAGCTGCCAGTCCCGCTGGTGTCCAGGGGTAGGAAACCATAGTTGCAGTCTACTTGCGGCTGATGTGCTTCCTGTAGCCGACCAGGTGCTCCCGTCACCTTGGGGGGAACTTACAGGTGAGAGGCAGTGTGCTGTGTTTGAAGAAACTGAGGGCAAGAGTAGGGGGGAGTACAACATGGGACCAGTCTCTGATCATGTCGATCCATACTATGTCTACGCCATCTCTGGTCGTGGAGGATTGATGCAGGCCTTCAACTAAACCTGATACCATTACAAGCCTCACGAATGAATTTACAATCTGCCAGTCTGCTGCTTTCTTGATTAGCTTGCTTTGATGATTGATGAATGATCTTGAGATTTCTTCAAGACACATCTCATTTACGTTCATTTCGAAAGAATAGCATTTCTTACACATAGAAGCTTGCTTGCGATCATACCCCCAGGAAAAATAACAAGACAACAGCGGTTTGGTAAGCATTCGGCGAGATTGCAACGATCGATCAACTTCTTCGCCTTGACCCGGATTTCGGTTTCTTAGAAGGAGGATCTTCAAAATCATCTGTATCGTCGTCATGAACTAAGGATTGATGCAACTCTCCGTTTGATCTCGTATCAAACTCACGCTCCCTCACTGGCACGTCCTTCTTCGCTCTCGAATTTGCTGACATCGTGCTAGCAAAGGCCCCTCCACCGTTGAACTTTTCCGTCGTGAACGGTCGTCGAGGAGAAGGATTCTCCCTGCGGACAGGCGAGATTTCCGCCCTGCCAACAGGCGAAGTTTCAGGTTGTTCTTCTTTAACCTCTTCAACATGTTGCTGCTTCTCAGGTTCTGGAGATATCGATGTTGCCAAACTCTTCGAATCCGGGCGAGGAAACGTCTTGACGCAGAAGACTGTTGGGAGAGCGTGATTGTCCCACATTAGAGTTTTGATTTTTGTCTCGCCCAATTTCATGCAGTTTTCATCCTGTGTAATTCTCCCCAAATATAGCATCTGAACCTTGATGTTCGAAACAAGCTGCTGGACTTGTTGATTCATCAGTCGAATCGAACTTTGGAAATCTTCCAAGTATTGTATCCATCGGAGATATGGAGTGCGCGTGTTCCCATGTGCCTCACTCATGACGTCTTCAAACACAGCCTGATTTTCGTCGAAGCTTCCTTCAAGCGCATCCCACTTTGCTCGGATGAGAGACGGTGATGTGTACAACTCTTCGACCACCGACCACTCTACGTATCTCGTTCTCTCGCTGTGAAACAAGGAGAAGGCAACTTCTGTACTTTCAAATGCCAGTGAGCACTGATCTATTGTCAAGCAGCAGATCATGCCTATCAGTGGACGATCGAACTCTGTTTCAAGCATTTCATGCATTTCCCAATCCTCTGAGCTTGGCGAAGGGTTATCGCATAGATGGCTATGAAACCATCCAACCACTTCAAAACCCGCATACTTGGTTGTATGCTGCCATTCTGGCTTCAAATGAACAGTATTCCGACTAAGACTTGAGATATCTCTTTCCTGTAATCTGCAGGACTTGATATGGACCTTCTTGTCTTCTCTCATTCCGTACAAGAAGCCTATGCTTTCGTTGCAGACATCATTCAATACGAGATCCATGACAGTGACCATTACACCATTATCGACCAAAAAGTGCGTTTTGCTGTTCAAATCGCAATTTGTGGAATCCGACTGTGATGTTAGAGAACTTCTGATCTGATGTTCACGCACTGCACTCTGAACATGTCTAAGCAAACCGGAGGAAATCAGTTTTTGAACATTTGTACATGCATTCTGATAGACCTCCAACTGATCCATGAATGAATTTTTCGCCACATCCAAAGTCTTCTTCATGTCAAGCTTTTGATTAATTGAAGCGATCAAAGAATTGATATCCTCCAATTCTGAATAATGATTTCTAATAGATTGCATCAAGGAATTTCTATCGTTGAAAATCTGTGCTGTTGTCCCTGGCAATATCCTTACATGGCATTTCAGCATGATCATGTCCGACCCCGATTCAAAATGTCGGCAGCAGTTGCACGTTGGATCTGAAACCACACCACAAGCAGCTTTCTGCTTGTTTCTGGAACTCTTCCGGAGTACACCTACCTCACAAGCATTTTCAGCGTCCTGTTCGGGAAGGTTTTTCGCGTGATTTATATCCATCACTGTTTCAGAAGGGTCGATATGACAAGACTTGTCAGAATCCGATCCAGCCCCATCCTCCTGTCTGGCTGATTTCGCTTCATCGTCGTCCTCTGTCTCGTACTTGTCTTCGTCATCTGACAGCACGACGACTTCAGAGTCTTTGGCACGGTGCTCTTCTACAGCTCTGCCTGGTGAGTCATCGACGGGCTCGGATGATAGCACACTATCACCCGCGTACCCATTACATTGTTTGGAAGATTTCATTCGATTAATCCGCTGTCGAATGTTCTGAATATAATGCGGACAATCGCACGGGGTCCTCAAACAAAATGATCTGAATCGAAGAGTGTCTTCGCTTTCTATCTTAACCACGATCAATCCCAACAGGCTGGTGAGCATATCCACGGTATTGCAAGCCAGTTGTTCCGCATCTGTACAGATCCCTTTGGAGAGATTGTAGGTCAGATTAGCGGTAGTAAGGACAGAGCTTATCGTGTTGAACATGCTGGTGGAGATCGCGTCACCAAGTCTGCTAAGATCTTCTGGGGCGGATTTAACAACCAAGAACCATCCTGCAATCGATAGTTTCCCCTCTGCCAGGATTTCCAAGATCATAGCAAGGAGTCCATCCTCTGAAAAATTGTAGCTTAGACGGTAACTCTGTTGCGAATAATGGATCAGTGCAATGAGCTAACAACAATTGTACATCACCTCGACGTAGATATCCCTTCTCTGTCCTATTCGCTTCGACTGTCGTTTTTCCAACAGAATGCCCATGTGCGGCGTGTACGAATGAAGAGAGTACAAGCTCGAAAAAACTTCTGTATAATACACAGGGTCATACATTTTAGTCGAGTTTCATGTTAATACCTTTAGGGATGTGACAGCCTCGCCCTCCGTCTAAAAGTTCATCAGGTTTCGACCGAGGAGTCGATTTGCTTTGTTTATGTGCCCCGTTTGACATAGGACGAGAAGAAATCTCATCCTTTCTGTCGGGAAGTTTGGATTGTGCCTGCGACTCGCTCGCATCAATTTGACAAGGATCAAAGCACTTTTCAGGAGTCATTTCCAGCTTCGAACGAGGCTTTCCCTTGTCATTCTTGCCTTTGTCTCCACCCATCGCTGCGGTTCTTTCCACAGAGAGTTTTCTTCTGGTCCTTGTCCTCAGTACCCCATCCATGCTTCATAGTCTCGCATCCTCTCCCCTCTCGGATGCCTCCCTGCATGATCGTACATGGCGCGCATAAAAGGTGGTCACAGAGCGGGTGAAGTGTGTAGGTGATTTGAGAGGGGTGTGTGGAAGCAAAAGATGGGTGGGGGTTCTTGGACAGCTGAGAAGACAGGTATATTTTGTGGGTACTGGGTAGATGGATGGGTGGTAGGGGTATATTATTGTTGGATGGATCTGGTGGGTAGTATAGTTGGCCACGGTGTAGTGGGTGGGGTGGTACCTATGGTAGGGTTCGTGGGACTGAGGCTCATAACCCTATATCTTCCCAAGCCCCCCGGGGCCCGTAGGGACTGGAGCTGAGAGACTGAAAGGAAAATCAGGCCTGCCTCAGAGCAATCGTGACACGTATCCATAACGGTCGTAACCGTATACTTTGCTCGTACCTGCCTCCTTGTCATCTCCTCGCACCTTCGTCTTTGGCATCTCCTCGTACCTGCCTCCTTGTCATCTCCTCGTACCTGCCTCCTTGTCATCTCCTCGTACCTGCCTCCTTGTCATCTCCTCGTACCTGCCTCCTTGTCATCTCCTCGTACCTGCCTCCTTGTCATCTCCTCGTACCGTCCTCCTTGTCATCTCCTCGTACCGTCCTCCTTGTCATCTTCTCGTTCAGAGAAGTTTTCCTTGCCAACGGTACTATTCTTCGTCTTGTTGAAGCGTGTGGGCTACGGATACTTCGTCAGGATTTTTGTCTTATTACACGTTCGTAAGCTCAGCCAGTGCCGTGCCACCGGTTGTGATGTGACGCAGACTGGTTTAGGTGGTACCATGGCAAAGCTATGATAATCGAGGCGCGATTCGGAAATGGTACCATCGTACCTTTAGCAGTTGGTATAGCTGCTCATGATCGGCGTCGTGTCTCGTTGGTAATTGACTGACATGCACTTGTACGGTGTTCAGGGATCCGAGTTTGCATCTTGGAAGCAAGATGGAACTTGGATTGGTGGTGAAACGGCAGAGAACACAGCATTCATGTGGAGGCAGCTGAATACCACCTCTGTGGGTAAATGGCTATCGAAGGACAGCGGGAAGTTGACAGTTATCACGGATCGAGGAACAGCGATTCTGAAGGGTTTACTCGATACCATGCCTCACGTTGATGTTGTCTTTTGTGCATTTCATATCATTGCGAATATCAACAAGCATTGTAAAGGTGATTTGCCGATACATTCGTTTTCTGGATTTGGCCTAACACCTGTCCTCCTTTCAGCGAATGGTGCTCCAGTCCTCCAGAAGACCGGAAGTCGTACGAACCCAGCTACAGAACCCATGTTTTGGGCAGCTCAGGTATCAGACCTGACAGGAACCCTCCAGTTCTGGTGTTGTCAAGCTACTTCTTCCAGTTGTGGAAGGAAGACAAGGTAACCACATGGGTAAGCTTCCGGGATCGACGGTTGTCTCACTGTGTTGTGTCTCCCATCAGATGCAAGTGTTGAATCGATGGAATCAATCCATCGATTTCAGCAAATTGCATTATGTCCTATGCCCAGCATATACTGCTTCAGATTTTCAAAGTGAAAGTGGGCACTGGGGTCTTATTGTCGTCAATGTGACGGAACGCTGCATAACGTGCCGTAGAGACATTTGTAGCATTGACGGTTCCTTGAAGTGACACAGGTTGTATGATTCGTTGGCAATTACGCCCAAGCCACACATGGATATGATTCAGGGTAAGCGAGGCTTGCTTTCATGATATTGGATGTTGAAGGTGGACGTGATAACATGATAGAATACATGGAAGAGGCGGCAAGCTATCGATCCAACCAACAAGATACATCGCATCTTACTCCATGGTCCCATCACGCAGGCAAGTTGAATTATCATAGCTACTGTACCAGTTCTGAAGGCCCCTTGGCAGATTCCACGACAAACGGACAGCACATCATGCGGTGTTTTCATATGTGCTATGGCGGATTGCATAGTTACAAATGAGGAACTGAACTGTTTCGAACAAAGGGTATTACGCAGTATATACGGCAGTCAATACCCAGATAATTAATATTGGCACATAGCAATACAATATGAACGGGATGACATGTTCATCACACCAATCACTGATTCTCCATACGTATCGTCGGACAGTCACCCGTTCCTATGTGTACTGACAACTTAGCATCATTTTGAAGGAGGACGAGGAGAGGAATGTTTCACCAGGATGAAGAAAAAGGCATCACAAGGAGGAAAGTGGAAAGGGGACCAGAAGGAGGAAGTCACGAGGGGATGACAAGGAGGACGGTACGAGGAGATGGCCAGGACGAAGGTGGCGAGGAGATGCCAAGGAGGCAGGTACGTGGAGATGACAGGGAGGACGGTACGATGAGATGACAAGGAGGACGGTACGATGAAATGACAAGGAGGACGGTACGAGGAGATGACAAGGAGGAAGGTACGATGAGATGACAAGGAGGCAGGTACGAGGAGAGGCCAAGGAGGACGGTACGATGAAATGACAAGGAGGAAGGTACGAGGAGATGCCAAGGAGGAAGGTGCGAGGAGATGCCGAGGAGGAAGGCACAAAATGACAAGGACGAAGGTACGACGAGATGCCAAGGAGGAAGGCACTAGCTAGGGGGATGACACAGACTCGGGCCTGGGGAGGGTACGAGGGGAAAAGGGGGTGGTGGTGATCTGGGAAGGCCGGTGAAATTGACTGTATCTGAAAGGGAATATGAAATGATGATTGCCCTAAAGGGGTGCCACAACTTACTGCCTTTCCATCCGAGGCACTGTCACAGTCTAGTCCGGCGTAAGGCACCAGCACAGGTCACTCAGTGACTTGCTCGACCTACCTTCATCGACTCTGTCTCGATCAGCTTGTGGACTCTAAGCAAGAGGCAGGTTTCGCGCAGCTTCTTGAGGAGCTTGTGGTTGTCCAGTGGCAGCGTTAACTCCTCCTCTTCGCAGAAAGCTGCTGCAGGTGGTCCAGTTGCACTGACCCCACCGTGGCAGATTGTCGCTCGTCACCTGAGAAGGTCAACTCGTCACTCGGATGAATAAGCCAGCTCCAGCAGGTGTCCAGCAGGCACTTACATCGTCTTTGTCCCACAGGGTGACGCTAAGCACCTTGGTCTGACTCGTCATCCTCCACTCGAGCTTCTGCTCCCACTCGGGGTGGATGTTCTTATGCAGGACCTCCGATGCAAACGTTGACAGTCCCGAGCACGCGTTCACGAAGAGCACGCAGTAGGGGTCACAGCCCGAGATCAGGTCCATCCTCGGCAAGTTAGTTGCTCATACCAGCGTCACCCTCAACAGCTTCACCAAAGTCAGAGCTGCTGCCGCAAGAACTTCTTGCTCCTGCTCCTTCTGCTGCGCGATGGCAGCAGCGATGGCTGATGGAACGATTTCCTTCCCGATGCTTGTCAAGAGATCGAGGACTCGCTGCTGGCTGTCGAGGAGTTTGACTTGTCCGATCTTCGTCTCGATCTGCCGTCGGATGCCCTCAAGATCATGCAGCTCCAGCAGCTCACTCTTCCTCCTCTCCAAGATCTCCAACGGCTCCATGCCATAGCGGTTCATCAGATCAGCAGCCGCCAAGATCTCGTCCTCGTTGAAAATCCTGTCATCCCGCTCCTCCTCTGCTTCCTCCTCTGGATGAACTTGGTCTCTCGCGCTTCCTAACGCTCGTCTCCAATGAGGAGGTCCACGCCCTCGCCCTCTCCGAAATCGACGATACCGATCCCGCCTTCCTCCGCCTCCTCTCCCTCCCTCCCGACTACGCCCCCGACTCCCCCTCGGCCCCGACCATCACCTCTCCTGCTAGCCCTTCCGACGACGATGCAGGAGAGCGCTGGGATGCCGACACCTGGCTCCGCCATAGCCGCGCGTGCTCCGGCAAGGCCCGCCTCTCCATGCAGGAGAAGCTCGACATCATCAGCGCCTACTACCTTTCGGTTGCGACGGCGTCGAGCAGCCGGAGGGGAACCCTGGGCCGGCGACTGTCACGATGTTGGACTCGATCACGGCCAGTCAACGTGACTCTTTGACTTTGCTCGCTGCACTGGACGTTACTGAAACATCAGTCCATCACAGCTCCTTCTGACACATCACAGGTTCAGCCTTACAGAGCTCAGCGCCCCAGTGTCGTTGCACCCGTTACAGCCTTGGATGAAAGGGAAGACTAGCGGGAGACTTTAGAGTCTCCGCCTTCTCTCTTCCACTCCTCTCTCCTCTTCAGAGGCAAGGCTTACATGCACGCAAATCGTCAAGGGCCCGGGGCCGAAGATGGAGTGAATTTCCGCTGTTGTGAGTTTTGTATAAAACCAAGTGTGTGGTGTGCATGCCGGTAAATGGCTGACCCTCCGCAGAACCCGGAGTATTATCCGTCTGCGCCGCCCCCACCGCCTCCACCGCCCCCACCCATGGCAGTGCCCGTGGAGCCCAGCAGAAGGGGGTATGATTTCTCGGATGTATCCAACGCGTTCAAGTCGCTCTGCTTCGGTTCAGGCGACAGCTTCGAGATGCAGCTCAGGAATTTCAATTACAGGAATTCGATAGTATCATCCTGGGCATGATCCATACAGGGTTCCTGAATACCCTGTTTGTTCATTGGCCAGGGCAAGATATCATCGAGTCTAACATCCAGACCGTGTACACCAGTCCCGTGCTGTGGACGAATGAGACGATCAATGGGAACTACACGGGTTGACAGGTACGAGGCTGGACACTGTGACGTGTTCCGCGGACCCGAAGATCCCCGAGGCTCGGTCGCAAGATGCCGGGGGAGTGGGGATTCCCAGTGGAATTACCCGATCAGGGCTGTGGACAGCACGTGGTTGCCTCGCAAGTGGCTGTTCCTGTCGGCTTTGTTGGACTCACGTTGCTTGCTCATTTTGCGAGGGGGGCCCTCGTGGACTCATCAGTACCCGGTGACCTCATAGATACGTCGAGGCTGATGATCAGCCGAGGTGGGACCGCTGGAGCGAGTATGGGCCTTCACCTCCAGCGCGATGATCATTATCCGATCCCTACTGCCGCCCAGGGGTGAAATATCATCACAGAGTCAGACGCTTCCGCTGCCGCGATGGCGCTGTCCACGCGGGCTTCGCTTCTGGGCCGCCGGGGATGTGTCGATCCCCTGTAGTCACTGATTACGCCGGGGTAACGTAACCAAATGCCAGTTCCCTTCAAGCCGCAAACGGCGATAAGAACCCTGCCGGGTGAGGGGTGAGGGCCTTCGGTGGCACCGCCGGGCCGATGCCACGCTCAGCCGCTGGGCACCGCCGTACTGAGCCTCGGAGTCCGCCGGGCCCGGCGCGGCCCGCCCGATGCGGTCACCGGACTGGCGCAGTGAAGCGATATAGGCCGCACTGTAATGGCAGACCTCCGCCAGACATGGGTGAAGGGATGGCTTAAGAGGTTAGAAGAGAATGCTCGACTGGGAGAAAGAGCCGGTGAAAGACAATCATGGCGATTCAACGAAGAGGCAGGGAATCTCAAAACCATCTGTCCCACCCTTGGCTGCAGGTAGATTGCATCATTTGTATGACTTTGTAGGATTCTTCACTGACCAGGTTGTCAGATCTGTGTTGATGGTAGGGATCAAGGATGCGTGCGGATTCCCTCCTTGCAGGTGATGCAGAGGATGATAATAACGAAGTACCATGTAACTAGAGACGATCTACAGTCGATGCGGGATGATGTATCCAGAGGAGAGTTTCCCTGAGCTTCACCACGTGGCAACAGAGGTAACATGTTGAAGAGCGATATCTCAGACAGATTCTTTCGATGAGGTGACACTCTCTTACATTCTCGTAGTTTACCACCACATACGGCGGAGAGTTGAGATATGCAGAAGGTGGGGATGCTGGTCGGGTGAAAGGTTGGTGTTTTTTGAAATGGCAAGCAGGTGACGCCGCGGTGGAAGAGATCATAGGTGCTTGTGAAAAAGACTTCAGTGACACATTCGGCAGCAAAGTATTGAATTCAATGCGCCATAATCATCCCTAACAGCATTGGTCGCAGGGATGGTCGAGCTCGGAGCTACCTCACGAAGTTCGCATTGACAATTGTTCCCGGGCGATGGTTGGTGGCAGCTGGCTGTTGTTTCGAAGTTTGGTTGAGTCAAGAGATGGGAAACTAATCAACAAGATGTGTTGTCTTCCTCCACATGTTGAAACAATATCTGACAATCATGAGCTGGAGAAATACTTCCGATCTTGGTTTCAAACTCGGTGGCCATTCTTGCTTCTCTGGGGGGGAGGGATTGAGTACGTACTTGAAAGCGACGAGGAGGCAGGAAGAAGCACTCCTCCGCTGTTTGCAATTGTTTACAAGGCCTTGATAAAGTTGTACAACAAGGCCAGAAGTCATAAGATCCCGGGGTTTGCCTCTGGTTCTTTCCTTCAGCCGCTCCTGAAGATTATGATCGGGGTTCCGACATTCGCAAGCGACCTTCGGGTCAAATTAGCGCTGACCACCATTAAGCAGTTAGAATCATTTGAGAAAACAGCTTTTTTGTTCAGCAGAGACGATGTCATTGTCAACCACACAAATGATTTCTTGCAACACAATGGGATCTACAGATCTTCTGCCCTTGCACTGGCATGCAGAACTTGCAGGCTAGATCTAGTCAGCGCGGTACTGAAAGCAGGATCCCATCTGGCCGACCTTCCTGATAACAACCTGCTTGGCTTCTATCCTCTGCATCACGCATCTCTCCCCATCTTTTCACGTGGATCAGTGTTGCTTTCTTTGAATCTTTCAATTTCTGATCAGATCGACGAATGTAAGCTACGCACAGCTTCATGCTCAGACGGTCAGATCAGAAGGGTAGCAGCTCGCACAAATTTTATCTGTGGTGGCTGGAGCTGGTCTGTAATCTACTGGGTTGCAGGAGAAACAGGATCGGTCCAATTCTCCTCTGCTCACCTTTGTATCTTCCTCGCAGACGTTCATCAGCTTTCCTATTCCTCTGCCACAAACAGCAAACGTGTCATCTGTGCAGGTGTGAAAGCGACGAATCATCAAGGGATCTCGTTCTCCGACGATTGTGTGAGCTTTGGGATTGAGAGACCATACTGCTGCTTGTCAATTCCAGCAAAGCTTTCGATCGCTGCTCTGGATTCAGCTCTTACCATTTCATTTTCTTTGTTGATGAGCGAAGAAGAAAGCGAATTGAAATCTTTCGAGCAGCAAGTAAAAGCCCGACAATCGGATCAGTTTCACATCATACAACTTCTTCTTGAGCAGGGCAGCAAGGAGAACAACGTCTCCAAACCGCTTTCTCAGACAACGCTGGACATTGCGGGCCTCTGGTTTCTGAAGAAGACATTGGGCGCAGGGGATTTCGTAATCACACATTCAGACTTGTTAGAATTCAATGGGAATGATGGTCAGCAAGTTATGCGATCACAACAAGACTTTGTTGATGCGGGTTCAGGTGAAAGTGAAGAGAAGGTGGAGATTGCTGACAAAAATGGGGCGACATCACAATCAGAAACCAAAAATGAGAAGCAGCATCACGTTGAAGGAATTTCCAAAGCAAGTGAGGAGCTAGAACCAAAGTCAGGAGCGAACGGGAAGCGAGCAGGACGGAATTCTGCAACAGTCGGCCGCAGAGAGAAAGTTTCCCTCATCGAGCAGATGGTTCGAGAACTGGATTGGCTCCAGAAAGCTTGCATTCTCAATGAAGATGCGGTAGAGGAGGGAAGGGTACCATCACACGTAGGTGCGGCTAGAGCAAGACCAATCAAGAGGATTGATGAAGGTGCCCACCAGGAGGATTTTGTGGACGCAGGTCACGTCGAGGATGATGATCGCAACGACAAGGAAGACGAGGACATTGAGGAGACTGAGAATATTCAAGTCGAGGAGGATTCTCAAGGAACAGCAGCTCAGGTAGAGGACGATGTCGAGACCGAGCTAGAGTTAAGGGATGGCGTCTGTTGGGAGCTGAGGTTCACTCGTGAGTTCAAGGAAGTCCTGTATTCTCTCAAGAGCCAGCCAGTCCTGCTCCGCTCACTCCTGCTCAACCTCAGCAGGTTGGCAGCTGGAGAGCAGGGCAGAAGCATTATGAAGCAGCTCAAAGGATCTCCTAAGGGCATGCAGATCATGGAGTCTCCGTGTAAGACTTTCAACGACGGCCCTCGTTTCCTCTGGCAGTACGCTGTGGACTACTCCCCCAAGATCAAGAACTTTGTTGAGACCATTCGCCTGTGGCGCATCTGCCTGCAGCATGATGACGTGTCAAAGGGAATGGAGCACATCATCAACTCGTACAAGCGCGGGAGGACGAGCACAGTCAGGAAGCACCTCCGCCCGGCCCACAGGGAGTCGTGCATGGTGGGTAAAAGGCGACTCCCTCGTCAGTACGTCCCTTGCGACGATGGCATGCAGGTGGAGGATCTCCTGCGTGAGGACCTGGAAAAATTCGAAACGCTTGAGGAGGAAGGAGAGGATTCAGCGCGGGCAGGACAGTTGGTGTACACCCCTCCTGCCATCGCGATGCCAGGAAGTTACAACATCGTGAAGTTCTATGAGCTGTCGGATGACGTCAGAAGGTCGATCCTTGCCTCCCTGGACCTGACAGGCAAGGAGGAAGCAGCGAGGAGCAGAGGTCTTTTGGACGAGCCCGAGCTCCCCTTCATCCTTGATGAGCACGAGGACGAGTTGATCAGTGCGATCTCGAGGGCTGAATCTGTGCTGCTGGTCGGACGGTCGGGGACAGGGAAGACCTCGATAGCTATTGGTAGGATGTGGTCCATGCAGAAGCAATGGAGAATGACTTTCGGCGACACTTCAGTCAAGTATCATCAAATATTCCTCACTGCAAGCAAAGTCCTTCGCGATCAGGTTCGGCGGTCGTACGAAGCTCTCAGCTCTAGCAGCAGACAGAAATCTTCTCCTCCTCCTCCTCCTTCGCTCAAGGAAGTGTCGGAGAGTCAGTGGCCGCTCTTTCTGACGCAGGCGGAGTGGCTGAGGATGATCGACGCGACGTTGGATACTCCGTTCTTCCCTCGAGCCGCAGACGGGAGCATGGTGCAGGTCAGCAGACATGGAGACGGCAAAGGTACTGACGTTGTGTGCTAGGGTGGACGACTGGGAGAGGAGGTGAACATGTTGGAAGCCATTCCCGATGAGGACGATTGGCTCTCGGATGACGAAGATTTCTTCTTGATGAATCGTGAGACGGCGAAGGGAGGCAGCAGAAGCCAACCAAGTGGAGGCAGCCAGAAGAAGAAGACAGTCAAGTCGGAGGTCGACTTCCCCTTCTTCTGCGACCACATCTGGCCGAAGTTGAGCTCAAGGCACAAGGCGACTGCCAAGGGCATCTCGGCGTCTGCTGTGTTCCAGGAGATCATGTCCTACATCAAGGGCTCGTACCTCGCCCTGGACAAGCCGAGCGGGAGGCTCTCGCGCGAGGATTATCTGTTTCTCGGAGCGAAGATGGCGCCCAACTTCAAGGGGCTGACGGCCGGAGACAAGGTCGAGCATGTGCCTGGAGATCGGCGAGGACACCGCGACATCATCTACGACCTCTACGAGTCCTACGAGGAGGAGAAGACGAGCCTGGGGGCATACGACCTCTGCGATGTTGTCTTCCACATCTGGTCGACCATGCAGAGGAAGGAGTACGCGGGGAAGAAGATCCACAGCATCTACGTGGACGAGACGCAGGACTTCACGCAGGCGGAGCTGCGGCTGATGCTGAGGGTCTGTGAGGGCAAGAACGACATGTTCTTCTGTGGCGACACCGCGCAGACCATCGCGTCAGGCGTCGCCTTCAGGTTCGAGGACCTCCGTGCTATCTTCAAGTCCGAGCAGGAGGTTCAAGTCTCTGCTCGGGGGAGAGCGAGTGGGCAGGAAGAAGTGCAAGGGGCTGGAAGGAGCAGCGCAGAGATCAAAGTGCCGCAGGTGATTTCTCTCTCCACAAACTACCGCACGCACAACGGCATCCTCAGGGCAGCCTCGTGCATTGTAGATCTGCTCTCTTCCTTGTTCCCTTCCACCGTCGACCTCCTTCCCCGCGAACGAGGTTTCTTCGACGGCCCCAAGCCGATCCTGCTGGACACCACGTCGGTAGAGGATGCTACGCTGCTGATCATGGGCTCCGACAAGGTGACTTCAAGGATCGAGTTTGGGGCCCACCAAGTTGTGCTGGTTCGATCGCAGGAGGCTAAGAAGAAGCTCCCGAAGGAGCTGGACGGATGTCTGGCCATGACGATCTTGGAGTCGAAGGGTCTTGAGTTCGACGATGTCTTCCTATGGAACTTCTTCGCGGACTCGCGCGCGGATCAGGAGTGGAGGGTTGTGCTGAATTATCTGGGAGGAGGAAAAGGCGGCGAGGCCAGCGTGGGGATATCGACGGAGGAGGAGCTGGAGAGGATGGGAAGGGAGAGGGCGACGATCCGGGATACGGGGGTAGCAGGGATGTTGAGGGCGTTGGACTTCTCGGACCGAGAGCACCAGGTGCTCTGCGAGGAGCTCAAGTGTCTCTACACGGCCCTGACTCGCGCGCGGGCCCGGGCGATCATCTACGACACGGACTTGAGGAAGAGGACAGCTTTCTACTACTTCCTCAAGGCGAGAGAGCTGGTGCAGGTGGCTTCCGCCTTTGAGGACGGTGGGGAGTCTCCGACAGCGAGGAGCTTTGCAACGGCAACGTCAGCGGAGGAATGGAGGAAGCAGGGGATGAACTTGATGGAGAGGGGTCTGTTTGACTTGGCCACCAAGTGCTTCGCAAGATCTGGAGACGAGGATCTCCTGAGCCGAGCGAGCGGTCTAGCTCTCACCGAGAGAGCCAGGAGGGAGTTGGGGGCGAGCAGGAAGGCGGCCTTCCTCGACGCGAGCCACGATCTTCTCCGCTCCCTCGCTCCTCCTCCTCCTCCAGTTGCACGTGACATGAATGCGGGTGCCGCTGAGGAGGGCGGGAGGTACAGGAAGATGGACGGTGCGACCGTGCTGAAGACGCTAAGCCTGGCGGGGAGGTGCTTGTATGAAGCAGGAGAGTTCGAGCTAGCGGGCGACATCTTTGTCTCCGCCGTGCAGCTCCAGTCTTCCCTTCAGACTCCTGCAGGAGTCGGCCCGCAAGGTCATGGAGGGTCAGACCTTGGCCTCTCTCGTGACGCTGTCAGGTGCTACCGCAAGGCTGGTCTCTTCCACCAGGCGCTGGATGTGATGGTGAGGATGGGGAAGCTGCCAGCTGCCCTCCGGCTCCTCAAGGAAGAGCACAAGTACGACAGGGCCCTGGAGCTCCTCGAGAGATTCCCGGACTTCCATCCTCCTCCTGACTTGTCCGTGACGGAGTTCTCGCGGCTTGCCGCCGCGTCTTACGCTGTGAAGTTGAGGAGGAGGAACGTCGTGGCCTTGGACGAGAGCAGCACGGACTACAAGGCGTTGACTAACATCCTGTCAAGGATGAGCGAAGCCGACGAGGTCAGGTTTCTGAGGAGGTACGGTTTCTACGACGTGCTGGTTCAGAGGTTCCTTCAGCGGGGGGCGTATACCAAGGCAGCCGAGGTTCTGTGCGAAGACAACAAGGTGCTGGACGGAGTTCGCATGCTCGAGGCGCTGGACAACCCTGGGGCTGTCGAGCTGTCCTTGTGTGCAGACTTGTACGTTCACCTTGCGGTGGAGCAACGAGGGGGCGCCTCTGTCCCTTACTATCGCAGCGCGCTGTCGGTTCTGCAGAGGCTGGACGGGGAGTACAGGAGGAGGCTGGAGGGAGAGCGAGAGAGTGTGGTCTTGCAGGAGAACGTCCGGTTCAATCGGTTGCACATGCTGCAGATCAAGCTCGAGATCTGCAACAGGGTCGAGTCAAGGGGAGAGAGGAGGCGGCAGCTGCTTGAATCGGCACAGGAAGCTGACTCGATGCACTGTACGTTTGGCAAGGTGCTGGCAGGACTCGGGCTTGTCTTCAGCAGTGTGGGAGTGATGTGTCAGGAGAAGAAAGGAGAAGCAGAGGAGGAGGAGGAGGAGACGTCGGGGGGGAGAGGGGAGGAGGAGGAGGAGGAGGAGGCAGAAGGGATCCTCGTCCTCGTCGCAAGAGTCAGGATCCTCTCTAGGGTGATCCAGCTGTGCCTCAGGTCCATCAGCACCCGGGGGGGTGGGCGGGAGGAAGCAGAGTTGCTGGGATGCGAGCAGTTCCTGGGGTTGAGAAGAACCGGGGGGATGTTGACTATCAAGAAGACTCGCTCCTCCCTCCTCCTCCACAACCTGCAGTCGCAGTTGCAGGAGGACAACTTGTCCACCTACCTGCGACCCGGGCACGAAGACACGCTGGTCGTCCAGCCGTTGCTGTTCAGGGAGCGGTTGCGGTCGTTCCTGCAGCTCAAGTACGGAGAGATGCTGCGGGAGGTTCGGAAGGTGGTGGTGCGAAGGGAGACGTTGGGGAAGAGGGTTGAGCGACCTCTCCTGCCGCTGGGGTTGAAGCTGGTGCTCATGTGGCTGACCAACCTGGGAAGGGACTTGGTGGCTCAGAGCAAGAGCCGCAGCCGCGGTCTGGGAGGGGACGGGGGGTTGGGCAGTTGGTTCAGCAAGGAACAAGTTGAGCGCGTTTGCACTGATGTGTCGACGCTGCTGCTGAGCAGCGAGCCTTGCATGCTCACAGACTTTCGCAATGGAAAGCTCGAGGAGGCAAACATCTTGGACGGCCTGCTTGCGTGCGATGCTGGAAGGAGATGCGGGGAAGAGGATCTGAGGAGCGTTCACGAGGACTGCAGGAGCATCTTGCGATCGTGGGCCTTCAAGCTGCATCGTGACTGGAGTCGTCGCCCTCTCATCGACAAGGATGCCAAGGATCTCTCCCTTGTCCTCCTCCTCCTTCGCAGGTTGAACTTCAAGTCTGACTGCGAGCATCTCATCCTTCAGCTCCCGCGCGACGCTGGTTTCACGCCCGGCCCTGTGCGCTTGCCCAGCTCAGACGTGACGGCCCCTGACCACGTTCGGATGCTCCTCGTGTGTGGACTCCCAGGATCGGGAAAGAGCCTGCTGGCCAGTCAGTTCGAAGCGGCAGAATGGCTGGTGATCTCCGAGGAGAGGATGGGGAGTCTGCAGGCTTGCGAAGAGCAGGCGAACTACTGGCTCAAGTTCGGGCACCGGGTCGTGATCGACGCGTACAACGTGGAGGAGCAGGAGAGGGCGAGGTGGATCAGAGTCTCTAGGAGGTGCAACCTGTCGGAAGCTGCTGTGGTTGCCCTCTTGCTCGACGTCCCCGTCCATGTCTGCAAGAACCGCGTGCAGGCGAGAGAGTCGCGCTCCTGCAAAGCCTCCCTCGCCCTCGTCGACAGGATAGCCTCGCAGCTTCGCAGGCCGACGAGGAGCGAGGGCTTCGGGCGGGTGGAGGTGATCAAGGGGGAGGACGATGCGGCCGTTACCGACCTGCTCGCGCTGCCAGCCCCTCCTCCTCTCACCCTGCAGGAGCGAACAGGGTTCGGCATCTCAGGATGGCACCCTCCGATGGTTGTTCCTCAGGCAGGCTGGCACCCGCCCTTGGTGCTGGGCTACAACGCCTTTGCCGCCCTCCATCGCTCCTTCCTGTGCTGCAAGAACGACCTCGTGCTCTCTTCCTCTGCTTACCAGCTCACTCACCTCCAGCTCCACTCCTGGCTGACGATGCCCATGGACGCCTGGACGATGCTGCAGCACGCGCTTGTGGAGAGCGTTGTCTCCATGTCATGGTTCGAGTGCGACGCTGGAGGAGGGGAGAGGGCGGCGACTTCCGTCTGCTGGCTTCCGCTGTCGCACTGCCATCATCTCGTCGGCAGTACTCGCTCTCCTCCTCGCCCGCTCGAGGCTGATGCTTCCTGGGTCCTGCGAAACACACTCAACATGGCTGTATCCCTTGTCCGCAGGAGGATGGAGCGAAGCGAAGAGGATTCTTCTCCTGCCTGCCAAGATGACGGAGATCGCATATCGATTATCATCTGGACTGCGTTGCTGAATCTCCTGCTGCATAAATCCTCGAGTATGAAGGAGATTGGAGCAGAAGGAGGCTGGACAGACGACTGGGCTCCATTCCTTTTCTCAGTTGCAAACCGATTGAGCTCCTTGCTGCCAACAGTCTCCCATCCCAGTCTTTTCCCTCCTGGTTGGAGGCCCGGCACAGGCGAGCTAGACAAGGGCAGGCCTGTCAAGGCAGAGGAGCCGCAGAGCCTAGTTCAGTGTATCTTGCGGATCCTTGAGAAGCGACAAGACCTTCTGGTTGCCGTCGCTTCTCCTCAGAACGATGCAGTGGAAGTCGGTGCAACCAACCAGGAGGACCTAGAGAGGGACTGCAAGGATGGGCTGGACCACTGCCTGTCCTTCTACTCGAAGCTGTCGTCCTCCCCTGCCCCTCCGGGAAGGCAGCGAGAGCTTCCTCGCCCCAGGCTGCCTGCTACTGATGTCCTCGTCCGAGAGGTTCGCTCCGCCTTCACCGTCTGCAGGTTCTTCAAGCTCTGCCGCACCAGGTTTGCCTTGCAGAGGCTCAGAACCCTCGGGGAGAAGCTGCAGGATGAAAACCTGTCAGAAGACCCGCTGGACCCGCTGCTGAGGAAGAATCGCTACCTCATGATCACCGAGCAGGTCATCGGGAGCGAGGAGACTGGGTACCGCAGGGCGTACGTGGACATGAACGGTCCCATCCTGCTCTTCGACGAGTCGCTCGGCGGAGGGTTTCAGCGGACGGCCGACGCGCTTGCTGACTTCAGGAGGGCGTACGAGGGTGAAGTGGCCCGTACGTTGAGCCGTGCTGACGTGGCCTTCATGTCCCTCCATCGCTTCCTGGAGTCGTCGCAGATCAAGAGCCTCAGGTTCGACCCGCTGGTCGTTGACGTGCTGGAGGCCCTTCAGCTGAGGCTCTCCGGGCACATAGTCCAGGTGGAGAAAGTGCTGGAGGAGATCGACAGGGATCGGAGGTGGGAGGAGGGCCTGTCTGCTCATGGGCTGGCTGAGGTACACAGGGGCATGCAGGACGACGTGAAGGAGGCGGAGGAGTGGCGGCAGGAGCTGGAGGAGCATGAGATGAAGCGGCTTGCGCTCTACCGGAAGAACGGGTCTCTGGACAGCAACAACCCACTGGTGAAGGAGGCGATCCCACCAGGATGTCATTGCCGCGCCAGGCACTACGAGCATGACGTCTATTACGATGGCACTGTCGTGGGATGCTCACATGGCAAGGTCGGCAAGGAGCAGGGCGGGACAATGCTACTGATCCAGTTCCACGAGGCACAGCTCGGCGATCAGGTGACCTCCATCCTGGACGTTATCTTCGTGCTGCAGTCAGCGCGACAGGAGGAGCTGCTCCGCAAGTACAGACTCGGCCAGACGGATGCTGAGAACGCGATCGCAGGCGAGAGCGAGGGGCCCGGGTGGGGCAAGAACTTGGGGAGGAGACATCGTGTGAGGAGGTTTGCGAGGAAGGCGGTGTGAGAGAGGTGAGGCAGGAGGAGCCCAAAAGTTTCTCGGAGAGTGCAAGTACAAGGACATGTAAAAAACAAAGACAAGCAGGAGAAGCAGACGCGGCCAGCTAAAGTAATCTTATCTGTTTGCTAAATGATCTCCTTCCACTTCGTCCTGATCAAACATCAATGAAACATTCATCACCAGCATCTCATACCAGCAGCTGCACCATGCTCTTGTCCATGGCCTTGGGGACGACGAGGGCACACATGGGCGTGTGGAATGTGCCGCCTGGTATGCCCCCTTTGATCCCTGACGCCACGATGGCTTTGACGCAGGCAGATACCTTTGAGAAGAGAGGAAGGGAGAAGAGAAGCAGAGAGAAGAGAAGAGTAGGGAGAGGTGAGGGGAGCACAAAAGGAGAGAGAGGCAAAGGAACCCAAGGCAAAGAACGAAAAAATGCAGCAGGAAACGTCAGAGGCACGAGGGGAAAGCAGAGAGGAAGAGGAGAGGATGGAGAGGGGATCAGGGAGAGAAGGAAAGAGGGAGAGGACTCAGGCGGGCACACAGCATCGGGATCTTCATACCTGGATAGGATTGAGGCCCGAGATCATAATCATCGGGAACTTCAGCTGCGCAGGTTCGTCGGGCAGGACACTGTCACGCTCACTCAAGGTAGACACGACGTCCTTGAGCAGCGTCTTCCCGTCGAAGTCCTCCTTCCCCAGCACAGCGATGGGGAGCTGGGGGGCAGTCGTGGCGTCGACCCTCAGCGCGCTCTCTACGACCTCCGACAAGACTTCAAGCTCGTCCTCCCCCAGCCCCCCGACGATGAGCCCCGGGGGTCCGAAGACCCCGTTGACGCCCTGCAGGTTGGACTGCCGCACGAACTTGCCGGCCTCGTTGTTCTTGTCCCCGAAGAAGTTGCCGAAGAGCATGTTAGGAGGAGAAGGTTGGGAGCTACCCCCCCGGATCCTGTGCTGGGACTGCGACGAAATGCGACTTGACGGCCGCAGCAGGAGCAACAAGTTCGAAGTCTTGAGCGCAAAGCCAAAGGCGGAGGAAGCGTTGAAGATGAGCAGGAGAAGAGCAGCAAAGAGGCATGTTGCCTTCATCGTCATCTGCAGCAGAACAAAGCATCAGATTCATTTCAGTGCCATCAAGCAGCGACTACAGCCGAGGCGCCAACACTCTACCCACATCTCTCACCCTCGTCTCAGTCGTTGGCTCTCTCCCTGCATTCACAGCATTCCTTCACATCCTTCCCTCGCTCCCCCTCCTCTCCTCTAACTGAACTTATCGCTTCCATCAGCCATGTTCCGCCTGTTCATTTCAGCTAGCAGTAGTACTTGGTAGTACTTGAGTAGTTTGTCCGGGTGCGGTACGGTGCGGCCCCGGGAATCATCCGACGGGCCCGCCGGTCGGGACTCACCGGGCATGACACTGAAGAAAACAAGGGCGAGGCCATATAAAACCATTTAGTTATATAAAACAGCTCTCACCCAAACATAGTACCAAAATGACTCAATATTTTACTAAAACATTGTACCATATGCTCCGGACACGGTACAATCGGAAAGTGATTTATATTGTTATAAATTCATATCACGAAAAGCACTTTTTTCGTGAACTAATTTGAATCTCGTGCGCTCTGAATACACATAGGGGACGAAAACACTTTTGTTCGAGGACTGCTCAATTTTTCTGATATATGTTGGCGCGTATCAGTTTTCATCCTCAAATAAAGCATGAAAAGAAATTTGTTCAAGGTACTGTCTTGAATATTTCTGTACCATACTTTTGGATCTTGTGTAGTAATATCCATTTGTGGAAAATTAATACATTATAAAGTACATTATCTTCAAATTTGCTGGTGTTTTTAGATCGCCATTTCAGATTGTTTTGGGAGTTGCATCTATGCCCCCCACCCCGGACTCCACCACCCCGGCTAAATGATGACCTACCACCAACATGTTGGAGAAATCTTTCCCCTCCACCCCACCAAGTCCTCAGTTTACTACCTGAATTGTACTGAAATATTAGTCATTGAGTACCCCTTGTTCCATACTTTATGTACCCCTACCAGGTGATTTATCTTTTTACCACCCCACCATTCCCCCTGAGCACTTTTGCCTACCCTTCCCCTTTTTCGGCATATCTATCGACCATGACCCTCCCCTACCCCCTAAATATCAATCAGATTCCACGGTCCTTTTCTCCACGTAAAACACATCCACCCCACCCACACTCCTTCTCTGTCCCCCGTTCGAATCTTTCTGTACCCGTCCTCGACATACCCCCCACCCACTCAATTTGTAGATTTTGACCGTCCATAAGTTGTTTCGGGGGCAATAACCCCACTTCTCCTGGTACATTGTACCATATCTTTTATACCACCCACCCCTCACAATTTCATGGTACCCACCATTGTACTGAACACTGGATCCCGGAACACCACTACCCCTAACATGTGATGTACCCCGACGGCCACTAGCAGGCGAAATAAATCTGTGAATGGCACTGCCTGGAAACTGCAGAAGCGGAGAGGATCGGAGAGACGAGTAAAGTGAGACAGGGAGAGAAGGACAACAATCAAAGAATTAGCAGGATAGAGGAAACAGAATCAAGAAGACGCAAAAGAAATTGCAACAGAGACCAGTGTAGAAGGAGCTTTTCCGTGGAAAAGAGGCACAACATAGAAGATTGCAATAAGGAGCGCAACGCAAGGATAGAAACGGTTGCTTTTGGAGGCTTGCAAGCATCAAATTAAGCGTTCTTCAACGTTGCAAATGCCCTTCAAAGTTGTATCAGAAGTGACAGAAGGAACAATACATAGTGTCACTGCTCCACAACCAGCTTACTTAGAAGATGAAGCTCGAGTTCAAGCCGTGACAAGCTCAGCGAACATCTCTTTCTTACCCAATCAAGTGATTGAGACGGCAACCGAAACTGCAACAGCATATGTTGGAAGTGGTTGTGAATCTTGCATATTGAACATATCCGAACATGCCATGCATTCAGGTTGACACCAGTTTTTATCGATTGCCTTGATTCTGACTTGTCGCCTTGCTGCAGACGTGTTGTCTCATGAAGTATCACACAAGGTTTGAGAGTTGCGCTTGCTTTGCTTTGCGATTCTCACAAGATGCTTCTACAGGATTTCGATTCGATCTCGGAAAAGAAGAAGTCCACCTTGAAGCTCAAATGCCTCAAGTCAGTGGTTCTCAGCGAAGGTGTTACGTGTGCCAACAGCAGGCCTGTGGGAGCATCGGTGAGAGTGAGACCAAGATATTTGTTGCTTGCACTTCTCACCCGTTCTCCTCAAGGTTCCTCCGACCTCGTTCGTTCAAGACTTTTCCGACGAAGACGACTTGACAGACTGCCTGATATGCCTTGAACCCTTCGATGAGGAGCAGTTCGTCACGATCCTCCCGTGCAGGCACATGTTCCATCACAGCTGCATCTCAACGTGAATGCTGAGACTTGAGTGTGAGAGGTCATGACTGAGGTTGGCAGGTGGCTGTCGTCGCGGTTGTATCAGAACAAGGCTGGCAAGTGCCCCCACTGCAACCTTGAGATAGTGGCTCCCAAGGTGGAGAAAGACCCGCTTCCACACCTTGCCGACGAGCTGCGAGAGGTGGGTCTCCTTCGATCGCCACTTTGCACTCGCTAAAATCCCTTCTCCTGCAGGCTCAGGCTCGGAACACGCTAGAAGCTCTGCGAGGGATCGTGAGGAGGTAGATAGAATTGTGGCGGATTTGCGGTTCGAGTGACTTGGTTTCTGCAGTGAAAGCCAGACAGCGAGAGGCCTCTGCGTGATTGCTGCATTCGTCACAATCGTTTTTGTCGCCATTAACGTCATTCTTGTCGTCCTCCATGTCTAAACACGTACCGTAACAATGAATGTACAGGTTTTAATCAATATTAATTTGAATGAATACAACGCTTTACTTGTGCCCAACGCCTCATATCACTTGTCCTCCCGTCATTTATATTACAAACCCAGCACTACATCTAAATCCTGCACATGACACCTTCTCATCTACTTAACAAAAACAGCCATTCACGGCTCCTTCATCCAGCGTTCTCAGCCACTGTCGGTCGTTTCTGAATCTGTAGGACACGTCAGATGAAGGGCCTTCCTCTGCCACTGACTTCCTTACCTGTATAGTGCACTGCGCAACTCCATACGTCTTCAAGGTCTTGGTCACTTCGTGCAGGATCATCTGCTCGTGGCCGTCGGACTCCACGAGCAAGTGCGCAGTCCCAATGACAGTGTTGGATGCCAGCTTCCATGTGTGCAACTGGAGGAAAATCTCAGCTCGGAACCGCAACGGCGACCAGCACCAACACGTTACCTGATGGATGGCAGCCACCCCATGTATACCCCGGATCTTCTTCTCGACGAGCGGCAGGTGCGGAAGAAGATCCGCTGGAGTCTGCTGAAGGAGGATCGACGACGTCTCCTTGACAAGCGGCAAGACAGAGACGAAGATAAGGATGCCGATCATGATCGAGCACACTGGGTCTGCCAGGTACATCCCATCGTATCTCATTGCAACCGAAGAGACCATGACGCTGACGCTTCCAAGGGTATCAGCAAGAATGTGGAGGAAGACAGCCTGCACAAGGAGAGTGAGTCAACGCTGATCGGCTGGTGCTGTGCATGCGTTTACCTGCGTATTTGCGTCTGCGTGACATGAAAACATACTGGAAAACTTCTCCATCAGACTTCCAGTGCGCTTGCCCAGCGAGTTGGTCCCAACATCCTTTTGTTCAGAAGAACATTCCCGATGAGTGTTTTCACCCTTGTCGGTTTCGCTGCCTGCCTGTGCATGACAGTCTGCAACCTTCACTTCTCTGTGTCGTCTGGTACAACTTGACGGCTCTTTTCCAATTGATCCTTTCGAATCAGAACACCTACATGAGGCCCATGCAAATGTAATACTCTTCCCTACATTTTTGCTTTTCCTGCTTGAGCTGTCATTCATCTTGGATTCGCTGCTGCTATTTCCAATGGAGTGACTGCCTGTCTGTTGAGCCAGGCATCCACTTTGTGAGGGGGTCTGGAAGCTGCAGCATGACGACTCAGAACTTCCACAAGTCTGCTTTTCCTTCGAGCAGCATCCTGAATGTGAATGAGAATGGCAATGAAGGTCGCTGCAGAAGTAACCCAGTGAGTGAACGTTCTCACATAACGAACCAAGCTTTCACCTGAAGACGATGATCCCGACCACATTCACAAGAAACCCCGCAAAAGAAACAAGAAACAAGTTCTCAGACTCAACTTTCGGAGGATCGAGAACACGCTGGTCATCACGAGTCAATATCACGGGGAAATTACTCGAAACACACAAACCTCGATCGCTTCTATCACTATACAAACAGCCACGAGGATCAGAAAAATTGAGTTGGTGAACCCGCACAAGACGCCATATCGTCCATAACCGTAAGAATAAACCTTGTTTGGCCTCCATGAGCTCATGTAAGCCCCGTAAAGTCCTAGCGCTAATGCACCACAGTCGAACATCATGTGTACAGCGTCCGATATCAACCCCAGGCTGTTTGTCCAGAAGCCATAGGCGACTGACGACAACAGTCAGCAACAGAATGAGATGCTCTCGAGGCAATCGGCTCACATTCAACAAACATGAACAGAAAGTTGATACACAGGAATGAGGCGATGCGCCTCGCCGATCGCTCCTTGAGTATGTACGAGATGGTGTTCATGACCGATTTCATCAAACCCGCCATTGGGACCAAACGAATATGAAGGATGGCCCACACTGCAGACGTCCTCTCCTATCTCTTCGTTCAGTCAGTCCATGATCATGTAAAGTGATAGAGAAGACAACAACTTACCAGCCTGTTACAGTGCAGTTGTTGAGATAATTAGATCAAGTTTGCCGAAGGGGTCCAGGATGCAAGTGCTTGCCAACTGTATCTCTTTCTTTCTATACTTTAATACGGCAGACAGAGGAAACTTTGAGAGCTAACACCAGCAAGTGAATCTTGAGGGGGCGATTAGTGTGCTATCGGCAAGTCAAGGAAGACAGAACTTTTTGAACAGCAAAGAATGGATTGAGGTGAACGAATAGAGCGGAACTCAAGTAGGAGCTCAGAGAGAGTTCAAGAGAGAAAGAGAAGCAGTGATCTGAGAGCGATGAGGTTGGAGATCAGATTCGGCACGAGCCGCAGCGAAGTTTTCACCGCACGTCCTGCATGGCGCAAGGAGGCGAAGAGGGATTCCAGCGTGGGGGGTGGTCGGAGGAAAAATGGGGGTACGAGATACCGGGGGTGATATGGATTTCAAGTCCGCCTCAGAATCACCATGACCCTGATGTACCACTACCATTGAGTTTGTGCTCTAACGTACCCGTACAGGAATCTACCCAGACCCTGTATTTACAGCACACTTTACAGGGTCCTTCTACACCTCCCATGACCCCACCCTCATGAGCTCCCTGACCTCCTTACATCGGACGGGTACGGTAGAGCTGTAAGGTGAGCTTTCCTTGTGACCCTCATCCCCTCTCACACAAAACATCGAAACTTTAAGCCAAACTTTGAGCGCTCGGTTGATCGTTTCATAGTTTCATAGTTTCATAGTTTCATAGTTTCATAGTTTGACAACGTTTCAATAGTTTCCCACATAGTTTCAATAGTTTCAATAGTTTCAATAGTTTCAATAGTTTCAATAGTTTCAATAGTTTCAATAGTTTCAATAGTTTCAATAGTTTCAATAGTTTCAATAGTTTCAATAGTTTCAATAGTTTCAATAGTTTCAATAGTAGTTTCAATAGTTTCAATAGTTTCAATAGTAGTTTCAATAGTTTCAATAGTTTCAATAGTTTCAATAGTTTCAATAGTTTCAATAGTTTCAATAGTTTCAATAGTTTCAATAGTTTCAATAGTTTCAATAGTAGTTTCAATAGTTTCAATAGTTTCAATAGTTTCTCAATAGTTTCATTATTAGTTTGATTGGCATCGGGTCAAAGTTTGATTGCCAGGACTTCGGACGGCCGGGACTCACGGCATCGTTCGAGGCGGCTGGAGGGGTGTATGCGAGCAGGCGACGAGGATCGAGGATGAGGAGCCATGAGAGAGATCGTTGAGTCAGGAGAGCAAGGACCAGCTTGCTGAGCCCAAGTTAGTCCAGGAAACTCAGGGCTCAGTCTGAACTTACAGAGTCTTGAGGGGTAGGATCTGTGGCTATCAAAGGAGAGAACAAACGAGCATTGAGACAAAACGGTTCATAGGAAGATAGATCGCACTCATCAGTTGACTCTCAACTAGAAATGTTGCCCTGTAGCCTGTAGCTGCTTCATCGCTTCGTAACGCCATCAGCAGGTCTCGCTGGCCAGCTGGTGATGGGAGGCAACCAGAGCTCTGACTCTCAGGGAGCGAACCAAGTCTGGTCGCTCACATGCAACGACTTCTGCAGGGCAGACCGAGCGGAACGACCGTCCATAGCTTCGCCAAGCTCGCCAGCCCTCCACCACCCAGGGACATCGTCCATGTAATCAGTTTTGTGTACATGGAGGTTGAAGACTGACACCCGGTGGGCAGAGATCGTACGGAGCTGCAGAAGAGGTTGCTAGAGAACTTGATGGCATCGAAGGCAGCGGAGGAAGGAAGGCCGGGTGGGGACGGGCGAGGGACGCAGTCCCTGCCGCAAAGGCCCATGAGCAAGGTAGAGAATCTGTCGGCGGCGAACGAGCGAGCAGAATCGTCCTTCAACTCGACGGAAGACTACCGAGGGTTGTGGCAGGTCCGGACTGAGTGGACGGTGAACGTGCGGGATCAGCCCAGGTATAACGCTCGGGTGGTGGACAAGTATACCGGAGGCCAAGTGTTCCAAGTCGATGGGCAGCATTTCGACGACGAGACCGGAGTGCAGTGGCTGCGACTCCCGAACAATGCCGGGTTCGTTGCGAGGCGACACAAGGATGGGAGCCTGCTCGTTACCAAGTTCCACTCCTGACCTCCTGCCTTATCAGAAACTGATCTTCTAGCTCGAGTGACCATTCAAGTTTCAAGTTATTTGTTAAAATTCTACCACAAGTACTTCCTGGCGAGTCATCAACCATGTCCCAGCAAGGGGCTATGGTCCAGCTGAGCTTCAGCTGCCGATTGCCATGATTCCACTGGTGTCGATGAGCTGCAGAGATGTCAATCTGAAGCGGGAACTTCCATGCATCTGTTACCCAGACTTCATCGTCATCATCCCCCACGAGCAGGAGCGACGCGCATTCGCCTTCCTGCCAAACATTCGTTGGACTTCAGACAGCAAGTGCACCAGAGCGCTACCCCGAAGATCATGCAGGAGCAGCGGAGCTTGCTGTCCTCCAGCAGCGAGATGTCGTCGGCTGGAGCCACAGAATCGCTGATCGCGTGCTTTGGCGCGAAGTATTCAACTGAGCAGTCCAGCTGAGCTGTTTGCCTCCGCAGCTCGAAGTTCTCCCAGAAGTTGTGCGGCATATCTGTGCTGGGACGTCAGCGACTCTGCAGCGAGGACGGAGCGCGTCTTCCTTCATGCTCTTCGGCCTTGCCTGAGGGCAGGCACAAGGACTGTACGCAGCACCAGTCGCCGTCGCCGAACCTGAAGCAGGTCAGGAGCTGATCTCACCGAGTCTCCAGCACCTTTCAGCAGGGACAGAGAAGACCTGACTGATAGCGTCCGCTGCCCTGGCCCACAGTTTGATGCATCCGGACTGCAGCCTTCAGTTACACCATGGGGGGCCCCGGCACTTTCCCTCACGTTGTCGCAGCTCGCTAAGATCTTTCCGTCCTTCCTCCACGCCACCCTCGTGATCTTCTCCCTGCAGCCTCCTGACGACCACCCAACCTAGCACGCGCACAAGTACCAGTGTCCTTGAAGTTTACAGCTCCTCCTCCATGTCTCTCCGTCCTCCCTGTCCCGCTGAGGCAGGTCAGTGCGGGGCAACCACGGCACCAGGATGAGAGAGAGCAGCACCAAACGCTGCCAGAGGAGCAGGAGGTTGTCGCTGCCTTGAGCCAGCAACTCCCCGTCTGAGGAGGTCGCGGCAAATACGCTGCATCCTCGCCTGAGCTCATGCTCTCAGTGCAGTACTAGTCCAGCAAGAGCTGAGCTACCCTCGTGTCGAATCTTCGGATCTGACTGAGTGACGCTGCTCCCACTGAGAAAAGAACGTCCTATGAACGCCATCACTGCTCTGAAGCATGTTCTGAGGCGCGACACTTACTCGGGAGAGGCGAGAGGACGGTCCGGCCCTCGGGCGGACATGCCTGGGTCCAACATGTCACATCACAACCTTCATGGCGGGGCCTGGCATCGCACCATAGATGAGAGTAGAACCGTCCGAGCAACTGAGCAGTAGTTCCTCCGCTTCTGCCTGCATGCTCGCTGGTCTCCCCACCCTCACCTCCGTCAATCTCGCGGAAGGTTCAAGAGCAGCAGAGTAGGAGCTGAGCAGCTGCAGCTTCCCGTTCTCTATGTGATACCCCAGACTGGCGTACTCGCGGAGAGCATCGAAGGAAGGCATTTCAGGCTTGACGACAGTCAGCGCCACGAGGAAGAGGCGAAGCGAAAGTCACCTGCATCGTCGTCTCGAAGCTCCTCGACGAGTTGGCCGTTGCCGACCTGCTGCTGCTCCGCTTGCTCAGCCTCAACGTGGACATGTCGTGATGGCTCATCTTCCTTTCTTCCTCTCCAGAGCCCGAAGACTTGCTCACCTTCGACTCTTCATCGAGATCTTGCTTGGCTGACTTGTCGAAAATGGACACAAGCTTGTCCCTCTCAGTTCCTATCGCGTTGGCTTTCCACTTCCATCGCCATAACCGACTCTGCCCGTCGATCGAAGTTGAGAGGAGGTGATGGTGCTCGTCGTCGAACTTGACGAAAGAAACTTCCACAACCTCCTGCTCGTGTCGTCCGTCGCTCTCGCAGTATTCCCACACGCAACTTGGAGCAGCCAGCACCGCTCGCACTTTGATCTTCTCCACTCTCGCCTCGACAATGTTCCTCTCTGACGTGTTGGTAGCCATCAGCTCAAGATCCTCCCAGAAGCCATCGAACGCTTCTGACCTCTCAGTCTCCCTGATGCACCGACTGACCCCAACGCTTATCCTCGCAGTCGCTACGCTGTGTAGAGCAAGAGCATAGACAGCTCTGCCGCTGCCGACCCTTCCCTTTTCTCCGAGCCCCGTCGGAAGAGCACCTTTGGTAGCGGACGGGAAGTCCTCAAGCAGCTCAAGATCTCCCTCGGACACGTGCGTGTCTCTCGTCTGAGGACGAGACTCCGACGCCCCTCCATCCCACTCTACCGTGCACTCATAACCCCCGAGATGGATCGCGACTATCGTCCCGACCCGCCCGGCCGAGGGATCGCGGTACTGCTCCCGGAAGTCATCGGAGACGACGACTCTGTCGTAGAGCCTCGCCTTGTACGTCTTGCCGACGAGAGTCTGCTGCTGCGCTTGCTGCTGATCACTTTTCTGACCCGGGGGAGGAGAGGCCACATCCCCCTCCCCGCTGTCCCCGAAGCTCCCAGGGGAGGTGGGAGAGGAAAGCTCCAGCTTGACCTCGACAGGCTTCATCCTCTGCTGGTAGACCAAGACGTTGAGAGTCTGGTCGCCATTGTGGACCTGAAAGGTGTGGGAGAGTCTCTCCTCGTCGATCGATCCCTCGTCTATCCCATGCACGTACACCCGTTGGCTCCCGATGTTGCACAGGGCGTACACGGGATAGCTCGAGCGCGAGAGGCTGTCCGACTCCAAGGACATAATCGTCACCCTCACGTAACCCTCCTCTACTGGCCTCCACACTCTGATCCTGCCGTCAACACACCCGCAGGCGAGCATGCGCTCCTCTGCAGCCTCTGACCACTTGACTGAGCTGACAGTGTGCCCATGGAAGAGCTGAGCATGCGGAAGGAACACATAGGGCACCCGCTCGTCAACATCTGCCTCGGATTCATCCTGCCAGTCGGAGAGGCAATGCATGATGTGCTGCTGGGAAAGAAGCTTCTTGAGGACGAGAGCCCTGCCCCCTGAGTCGCAAGCTGCGATGAGTGAACCATCGCTGCTCATGTCGACCGATCCCACCCCTGCTCGTGCGACTCAGAGAGGATCCAGCGAATGATATGGTGGGGGATACAACCTGCTCCTCCGGCCCATCCTCTCCTCCCATGCTCGTTGGCAGAGAAACCTGAAGCTCTCAGCTTTGACCGGATTATGAAGTTTGCTCGATTTCTGATCGCCTTGAGATTTCTTCTCCACTTTGTCTCTAGAAATCTTCGCTTCAATCGTGCCTGTACATGCTCACACAGGTTTTGATGCATTCTTCTTCCTCTACCTGTCTTGGATCCACGAAGCTCTTGTGCGCTTGGTGCTTGAACGTTTCAGCAAGCGGGCCGTCAGGGTCCGAGAGCAAGGCGATGTACCTGAGAGCGCGAGCATAAGACAAGGACATGAGAGGATCAGACGAACTCATCAAGTCCAACACTGCCGCTTCCATCCACATCTACATCCGCCAAGATGTCATTGATCTCCGTCTCGTCAAGGTGAAGGCCGAGGTCTTGGAACACGCGGGCAATCTCATCCCCGTCAATGTCGCCGCTCTTGTCCGCGTCATACTTCTGGAAGCTGGAGATGTAGTTTTGAATCTGAAAGCGTCTGAGTTGATACCGCATGAACCATGAAGCTACTTTACCTCCTGATCGCTTAAGAAGAATGCTTCCTGGAGAGATCGAATGGAACTGTCGAACTCCATCGATCCAGTCTTCAAGCTTGATGACCTTGTCCTCTTGTTGACCTTCTCCGTTTCTTCTCCATTCATGGTTGCACTTCGCTCACTTCACTCCTGCTGTCGCTCCTTGGACCCTACCCGCCCTCCTGCCCTCCTGCCCTCCTGCCCTCCTGCCCTCCTGCCCTCCTGCCCTCCTGCCCTCCTGCCCTCCCCCTTTCCGTAAACCGGCGTGGTAAAACCTCAACCCGGAGGACCTACGTAGCTGCTGGTAATTGACGCCAGGAGACGATGCAGTGTGACGAGATGAAGCGAAGGTGAGAGGAATTGAGTTGACAGGCAGAACGAAGGAGAGCATGGACATGAAGTAAGTGCGCAAAGAAGATAGCAGCGCGCACACTGAGGAGGCTGTAAAAGCGTTCCAATAAGGTAATAGTTTTAATTCCTGTTGATGCAGGAAATTACAATGGCGTAACCAACTGATCATCAGGAGCCGCAAGTATGAACGCTGTTTTAGCGCGACGTTACTGCCTTCGATGAGGTGCACTCTACGGCATTGGAGCGAAACCCACTCGCACTTAGGCGTCATTCTCCCCAGAGGCTTCCTTGGGGGCATCATCTGCTGCATTCTCTGCCTGGTCATCGCCACCGTCCTTTTCCTCAGGGTCCTTGCGATCTTCTTCCGGCTTGTCCTTGGCTGCGTCTTCGCCATCGTCACTTCGTTCGCGCCTTGGAGGGCTCTTGCTCCGTGACGCTGAGCGATCCCTGCCAGCAGCAGTCAACAGCAGCAGCAAGAGTGCAAGCATCCGAACCTTCCATCGCGAGACCTTGATCGAGACCTCGACTTTGACTTGGAGCGGGAACGCGACCTGGAGCGGGACTTGGAGCCTTGGTCCTTGGGAGCTTTCACGCGGATGTAGACTTTGTCGAATGGGTTCTTGAACTCCGTGTCGTCAAGCTGCTTGATCGCAGCCTCTTGCTCAGATCGGGAGGCAAATTCCACGATTCCTCCACCTCTCCTGCAGAAGACTCAACATTTGAACTTCTGCCTCTACTGCTCTTTAAAGACCTGTCGACATCCGTGTAAACGACCTCGCCGACCTGTCAACCAATGTCACAGCGAACAAGCGCATATTCAAAACTGAACCTGGCGGAAGTGGTCCTTCAGATCCTGCCATGATGCAGACGGGGGGAGATTGGAGACAATCACTCGATAGTCGGATCTCCTGAGATCGCGGCGAGGCTGTTGTCTCGAACCTCGAGGTCCATCTGGAAAGGGTCAGATACCAAGGTCAAACATCCTGAACAAGCACCACGATCGCCACCACGATCGCCACCACGATCGCCTCCACGATCATTATAGCGTCCTCCTCCACCTTCATGACCAGATCAGCATACTTAAGCCATGCTCTCAAAGGAAAGACACACTTCCTCGCGACATTTCACATCGAAGTCTGGCTCCCTCGAACGAGATACCATCTGTTCACCCTTGTCAGGCTGCCGACATCTCTGGTGCAAACACCAACCTCTGCCACGGATGGCGTCCTCAGCATCACGGTAGTCTTCAAAGGAAACGAATGCAAATGCAGGTGGGCGATTAGGAGTTTTCACTTCAATGTCACGGATTCTCCCATATCTAGAGGTCAAGAGATTCAGTGTTGAGATTGACTCAAGAATCCACTTGGGAGGCTGCGTACTTGTAAAACAGATCTTCAATATCTCCTAACCAGCACAATGTCAAAAGGGCTTCCTCCTCCAGTGCCAAGGAGATGATTCCACTCACTTGTTCTGATGTCAAGGGGGAGGTTGCCAACGTAGATTCGCGCCATGGTCGCCTGCGTCCGCACAACTCACATTTCGCTGCAGAATGCCCACAAGATGTCTGGATCCAGCTAGCCGGCATCCACACAAACAATAGCAATCCACGCGCATGGTTATACAATGGACTCCGAGAGACCAACAACTCCTACTGCGATCCCTCCTCAGGCACGCTCCATATCAAAACTCCCTAGTTGACATTCTTCTAGCACCGTAACTTCAGGGGCAAGACGGAAAGCGGTATGTTCCAAGCCTCGCCCTCACTTGCAGCTGCAACCGACCCTCCACTAAGAAAATCAAAGCATATCATGCTGATACAGGCATGCTTTAATTCCAGCCCTTCATGCTCGCCAACTCCCATGGAAGTGCGCTTTATACGAGAGAGTCGCGGGGACCCTGTCCTCCTGCAAATACATCCGATCCAACCTCTATATGCCAAGCATGCGCTAGATCTCCTCCTCCTCCCGTCTCCTCGCGTGCATGCGCCGCCGCCACTCCGTGCCGCAATGCAGGGGCTGTGCTGCCGCGCTGCCGGGATTCAGGGGCACATTTCAGATAGCGATGAATATTTCTGAGATAAATTCATTATATGAATGAATATTTCACCAGATCATTAAACAAATTGCGCAGGGTGCGTTTCAGTACCCCACCCGTCTTTTTCCATTACAAGTGACTGCTAAGGAGAGGTCCTCGGAGAATTTATGAACCCCCTTTTACTATGGTATCTACATGGAAATAAAGGGGTGATTCGACTGGGGGTGGTCGGTATGGGGAGGGATGCAATTTGCACATGCGGAGCGGGCAAGCGAGCGAAACTGGAGGCTTGCTGGAGGCAGCAGCAGAGTAGAGAGGAGAGAGCGGTAGGGGCCAGGAGAAAGAGAGAATTTAAGTTTGAGCCACAGCACAGAGACCCGAGGAGAGCAAGAAACTCACGTAAAGCTAAACGAAGGCAAGCTCGGTCAAGGTCAGCTCAATATCGTCAAGATTCCGACTTCATCCTGCCTTGCCAACTTGCTCATCCTAGCCTTCAGTTTCAGCATTTCCTTCCAAGACTTTGTTCAGGGCACGCCGTATACTGGAAAGTCTCTTCCAAGCACAGGTTGCACCTTCAAGGATACACCAAATATGAAGGGACTTAACTTACAAGTCCCCGATTGGGACGACGCACCTTCATCGAACAGCCCTACCACTACAAACCCAAAGGCGAACAATGCAAAGATAGTGACAACAAAAGAAGGATTTGCAGGAAAGAAGTCGAAGGTCGGGAACAAGCCTCAGGCACAAAGAGTGGATTCTACACGGAAGGACAACTCGTTCGGGGAGAAAGGGAAGAAAGATCAGGCCGAGAAGGTGGCAGTGGAAAATGTGGAGAAGGCTCAAGCTGAGAGGGCTGCAATTCTTAGCAATGCTGCCCATAATGCCCTCCAAGAGAAACAAGAAGCTTCTCAAGCTAAAAAAACGTTGAAGAGGAAGAGGAATCGGAATCGGAATAAATTCAAGCCTTCGAACGAAACCGAAGTAGGGGAACGAAAAGCACCAGAAAGCCCAGTGATAGCTCCAGAGCGTAAAAAGCAAAGAGTTGCTCCGGTTGCCAAGCCCAACGAGCAATCCCGAAAGATGACGGTGAATGTAGAAGGTGATCTTTGAAGAGGGACTGACTTCAGCTCAACAGAATGCAGACTTAAGTATTGCCAACATGCTCATCCCCGATGTCGCAGAGGGATCCAAATTTCCTTTTAGGTCTCTGGGGAATTTCCGTTCTAATCCAGATCTGTCTCCAATGCAGGTCTGTTGTATACTCAGTGTGATGAAGAGTAAAGCAGCCCCAGATGAAGATGTTCAAGAAGCTTCAAGGTTCGCATTTCCGGATGTTGAATGAAGAGGTTAGCAGCAACGGCCGTCTATGATGTTTGCTTGATAGTGTTTCAGCTCTACTCCACGTCGTCTCAACATGCTGTGTCCATGATGAAGACAGACCCATCGCTGTTTGATTCTTACCACGAGGGATTTCGTGAACAAACCAAGAAGTGATCCCTTCAATCGAATCCTCAATCATCTGAGACAAGCAATCGCAGGTGGCCAGTCAACCCTGTGAATGTGATCATCAAATACCTCAAGAAGTATCCAAAGTGGAAAGTCGCGGATTTGGGCTGCGGAGATGCACAGATCGCTAAGACGTTACCAAACAAAGTTCACAGGTTCTTTGTTTGTCTGTTTCCTTTTTGTTCGACTGGCATCGTGTGAGGAGATCATTCATTTTGAACCCTTGTCTTGCAGCTTCGACCTCATCTCGAAGGATCCATGCGTCGTTGCTTGTGATATAGCGCATGTTCCCTTGAAGGATTCTTCTGTGAATGCAGTTGTTCTTTCTCTTGCCCTGATGGGTACCAACTACGTCGACTTTCTAAAGTTAGTCTCTGAAAATGAGTGCCAACATCACCTGACCTAATGTAAACAGAGAGGCGCATAGGATTGTGGTGAAGGGTGGCAAAGTTCTGGTTGCTGAGGTCAGATCAAGGTTGGAACATGTCTTAGATGAATTCGTCGAGATGCTCAAGGTGCTACCGATTCCAATCTTGCGGATCCATCAGTTCACATTTGACTTTGGGGTTCCTTGATCAGGAGATGGGATTTGTTCTGGACAATATGGACAAATCGAACAAGATGTTTGTCATGTTCTATCTCACTAAGGTGCGAAGCTTAGATATTCTCCATGACGAGATGAATTTACTTCAATGCAGAACCAACCTTGTGCTGCAGAACTTAATCCGCCATCACTAAAAGCTTGTCAATACAAGAAAAGATAATGATCCGCCGGTTCAGCCCGGGCCAGCCACAACGGGCCGAGCGGCCCCGATGCTGATCGGACCACTTGGTCGTGCCCCCGACCGTCCCTACTTGGGCCTGACTCAGTGAGTCCCGGCGGCCCCCGGCGGCCCACCGGCCGCCGGGGGTCATGTGTCACTCAAGCCAATAAAAACATTGTAAGGGTCGTAGGATCCCCTGCGGGTGCCCATGCATACCTGCGGGAGGGTGGAGGGGGGGGGAGAAGAGAGGGAGAGAGAGAACGCGCTCGGGAACTTTCATGCGCGAAGATGCTTTGATGCTAGTGTAAGAGATCAGGACGAGGCTGACACGCTAAAATGCGTAGAGAAGGGAATGCCTGAGGCTGGAGAGGGGAGGGATGAAATTGGGGCCGAGTGGGGGAATGTAAGATGTGAGCGTGCTTTTGACTCTGGTGTGGAGCAAATCGTTTCTTCTCGTATATGAATACAAATACGAATGTCTGCAAGGTGTATTTCAGTCAGTGACTGCCTTGTTTCTGCATGCATCAGAGCCTTGCAGTTTCCCTCTCCAAACACGTGCAAATCTTACTATGACTTTTCGATTCCTGCGCCCTCACGTTACATATTTGTATCGCCTATGTTGGTTTCCTTGCTTTTGTAGCAAACTCTTTTGTTGTATCGTTTGCCATGCTTCTCTTGCAGCTGGAATCTGCCGTAGAAGTATATCGGACCTTGCATGGTTCATTGCGCTTGATGTCCATCTTCCGATTTTGTGTCTGATGTTGAAGGAATTTTTTCGAGAGGATTGTAATCCATATCTTTGATTCGATAAGATCTTGCCAATATACTTGCAAATGCTGTCTTTGCTTGACTTGCATTTCTTGGCAGTCCTACCTCCTCACATTTCATGGCCGAAGAAAGCGAGGCAGTAAAGAACAGGTAAGTTTGTACGGTCGCAGTTCGTCTTTCACTGATCTCGATTCTTCCTGTTTTGTTTGCAACAGAAACGAGTTGATTTCAGGAACAGTCGCCGGGTTTGTGTGCAAATTTATTGAATATCCTCTGGATACTGCCAAGGTACAAGCGCAGACACAGGCAATCGATGGGAAGGCGGTGTCGCCGATAGCTTTGCTTCGCAGAACCATCCGGAACGATGGATTCCTCGCCCTGTAATCATCTTTATCTTGAACTCTGACTGCCCTCTACTTCTCGTCGCTGAACTTTGTGAATGTCAGATACCGTGGATTGCCCTCCCCTTTGCTGGGCTCCATGGCGGAGAACTCTGTCCTGTTCAGTTCATACGGGCTAGCACGAAGAATGTTGACAAAGCCAGGAGACGATCCAGACAAGCTTCCCTTCTCGTATAAGCTTGTCTGCGGATCGTTCTCGGGAGCTTGCGTTGCAACCGTCCTCACACCCGTCGAGCTGATTAAATGTAGAATGCAAACTGTAAACGAAGGAGCTGTCAAATACAAGAACTCTTGGGAATGTATGTGACAGTTCAAGACATTGGATTTTTTCCGCTGAGATCATGATGAAGGTTTGGCTCGGACAGTCAAGACAGGAGGTGTGATGTCACTCTTTCATGGGCATGTTGGCACTCTGTGCCGTGAGGTCTGACAAATGCCATTTGCCTCCTTGTGTTCATAAGTATGCTGTAGGTTCCAGGCAATGCTGCTTGGTTTGGAGGATACGAGCTTGGGGTGTATCTCCTCACGCCTAAGGGAGGCAGCAAGAGCGATGTTCGACTGTAGTCGTGATTTTCACCTCGCTGATCACAATCACCCAGGTTCATCCAGCGGGATTGGCAGCAGCCGGAGCGCTTGGGGGAATGAGCTATTGGTTCTTTCCCTTCCCATTTGACGTCGTCAAGTCAAAGATTCAAACTGGTTGGTGTTTGGTTTCACTTCTTATCTTGATTAGCTGTTCTTACCCTCCACGTCTAATTTTTCACCGTAGGAACACACGGGTTGCCCGTTGGGTCCAAAGTCAACGTCGTCACAGTGTTGCTGCACGTGTTGAAGTCGGAAGGAATCGTTGGTCTCTATCGTGGATGTGGCCTTACAGTGGCTAGGGCTGCTCCTTCCAACGCATGCCTCTTCGTTGCGTAAGTCACTCTCATTAGTTGTTCATACCGAAGTGATTGGACCGATGACTTGCCTCCACAGTTACGAGATGACGATGCGGCTTTTGCGTGGCCAGCCGCTGTTAGGAGGAAGTTCGCATTGAACAGAAATCCTCACTCAGCTGCCATCGGAGCTATCCGGCCGCTCAGCCTTGAAAGGGGCAACGGTGTTTACGCTGAAAGTTACTAAGTTAAGTTGTAGATGAAGCAGCTTGACAGACCATTGCCTTTCTGTAAACGGTATTGAAGCTTCCCGGGCCGCGCCCCGGTGTGATCTCACAGGCGCGGCCACTGACTTCAAGTTAAGTCTGGCACCGCCGCCACACAACACGAAGCCCCGGCTGGCAAGTTGCCACGGTGCCCTGGCGCCGCCGGGCGGCCCGGCCGCGTGCAGGCGGCCGCGACTGACAGTGCCCCGGGCCGGGCATCATGCCAATGATGATGCCACCGCCGCGGCCGCCCGGGCCGCGCCCGCGCCCGGCGCGCGGGCTGCCGCGACTCGAGTCCGGGGGCCGGGACTCGGGGCGCTGCCGCCCCGCCGCCGGCCCGCCGCCGCCTGGGGGCTCCCGTGATCTGATCGGCCCGATCATCTGAGTCTGTCCGATCGGGCCGGGCCGGAGTCCGGACTCCTCCTCCCGTCCGGGACTCGCAGGCCGCGGCCCGGCCGGGTGACTCGGACCCAGCTGAGGAGTCCAGACTCAGCCGCGACCGTCCCGAGTCGCCGGCCGGCGGCCCGCGCCGGCGGCATCGCCGGCCCGGGGCCCGGCGGCCCCCGGCCGCAGTGCTGACCGTGATCACTGACCGCGCCGTGCTACGATACAGGCTCACTGAGTCACTCAGGCTACTGTGGCTCGGCTGATCTGAACTTCCGCCGTTCCGGGAACTGAAGTTCGCTGCAAAGTTCCGTTTTTGAAGTTTGGAACAGGCTTGAAACTTCCGAGACTGACAGTGAAGTTCAACGTCACACGCCCAGAGTTTACACAGACAACTGAGGCGGTTCGTGGTATCACGACTTTGCTTTAGGTGTCGTGGAGCTCACGGAGGACCCCTCGATTCTCTTCGAAGCTACCACCCGTGATCATCCGTGATCCGCCTCAGTACGAGGCCGACTACCCCTACAGTTGCCATGGATCTGTTAGGGTAGGGGTCAGACTTGACTAAAAAAATGTTTCGTATTTTCCTGCAGCCCCCAATCCAGGGATTTGTACCTGGCATAGATCTACAAGTATCCTACCCTACCCTATTATTGACCACCGGGTTGCAGATATCTCAACCGGTGGTATTGGTGTCGGACCCCTCCAATTCTTACTTATAACTGCACAGAGAGAGAAGACCACCCCCTTCGACTTCACACCCAACCCTGGAAATTCAGCACACGCGAACTTGTACCCCTTTTCTTTATATGAAACCACCCCTACGCTTCTGCCACACCCTATGACCCCTGTAGGATGTCATCATCCGCAAGCACCGACCCACGTCGCCTCCATTAACTAACATTACGTACCGGTACCACCCCCTTGACCCACCCCCTACATCTCGCTCAAGACAGGATTGTCAATCAACCAGTACCTACCTTAAACACTACCTGTTGAACCCTACCCCATCATTCCTATAGGAAAGATCTGTACCCGTACTCATGAAGAAGTCCTTTGAGAGAATCTACCCCATCAACCCCATTACAGATACCCCATATTTCCTAGGTCCCCTTCAGAAATGGTATAGCATACCCCTTACCCCCTTCTGTTACTACCCCTGGCTAGATGACCCCCTTGTTTCTGCCCCCTCCATACGCCTCACTTGATCCGCCGTTCCTCTTCTTCCTTATAACCACCCTACCCCTCATTTGCATCACCCCACGAGGGAGATCGGGTACCCCACCACAAGTATCTGCTTGCCCAACCCCCTGATTTCCCATCTCGAATGCAATATCGAAGTACCCTACCCTGAAATTTTCGGTACCCAACCAGTTCTTTGCCTACCCCGATTGCTTCGAAGTACCTACCATCGTCTCCCCACCCGGGGTCCTCGTTTATTCTCTCACCGGTACTCTTCTGACCCTCACCCACTAAATTCTACCCCACCCACTCGATTGTACAAATGTATGAGCCGCAAATACAGACCACCCGTCCTTTTTATAATCCTTCACCTACCCTTGCTCCAGTCATTCTTACTCGAGAACTTAACCCCTACCCCCTATTCAACTGTCCGTTCCTTGTATGACCCATTACATCGCACCCTCCACCCTATCTCGAAAGACGTGTGAGTACCTCTACCCCTCTTTCCCCAGGAAACCACCCCACTCTCCCGTCCCCCTTCCCCTTTTTTATCTCCCTCCACGACGGCATCCGCTATCCCAGCAAAGTGAGTGCCCATCTCTGCCATGCACGTGTTTGTGTAATGTGTGGAGCCTTCTTCTTCTTGTGCATCGATGGCCTCAAGCATGATGGCATCTAAGTGATTGGTTACCTACCTGTGCGGCCCCACAGCCCAGTCTGATCTGTTCCCTTGTTTGATTTTTTCGTGAGCGGAAATACATTGAAAGTTTTCTGATTCGTTTTCCCCCAGAATGGCGTACTTCAAGGCCGTTGCCTACTTGGCTGCTCTCGCTTCTGCGGCTGCCTTCAACCCAGGATCTTCCTTTGTTCCTCGCTTGAATGCTCCCGCTACCCAGCCAAAGGCCGCTAAGATGACCGGCCCCACCATGCAGGCTGTCCCCTGCGGTATCAACGGCTTTGGACGTATCGGCCGCCTTGTTGCTCGTATCATGATCAAGGATCCTGAGACCAAGCTCCTCCAAGTCAACGCTGGATCTGCCACCCCTGACTACATGGCCTACCAGTTCAAGTACGATTCCATCCACGGACGCTACAACGGAGACGTTGTTGTCGATGGTGACGATCTCATCATCGATGGACAGCGCGTCATCACCACCCGTGCCCGTGACCCCAAGGACATTGGATGGTCCAAGACTGGAGTCGAGTACCTCTGCGAGTCCACTGGTGTTTTCCTCACCGCCGAGAAGGCTCAGCCCCACATCGACGCTGGTGTCAAGAAGGTTATCTTCTCTGCCCCCGCCAAGGATGACTCCCTCACCGTCGTCATGGGTGTTAACGCCGATGACTACAAGGGTCAGACCGACTTCATCTCCTGCGCCTCTTGCACCACCAACGGATTGGCTCCCCTCGTCAAGTGCATCAACGACAAGTGGGGAATCGAGGAGGGATTGATGACCACCATCCACGCTATGACCGCCACTCAGGCCGTCGTTGACTCTTCTTCCCGCAAGGACTGGCGTGGAGGACGTGCTGCCTCTGGCAACATCATCCCCTCCTCCACTGGAGCTGCCAAGGCCGTTGCCAAGGTTATCCCCGACGTCAAGGGCAAGCTCACCGGCATGGCCTTCCGTGTCCCCACCATCGACGTTTCCGTGTTGATCTCACCTGCCGCCTCGCCAAGGATGCCACCTATGAGGAGATCTGCGCTGAGGTCAAGCGCCGTGCCAACGGTGACATGAAGGGATTCCTCGGATACACTGATGAGCCCCTCGTTTCCACTGACTTCGAGACTGAGGCTATCTCCTCCACCTTCGATGCTGAGGCTGGTATCTCCCTCAACCCTCGCTTCGTCAAGCTCGTCGCCTGGTACGACAACGAGTGGGGATACTCCAACCGTGTCAAGGACTTGATGGTCCACGTCGCCAAGGTCGATGCCAAGGTCAAGGCTTAATTTGTTTGTTATTTATAGATTGGTATCTTAGTATCGTGACAGTGAATAAATTAGTGAAACGAGCAATTTCAACCACAATCTGCACGATCAGCCATACATATCGAATTTCAATCCTAATGTCTTTTGTACGAGGGGCGAAAGTTGTAGCGAATAGATCAGTTCCAGCAAGATTATCTCACTTTGCCACATCGATATTTCAGCGACCATTGCTCTAACATAACTATTGTGCAAACAATGACAGCACAATTATCATCGAACACTTCAAATTTCTTCACACGTTTTCTTAAATCAATAATTAAAAGAAACACTTATTTCACACCCATCATTCCCTTGAACCAAGGGATAAGCATAGCAAGCAAGGCTCCACTGCCGCCAAGATGCATGGCCTTAAACCCGAATCCCATGTAAAGTCCTCCAATGCCGTTGGCAGCAACGATCTTGGATCCCATCGCGAAGAAGTCCTTCACTCCCGATGCACAAAGGCCAACGGAGAAGGGATGCTTGATCGGCTCGGCGGCAAGAATGGCCTTTTGCTGAGACGACCTGATCACATCACCCGGGGTGTTGAAGATCGCCCCGAACATGCCGGCAGCAAAGCCTCCTGCAAGATTCTGCGTCATCTTCCAGTCCGCAGGGAGCACGGCCTTGGACTGCTCCGAGAAGTACTGAAGACTGGCAAAGTAAGCAGCAGTCCACGAGGTCTGCCTGTACTGGATTCCAAAATATCCGATAAAGAGTCCAGTCCAGCCGCGGGTCTTGAGGATGTCTCTGATAACAGCACCTGCTTGATTGTTGAACTTCTTCTCTTTGTCAAGCTGAAGAGCGATCTTGGACACCTCGATCGGCTGAATGGTGAATCCCTCTGGCAGTGATGCAACTCCAGCAGCGATGGCCTTCGTCAGACCAGAGCCCTTGTTCTCCGGCTTGTTGAACATGGCCTGGTGAGTGATGGGAAAGAGAAAGAACTTGAGCACTCGCATGTAAGTGGCTCGAACCATCTCGGGCACCACACCCTGAGTCGCGAACCCCTTCAGACCGTGAGTAGCATAGAAGTTCTTGATGAGGGTGACCGTGGACCCCCCCTTGCCCTCTGCAGCAGCAGACATCTTGAGGGCACGGAGAAGATCTACTGGGTACATGAGGGTTGCCGTTGACAGCGCTCCTGCAGTGATGGGCGGCAGCGTCGACCAGATGCTCTGGTTGGACGCCATGGCGGCCGATGACCTTGGCTGACGGTAACCCTCTGTCCGGTTATAAAGCCAACGTGGATCCCCTGGGGGTGGGTCATAAAACTCGTAAAGCACTAGGGTGGGGTAGTAGTGGACAGACGGGGTGTGAGGGGGGAAGAGGGGACCTTGCAAGAGGGTTCAATGCCCCACGTGCCTCCTGATACTACCCCCACCCCTTATACATTCCTACCCCCCTAGTGCAAACACCGATAACTACCCCTTCCCGTAGCTTCAGTTCTGTCCCCTTGTCCCCCTCAGGTACCACCCTACCCACTCGGCTTTCATGGGACCCAATCCTGTAGCCTTCGTTAGACGGACAGCACCACTCCTTCAACTACCCCCTACCCCCCTACCTCCTACCCCCCGTGAAGGTGGATGTTCCCCGAGTCAGTTCCCCCGGTCCCCAACCGTTGAAGAATGAGCAAGCCGACCTCAGGATCAGGTGCTTCGCCCGCCGGGCCCGGCGGGGTGACCGCCCGGCCCGGCGGGCCCTCCGTCCAACTCAGTCCCGAGTCCCGGGTCTGCGTCCTGGATTAAAAAAAAGGGCCCGAAACGTCAAAGTTTGACTTTTTTTTCACTCAAAGTTCAGTCCTGTTGTGCTGGCCAAGCGGGGTGAGCGCAATCATGCTGCGCTTGCGGCGGTCGCTGCGGTCGCTACGGGACTTCCTGATGGCAGCCAGCATGTCCTTATCCTCAGCTTCCATGGAGCCTCCTACCTCCTCCTTCTCCTCTGCTCTTGCTCTGCTAGATAATCTTCTCCGAGCTATGGACGAAAATATAAGACGATCGTCCATGGAGATCCCCTACGGTGCGGCATGTTGTTGCCTACAAGGAGTTCATCCTGATTCTGATTGCTGTTTGTGAGAAGAGCTTGTCATCTGCGCCTCAATCTACTTGGAGCTCGTCACGCCATGGCGAAGGAAGGCAGAAATCTGCGAAAATCTAGAAGCCTCGGCTCTCAGCAAGAGTTTGGTGGAAACGTTAGCAGAAGGTAGGACCTGTCCCTCTACCTTCCTCCGACTCCCTCCCCACTTCACTGCCGCCCTCATCCTTTGCGTGCTGCAGCCAACGAAGAAATGCTCGCTGCAATCGAGCTCGACACCCCCCGAGATCACGTCGACTTCTTGGTCAGCCTGTGCTTCGCCTTCTGGAAGGGGTTGACGCGGGAGGCCATGAAGAGAGAGCTTCAAGGTCCGGACTTCCCTCTCCTCTGCCTTCCTTCCTCACTGAACGTGCTGGGGGCATCAAGTGTTAGAGGCCATCAGGAACCTCCCTGTCGTTCAGGCCCAGGAGCTTCCTCGGGATCAGCTTGCCATCACCTACTTCCATGAATGGTCTCTTAGCTCCTTCTCCGTCTCTCCAGCCCCCCCTTCGGGGCCCCACGACTCCATCGCTCGTTCCGTCTCCTCCGTCTCCCCCGTCTCCCCCGTCCCCTCTGTCTCCTCTATTTGTTCCCTCGTTCCTTCCATCCGCCATTTCATCCTACTGCTAGTCGGTGTGCTGTGACGGCCTTGGGGTCAGGAGCTGGTACACGTTTGAGAGGAGAAGTCTGAGTCACGCATGGAGGCTGTGGGCTTGCGGTCATCTGAGGAAGAAAGGTGGCAACCAGGAAGGAGAAGGAGAGCGGACGATAGAACATGCACGCACTATGATCTTTCTTGCCCTACACCGCTCCAACATGCAGGTTGAATGTTGTAACTGTCTTCACACTCTCTTCTCAGTGCTCACCGATGCCGCCCATGCCAGATCCTCAAGCGAAAGCGACAGACGTTGCTTTCCTGGAGCGAAGTTGTGAGCTTTTTCTCCCCGCACTTCTTTTCCGCCTTGTTTCTTCTCCCTCCCACTGATCCTCCTCTCCTCCTCTCCTTTTTCCTCGTTGTACTTCCCTCCTTTGTGTTCCCTGCTGGCTGCCTCCTATCTCCTCCCCAACGTTTGCTCGTGGGCTCAGGCATCAGCTTCGTAGGTTCTGATGCCAAAACGTTTGAGATGGACGTTAAGGACACGATTAGGTGGGGCCCTCCTTCTCCTTCTCCTCCTCCACCTCCCTTCTTTTCTCTCTCATCGTTCCTCGCTCCTCCTCATCCCTCCTCTCCTCTTCCCTACTCTCCTTCCCATATTCGCCTTTCCAGCCTTTCTGTCTTGAGATCCTTCTCGTTGCCCTGTCTCGGCTTCATTCAAGTTTCCTTGTCTAGACCTCAAGCTGCTAGGGAGAAGCGTGAAAAGATGGTGAGTTAACAATATCGCGCACGCGGACTCACTTGATCCTCCTTGCTGCACAGGAAGCAGAGCAAGGTTGCGTTTCTGCTCCTCTCACTCAGCTCCTCCTCCACAATCCTCTATCCGCAAGATTTCTGCTCGTTAGTATCGTCCCCTCCTCCCTCCGTCCTGTTCTCCTCCTCTTGCTCCCTGCTTGCCCTGGGTGTTTTTGCGTTATCCTCCTCGTCCCGTCTCCGACTGTCACGGCGGGTCATCGAACAGGTCTAGCAAGTTCCGCTCCTTTCTCCTTTCCTCAGACCTCTGCAGTGGAAGACTCATACTATTGGAAAGAGAATGGAGGTCCAGGGGGCGAGTCGCAGCAGGGAGAAGGAGGGGACGAGGAGGAAACAGGTGGTCTGCCTGTGCCTAGCTCGTGCTGCTTCTCCTCAGAGCATCCCAGGCCTTCCTCGCATGGAGACGAGCATGGTGGCAGAGGAGTGAGCTGGTGAGGAGGATGACCAACTTGTCGCTGCGGGTGAGGAGAGAGAGGGGAAGGAGGAAAGAGAAGGATCAGGGAGCGTGGAGAGGAGCGAGGAGGAGGAGGAGAGTTACCGAGGAGCAGGTTGACGGGAGGTGGAAACGGGAAGCAACAAGGATGTGGCGAGAGGAAACGTTGCAAGGGCAGCACCGAAGAGGCGTTAGAAGTCAATGGGTGAATATGACTGCGATACCGTTTCTGCCCTCATCTACTCCCTCTCTACTCTTGTTTGCTCCCTCTCCTCTCCTCTCCTCTCCTCTCCTCTCCTCTCCTCTCCTCTCCTCTCCCCACAACCTTACGTTCTCCAAGGGCGCCTTTGCAAGAAGGAAGAGGTCTTTGCTCGCCTGCTGGTGTTGCCTTCCTGCCGGAAGTTTGAGCTCTCAATGACACGACGCTATCAGGCACGAGAAGGAGCAGGAGGAGGAGGAGGAGGATACTCGACAAGATGTTTCGATGCAAACAGATGAGCAGGTACATTTGATGAGGAGGAAGCGACGGTGAAAGTGGCAGCGCAGATGTTCGAAACCTCTCGCCTCTTCAAGTTCTTACATCGACTTGCAACGTCGACAAGAGCCAGAAGGATGCTGAAGAGGTAAAAACATCATGCTGACTCGACCAAAACTTGACTTGACTCGATTTGCCTCCACCGTTGACCGCCTGGCTACTTTTGACCTGCAGAGTTGTCTTGGCGTGGAAGGTTTGCATGAGGAACAGAGAGACAGTGAAGGAATTTCAAATCGACCAGGAAAGCTTCTTGACATCTGTCAAAAGTGTTCTGTCATGATGCAAAGACTGCAGAAGTTTCGCCTTCGACTGCGGAGTTTGCGATCATGGAATCGCGTGATGGTCAGAACAAACATCGCCAAGGAGATTTTGAGCAGGTGAGACATGTTTCACCGTCATTGTCCTGCAGCCATATCCTGCTCCTGTACCTCCTGCTTTATCCTACTTCCTTCCGTTCCTCCCTCCTCCTCCCCTTTGCTTCCTCCTCCTCTCACAGCTCGAGCTTCTGCTACTGTTCTTGCCCCTCCTCCTCCTCATCTGCGTCGTACAAATGAATTTCTCCTAGTCTGCAGATGAGACGATTGTCATTCTGTCTTTCGGAATGGTCAAGATATGTCAAAGAGCACACGTGAGTACTATTCCACGTTTTCTCCCGCGCCTCTGACCCTCTTTCCCTCTTCTCCCACACCCCTTTCTTCTTATTCTGTTATGCTCGTGCAATACCGCTGGTGCTGGTGCTGGTGCTGGTGCTGGTGCTGGTGCTGGTGCTGGTGCCGCTTCTCTCCGTCTTGTCTGCTCCTTCGACTTCTCAATCAGAGTCAGCCTGGAAGCTCTCCTCGCTCGTCAGAGGGTGACGAGAATCAAGAGGGAAATCTTGACGTCCACGTGGGAGATCGCAGAGCGCAGCAAGGTTGAGCAGCGTCTTGTAGCGAGACTTCAGCAGTCCTGCAACAGAAAGTTGGTCTTGTATCCGCACGATCTGCCGTCCTTGACGGGATGAGATGCAGGGCACGAAGGGTCTGCATGAGGCGATGGGAAGCGATCGTGAGGAGTCGAGCAGCGCTGAGGAGGACAGTCAAGGCTCTGAGAGGGCGATCAGGTCGATCGTAAGTCTCTTGCTCCCTCTCGAAATTGACTTGGGCTCGTCGACAGCGCGAGTGAGGGCGGAAGCTCTTGCCTGCTGGATGGACCTCGTCACGAGAATGAGGAGGTGCTATGGGATGGTGAGGGAGCGTCGCTTGTCCTGCACGGCTCGTTCCTTGTGGACATGGAGGGAACGATGCTGTGAGCTCGGCTGCTCCGACTTGCCCTACGGTCCCTTGACGATCGCCCGACAGACGCCAAGGGCAAGAGGAGGGTCAAGGACAGCGTCGCCAGCTGCATGAGGTGAGGGATGGTTCCTTTCCGTCCGGGCTGACATGACACGGGCAGGATCGAGCTGACCTCCAGCAGACCCAACAAGTTCTCTGCTTCTCTCTTCCAGCTGCTGGCAAGCTCTTCGCTCTTTGCGGGCTTTCAGAAGGCCGAGCACAACTGCAGGCAAGCGAGAGCAAAATAAAACTCGTCGAACTTTTGGCCTTGTGCTGATTCGTTGCTCTTCGTTCCATGACGTCAGGGTTGTTTTCTTTCATGGAGGGCAGTTGTATCGAGCAGACAGAGGTCATCTCTGAGTTTCCTTCCTCCCTTGCTTCCTTCTATCCTGCCTGCGT